GTTCTTTTTTTTTTTTTTATAGCATCGCGTGTTTACTGGCGAGGCGTTGGGGTTTCCAGCAGCTGTCCCTTGGTTCCTTGTTGTTGTTGAGGGAGTTTCTTGTAGAACTTGGGTCTGTGACGGGTTAGCCGGGGAATGGGTGGCAGTCTGACTTGGATTTAATCTTTCATCTTAAAAGCTTACGTCGCCGTAGGTGTCTTATAGAGGATGATTCGTTCGAAGGGGCGACTGATCATCTAACCTAGAGAGCCGGTGAAGTATGGATAGCTAGATAGCTGGTGGCTAGTATGGCACGATATAACATCAAAATACGGGCAATGCTCCAATGCAAGACTGAGGCGCGGGATCCGTCGGGATGCCGGTGTTCCTGACAAAGGTCTTGGACTCCTGTGCTGTGAAAACAAGAGCAAATTGCGTAAACCAGCTGTCGTGTCTGGGAAGCTGTCGAGAAATAATAGTTCCGGTCTTCTTCAACTGCATTCAAGAGTCTAGTCAGTGACAGACACTCGCATCATTCGGTTGGATTTGGATGGCAACACTGTGATGTCGCTGTCTCGGGTGATTGGAAGTATATCTGATATGTTTTGTTGGCATTATTTGTGAACCGTTATTATTCCAGGCCGCCGTCTTCGGGCTTTCGGGAGAACTCCAGGGGAAATGTGGTTGAAAGCTGTATTTTTAGGGGATATCGAAAGAAATAAGAAGGAAAGGGAAGGGGAAAGGGCAATAAACGCAGGAGAAGTATTATCAAAAAGAAGCAAAAAACCTCGACCGCAGTTCTCCGCCCAGCTGGGGTCTACCAAAAACCCCTTACACTGTGCAGAACAGAAAGGGCATTTCCTCTACAAACTCAGGATAAACCGGGAGTGAATCGCATGAGCTGCTGCAAACAAACGACGAGAGATGACTCTCGACAGCGGGGCCCGGGAGGTTCCCAGCTCATTCTTTAAGCTCGTAATAGACAGACACGATGGCCAGTGGGCTCGGGGGGGGGAAGCGAGAAGAAGGTGATCGGAAGGTAGTCAGTCCGTGGACGAGAGACCAGATGATGGGTTTCGGTGCAATTTGTACCGAGGGGAGGCCAGGAGAAGGGGGGAAATAGGAGACGAGGGGTTGAGCTGTAGATGACTGACGACAGATGGTGGCGGCTGTGGAGGTGATCAGGGCATCAGGGCGGTCCCGGAAATTCTCCTATTGTTGTTGATCTCATGAGGAGAGGCAGAGAGAGACAAGAAAACAAGGAAACCATGGGATCGATGCCATCCTTCATGTTCGTACCATGGTATCCGGCTTCTAGGGGAAAAAAAGTCGTGGTATCCCATGTATTTCATTCATTCCTCCTCGAGCGCTTTCAAGACTAAGGCCCGCGCCCTGTCGCTCAGGTCCATCCCCAACGCAAGCTGCCGTCCCCGGTCGCTCATCTTCCCCCACGTCTTGCGCAGGATCCCGACGATCTTGTCCTCGTCGATCCCCTCACGCGTCTTGAAGTCCTCAAATTGGTCATCCAGGAACACAAGGCACGCCACGTCCTCGAGCACCTGCGTCTCCGCATCCGCCCCGGTGCCGCCTCCTTTCCCCAGCCCTTCCTTGCGCATCAGCGCCGCCACCCGCGCGACGTCCTCCTCGGGCAGCGGGGGCTGGATGGCCGGCGACGACGCCAGCAGTGTGGCTACCTGCTCCGCGCATTGGGCCTTAAGCTTGGCGCGCCAGGTGAGGTAGCCGGCCCGGGTCATGGGGTAGCTGGAACGCGGGATCTCCCAGCGGCGGAAGTGCTGCGCTCGGCAGGCCAGCTGGAGGACCGGCGCGGCGTCCGGGCACCGGGCCGCCAGCCATCGCGTCATTTTCTGGGCGTAGTGAAGCTCGTATGGCATCAGTGGTGCAGTTGTCGTTTGCTTCGGGTCTTCCTTGTGCGCATCGTCTATGAGCTCGAGCGCTTTGGCGTAGTTCGGTGGGAGAGGAGGAAGAGACACGGGGTTGCTCGAGGCCTTCATGATGATTTCTCTTGGAGAGTTGAACTTGTTTTCTCGGAGGTATGCGTTTTCTTTGTCCTTTTTTTTTCAATGGTTTCTCTTTCTCTTTCTCTTTTCTTTTTCTCGTTTCTATTCTCTTCCCCTTTTTAATGATCACTGGACTCGGATCAACTCACTCGTAGGATCAAAATACGCCCTGAATAAGAAAAAGAGAAAAATATTTTGCATGATGAGTCAGCGGGTTTCCGTGGTTGATGATTGGTTCTGTCCTTATCCGAACGACATCTCCCCTTCCCCCTTTTACCCCTTTACCCCTTGGTGCTCATGAGCCTCAGAACCTACGAGATTTCAAGTTCGTCGAGGTAGATAGATATGTCTCATGTATGCCGAGGAAGATGAACGGAAACCTGTCATTTTAATCTCTCAATTTCTCCTTCGTTTTATCCTGCCCTTGAGTCATCATCGTCTACGATCAGGTCATGGCCTACCATTTGAAGGTAGGGGTGGCAAGACTTCGCCAGTATACTCCTCCTCCTCCGTCCTTGGTTCGATACCACTGAATATGTGCTCGCTTTTCTTCATATACTATGTTGTTTAGAACAAGGTAGTATTGAGTAGGTCTATAGCATGTTGGGTTTGCTCAGTCGCAGACATTTACACCAGCCTGCTCCCTCGGATCTTCCCCTTGTCGCGAGCGAAGAATGTGATTCATCAGTGGTATCACGACCACTGATCGTCCTCATCTTCTCATGGAGTACTCAAAGTGTATTGGTTCTTTTTACGTTTCTCAAGTTGCAAGTTATCATCCCAGTAACAGAACGATAGTCATATTATCACATATTGTATGTGCTCTGTCCTCGGGGCAGATTTTCAACAGTTGCCTCCACTGCCACCAGACTCCGAGCTCCGATAGTTGTGCCCTTATAAGGTTGCTTATAATATGGCACTGCGTTAAGCTGTTCATCTTGTTCATCAGATTATATACATATTATGCCACTCTTGGAGGGAGTATTACTACCATCTTCAAATTTGTGTTGGATTCCCAGTCACCTCTCTCTGCCAGTGACACCTTCCTGTAGAGCTTATACGCTCTTACTCTTTGTCTTCAAGTGCAATAATTAACCACTTTGAATGGATTTCAAAGCGCGACTTAACCATAACACTAACACGCGTTCTAGTCACGTTCTCTACAGGGGTTTTCGCGTACCTGCCTGCCTAATACCAGCGAATACGATCATATGGTGCTTGCCCTCCATATACCCATTCTTTTCTAACACAACAGTAGTAGCTCGCTTTAAGGACTGTGGACGTCTTATTGCCTGTTCTTCTGTAAGAAAAATTTGCCGACCCTCCTGCCAAACCAAACCAAACTCCACTAGAGCTGTGTGTACGACTCTGCTGCCTTCCAAGGACACAGCACATTACACTGCAGCTATTAAGGATATCAAACCTCTCCTTTGCCTAGCTTTTATCGTGAGCGTTAACACGGTGCTTTCAGCCGAGTTTACGTTTCTTACACCTCATAACTCTTTCTGTCATACCTTGCTTGGCTTATGAGATATCACAATCATCAGCCAATTTGACAACAAACTCCGGCAGTTGACATCAACCGAAGACACTGCCTTCTCTCGCGCGCTTTTTCTCATATTCCCTTTCTCCTTCTTTGCCTGGCAAAGTAAACCTAAGAGACGTAAGTGCATCTTACTTATTGCTTTGACTTTGGCTTTCCGCCTATTCTCTTGTCTCTAGCATCTGGCATTGACTGAAAACCGATTATGAACTCATACTAGCTGCTTCGCATAGCTAACCTCGATCTTAGGTCTGCATCAATGCGTGAATCCAAAGACAAGAAAGCCCCAGCTGGAGGCCCAAAGAATCAAGCAAATGCCTCAGAGGTGCAGCCTGGCTACTGGGTGTCACTTACCAACACCATTATGGGTCTGAATCCTTTGGCCCTAGCCAAGAACACCGTCCAGGATGGCGTGGGGAGTAAACAAGTGACGGACAAGAAGAATGAGAATGGTTACAAGCAGCAGACAGTGACTGCCGTTCGTAAGACGCATGCACAGGCAGACAGTGAGGGTATCAAAGCCTTGTATATCTACAAAGCAGGCACCTCCACCGTTTGCAAGGGCCATTCTTCAATCCCGCCTACTGATAATGGCTGGACTGATGGCCAAGATGGCCTAATTATCATAATGAGGGGAGACAAGAGGTCCTGGGCCGAGATTGAAGATATTATCAAAGGCGGAAGGGGATTGAACGAAATCAAAAAGCGATATGACGAGCTCAAAAAGCTATATGACGAGCTCAAGGCGCGAAGCGAATACGCAGACACAGATGAGTCCGAATCCGAGGGATACGGAGATGATGAAGAGGACGATGAAGATGAAGACAGCGAAGAGGAGGACGAAGAAAGTGACGATGAAGAGGAATATGACTTCTCCCCCGCGTCCTTCTCCTATTCCTCTTCATCTTCCAGCGACGACGAAGACGGATACGACGCAGACGACTACGACCCGTATGGCCCGATGGACCCCGTCGCCTGGGAACGCGAGCGCCGTCGCCATCAACGCTTCGCACAACGCCACCTCTGGGCCTCCTTGTACCGCAAAACCGGCGACGACTCCTGGACTGGAATGGGTTTCTCCAAGCGTGACCGGTCCATCCTGTTCTCCCTGCACGACCGCGCCCTTGCCAACCGCTACCTGGAGATGCAGGCCAACTTTCTCAACGCTACCGGCCGCATGGTCCCCCTCCACCTCATCCAGGCCAGGCTCCAGGGTCGCACGCCGACTGAAGAGGAACACATGCTCCCCCGCATCGCTCGGTTCCAGGCCCGCGTCGCCAAATGGAACCAAAGTGTTGCTGATGGCGATGAGTTGCTTGACCCTAGCACCGCAAGCGACATCCCTGCTGATGCCCTGCGGGCTGATGAAGGCGACGAGTGAGAAGAATCCTCTGGGACCTGTATGCCCTTCACTTGACTCTCTCTGTCAACATCTTGTTTCTTTGTCTTTCTTTCTTTGCTTTTTCTCTCTTTTTCTCTCCCGGTGATATTACGGATAACCCCCCCCCCCGGCTTGCAGAGATTCAGTGGTCGTGATGTGAATCTTGCGGGATTTCGTGCTCCTATCACTCAGCCTTCTTCTCGACATCTTCCACCCTCCTGTCTCCCTTGAGTTGCATTCTCCTATGGGGACAGCCTTTTGCCCGACGGGGATTTGCAGAGTTGGGCTATTTGCCGATTTTAGGAGGAGACGGCTCTGGTTTTGGAGACACGAAACTACTATGCCTGTCAGTTCTGGGAGGGTCTTGGGTGAGAACAGGATAACGGCCCTGCTAGGAGGGAGGGATCCTCTTGGGAATCGATTGTACTTTGGGAAATGGGGAGATGATGGTCCAGGGTCAACATGTCAGGCAACCGGGGCGCCTTTTATCTTCCTCCCCCATTTTATAATCTGCGGCTAAAAGCAAGTGGGAAGGAAGTATTAGTGCATGTACGCAGCAAAGAAAACCTACCTTAATACATAATACATACAATATTTGATACAAAGTTGGGAAGCTGGGTTGCATTGGCGTATATCCCAAGGTAATAATGAAGCTGGTCCGCCAAAAATTAACGTGCTTTGAATACAGGGCGATGCCAAACAAAAAGGTATCTGTACAAAAATTACAAAGTAAAAACTAAAAGCCAAAAAAAAAGAAGCATATCTTCTGACAACCAAATGTGCAGGGCGCCGAATGAGTTGATAGGTAGACGGGCCAATTTTGCAGTAAAGAAGAACGTGGGTGAACCATGCCCACATTTTGTCCATAAGGTATACAATAGAAGTGCAAATCAGGGACTGGCAAAGAAAAACCCTTTAACACGCTATGCTTTTGGGTCAACCCACTCCAAGGCGCCCCTGCAGATGCTCCATCCCGGCCTCTCTCCAAAATGAGGCGCTGTTAGGAATCAAGTATGTGATGTTGCTGTATTATCGAAGTAGTCCGACTGCCTTGCCTGGCTTGGGCGGGCTTCGTTTGTGTTTTCATTCACTGGTCAAGAACGTGATATACATTGTAAATAAAGTCGGGACGCGCCGGAGCCGGCCTTGAGTCGGTATCGGTGGCGGCGTGGCGGTAGTGCGATCCTCCCGAGTGGTTGACATGGCAGGAGCAGTCAAGAGTTCTCAAACACTCCGACGCGAAGGACGGTCGTGTACATCCATCAGTGGATTGTCCACGACATAGATGGAATGAGCCCAGTGGCACGGAGCGATTCTGAAAAACCTCCCCCCAAAACTCGACCCGTTTGATCATATCGGATTCTCCATGCCAGGCGGTGGCACGGCCACGGCGGGAGGAGCTGTTGGCGGAGGAGAGCTGATGATGGGGCCTTTATTCCTCAACGTGTTGCTGGAGCCCAGGCCTCGTTTCATCATTCTCCCAAGGACGGTAACAAGCTCGCAGGCGTCGGTAAACATATCGTCGTCCATGCCTTCAGTCGCCTCGTAAACCTCGGCGATTGTGTCCTTGGCTAACCTGCGGCTCCCCTCGGCGTCATGGAGGCAATCGTACATAAACGCGGCGTATTCCGTCTTGACAGAAAGCCGCAGAGAATGGGAGCCCCAGAGGTACTGGTCGGCGAGGGCCACGGCTTCCCTAAAATATTGGTGGGCTTCTGGAAGAAAGTTTTTCGGCTCCTTCAGAAACCTGGCAGGAAGATAGACGGCGCTTCCTGGAGGAGCGAGTCCCGGCGGGGCCCCAACAGGGCCTCCCTCTAGAGGATGTGTCGGCTGTATAGACCCCTGTGACGAGTTCCATCCGTCTTCAATCGCCAAGCCCTTGCCCTTCTCTGTCCTTGAAGGGGCGAAGGGAGGGAACCCCGGAGAAGCCATTCCGGCGGCCAAGTCAGGCGTTGCAATACCCATTGTCGACACCGGCGGGTCGTTGTGGAAAAGGACGAAGATGTGGAAGAACGAAGCTTGCAGCTTGTAAGCTAGAACTTTCAGTTCTGGGTAGTTGCCGACCATGGGTATGACGTATTGTTGAAGCATAACGAGACCTTCGCGGGACAGCCAGATGATGTGGAAGATGAGCTCGAGAGACTCAGGGCTGCGGACAGGATCAGGTCGACGTTGCTTTTTGGCCTTGACAAGTTGCTCTGCAAGGCTAATAGACAGCCCCAGGATCTTAAAGAGCATGGAGGCCAGTAAAGGATTGGTTGCCTCGACATTCTTGGCCAGTTTGCCGAGGAACTTCTGATCAACCTCTGAAGAAGCCATCAAGCCGGCAGAGTGACACCAGTCGCGAGAACCGGGAATAGACTGGGATACACTTGGCGCTCTAAAACAGGCTGAATTGTCTTGAAAGCGTCCAAAGGAAATAGTGACAACCCAACCGGTTGGTATGTTGGACGGCGAGAACGATCGCAGTGAAGATTAGGATGGCTGAACTGAGTGCAAAATCGCCCGCCGCAAAAAACAAAAAAAAAGAAACAAAAAAAAAAGGGTTATGCTAGACGAAGAGTACACTCTCGAGCGACCGGTCAGGGGGGGACGGCCCAGGACTGAAATGACGAGGGCCGGAGTAGGTGATGATGGTGGTTAGGGGTAGATACGTCAGGGGGTGAGAGCTTTGCAGGACTGAAAGCATTTCGACGTTTTGGGAGAGGCGGAATGATCGAAGAGTAACCGAAAAAATGGCCTCCAAGGACGATTGGTCCGGTCGAGCGAGATAGGTATCGCTGGGATATGGGATGAGCGCGGAAACCTTGCTTGCCTCGAAGGAAAGCGAGTGTCGTGAGAGATAATAACTGAGGCGGTGAGATTATTAGAGTTGAGTCTGGGAGCGACCTTCGTTGCTCAGGAAGAAGGATCAAGTGGCTAGGGGTTCGAATTGGTGGCAGGCAAAAATAAAAATAAAATCGAAAAAAGCCGGCAGGGCCCGGGCCTCCAAGATGACGAGGATATGAGGTACGACGACGGCGCTGGGCCATCTACGACTTCTAGGACATTGATGAAGGCATCTCAGGCGGCGGCGCTAGGAGCAAGTGGAAGCCAATTCAAAAACCGAAGGTCGAGTAGGTAATGATGAATGGCGGTGGGGGCAGGGGCCCAGCAGCAGCATCAAGAACCAGGAGCCCTGAGCGAGCACAGCAGAAAAGTGCGGGAGGGCTTGGAAGCAAGATCCTCCTGAGGTGCATGTAAGTAATAATTAGTACATGTATGGTAAAGGAGGCGCGGCGGCGGCAACCGGAGAGGGAGCTGCAGCGTGCGTCAAGCTCAGTCGTAGCAGGGAGGCGAGGATTGGGTCGAAAGGGAAAAAAAGGACCGGGCGTGGAGATATTGTGCATGAACGAATGTGGGACCCTGGCGGATGAAGTCTGGGTGAACGAACGTGAATGTGAGAGAGAGAGAGAGAGAGAGAGAGACGGATAGACGAGGACCCAGGCGCTGCAGGCGATCGGAACCAGAGGTTGTTGACAGGAGAAATCGATGCGTTTAATCGAAAGCACGGAACAGCAAACGGCCCAGGTAAAAGAGAATGCATATATATAAGACCGCTAACAGCAGAGACCCTTTGCCGGCAGGAGGAGGAGCTTTGATGGTCGAGAATAGTACGATGAGGTCGGTGAAAAGGCCCTCAACATAGAAACAACAATGATGTCGAAGGGTGTCGCCGAGTACATCCGTACGGAGCACAAAGTATTAGGGCTGCTGTTGGGCCCAGAGAACAGAACCTGAAAACCGGAAAGATGCACGATGAGTTGTCCACCCACCGTTTCGTTTGCGCGATGGAGGCGCGTGCGTGTCAAAGAGATGAAAAGGATCCCAAAGAGCTGGCTGGGTGGCTGGGTGGCTAGGTGGCTGGGTAGCTTTGTGGGATTGAGCCACTGATGAACGGCGAAGATCGATTCAATTGGTCGAAACGTTAGGTCGGAGGTTGAGGATCAACCGGGACGAACCAGATCCACACTAAGGAATACGTACCTTTTCGTACGAAATGACAACTCACCAGCCACAGCACTGTACTGTACATTACCTATACTCGTAACTCGGACTCCATGTTTGAACGATGTATCTGGACTAATGAGGTCTCTGATTGAACATTTTCCGCCCTTACCTTAGGAAACGAATGATTAACGAACATGTCTTACACCTATAATAAAAACTAAGGCTGTAGGGATATTTTGGATATACAAATACTCCAATGTGTCTATGTTTAGGCCTGTTTGTGAGATGGAAGGCCGCACAGGATACAAGTCATGTACCTTAGAATGAGGGACGAAATACTTTCTCGTGTCCCACAGTAAGGTACCTTAGGTATACAACGGGGGAAGTTATGGAAGTCCTGATACCCACTTCATCCTTGGATCTTTTGGATCGACTCTGAACCACTCATAGGCATCGTCTATTATTACGTTTCTCTTTTAGCTCTAATCACGTTTATATTTGGACACTCGTATTCTATCCAGCGACTGCACCTGATGCTAACTTACATGGGCACAGGTAAGGTAGAAGACGGAATGTTGCGCTTATCTCTCTTGTAACACGACGCGATGTTGCATTGTGGGACGTCCTCGAACAATAGAGAGCGCCCTCTTGCTACAACGACTGTAACGGTTAAACGGTCCCATATCATCTCTTTTTGGTTCATAGTGGGAAACCCCAAGATTCACATGCGAAACAAGTCAGTGGAAAAGATATCGTCTGCCACTCAAGCGAACGGAGTACCTTATGGAGTAATTAAAGGGTATCCGTACCGTACTTCTCTTACTACTGGTAGGTACTCCATACATACGGAGTATACTCCGCAGGTACCTGCATTACGTGCCATCTGTATCCGGAAGTACGTACGGAGTTCTCCACCTCCACGCTGTCCTCAAGTCACCACCCGAAGGCAACGCGACTATGACGCGCTATTCTGGCTGAGCCTTGGAGGCCAGTTCTGGAGACCACCGACAACGAACTCCCAGCCACCGCACTTTTCAAAGGGAAAAAAGCGTGACGCTCACCATCAGCGTCTCGCTCATCCCGTCCTTCCTTCAGTTGGTTGGCGAATTCGAAGAAGGTCCTTAACCTGGCTCCAGATCTAAAGGCTTCCCTTTTTATATATATTTTTTTTTATACCTGGATTCCGTGAAGGGTCTTTGACCACCTTCCGATCGACCGACTCTGGCTATAACGTGGGGTCGTGTATCATCATCGTCGTCATCTTTTCTGCCAGGTGTCGATTGGCGACTACACTAATACTTCTTAAGACGGTTCACTCTGGAGGCTGCCTTCGGCATCTGGTCGCCTTCCAGGAGACCGCTATGTCTTCACCTTGCCAAGTTTCATCCATCATGTTTACGTCGCGTCGTTTGTCTCCCAGGGTCAATCTCCTTCGGCCGATGGTCAGAGGTGAGCCAATCGTGTAGGCCAGAGTTCGAGTGATTATCTGAGTGGCCACTCACGCAGCACCTCACTTGCTGCACGCCTCGGTATCGAAGTGGGAACGTACCGGGCCAGGGCAACTCGTCCGAAGTGGCGGTGAGACCAGGTAATACTCCATACGTGCGGATGAACCGATGGACACTTACAACGTAGTGCGCACACAAACACAAACTCGAAGGAGGATAGTGGGGCGTGCGGCATTGGTTGCACTCTCTCCGGCCGTTACGATGGCCGTTACGATGTACGGATGCGTATCCGTAGCTACGTATTACCTACCACTGCCCACGCGAGCATTTCTGGTGCGTTAGCTTCGCTTCGCTTCGCCTCCTTTCGCTGGTCTCGAGTCCGAGTTTCAGGAGCACCTACTGTCACTGCCCACAGGTTGGGCCTGCGCCTGCGCTTGTCCAATGATGGTCAACTTCTTCCCAGAGGCAACATCGCCCTCATACCTACGGATACACGAAGCTTCGTACTGGGCAGCTTTGCCTGACAACAGCCATGTTACACGGTTTTGCGACTCAAGGTAATTACTCGGCACCCGCGAACATGTGTCCCCCAACCCGGACGAGACCAACAAAGTCTCTGGCAGCCAGACACCCGGAGTTACACGGCATTCCACGTCAAAAGCCTGTAGGCTGATTTCACAATCATTCTTGATGTCTCCTTCACTTCTTCTCTCCTCAACCGTCCTTCAACCTGATCAAAATCACCGCAATACTTCTGCCCGACACACTGAAACCCAAGATAGCAAACTCGGCTGTACAGCACCACCCCCGACATCAACCGTCGTCTCCTCGCAGACCCTGCAGCCCGAAGTGTTGGGGACGTTCTCTCGGAATCGTTATCGGCGAGTGTCACAGAGGGAAAAGCTCGTCCAACGATGTCCAGTCCACGAAAAGGGACGTAGCCTGCCACTGACTGACCAATATCCTCTCTGTATGTGGCTATCTTAGGAGGTTTCTCGGGTAGCCTCACGTCGGACCTAATTTGCGAGACCACATCGTCGAAGTGCCTGCCGTCGTCGTCTTCAGCCTCACTCGGCCACAGGGGATCTGATTAGAATCGCCTCCTCTCGCGATGTCGTTTGTCCACAGACGGGAAGAGCAAACAAGGGCCCGAAAGGCATTCTGCAGAAACCTCGATCCTATTTGGAGCGTTCTTCTCCCACGTACCAACAAGCAAGGCGGCATTCCCCAATTTCTGAGCCTCGCTATCAACCATTGTGCCGGCTCGCAGCCTCACAACCATGGCTGCCCACAGCTTGCAAACAATTTCGTGCTGTTTCTTGATAGGATGTGAGAAACCGACAGTGTCTCCTATCTCCCATGTGTCCAACACTATGTATTCCCAAAGCCGGCCATCTGGCTCCCTCGTTGAGGGGCTGCTTGTTGAGTCTCGTGGTAGCATTCCGTGTTATAATGAAGGGGTCGCCGAATCCTCTGTCTGCCGGGGTGCCTATTCGAGTCCCTACAAACACCAGCATTTTGTTTCTCCGTAGTCTAGATACTAGACCAATCTTGTCTACCGACTTGAACAACACTCCTTTGCTTCTACTTCAAACACCGAGCCCACCTTGGTATCGAACGCTCCTTTCTCTTGCCTTTCTCTTGCCTTTTCTACAAATCCGAGGGGCCTGTTCACTCCGCGGAATACAGTTCTTACAACCCTGCCACTCGCCCAATCCCCCAAAAATCTTGAACGAATTTATTGCCGTGCCCTAGCGCAGGGGGTCTGATATCTGGACCCAGAAGGGCCTGCCTACGCGACGAAAAGCCATTGCAGCAGGCTGTCCGGCTCAGAAAGAAAACGACGCTGGGAAGTGGCCACGAGCACATCGACGATTACATAGAGACAGTCCGATCTCCGCTGATCGAAAGGATCCATCTAACCCAAAAAAAATCCCCTAATATCTCATATCACTCTGTCGCTCTACTCACAGGCGTCGCCATGTGTCAGTACTACGCTCACGTTTTCGTCTGCAAACACCTCACTTTCGCCTTCGCCCGTTTCTGCCATCCTGCAAGCCTGATCCAGAAGCCTTGCTCCAAGCGTCAGATTTGGCATACCATCCACCTCGAAGAGGCATGCGATGAGTGTATCATGTGGTTCCCCGATAAGTTCCCAGCGAAGCGGCGGCGGGGCGACTAAAGACTGGGAACAGGGGGGAGGGGGGAGGGGAGAGACATGGAAAGACAAGGTGGTTGCATATCGAAGGAATAAGCAAGGGGGGGATAAATAAAAAGGGAAGGCAAAAAGAAAAGAAAGAGAGAAACAAAAAGGGGACACAGCACAGTTCTAGAATTTTCAGCTCGGGCTCTACTTCGACAATGGACAGGAGGAATAAACTGGAAGGGATACCGTGGGCAGTATGCCCAGTGTGCCATTGACTTTCGTGATTCCCGGCCTCATGAGAGACTGACAAGAAGCAACTAACCGTGGCGATTCAAATCGGTATGACTAGGCGGCGCTGGGTCGCCCAAAAGATGCGTAAGAGAAGCATGGTTTTTTTATATTACATTAAATGTGCATTTTCATCAGATCATGTTTGGATAAAGTTGTGTACGTCCCAGCTCTTGTTCCACTGGCGCCAAACTCCCCGAGAGATGCCAAGCCCATTTTCTACCATCTACTACACGAAACCATGCGTGTATCCATCATTCGTCCAAATATGTGGCCCTCGTCTTTGAAACCCGACACCGACCAGAGACATCACCTCGAGAAAAGAAAAAGGAGACGGGTAATGGGTATAAACCGTATCATATGCGAGAAAGGGAAGGGGCAGAAAAGGAAGAAGAAAAGTGCGACCCTTGACGCAACCGGTAATTCTCCTCCCGTATCCCTCACGGGCGAGAGTTCGCTCTCGACTTTGAGGCCGCATTGCCCGGCCGCCGTCTGCGGCTACCGAGATTCAAGACCTCCTCTCCCCTCGCCGAGGTCCGGCCCAGCTCGAACCTCTCGTGCCCAACTGTGATGAGCTTCAGAATGTTGCCGAACCCAACGACGACAGAAGACGTGCCAGCCTGGACCATGGGCCCAAGACCCGAAACCATAAGATGATTCCCGCTATCGTTGTCGGCGTCGAGTGGAGCCGTCTCGTAGATCTCGCCCCGACCAGATTGCATAGCAACCCAGACTTCCCACGTGTCGGGCCACTTCGGCTTCCATTCGCTCTTGTGGGGCTCGTAGATCCGGCGTCGCAACCCTGGGTGGCCGGAAAACCAATCTCGGCTTGGCGGCCGAGACGGCGGGATATTCTGCCTGACCCCAACGACCGAGCCGTTAGGGAGCGCCATCCAAGTGCCAGGGTTGACGATCTTCCTCTCCGCCACGTCCGTTTCTGACCAGTCACAGCAGGTTTGGCTCGGTGGGATGGCGGGATCTCGGAAGCAGATAAGATCTCCTTCCACTGTCGGGGTATAGGTTTGGATGATGCAGTCGCCGGTCTCGGCGTGGTCGTAGGCAAGTCCGAACCACCGGAGTCCCACCGAACTGCATTGCGGTTTCCTACGCGCGGAATGGAAGTATCGCAGAGTACGTGGCCGGATGGGTTGTGTGTGAAAGGTGTGAATGAGGTAGTTCCTCTTGCCATCCATTAGATCTACCGAACTTTGCCGAGCGATCAAGAAGCAATCCAAATCCGGGAGCGGAACGACTTGAGAGGCATCATGGTGTTCAAGAGTATCGCCGAGAGCCTCAGACGTCCAATCACCATGGCCATGATGCGTTGCCACGTGGATACATCCCTTTCTAGATGCAGTGAGAATCGATAGCTCCAGTGAGCGAGAGTCCTCCGCTACCGAAACGTTAGTGTAATACGCACCAAAAAAAGGGGGGGGGGGATAAGAAGACCACGGTACCTATGGTGACGAGAGGCTCGGCAGAGACGAGAGGGCTTTTGCAGATGACAAAGTCGGTCGAGCCTCGGTCTTGAGCTGTGAGTCGTGTCGCAAGACCGGACCGACGCACCACCAGTAGAGGGGGCACAGGATGGGAACTAGGGAGGCCGAAGAAGAATGCCTGCGGCTTCTGGCCGTTGGTATCGACGGGGATGGATGGGGCCCATTGCTGACTGTAGAGGTTCCAAAGTTGAACGCGACCTGGTGAGAGAAGAGCCAGCCAGTGACAATTGTCATCAATTGCACAGGCTAGGATAGGAAAGGGATCATGGTGAGGACTGGCGATTTCGGTCAGAGTATACTTCTTGGTGCCAGACCGAACATTCCAGAGTCGAATGGTTCGATCGAGACCAACGGACACAATATGGCCTTTGACAGTAGCAGTCAGAAGGACGACATCCAGATCATGCCCCCCCGTCAACGAGTTGACCGACATGAGCGGCTCGTCGTCGGAACCATAAGGAGCAGGCTGGGATTCCGCATCCTCTTCCCACAACAAATAATTCATCAACAACCGAAGCCCTGCCAGGATGAACAAGACGGTGACGAAAAATCGCGTCAAGTGGTGATCGAGAAAGTCATACACAGCCGGCAGCAAATACCGCTCCTGGTTGCCAGGAGTTCTGTCCGCACCTCGGAGGACGAAGACGATGGGTTCGTACACCTGGGCAACATAACTATGAGCCCACGGCTTGATTACGTTTATGACTTCCCTCGCCGTGTCGTGATCCTGCATTCGAAGCCACGACATGGGGCTCCTAGCCTGGTGGATTTCTACCGGTAACGACTCCTTCCATTTCTGCAAGGCGCTGCTATTCTCTGGGATGTTGAAGAAGCTCCCGATGACGCGGAACACGGACGCGTCCTCGAAGAAATGCCATTGCGCAACAAGCACAAAGTTTATCATGATGACGGTTCCAGCAATGCGCGTGGACATGGCGACCTTGCCCTGAAACATTGCTTCCGTCCAGCTGGGGCAGGGGGTAGAATCGCTGCGATGTCGATCCAAGCGGGATGATGACGGTGACGACGCCTTCTCCAAGGCATCGCTGAGCTCGGTTCTCCGAACATCGACCCCGAGAACTGAGAGAAAGAAGGTCGACAGGTAAAAAAAGTCGAAGATGATGCCGATGGCGGCGAAGGTGCAGAAAGCCGACACGCCTGGAGAGGCGACTTTGGCTAGCCCCCAGAGGATGAGGACGTTTTGGGTCGAGCTGATGAAAGCTACGTGGGCTGTCTCGCCAAAGGCGTAGCCTATACGACTGCTGGTGCTGTTCTCGGACGGCGTGGCTATGACGGCGTTTATGAGCCTGAAGATATTCTCCAGGCTCATCGACAAGACGACGAGTGGGTAAGCCGGCTGGGGTATCCGGGAAAGGTCAACATTGAAGATGGCACAGATGGTAAAGCTGGACAGAATGGACATGACGATCTGGACCCAGACGGTAACGAAAAGCCCCAGTTTGGACTTGACAGCCCTAAGCTTCGACATGCTCACGAGGAAGTAGAGGATTGCTAGGACGTATGCGAGGCCGAGGATCACTTTGTCCTGGACCGACATGGGACGGAACTGAAATTCATATAGCTGGCTTGACACGCTTCGGCCGTCAGCCGGGTAAATGGTCCACTTATCTGTCATTTGAGTGGCCAGAGCCGCGGCCTTTCTCTCCCACTGGAGACCGACGGGAGAATCGCGGCAGTGTATGAGTGTGATGACGAGGGCATCGGCAGCCAGGAGCCGCCGGTCTTCGAAGCGTTTCCCACTGAAGACGATGGAGTGCCTCAGGGTAACATTGACCGACGTGGGTTGGTTCTTCCTTTCATTGACGGTGGCCACGATATGGTGGTCGGCATTGATGAGGTCTGCTGAGCAGGACCAGTACTGCAAAGGCGACTGGAAGAACCAGGACTGATTGGTCAGGCCATTGACGACGTGAAAGGCGTCGCGGACCTCGGGGGCGAGATCAACGCCCTTGGGGTCCTGAAGTAGCACTTTGGCATTCGGACTCCTGGGGTCGAAGTAGTCGGTCGGGCCCAACAGCTCGTCCTGCAGGTGGAGGGCACCTAGGAGGATTTCGCGATCCAGAGCCCGCATATAATTCCCGTGAACCCAGATGGAGCGCATGACAACGTCCGGCTCGGCGTCGGGCTTGTCTAGGGGCTGAGCCAAGGTCCAGACGTGATGGGGCAGGTTGGATGCTCCATTGATGAAGTCGGAACTGTACAGAAACGGGAATGGATAGATGAGGATGGCGGCGACGGCCGAGGAGACGAGCAAAGACGTGATGACATGATGGGCAGCGTATGCACCATACCGAGAGCAGGCCCGACGACAAGGATGATTCGGAGCAAGAGCAGGGACTTCGGTAGTTCTATCAGCCAGAAAGGAAAAACGCATCAGCCACAGAGAACATGGAAGGGCCAGGTTTCTTCACGCAAGGTGTACGCCGGGGTGGACATGCCCTCGAAAAGGATAGAGGAGATACCAAATCATCTGCGGCGAATCTCAATGACGTGTGCGGGCAGACGTTCGCGGGGGGTGGCTCGTAAGTGGCTCGTAAGGGTGGTAGTCGACGTAGATGCAGCCTTCGGTCGAGCATAAAGCTCATCTCAGAGACGGTTGAGAGCGCATACGACGGTTGTTGCGCTAATTTGTTGTCGTCGTGCAGTCATTGCCAGGTTGTTAGGTACTCCGTGCTGGGTGGAATCAGCTACAAGGGTGGTGTTGGCGTGGTGGATAACAAGCCTTCAAGCGCAGCGGCCGTTGGGTCCAAAGTCTGGCGAAGCAAGGAATACTCCCAGGTGGGGGGCGCTTAGGTACGGTAGGTACGGTAGGTAGCTGGCGGGGATGCGCAAACAGCATGAGGTGGGCAGGGAAGGCAACTGTTGCTTGTTGTCTGTTCAGTACTGAGTAGAAAAGCCGTCGGCTATGAGGACAAACTATAGACGACGAAGGCCGCCGAACAAAAGGAGTCGCTCGATTTCGGGACTGCGATGTTGTGTCTATGCGATGGGTGGGCTTTATTAAGCTCCTATCGTGAGGACGTGGGACCGTCGGGGAAGACAGAATGGGCTCGGCATGTGGTTGCGTGGGGATCGAGGTTCGTTCCAAGTTCAAAACCAAGACGGTGGATGTCGGAATGCGTGTGCCGCTACCACGGGGTGGTCCCGCTCTGGTGTTGTCCGTTCCTCCAGCTTCTACGTCACGTGATGTAACACGTCCCGGTCCTTAGCACGACAACTCCGATGACGTACGGCACGTGACATCAATGTCCGGAGCTGTATGATCATATCGTCCTCGTCCATGAACGTAGTTGTTGTCATCTTAACGTCGTTACGTAAGACCGGTTCTTTGGCAGGATTTGGAATTGGGTCGGGGATAATCCTGAGGCCAGTGTCTGTTCGAGGCAGAGCGGAGTTCAATCATCAATGTGGGTGAGAGCGGTTATTTAAATAGACTAAATAGATCTTTAAAAATAGCTTTTAAAAATAGCTTTAAATAGTCACCACGTTTATCATCCGTCCCGAGCCTTGCCGGCATCCGATCACAAAGTCCTGACTTCGTGCGAGTCTATTAAGATCGGCATTCTGCCTTACACGTGTATATTTCCATGAAATCCCATCCTGAACCGATTTCACTATCGTCAGAATCAGGTGAGATGGGTGTGAAAGTCAGACCATTCCAATGCGAGCCGCCGGGTTCTGATTGGTTGAAGAGCGCTGCGGGCTGGGGCCAGAGGGTCCAGGGCGCAAAGGACCTTCTTCGTGCGGAGCATTGGGGGGGGGGGCGATGACTCAGTTACGTACACCTAGCACTCTACTGGATTCGTACAGAGTACCTAGGGATGCGAAGTTGATTACCTAAGGTACGTACTGAGAAGGTGTCGTTGATTTGAAGTTGAACACAATGGACGAAGTGGATTAGTCGATTCACTTTATTTATTTCTGATATTTAACTTGCACATCCCTTGATTAGTAAAACTACATTGTCCAATGGTTCCTGGATGAGATCTAATTACCTGAGGTACAACGTAAGGTAACGAACGAGGTGAAACAAGTGTACAGTAAACTCATATTTCTCTTCTTCAAACACGTTTCATCAGTCCACTTCCTATGAACTCACAATCACCGAAACAGATATAATGCATCTAGCACCTCTGGCACTTTTATACCAAACACGACCCATAACCCGTTTCTTGGACCATAGTTCGAATTCAGCTCAGAATGGGTGAACACGGGCAGGGCCTCGACTCGATTTCCAAACTGATCACCACTTACAACGAACTGAACAGCCATGTCATTGATGAGCTTAACGAGGAACCCAGTCCTCTCGAGTTCTCGAGATACGTTGCACGCAACACCCCTTTCGTCGTCCGCAAAGCCGCGATAAACTGGACCGCCTACCAGAGATGGGACGCTAAATTTCTCACCGAGACCCTCGGAGACCAACTCGTCAATGTCGCAGTCACTCCTTTTGGGCAAGCGCAAGATCACGCCCCAGCCAAGTGCTATATACACACGCTGACACTCTGTTCAGTAATGCGGACGCGCCTACTTCTCTTCCCGACGGCACTCTCGCACTCGCCAAACCTCACGAGGAGGACCACCCCTTCGCGTCCTTCCTCGGCACCATAATTAGCCAGGCCAAGCAAGATCTCTCTTCATTATCCCTCACGCGGGAACAATCAGGGGCAGAGGTCCTCTACGCCCAAACGCAGAATGATAACCTCCGTAACGAATACGCGCCCCTCCTCTCCCTCAACCATCTCCCGACCTCCATTCCGTTTGCACGCATCGCACTGGATCAGACCAGCCCCGATGCCCTGAACCTCTGGGTCGGCAACTCCCGCTCCGTCACCGCCCTCCACAAAGACAACTACGAGAACATCTACGTCCAACTCCGTGGCCGCAAGCGCTTCGTTCTTCTGCCGCCCTGGTGCCATCCTTGCGTCAACGAGAGGCCCCTGCGTGCTGCTACGTACCGACGGCAATGCGCGGACCAGGCGAGCTCCAGCACCTTGATCCTAGAGCCCGATGAAGGCGAAGACGACGTGCCGTTCGCGACTTGGGACCCGGATAACCCCGACGTCAACTCCACACCATATTCCCATCTGGCCGTCCCCATCCGCGTAGACCTTGAACCGGGCGACATGCTCTATCTTCCGGCCATGTGGTACCACAAGGTATCGCAGTTCTGTATTGAAGAGGACGAGGGATTCGTCCTTGCCGTCAACTACTGGTATGTTCCGCGCCTCCTCATCGTCATTGTCTCCCGAGTGCCCAGTCATACGACTTCCTTTTCCTTTTCATATCCCCCCTTATTCTATTTTCCCTTTTTTTCTTCTTATTCTTTCAGACTGCTCGTGTTTTCTCACCTCCGCCTCTCAGGTATGACATGGACTTCGGCGGTCCCCTATATCCCTTGGCATCATTTGTGCGCGACGTTCACCACGAGGCTCTCGCGCGTCAAGAAAACACAACTCAAAGCTAAACATTTCATTATATTCTGCATCTTCCTTCGAATCCCTGTACGTTCACCGTCCGCCTATCCCTTTATCCTCCAGTCCACATCCTCCGTTCTTCCATATAGGAGGGCCACATGCCCACCCTCTTCAACTGTGACATGACACGCGTGACCTGTGCAGACCAATCTGTCCGCTTGTAATAGCCCTTCTATGAGAATATATATGTACACGGGCGACCGTGGAGCCCCGACGATTAGATTGGTGAGCCTACGTTGAGTTGGTTCGTCATGGAGGCTATCCTTTGAGCTCAGATGAGCTTTTGACTCCATTTTCATCACTTCCCCCTGGATCCGTCTGAGGGCTGATGCGTGCCCTACGCCTTCCCGCCTTTAACCACCCGGGGTAAAGCATATATCCCACTCCAAACGCCCAGAAGCCGTTCCATCGGCCGAAGAAAAGGACCCAGTATACACCTTTGCAGTTTCACTCCTCCTTCCCTCGCCGTTTCCATGCCCTTACTCGGTTCCGGGCAATGCTGTTGAAGCCTATATAGGCGAAGCTGAACAGGAAAAAAAAAGGCAAAAAAAAAAGAAACCCAATCCAAAGTCCAAGGCAACAGATGTAGGCTCAACACTGTTGTGTTCGTCCAGTCAAATAGAGAACAGAGAACAGAGAGCAAGAGATACCCAAGAGTATCAAACTACCCATGCACAGTGAATAGGTACAAATAAGTTCAGCACCAGCCCACCATGCACCAGCGACGACGAGGGGGGGCATGACGGTATGATCTTCGTCAATTGAGGAAACCCTTGCACTGAGCCGTTCCGCAGAGGCAGGGAATACGATCCGTGCTACCTATCTCTCGCTCGAACTTGTAATCGTACGTCAACTCCTCGTCTAAAAAAAGACGCGTTCAAGTTAGCAAAAGACCACAACCCCAGAAGTTTGATTGCGAAAAATAAAAATAAAAATTTGAGAGAAAAGAAAAAAGTAAAAGAAATTGAAAGGACTTACTCCGAGCAATATCGCGGAGAGCATAGATGACAATCCGTTTGCTGCCATCCACTTTGATGATCTTGGCCGTGCAATTGGGCATGCAGCTATGGTTGATAAAGCGGGCGATGCCGCCCTTCTTGGTCGCGTCAATGACAGTGTTGTCGTCGATGCGAAACAAGTAACTGCTCCCCATGCCCTGCTTGAGGTACCGCTTCTCGCGGATCTCGGAGATCTGCTGCCTGACCTGCTCCCCGACATATTCGATGATCATGTCATCCTTGTTGATGTTCTCTTCCGTGTAGAGGCCCCAGTTGTGGATGGCTGACCGGGCGAACTTGACGGGTTTCTTCCGCTTCTTCAGTTGGTTAAATTTGAATACATCGGGATCTCCGGATGATTTCATCTCGTCCTGCAGCGCCGTGACGTGTCGGCGGTTGTTTGCACGGTTCGCCCGTGAGTTCCCCTTGGGCGCCTGCGGGACAACCGGCGCTAATGCGTCCTTGCCATCCTTCTTGACCTTCGCTTCCCGCGCTTCTCTGGCCTTTTGGACTTTGATATGATGAGGCAAGTACTTCGACTTTTCCGAGTTGAGGATCTTCTTCACCCCCTCCGTCCTGGCGCACCCAGTCGAATTAGGGACGTAGTAGCCTCCGATGCCCACGGATTCGTTGGCCGACTGTCCTGCGGAGTTCAGTTCGCGAATCCGGTTTCTTCGCAAAAGCCAGAGGAGGGGATCTTCGAGCTCAGCAATGCCAAACTTCTTCCGCAGCCTGGCAAGTTCGGGGCGGTCGGCTGAAGATAGAGGAAGGTCTTGCAATGCCGCCATGTCGGGCAAAAAGTCACCCGAAAGTTCCAGTGCTGAGACCGGGACGTGCGAGAACAGATTGAGATCTGGGCTCTCGAGGACCGGCTCCGCAATGGCCACTGCTCCCTCCGTTTTGTCCTCAACAGCGGGTTCCTCTGCCGCCGCTTTATCGATTGCCACAGGTTCGGGCTCTGGGGGCCCAGTCGATTCTTTCTTGAGTGACTCGCGCTCTTCGAGAATCTGTTTCTTTGATTTCCGTTTCGCCTTCGGCTTCTTCGCAGCAGCTTTCCCGGTTACAGTGGCGGGAGTCTCTGAGCGCGATGCGGGCTGCTCACTCAGTTCCTTGGAATCAGCCATGTCAACCTCGGGAGTCGCTTCCTCCGTGATCTCATGGACAGGAAAGTCCGTCTCAATATGGTTGAGCGTCACGCCAAAGAGCTCTTCGTCGGACTTCTTCTGCCGTTTGATGGCGGATTGGGCGTCGAGGTTAAGTTTCCGCTTCTTAGAGGGCAGGCCGCCTACTGCAAAGCTAATGTCGGTCATTGAGTCGTCCTCGGCCGGACCCCAGGAAGCGAGGTCGTCCTTGGAGCCGTCATCTTCGTCGTCAGTGCTCATGCGGCTGCGCGGACGAGACTCTGGTTCTTCGGTTTCTCGAGCGACCGACGCCCCAACATCGTCGCCTTCGTCGTCAGACTCGATGTCGCTGTCGAAAGCCTGAAGACGATGGTGCAGTGAGCGAACCGCGGTCCGTTGTTGTGGCGCTCGCCCGCGTCCGAAAGGATCCGTGAAGCCGTGGTTCCGCTGTCCCTGTCCCGTGGCCTTCGCCTTCCGAATGCGAGGCAGTGCGGAAACCTCCAGACGCCCTGTGCGCCGTTCAATAGGGTCGGCGCCTGAATTGGGAGTACCTATGCGCGAGCTCTCGTCACCAGCCTCAATGTGGAGTGACGGTGCACCGGCGGGTTCTTCGAGGTTCAGCTTTCGTCGCTTGGCAGTGTGGTTGGCAGGGTTTAGGAATGCGGTCAGTGCTGGAGCTGCAACGCGGGTTCGAATATGTTTGATAAGGTGTTCAGCCAACTCCTGAGTGATAACTTCGCACGCCGCTTTGACAGGGTCAAAGTTCTTGGCTCTCTGGCGTTTCTCTTCTTCCATGTCAAGTTCATCGTCCCGACACCTTCGATCTCTCTCTTCTAGCATCTGCGCTTCTCTCCTTGGTATTGGCTCGGGGCTTGGCGTCCGATGTCCGCGGACTGCAGCAGGCGGACCCGAGTTGTCTCGAAAGTGTGACGGAATGCAAAGCGTCATGTAAAACTGATAGTTGAAGAACTCTGTGCAGTGCGCCGATCGGTAGCAACGCTCGGCCTCCGATTTACCGGCGAGGGAATTCGAAAACACGATGTAGTAGCCAGTCCGATCGACGCGAATATCGTCGAAGACATATGCCTTAAGGCGTCTCTTCATGTGAGGAACAGTCGTGTGCATGACGGGCACTTTTGCGCTGGGGACGAAAATATACGGCTCCGCGACTAGCTGTGGTGCAATGGGCTTCTCTTCAATAAATGAATGCGGCTTGGGTGGATGCGGTTTGGGCGGATGCGGCGGCCTTCCGGCGACGCTGACAGCATGCGGTGGGAACTGCCGTTGAGCAGCAGGACCCTTGGGGGCCATGGGCGGTGGTCCTGCTATGGTGCCGAGGGCATTGGTTTTGGGTCCGGTGGGTGCTGCTGGCTTAGAGACAGAAGGCTGTTGTGCCATCCTATCCCGTTTGAGTGTCTCTTCCATCATCCGACGACTTTTCTTGCCCTCCGGGTCGAACTCCACCCGAATCTGATACGACTCGATCCGTTGTCCATGCATTGACTTGACGGCGCGACGCGCTGCATCCATGGCTTTGATTGGCACAGGTTTTGAGCGGGTGGGCAGTGAGTCTTTGTATCGGAAGGTCGCGAAGCCAAGGTAGCTTCCGGTTTCGGGATGCATTTTGTTGCTGCTCTCAGCGATGTCACCAAAGCTCGCAAAGATCTGCGAAACTTTGGAGAAGGCAATGAGGGGATTGAAGCCCATCACGACAACCTGAGTCGGGGGTCCAGGGCCAACGGAGGTCTTAGGGTCATAAGGATAAGGTCTGAGGTTGTAGGGTGTGTGCCGTAATCGAGATTTGGGCAAATGGAAGTCGGTGTTGATATAACCGAGCCTCCCACCCATTGCCAGGCGAGGGTCCGGAGGGGGGGCGTCATCGTTGTCCTATCTCAGCTCATTAGCCATCATTCTCACATACAACAAAGCGATGACGCGCCCCCCCCCTTCTCTTTCCAAACCCCTTCGCGAGGATATAGGTATAGTATAAGGGAACGTACCGCCCCAAACTCTGTGAATCTTGGTTTGGCAATCCTCATCTTATCTTTCGATAGTGTTCGGTCGAGCAATGGGTCATATGTGCACTTGATGCCTTTTCGCGATCGAGTAGGGTCACGCGCGGGGACGCGATTGATATGAGAGGATGGTGGTGGCGATGAGCCATCCAGGTGTGAGAGTGAGCCCTTGCGTGTGCTCGTCAAGTCGTCCCGATCGGAAATTTGGACGTTGAACGGTTTCGATTCAGGCCGACTTGTGTGACCTGAAAGCGATGGGGACTCTAGAGTAGTGAGAGGTGTGGTAGAGGATGCTTGCGATGTTCCGTTCGGGATGGGGTGTCGTTGATTTGTGCTGAAGATGGAGGATCCCGTGCTTGCATGTGAGCTTGCCGAAGCAACAGTGTTGAGAGTATCGCCCGACGGTGACCCATAGTCATCGGCCTGTTGTGATCCGTTGAGAAATGCTCCATCGGTCGTAGAGCCTCGAACAGCATTTGGCACATCACAAGCACCATTTCCGATTTGATGTGAGCCGAGAGAAGACGCCGTCGAGTGTTGCGTCTTGGCTTTCGCCCTTTCCCGCTCTTTAGCCCTATCCCTAGCGACACGCGGAGCCGCCGGGAAGAACTGCGCGAAGCTCGCGCTCGTGTTGCGAGTCATCGTGGGGGATTGCTGCGTCTACCTCCTCGCCCTTCCTCCAACCATCCTAACGCTCGAGGTATTAGCGCTCCAAGGCACCATGCGTTCAGAAGGAGGCAGCGATGTGAGTCTCGTTAGTCCGGAAGCTGAGTGTTGAGAAGGGTACGCTCAAACGCGACCGAGAGAGGGATGGTGCTCAAATAATGTAGCAACAACAGGGAGACAGGTGGATGGAAGAGAAGGATCTGGAAGTCGGGTGTGGCAGATCGCACTTCGCAAATAAAACCCTGAGCCACAAAACAGAAGACAAAAAGCGCCCGAAGCCACCGCGAACAGAGTTGCTGCGGGGCGATGGGGGATTGATGTGGCGTCGTTGGGAGGATATGAAGTTTAGACAAGATGGTAAAATGTCCAGCAAAAGGAAGATTGCCGAGAGAGTTGAAGGGGTGACCCCCAGGACGAGGAATTGCCCATGCGAAGCACCCTGGCTCCACGACGGGATATCTATCTGCCTGTACCTTATAGCGGAGTACCAAATGGGCCAGCGATAGGTCGAAATGTACCAAGAGGGAAAGTCTCTCGTGAGAGTTCAAAGCTAGGTCATTTGGAGCCCGCACTATATCTGCACGTGACCAGGAGGCTTTACTGGAAGAGACCCACCACAGGGGTCGCGCATTTTCGCGTCTGCTGAAATTCGATGACCGCGTTGGGGAAACTCGCTGAAAGATTGCCAAATTGATGATTGCCAACCGAACAACATCTCGTACGGAAGAATTATTATATTCCGACAGGTGTTATTCTTGGATGGCAGTATATTAATTCCCCGGTATCTAATCAACAAACACGGTATCTCATCAAACTTGGCCGACTCTATAGAACAGGCCATCACCGTCTATCGCCGTGTTGATAGATCACATTATGGTCACTCTCGGGCTGAAATGCGCCAGGAAACAAAAAGGCGGGGTTATCTATTTATTGTCGTAAAGATGTCGTGTCTTAATACCAGTAGCCCTAGACGCCTTCATCTTGGGAATTAATGATACTGACTTTGTCAAGCATAATACAAAAAGACATGCTTCCTACCCCCAAAACGCCAACTAGTCTACAACGTTGAGAATAAGACGAGTTAGGTCTCCAGTTTCAGCTCGAACTCTTCGTCTTCGTCATCAAACTCGGGCACGGCCCCGAAATCGCCCGGTTCGTCGTCCTCCGGGTCAAAGATGGAGAGGAATTCAAGGCGCGGTAATGCACGTCTATCCTGTTCCTCATCGCTCTGTTGTGGTCCCACTGGCGCCCATACGATAGTGGCGTTGGGGTCGACGCTCGTGGGCTTCGACCTTGCGGTCGCCTGGCTTGTTGCTGTTCTGGTTTCCTTTCTGGTAAGCAAGGAGGAAGCCGACCGCCCTTTGGTATATCCAAGTGTGCTTCTAGACACAGCTTCCGAAATGACGCTGTCCCCAGAAGCAGCCTTTGTGGGAATGGGGACTTTGCTTGTTCGCTTTCCGGGAAGTAGAGAGGATACTGGTCGGCGCGCTGGTGCGCTCTCGGCTGCTTTGCGCTGTCGGACTGTAGAACCGACGGGCATAGACAGAGCCGATGCCGCCTTGCGAGAGTTGATTGTGGGTGGATAGTTGCTCTCCCCGGCTTCTTTTGCCGTGGTTTCGTCAAGCTCTATCCCTAGATTAGCAATATAATCCGAGGTCCTGTTGCCAAGAGTATCCATACCTGGCATGTCCGAGATGGACCAATCCATGGCCTCAATGTCCCGCAGAATATCCACGTCGTGCTGCTTTAAGGCTTTCCGCATTCTTTGCTCGTGCTTTCGATCTTGCAGGCGCATGCCGTCCTCGCCCATAGGGTTGTAGAAGTGGTTATAGTATCCTTTGAACAAATTCCCTGGTTTGAGACCCTCGAACGTCAGGGGACGATCAGGGAAAACGTCCGACTCGTATGGCAATTCCCTGGGCTTCGGAGGCGCATATTCAATATCTAGCTCGTCTGTTGACTGACCGTTATGTACCGAAACCCTCAGAGGGTCATTCGTCGAAGCCTTCTGTTTCGGTTTCTTTACAGTCGTCTGTTTCGTCTGCGTCCGCTCGAATTCTTTGACGATATCTTTCACTCCCAAGGGGTGCCCGGTCCTCGCCTTCGCGTTCGTGGTCTTGTTGCCGAGTGGTGCGCGAGCTTGCGTTTCTGATAAGATACAAGAGATCAGTGTCTGTTTTCTTTTTCTGACAATACTTGTTGCGGCTGTTGCTTACCAGATGGTGTAACAAGATTTCGACCTGGGACTGCGTGGTTCATTCCCCCCTTGGCCTTCCCCAGCACCGTCTTTCCACCAACTGCATTCTCGTCATTGGGAACAATTCTTGACGGAGTCTTCGGGAAGCGAGCTCCGGGCGTCTTAGGGGCCAGATGTCCCTTTCCCTGTGCCTGGCGCGCCGCTTGGGCTGCGTTGACGATGTTTTCGTCTCGAATGGCGAGCATTGTGCGTGGTTTCGCCGTAGAGCGACGATAGAACTCAACTTGTTTTCCGACACAGGTTGGTGGTTCCTTGTAAAGCTTGATGCGGAGAACGGTTGATTGAACGAAGGTGCATGCCGAAAAGGAGGCCGGGTGTTTCCTAGGGTGGTTGTCACGACAACGGGCAAGCTTGGGCCCGCCCGCCAGCGACAACCACAAAACAACCCAATAATTGCGACTGTAATAATAATTAGTACGTCCGTTGAGGTTCGTTTCGGTATAAAACTAGGGACCCTAAAACTACTTCGTAGATAATTAAGTTCCCGTAGCCTGTCGCATTTATTCTCGTACTTCGTGCTTTTGCTTCACGTAACACGATAGTAGCTTTGCGAAACCTCCCGAGAAGCATAGACACATTAACCACCTGGCACATTTAATAGTGCACCCAACAGGCAGGCAGGTGGAGAGGCTTATGTTTCGTGCAAGCCAGGCTATCCTGCATGATAAGTGTAAACCCCAAGCTCACATTCAGAAAAATAACAACGAGCCGATAAATGCAGCATAGTCGCAATCTTTCATGACTTTGCATTCAAATAAATTAGAATCCACATGCTCCCCAGAAAACCGACGAAGTACCGGGCAACATAAGTTCTGTGGGGGCGACGTCCCAGGTAAATTGGACAAGTACCCCTGAACCCCCCCCCCCCCTATCGTGCTGCCTATCGGGGTTCAGCGGGGCCCAGGATGGTTTGTCTCGTCTCCAACCATTGCACGTAGAGGGGTATCAGGTGGTTTATTTCCTCCATCTTCACCACGTTTCCATCTTACCGTCTTACGAAGCACTCAGTTTCCACCGTCTTTGCGCGCTATAGCAGGCCTTTTACAAACCCATACGTTGCATCCTCCAGTTTAGCAAATCAGACTACCATGGACCGCATTAAGGAGGTAAGCCATACAGGTTCCCCTATGGTTTGCCCCACCATATTAGCCGTCGACCTAGAGGGGTTAAACAAGCAATATCACGATGCCGTACTGACCGCCATGTTCTACGACAGAGAATGAACCAGCTCCGCCTGGAGGCTGACGAAGCATCTTCCAAGGTCGAGGAGCTTCAGGCCAAGGTCAAGAGTCTGGAGCAGGAGAACCTATCCAAAGAGCAGGACATTACGTCGCTGCAACACAAGAACGGTCTTCTAGAGGCGGAGGTCGAAAAGCTCGAGAGTGCAGTTAAGGAATACAAGAAGGCCGCCGACGAGAGCACTAGCACCGGTACCCAAAACGAGTCCTTGCAGCGAAGACTCCAGCTCCTCGAGGATGAAGCCGAGGAGGCTGATCGCACCTTGCGCGAAACCAACGAGAAGTGCGTTCCCCCCCTTGGTTCTTCCTATCTACACAAAGCTTCTCACCGCCCTCTGGTGTTCGACCATCGGACATGGGTAGCCAAGTGCCGCCTCTGGTTGGTACATTTTAGACTAATAAATTACTTTCATTTCTAGGCTCCGCCTGACCGATGTCAAGGCCGGCCACTTCGAGCGCAAGGTCCAAGCTCTCGAGGCTGAGCGGGACCAGTGGGAGGCCAAGTACGAGGAGATGGCCAAGAAGCACAATGACCTGAAGAAAGAACTGGACGACCTCCAGCTCGAAATTGGTAGCATCTGATTGTCTGGACCGTGCATGCATAAACATCGCATCGCGAGGTACATTTCATTGCCTGGGGTAGAGGTATAATTTTACTACGGCATCTCCAGGCGGTGGTGGGAGACGGCTGGACTGTTCTTTCCATAATATGGTCGTATCTCGCTTCCTGAACAAGAGACACGAGGTTTTCTTCACTCCTACGGTGCTTAGAGCTGTCGAGACGGTGAGGCAACCAATTCATTCCGGCGCCTGCTAGGCAGCAGTCGTCGCTTCTGTCGCGACTAGGAGGTACGACGTTGATAGTTACCGTTACTCTTGCGTTTTGAAACGAGCCCTCTTTTTTGCCTTTTGTTTTCTTTCTTCAGTACGTCGCTCCAACTTGGTCTCGTAACGAAACTTGGGCTTCTTCTTCTTCTGCAGCCGATTCTTTTGCGGTGCCACCTTGCCGTCGTCTTGTTGTTTGTGCGATGTATCCTCCTCGTCCTGCTGTTCCCTGTCAGGCTCGTCGTCCCGGATCTTTTCAAAGCCGTCTCTTGTCACAGAGACTGCCTCCACTTTCACCGTGGTATACCGATCCTCGTCGATGTATTCGTCCTCATGGTCCACCGGCTCGTCGGCTTTCTCTTCTTCAATGCCGTCCCACTCTTCGAAATCTTCAGCCTGGATCTCTTGATCGTCTCCAGAGTCTGCCGCTTGGGCTTCTCGGAGAAGCCTGTTCACAGTCTGGACATGCTCTTCCACTTCGCGCTTCCTTTCTTCTCTGAGCTGCGAGGACAGTTAGATTTGCAGGTTTCGCCTGTGACCAAACCAAAATCCAGTAGCAAATTCAAAGGATCCCTTACCTGTTTTCTGAGCTGGAGTTTCTCTTCTCTCGCCTTCTTTGCCGCCTGTTCTTGGGCGTATTTTATGCGCTGGAGCTTGCGCTTATGGAAGCCTGTGAGGTACTCTTCGCGGGCATCGAAATCAAAGTTGACCTCTTCGACTGCCGAAATGGTCTTCCTCTTCTTCGGAGGAGGCGGCACTGTCTTTCTAATTCTTGGCTTGGCGAACATTGTTGTTGGCTTGAGTTGCTGGATTTGTCTTTGAAGGTAATGCGAAGCTCTTTCGAGATTCCTCAGCTGTAAATTTTCCTATGAGATGCAGGACCCTTGGGTTTGGGCAACTGGAACCATGTGGTATACCTTGCCAGGAGCCCGGGCTCCACTCATGGACTTGACGAGGCTCTTACTAGGTACACAGCTGTACATTGTGCATGAGCGCCACTCAGAATAGCGTACGAGTACGCGGAGATACCTTTATTAGCTAAGGTACAGTGAAGCCTACATTCCGGAGTACTGTGTACGTATCTTAAGGGACTTAATGTTATCGGGCCTGAGGACATCGATGTACCTTAGGTATTCCCCCTCTAATCAACAAATCGGAGCTAACTTGCTTACGTCTCGGGTCGAATCCAAGTTAATCGAAGCGTCTCATCCACGACAAACTTCCCGACTCAGCTTCAAAGCGTAGCATCGCCCGACAGTCATTCTGATAACGTCTGTTCAGCTATGCGTCTGTCCCGATCAGCAGGCCTTTTGGTCTTTGCGGCCTCGGCCAACGCGATTGCTGATTCTTCACCATTTGTCCTTCTTTCGACAGGGAAGTACGTAGCTCGCCTCATCCAGCCTCAGTGCCGTCTTTAACGCTGACGTCGCAACATAGATTCACCCAAGTCCCCGACGCTTCTCAGTTACAAACAAGCACCCAAGTCCTGAACTCCGTGCAGCTCATACTCGACTCTTGTCCCACTGAACGGTATCACATCGTATCCCAGCCCAACCTGCGCGCCTCCGACATCCGCGGTGCCGACGACTGCAAAACTCGCAAATTGTGCAGTGCCGCCTCAAACGACCGCGTCCGAAACACTTATAGCGTTGCCGAAGTGGTGGGAAAGATTGAAGCCGACAATCTTTCAAAATACATCCAAGCCGCTTGTTCGAACCAGGGCAGGGCTGCTGAAGTCCAAGAGACTGCCCTCCATCCCCTCCCCTCAGACCACCTTGAGCGTGAGAAGCAACTTGCAAAAAATGGTACGGTATCTACGTTGTCCCTGATGGAAAGGGAGGCCAGAGGACGGAAGTACTGACTTGGTGCCAGACCAAATCCTCGATCGGGCGCTGGACGATCTTCTGTCGTCGGATTCATATACCATCATCTACCTCTCCAGCCCAGCAGGGTCGTCGAAATCCGACGTCGACTCCACGGGTTCCATCAGTGCGGAACTGAAGAAGCTCCGAGCTCGAGCTTGGTCCGTTCGCAGACAAGATAACAGCACAGACTGGAATAATCTCCCGCTTTTTGAGAAGTACCAGTTCTTAACCCCAGGTTTGTTCATCCGCAGTTCAAAGAAGATAGTGCAGTAAAAAAATATCTGACAAAATTAAGGAATTTTTCACGGCATTGTGGTCACTCTCGTGATACTCTCGATTCTGGGCGTCGGCCTGCGTGCGCTCAGTAGCCTAGAGGTCTCGTACGGAGCCTTCGACAAGGAGATGGGACCTGCTGCTCAGAAGAAGCAAAACTGATCTCGGATCATATAACACGATGTTTGCGAGTGGGCAACTCATTCTGTATATTGTAAAACGGAATATGGAGTTACGGGACGGTCCTCATGGCGCATAATGAAAGATATAAGTGCCGCAACAGCCGCTTTTGCGCATCGGGAACGAGCAGTTCGTAATATAGGAGCTTGCGCAGGATCACGGACGCCATGGTTCCAGTCGAAGGATTGCAGGTTTATTAGAGTTCTTTTCCTTGTCATCAATGTAGCATTGTACTCTATCATAAATTCTTCTCTCCCAGTCTGAACTCCGTGAACGCCCACCATCTGACCATCACTACGGTTCGGATGTTGAAGAACGATGCCCGTCGATGCTTGTTCGCTCCGCTCAACCCTCTTCATCAATCATCATGCTCGTGACCACCTCATTTGATCACACCAGGTGACTCGGAAGCAAGAAGTTGGCGATGCCCTCCCGAATGGCGTACTCATGACCGCAGTTCCTGCAAACCAGCTTACCCTCCATGATCTGTGTCTCCACAAGCAGATGATGCAGGTCTTTCAATTTCTTCTCGTCGGCCTCCAGCGCCTCTCGGGTGGGCAGCTCAGCAGGCAGCTCGGGGAATCCCAGCTAATATAGAGAAGTAACTCCGAGTCAGACAGTCGTCTTGGTATTAGAGTAGAAAGGGGACAAGACGTTCCGGGTCTCTGAACGGAGCGACCCCGCGTCTTTGTGATTATGGTCTGCTTCTTAAACTACTTACCTCGGTGGCATTGGTTCGCAGGGCGGCCCAGTCTAGACGCGGGAGGATATTGAGAAGCATCTGCGCATTGAGCTCAATGTCGTCTTGCACCAGCTCTGCATCTTTCGGATGAAGGGGAAATGCGGCGCCGGACGATTTGCAAGACTTGACGGCGCACGTCAAGAAGTTGAGGCTTATTACCTTCATCTTCAATATGATTTCGCGGGGCGCTGATGGGTGATCGTTTGTCGCTGTCGTGTAAAGGGAACTTATACGTGGAAGGCATAAGGTACGCCGTTAGCCCTCAAGTGAAAAACATGAAATTTCGAGATTTTGAGTCTACCCCACTAGCAAGGTATTACCTCCTAAGTTATTAGGTAAGACTAAATAGCCCAGGATCGCGCAAGAGCAATTCAATTCTTCGGCAGGGGTAAAATCGAATTAAATGGGAGGGACGATGCGATGGATGTTTTCTATTGCTACCTGAATTTAGAGCGTATGTTCATCATCCCACAGAAACATCGCGGCTCTTCGTTGCTTTTGACCTTTGAGATCCGGTGCACTCTACGGAGTAATTACATAATACTCTACGCCTCTCCGGATGCCCCGTAGATGATGACTAAGGAGATGGTAGGCTTTCAGGACCATGTGTCAACAACATGCGTTTGGGGGTGCCAATCTGCGGCGTGTGATGTCATTTTTCTCCCTTCCTTACCCTCCCGAGGCTTCGGAGGTTAATCCTTCGTCAAATCTGTGCCCGTTACGTAACCGTAAAACTACGGTCTGTTCAACAATACCCAGCCTCTATAAAGACATCACAGCAATCCCGGCAATGACACTCTACACTGTATATCAGGACGCAGGCAGGCTCAGTTTAAAAACTTATTCGGAACAGGCTCAGATCCCGCATTTGGTCCCCCCATGCCAAGTGAGGTCGTACTCGGTTTTCATTCCACTGACGGGGGATGCGGCACGCCATGCCCACGACAGAACAGTGATCAACTTGTCAACACTTAGAAAGAGTCGAACATGGTTAAAGTGTCAAGGGAGTTTTGAATGAACGGCTGACTACCTACTTTGGGCATTGCATCCATATTAATCAGCGCCAAAGTCAATTCGCTACATTGGCGAGACATGTTAAACTTCAGCTCTGGCATGTCCACCCTTCGCTCCTGCCTCTCTAGCCTTCTCACTTCCGGGCTCGAAGGAGCCAGATGAGGCCTTGCCTCCCATCGAGGCAATCTCGCGCTGTTTTTATGTATCAGCAAAAGCTCCCATCGATTGGGGCGATTGTAATCATCGACACGTACCTGCTTATCAGGATCCATGCTGGCGAAACCACCCGAGTGGCTAGCTTGACCGCCCTTGCTGGCGATCTCCTGGACCTCCTCACGGGGGCTGCACTGTTCGTCAGCGTCATGGTTCCTTGTGGGCAAATTCTTGGGTGAATTACCGGTTGGCGAAGTTGCCAGGGTTGTAAGTACCGGTAGGCGAGGTAGAGCTACCTTGGTTGCTGGCTTGACCTCCCTTGCTGGCGATCTCCTGGACCTCCTCACGGGGCCTTAACTGTTCGTCAGCGTCATGGTTCCTTGTGAGCTAGCCTTGTTGGGCCACTTACCGGTTGGCGAAGTTACCGGGGTTGGTATTGTTGGCCATCGTGATAGTGCGTCGGGAAATGGGGTTCAGTGTCTGTCAAAGTAGACGAGCTGTGCCGGTGTACGGGCTAAGGTTAGAGTTTCTGATTGGGAATTTGCTGATGAGGTGAATTATCAGATGTGTGGACTCTCCCGGTGCTGGTGGCAGCCCTTATATTTCTTCTGACACCGAGTCGATGACGTCCCCAAAGAAGGAGTGACGCCCAGCCTTGATCAAGCATCATTGCCGGTCATGATGACATAACCGCAAACAACTGGAAGCAACAACCCGATCAGCAATTGCCAGAAGGTATATCCTTCCTTCCCTCATTCTCGTATCTATATATCGGCACCTGCCTACCTACCCGGTTAAGGGGGGGGGGTATAGGTCAGAGCTCGAACAGAGAATTTTGCACTAACCAAAGCCAGGACAGAGATATCGCTGTCAATATAATGTTCTAAGACTTGCGACATCCGACCAGTCCATCGGGCTCTGACCTATAACCAGCCAAACTCGGGTAGGTAGGTATGACGGATAAGACACATGAATAACAACAATCGCATGATGCAAACCTGACACCCACGATTTCTCGTTTGCCTTGACGTACTTCGCATAGAATAGGAGTGCGTGTGCTCATGAACAGGACGTCGCTCTTCGAGCCACTGGGAATAAAAGTCACCCAATGCGGCCCTTGTTCAAAACTTGTGCCTACCAGCACTTCAGTTGACCATACCGATACACTACAGGAATAACCACCATACGAAGCAGCGCAACTTCAGAAAAATGTCCAAGAACGCTTGGCAGCAGAGCGATGAGGATCCGGGTGCTCCTTTGCCCTCCGGTGCCCCCGAAGGTCAGGTCCAGGACGACTCGTATGCCACGGGAGCGAATGAGTCCGTCCCTGTACAGTCGGACGATGCCAAAGTTGAGGAACCCATCAAGACCGAGTTGGCCGACACAGACCAGCAACTAGGTGAGTATACCATCTGTGATTCGGGTTATCTTGAATCTTTCTCGCTCAGAAGCGGCGCCGTGTAAGGTGTTTTTGTCGGAAAATAAAACTAACACCAAGCCGCAGAACAAGATGAAAGGGAGGCCGTCGACAAGTCTAATATCATTCAGGAGGGTCTCCGACACGCAAAGCCCAGGGGCACATACAAGGAGCCCGACAATCAGGATCTGATGGAATGAGTCCAGCTGGAAACAGGGATGCGCAGATTGTGCAGATTGTGGGAGAGAGGGTCGATGTATGGTTAGCAGATCAAACACTAGTACCGGATCACTCTGGTTCATGTCGCTCCGGTTTCCATGGCTTGTCGATATCCAGGCAGTGGACTAAACAAGGGGGAAAAAAGGCTCTATTGCCGTTCTACTCTTCTTCGTCGTTCTTGACAACTCTTTGCGAGTAAACCTCTTTGCACTTCGTTGCAGCACCCGCAAAAGGCAGGCCCAGACGTACATGGGTAGTTGTTGCTGCCGTCGATATCACCGGTGCTCCGTTGATATCGACGGCAGCGTCACTGCTGTTCGGTCAGCTTCGACCTCGGCTCCCATAAGTCAGGGGCCAGGGGATATACGTGACACACATGCCATTATACAACAAGAATTCCAATTTCTCGTTCGTATGAAATATATCATACTACTACCATTACAATTTCCCACTACTGCAGCTCATGTCACAAACATATCTGTGTCTACAGTTTTCCATTACTGCAGCTTGTTCAATTTGTCCCTCGCGTGCTCCTTTGCTTCCTCTGATACCCCGGGGTTGCTGATGCTCGCCTTCAGCCCGCGTGCTCTATGTAGACAACACGTCGTCAGTTTCTTCATACCACAAGCTTCAGGCAGCGAGGAAAGGTCTGGAAATTACACATTGCCCGGGTCCTTCTGGTGCGGCTCTGGCCTGTCATCCTGGCTCCGGTTGGGTTTGTCGTAGGGTTCCTGGAACTCGTTCTCCAAGACCTTGCGCGAATGCTCCTTCGCCTGCTCCGATGTATCTGAACGCATCGGTGTAAGCTCTCGGCCAACTGCCGGTGTCTTCTGATTTGCTTACTAGGATTGGCGATAGTGGCTTTATGGCCTCGAGCGATACTATCCGGATCCTTCTCATACTCCTCCGAGAGAGGAACTTCCTGTTGGATGTCGCTGTAGTCGTCCTGGCTGGCCATCGTCGGTTGAAATTGCTCGCCGTGTACGATGTGATACAGGTAAACGGAGATACGTGATTGATGCGATGTGCTTGGGTAGCTGTTATCTTTGTCGATGACGCCTAGGAACGCAGCTGGAACACCACCTTGGGATATACTTATACGGGTGAGAGCCGGGAAGGCGTATTTCCCAGGCTAATATTGCTACCCCACATCATTGCAAACGTCACGACTGCCCATATCATCTGGTATGTCAGCGTCTCGTCGTGTTTATCCAAGTAATTAGTGATGTCGATATGACAACTAGAACTTGATATACATTATATTGCAAACAACTGGTCATTCACTTCTCAGTATAGTGCTATATGTGTCGCTTTACGACTGAGGCCGTTGTCAAAAACGGTAATATGGTTCTATATACTGATTTTAGTCGTGGTTGTAGATCAACTGATATTGAACTCGGAGGCTAAGCTAAGGGTAGGTATGTGCCCGAGTAGGGCGAAAAGTTAAGCCGAGGGTTGCTATAGGGCTATTTGTTAAGGTCACGTGACTAAGCACCTTAGGTAACTACGTGTATAGGAGAAAAACACTCTTCGCGATAATATAAAAAACCCTCTTAGTAATAATAGAAAAGCACTCTCTACGATAATATAATAACCCTTAATAGAAAACCCCTTAACAGAAATACTCCTTAAGGTGCTTAACGCGATCGCGAAATAGTTCGACTAATTATAATTACAGGCGTAGAGGCCCGTACCTACCCTTGGCTTGGCTTTCTTATTAGCCACGCCCCACACCTACCCTTAGCCCAGCCTCCGAGTTCAACATCAGTTTACATGTAACCTTGACCAGTCTGGGTTTTCGGTGTGTTACCGTACCTACCTTAGTAATACCACCTCAGGTGTCGTACATGTACGAAGGACTTCGTACTTTATGTAAGGTAAGGTACCTTAATGTAGTGGACCGCCATGAGATTGGGAGACTGCAACTACCTAGGTACCTATCCCCGGGCTTGTTAACGGCAGGACGCCCAGGGCGGTACCAGGGCCCGCCCCTGGGGACATGATGCTCCTGTGACGCACCCCTCTCAATAGGACGCGCAATCTCCATCTTCCTACCACCAAACGAAACATTGCGCCTCTCGGTGTTCAGATTACAACCGAGCAAATCCATGTAACGAGAGCTTGTAATCATGTATGAAGTATGGAAATCGTATACCTGGAAAGTAAGGAATTATAGAATCAGCCTGTTATTCCCCAATTCCTCATCCAAGTCAACCAACTACTCCTCAACATGGAGGAAAACAACGACGATACGATCTCGTACCTGTCAAGCCAGCCCAATGACATCGACGACGTCTCCGTCGTGTATTCCATTTCTAGCGTTCCCGTCACCGTAGCGCGGAAACCTTTTATCCAGCCCGACGATCGACAAAGGCTCCCTCATGCTGGTGGGTGGCAATTAACGTAGCAAAACTCACTGACGATGATCGAAATTGATCCTTACAGGGCCATCTGGACAGGCACTGCTAGAGCCAACATTGCCGCGACATATGCTCGGCCGAATGGCACGACTGAAGGGGACTGGGCTCGACGACATCAGCACCAAACGGTGAGTCCATGCCACAAGCCCACCACAGGGTCGTGATGTTATCCACCGAAAAAGGGGATCGAGCTCATGGTAGTCATTTCTGTTTAGGTTCTGCAGCAGCATTGCGAATTCTTCGACACGGTATGGCTTCACTCCTGTGCCTCGACGCTCGACCTTCAACCCTGCGCAATACAGTGATACAGTGACCTGGACTGGACTTCCACTGATTAGGCATGTTCTTACTCCTTTAGGACCGAGATGGCGTGATATATCCTGTTGATACCTTTCGGGGCTTTTATCGCCTCGGGTTCGGCGTCATCTTGTCCATACTCTCCGTCTTTATCATCCACTCCAATTTCTCGTACCCGACGCAATCTTCGTACATCCCGGACCCCATGTTCCGCTTGTATCTCGACAACATCCACAAAGACAAGCACGGGAGCGACAGCGGAACATACGACACCGAAGGCCGATTCGTGCCCCAGAAGTTCGAGGACATGTTCGCCAAGTATGCGGAAGGCCGGGATTACATGACAATCTGGGATGTGACGCGGCTGTGGAAGGGTCAGCGGTTAATTGCTGATCCAATAGGTTGGGGAGGGGCGTATTTCGAGTGTAAGCCCCTGGCTTGCCTCTTCTTTAGCCCTTGACTGCCTTGCCATCTACTTGGTATCGTCGAACTGATATTTGACAGGGCTTGCAACGTACATACTTCTGTGGCCGGAGGACGGTCGCATGCTGAAGGATGACATCCGTGGTGTGTATGACGGGAGCATTTTCTACACCATAGCCAGTCGCAGAGCGAAGAAGTAGATCTATATAGCGTCATCATATCGACGTTCAGCTTTCGCTCGTCCAGCGTATACTCCGTAGCGCTGGGATGGGGTCACAACTGGCGGCTAGGACATTGCTGGCGGAAGCCGAAGAATCAATGAAGTTTCGGCATTAATTCACCGTCTCCTTAGATGACGCGAAATAAAGGGTGCGTTCTTTATATACTCTCTTCATTCCCTCTCGTCCCTATTTAGCATCGCATGCCTCAAACCTCGGACTTGTCATGTGTCGAGTGTACCCGCGCGTTCCTATGCCGGATGTAGACGGCGACGAGAGCGACGACAACGCCAAAAACAAATAGCTTCTGGAAGAGGGACCAGCCTTCGGGCTCAACCTCGCTGTTGTAACCCGCCGCCCATTCGGCATTGCCATATTCATCTGCATCTGGGAGGAGGATAAAGCAGCAATCAGCCAATGGGAAACCTCCTAGAATTCTTGTTCTCGTTGCTGATTCTCAGGGGCAATGCGGAAGGACAAGAGCGCGAGCAGCGGGCGGGTTACAGTACGTGACTTTATGTACGTGTATGTGCTTAGAGTTCCACATGGATACCTTCAGGAGGGACCTCTAGCTCGCCGCTCTTGGCGATCTTGATAGTCTTGACAGGACGATCGCCAGGCTGCGTCTCGGCGTTCTCGATCTTTTCAACGATTTCGTAACCCTCGAGCACCTCGCCGAAGACGACGTGACGGCCGTCAAGCCACCTGGTGGAAGGCTGGTTAGCAACAGATAGAACCAACGGGAAGGGCGCAGATGGGAAGCTTACGAGGTGGGAACGGTGGTGATAAAGAATTGCGAGCCGTTGGTGTCGGGACCGGCGTTGGCCATCGACATGAGGCCCTTCCTGGTGTGCTTGAGCTTGAAGTTCTCGTCGGGGAACTTTTCACCGTAGACTGCAGGAGACGAATTTTCGTGTCAGCCATCAATCGCCCATTTCTGCGTGGTGTAATCAGTGAACATGGAGACCAGGGGGAAGCGCAATTGTTTCCTCCAATTTGTACTTACTGGACTTGCCACCGGTGCCGTCGCCCTTGGTGAAGTCACCACCTTGGATCATGAATTGCTTGATGACACGGTGGAAGGTCGATCCTTCATATCCGAAGCCCTTCTCGCCAGTAGCGAGGGCGCGGAAGTTCTCGGCGGTCTTTGGGACAGTCTTGCCATAGAGACCGATGACAATGCGGCCCAGGGGTTCATCACCATGCTCGATGTCGAAGTAGACCTTGTTGGTGATCTTGGGGCCCTTGGTCGCCTCCGCCGTCTGGGAGAAGAGCAGCAGGCCAACTCCGAGGAGGGCGACGTAGAAGAAGAGTCTCCGAATATCATACATGGCTGACTGAGATTCTGCCTCGTTCAATTGGTTTGATTCTGGAAATGTGAGGTTTGGGGGGGATGTGGCAAGAGGAAAAGGCCACCTATAAATGCTGCCCCTTGTGGTGTTGAAGCTACGTTTCAACTGCGGGACGGTTGTTGACCCCTGCACCATGACCAATGCGGAGCCTCTTTGATAAGTGTACGGTGCGAATATACACCGTGGCACCGCTATGAGTTGGACATCGACGAGGCTGGGCACAGTGCAGACATTGATTTTTCGTACTCAGTACCTTCGCTATGCACGGCAAGGCAGTGGAAGTGGGTACCTTAGTGGAAGGTCATGCACCGAGGTGTGGCCAACAAGTATTACTCGCTGAAGGGTATTCCGAGATCGCAACGGTTATTATACACGTATAACATTCGTGCAGCCCAGTGTATCAACCCAGGTTGTGGGGCGCATGTGCAAGACCGAATGGAAAAGGTGGTGGAATAAGGTAAAGGTCGGGCGGGGGTGGCTTAATATTAACGGCTACCTTACCTACGGTACCTTAGTACCGAACGACAACAATACAATTGTACCTACCTTAGGTAATTAATTACGTTAAGGTAGGTAGGTACAGAAGAGCTTCGTGAAGCTACACAACGGAGTAGCAGCCCCTCTATCACTCCTTTGAATGCCGGCTCTTGATCGACACAAACAAGATGGACGATAAATTACCACATTCTCGAGTTACTACAGGCTCGGATCTCGAATCCAACCTGGCTAGGCAAGTGGTCACACACCTCAAAGACGACTGCCGTTCGCGCCCTCATAGACAGCCGCGCGGGTGTTTTGCCGGATTCGCGATTTGTCTCACGATATTTCTCTTCCTTTGGCATCAGACAGGACTTTGCTCACTTCGAAGACCATTGTCGACATCTCGAGCCCCTGGCCCGGTCGAGAAGCGTGCACGCGAAATCTTATCAAAGACCCCCTTCATTGGTAAGATCGCGTCACTCATTGCCCCGACCCCTGGATTGGCTTCTTATATCCCGGTCTCAAGACGGTCATAATGACCTCCCCATCTTTGTCCGCGCTTTTTACAACAACCACATTTATGGAGAAGATTTCAAAAAGCCATTCGAGGAGGGCGGCATGGATGGCCACGTGGACCTGCCCCGTCTTCGAGAAGGGCAGAGCGGAGGAGCGTTTTGGAGTGTCTTCACTCCCTGCCCTTCAAACGGGAGCGATTTCTCGGATAAGAACTACGCCGAAAGTTAGTAGGACCCGATCTACCCGATTCCGGTGGAATTTGTGATTTTTAACTTTGACTGGACCCTCCCCTGACAAATCCACAATGGTTAGGCGTGCAGATGACTCTGCAGCAAATCGATGTGATGACACGGATCAAGGAGGCCTATCCCAAAGTATTTTCTCCAATGGTCGACAGCAGCGACGCATTTGACTTCTGGAAAAAGGGGCAGCTTATCTCACCCTTGGGCGTGGAGGGTCTACACCAGATTGGCAATTCGGTTGCCAACCTACGCCGGTATTATGAGCTGGGAGTTCGTTACGCGACCCTCACGCACAACTGCCACAACAAGTTTGCGGACGCCGCAGTTCTCGAGAATCCGACACGCAAAGCCGAGCCGTACTGGGGCGGCGTGAGCCCCCTTGGCCGCCATCTGGTCAACGAGATGAACCGGATTGGCATGTTCGTGGACCTTTCTCATGTGAGGTGAGTCTTTGGAATTGGGCATGTCACTTGAAGGGGAACAGTTCTGAATTGAAACCTGCCTTCCAGCGAGGATACGATGGTAGACGTGCTGGGAGACAAGGACTGGCACGGTAGCAAGGCACCGGTCATCTTCTCTCACAGCTCGGCTTTCAGCATTTGCCCCCATCCCCGGAACGTTAAAGACCATGTCCTGGAGCTCGTCAAGGCGCGGGACTCCCTGGTCATGGTCAACTTTATGCCAGACTTCATCTCCTGCGTCGACAGGGGCAATGAGAACGGTCTTCCTGACCTTGTCCCCGAGAATGCTACCCTGGCGCAAGTTGTCAGACATATCTTGCATATCGGGAACCTGATTGGGTTCGATCATGTGGGAATTGGCTCCGACTTTGATGGCATTCCGACAACGCCGGTTGGGCTAGAAGACGTGTCCAAGATTCCCGACTTGGTTGTCGAGTTGCTGAGACAAGGAGTGAGTGGCGAGGACGCAGCTAAGATTGTAGGGGGGAACTTGCTCCGTGTCTGGAAGAGAGTGGACGCTGTCGCCTTGGAGATGCAGTCACAGGGTGAGCCGGTTATGGAGGATGATCTGCCTAATCTTATCTAAGTTGGATAACATAATTATTGAGGCTACTGCAAGAGACAGGCCTACCAAAGAAAAGAAAAATTCCCTCGATTCGATCATCGCAGGGGAGACGATAATTTTGGATTTCAAAGGACAGACAGGCCAAGTATCCACAGGGCGCACATAGAAGAGAAGCCTGCTGGTGTACAAAACGACAAGACCCCCTGCTGTGCAGACGGTCAAGACCGAGAAGGATTGGTAATCTAGTAATGGTTATTGTACAATCGCAATGCGATGAATCGTTTGTCGTACATGAACACCATCTCCGAGAGTCGGTCCAACGAGACCCAAATTCGCCAAAGGCGGTGCCGGATGCTTCTGACAGCACGAAGCCTTTTAGCCCAACCCAAACCCAATATCCTCTTCGGTACTCCGTACCATCCGTACAACCAGCCTCATGCCCTCCGCTCGATCCTGTTTAACTTCTTCGCCGTCTCGATCTGTGTCCTCGTCCTCTGTCCCCTGACGGGTAGGTTCATGGCATGGCGCCTACCCCTGTAGCTGCCCATGTCCTTAAGACGTTTAATGTTCTCTCGCATGATCTTCTTTGCGTCGGATTCGATGGTCATGCCCGAGAGCTCGGCGGTTAATGATGTGACGGTCTTTGGTGGGAGGGAGCCGACTTTGGCGAGCGGGTGGATGGAGTATTTCGCGAGAATGCGGGCCGAGGTGCTGGGACCCAGGGCGTAGAAAGACTCGAGAGCTTTCTGTGAATAGAACGGGAGGTTAGCGGCTTCGAGAACCGTACAAGTCTATGACTTTCCAGACGCCGGTGGATGATGGTTCGAGTCGTACCTTCACGAGCTTGCGCTCGGAGAAATTGACGCCTAAGATGAAAACCTACGCCATTAAGTTAGGGCTTCGAACAGACAAAATATGGGACCGAATGCTTCAGCTTACCATCCTGACTACCTACGTCGCGTCAGAACGTTCTTCATATGTCCTGGTTGTGACAAAATGAGAAACCAAGGATACGACTACGAGGGCTTCGGAGTCGGGCGACGATGCCAAAAACTTGAGTCCCGGAACTTACATAATCACCGACATGAATGCTAGGGTACGTACCTGAGAATTTACTCTGTACCTCAGTTCTGTCACTTGGTCGCAGCTGATAGCCAAGAGCTCCTCCTGGTGCGCGAAACGGAAGTACTTTGTACTTCAGAGACAGTGGCTCTTTGATGTTGATGTTTTGACAGGGGCCCATTTCAGTGGGCTATTAATAACTACAGGGAGTCTTAGTGCTGAGCTGCGGACCGAGCATGGCGACCATAGGAGCAACCAACCAATGGGAGTCCTTACCCATATAAGCCAGGCGTCGACTTCCACTGAGAACTTGCAGCAGAAGACCCCTTGAATGTCCATAACCAAAGGACCACCCCCTGACCCAATCGCTCCAGGAATAGCCCCCCGTGAGGCCTCAAGACTTCAGCCCAGTCCGTCAGTCAGCCCGCCCAGAGAGCTGGGCTCTTCCTAATTAGCGTACTCCGTATTAGTGGTGAACGCACCAACCCTGGCCCGGAGGATTGCAGCATCCCAGACGCAACCAACAACACGAGCACGTCTTACTACTCTCACATTTTCAGATCTTTACTGGCAATTGTCCCTTTATTCCCAACATTGACACGATCTTTCGACGATCACCTTGTATCACCAATTTCAACAGTAAATTCCTTATTCTTTTTGAATCCCCCGTCATCATCAGCTTAAGCGTTCGACACGACCCAGAAACCGACGCGATACCTTTCCAAACACCGATATTCTTTTTCCCCTTGCTTCGTCCAAATACTTCGTACAATCTGCATATTACAGCGGCAGATACCATACACGAATCACGTTTTGCTGCGAGTCAGCACTTTCCTTCTTCTCCTTTGTTTTCGCTTGTCTTCACAGGCACCTGTATAGCCATCGTGTTGCCTTTGACGTCATTTGGTTCTCTTGCAACATTCCTACCACCCATTTCATTACCATGCCTGGTTTCGCAGATTCATTCTGGTCTCCCGACTATGCAGCAGGTAGGCCCCATTCCCATCAAGAACCTCGGACCGACGAAAGGGTATGATGCCAGGCACCTTATGATCTAACTCGTTTGCTTTTTTTTCTCTTTTTGCCTGCACGACCTAGGTCTTGGCGTCTTATTCGGCAAACTCCAACAAGGCGTCCTCGAGAACCGACAAATTCTGACTGTTGCCCGCCTGCGAGCCGAAGCCGAGGAAGCGTACGGTCAGCGATTAGGAGAGATAGCCCCAGCGGTGAATAAGGTGCAAGGCGGCTTTTCCAGGGACGATGGGGCCACCATTCGCAAGGTAATAAGAAGTGCACCGCTTGTCCTTCCGTCAGTTACTCCCCAGTTCGCTCTGTGTTGACGTCTGGTCCGTTTTTCAAACTCAGGCCTATGATGGCGTCCGTACCGAGATGGAGGATGCTGCGAAGAGCCACAAGAAGATCGCTCACAATATCCGAGACCTCGTCGTTAACCCCTTCTCCCGCTGGTGCGATGCCCACGAGTCCCGTATTCAGGACTCTCAGGATGACCTTCAGGCACGCATCAAGAACCACGACCGGCAAGCCGACTTGGTGAGGAAGCTTCGGAGCAACTACTTCAACAAGTGCCGCCTGGTCGAGGATATTGAGGAGGAGAACAAATTGGCCTTTCGAGACCTGGAGTCCAGTCCCAAGAATAATCAGGTCCCCGAAATCAAGGTGTCTGAGAACAAGGAAGCCGAAGCCGAAGCCGAAGCCGAAGAGGAGGAGGCACTCGAAATTGGTGACGAGGTCTACCATCCTGACCAAGTCAAGAAGATCCTGGCCCACATGCTGAACACCATACCTCTTGGCGAGCACAAGGTTCCCATCATGGGCACCTACCAGAACACATCCCCCGGGACGGATATCGTCGAGTATCTGCAGCGGAACATGGGCACCACTAGCGTAAGCTATGCTGAGAGGATTGGCCAGGACCTCATCTCTCATGGTTTCCTGCGGTTAATCGGCAACGTTGGCAACACCTTTGCCAACAGCTCCAAGATGATTTACCAATGGCGTCCCAAGGCTTTTGAGATGGCCGGCGTGCAAGAGAAGAAGCAGTTGGGGAGGACCTTCTCCATACCGGTGTCCGACGGTAGCTCCGATTCCCCCGTCGTGGGTACCGTCAGCGAATACCTCGCCAACTGGAACGTCCTCGGCAACGCCCATCCGAACGAGACCCCAGCCGAGCGTCTGCGCCGCGAAGCCCGCGAAGCCGACGAAAAATACAAGGCTGCCGTGCGCAGGCTTGACGAGTTGCGGTGCGATTTGGAGGAAAACATCTACCTCCATCTCCGCTTCCTAGAGCGGTGCGAGTTGGACAGGCTCAAGGCCATTAAGACGGTCATCCTGGACTTCTCGGGAACCATCAGCAATGCCATCCCCATCCTGCAGTCTGCGGTTGACAACATGATGCTCTTCCAAGAGACCGTCCAGCCGGCCAGCGACCTGCGGTACATGCTCGAGAACTATCGTACCGGAGGATTCCATCCGAAGGTCGTCGTGTACGAGAACTACTACAACAAGGTTGACGAACAGACCTTTGGCGTCGACCTCGAAGCCCGTGCCAAGGCCGACAAGAAGCGGGTACCGATCATTGTGACCACGCTCTTGACTTTCCTCGACCACCACTACCCTGATCTAGAGGGCGATGAAGCCCGGCGAGGAGTGTGGCTCGTCGACGTGCCTTTGTCGCAAATCCACAAGCTGCGAGCCAAGGTAAACAACGGGAAGCCCGTGCCTCACGAGGTTTTGACCCAGTTTGATATTCCAACGGTGGCTAGCCTGCTTAAGCTCTACCTACTTGAACTTCCTGGTAAGTCTAATTGTCCCCCCGGGGTTTTCTCCCTTCGCCCTCCCCGCTCTTCTGCCCCATACCAGCATCGCCCGTACTGACAAGGGCGGCTCCAAGATTCCCTCGTTTCGACTCATCTGTACGAGATCATCCGGCAGTTCTACACAGCACCTCAATCAGTCGACAGTTCCGATACCTCGAGGATAAGCGTTCTTGTGCAGACACTTGCCCAACTGCGCCTCACCAACATTGCCACCTTGGATGCTTGCATGAACCATTTCACCCGTTTGATTGACTTGACATCAGCCGACGAGGAGTATATCGCGGCACTGGCCACATCGTTAGCTCCTTGCATCCTGCGCCCGCGAACTGAAAGCTCGCTCACGATGGAGGAAAAGCACGCCTACCGCCTCATCCGTGACTTGTTCAAATACAAGGACCCCATCTTCGCCGAGCTCAAGCGCATGTCCACCGTCCACTCAGGGGCTATCGGCAGCGTCGTGGGTGGTCGTCCTCGTGCCATTAGCACCGACGAGAGCAACCGCCGCGCCAACATGGAGGAACGCAACAGGGCGCTGCTGGAGAAGGCCTCAGGAGGCCGGAGCCGCGCCACCAGCCCCGCGCCCAGCCCTCGCACCGGTCACCGCCGAGACCGGTCCGTCGGCGGCCCCGAGACGCGCTTCCCGATCCAGACGAGCCCGACATCTGCCAATGATCGCCACCAGGCTAGCCTGGGCAGCATTGTCGGCGCAACGAGCGGCCTGGCCAAGCGCCAGAGCCTGGAGGTGCCGGACCTGGCAACCGACTCGTCATTGCCGCAGGAGCGCGGCCGTGCTCAGGACAGGTCATCGCAGCCCGTCAACGGGGCCGAGACGATCCTGTCCAAGATTGAGCTCAGTGACTCGCCCATGGAGAAGCGGAACAGCCTGGGCCGCAGCGGTGCGCGCTTCGTCGGCGGGAGGAGAGTCACCGCCTCTTCTGGATCTAACCCCATTGTGGAACCGGAAACTCCTAGGGGAGTAACGCTGGAGGACAAGCCCATGGTCGACTGAGCCGGTTGTTTGCCCCCAAGGGGCTATCACCGGTAAGGCATAGATGCATGATAATGTCACAAGGGCGAATATACATGCGAGACGAGGATGAATTCGCCTCAGGGTAGTAGGATAGTGGTCCGGGCCATGTTGGCCGAACGGCAGGAGGCTGTACCATGCATATATCATACCGTTGTGCTGTACAGACGCTGTAACGCAGGCTTCATCATAGACATGGAGACAACGACAACGACCCGCTGTATTTTTCGTCTCGACTCCGTTGCTTGGGTTGAGACGGCTGGCTAAAATGGGAAGTGGTGGGATTATAGCTGGAGTCGAGTTTCTTTTTCCCTTCTCTTCCATTTTTACAGTTTTTTTCTTCTTCACGTCAGATCGCGCAAGTCTAGCCTTTCCCATTAACACGTACATTCCATTCCGGGGGTTCGTCTGTTTCTTAGGAAATGCTACCGTACCCAGATGAGCGTGGGAAATCTATTCATCATATCCACAAGCGCGATGCTTGGATAAACGAGGAAAGAAAAGATTTCATGATTCTGTAGATGGCCCCCCAGATATAGCCCAGCCCAGCCTGGCCCTGCCCACATGCCCTATACCAGTTGACTTGGCAAGATATTCACTGCTCAGCGGTAGCAGTATCTTCAGCCCCAGGTTCCACCGGAGGCTCGACAGGTGTCTTCTTCTTCTTCTTCGTCTTCTTGGGCACCGCTACAGGCTCGCCCGGTGACTGGCCTTCCATCTCGCCATTGCCGCCGCCGTCGGCCGCGTCGCCTTCGACCTTGTTCTTTTTCTTCTTCTTCACAACCCGTTCTTCTCCCCCGACGGCGGGGCCCGGCTGCTGCTTCTTCTTCTTGGCCTTCTTCTTGACCACAGTACCCTCCGCATCGACCCCCTGAGCGACCTGCACGCGCTCGTTGGCCCGCTGCATCTCGAGTCGAAGCTTCTCCACCTCTTTCATAGCCTGCGCCATTTCGGCCTCCTCGCGCTGCTGCCGCTCGTAGTCGTACGGGTGGGACGCCACAGCACCACCAGCCGCGGAGTCGCCCTCGAGACTGAATGACCCGATGTGAGACGAGTCAACTTGCAAGAGCCCCTGCTTGAGCTTCTTGGAGCGCGACTTGGTAAAGCTGTCCGAGTTGTTCTCTGACTCGTAGTTGCGCGGCGTCGAACCCCCACTGCCGACGAGGTTCTCGTCGGCGGCGACAACGAGTCTCTGCCGCGGACGCGGGGTAGGCCGCTGCGTGGACACGGGCGAGGCAGGCGAGGGGGCCGACGTGCCCAGCTTCCCCAAGTCAAGTTGCATGATAGGTATCGAATCAATATCGAGGCCGGGCCCGTTCTCCTGTTGGAGGATGTTGTGAATCGGCGTTGAAGTACGGGGGGCATTGTTGAGGCGGCCTCCAATGTAGAACGGGTCGTCCCGATTCCGCTCCATACGTTCCGCCTTGCGCCGTGCCACAATGTCGGGATCCAAGTATGCGTCCTCGGAGGCTTCCTGGTACGAGCTGACGAGCTCCTCGGACGGTTCCCCAAGCCTCATGATGGCGGGTTCAGACGATGATATGCTGGCCGGGGCGGGTCGCTGATGGTAGAAGACTTCAAAGTCATTCATCTCGTCTGTGTTCAGATGGAGAGTGTCCGTGTCAGCCAAGAGGGCATTCAGGTTCGGATGGATGGGTTCATCCAGGTCTAGCCCATTTGGCATTATGACATTCCTCTGCGCTGCGGGAGCGACGGAATTTAGCTCCCATCCTTGGAACAGTGACGGGATGGCTTGGATGAGAAGAAGTGGCGGATCTTGTTCGGCGTCGTCGGTTGAAGCCGGTTGCCCGGAGACGGCTTCGGCCGTCAACTTTAACAGCTCCACAAATTCGACTGCCCTTTCCTGGACCTCTAGGTTCGGATGGAGGGCAAGTGGCTCTAACACATCGATAATGCGGGCCATAAGTAGAGATATCCTGGACTTCCACGCCGGCGTCCAAAGCTGCCGATCGTTGCCTGCGATGAAGGCAAATATCTTGACAACAGCTTGGAGACAGGTGACCAGGGCCTCTGGGGCGTTGATCCGGGGGAGGGTCTGTAATAATGTCGATAGGGTATCGTCAGGCAAGCCGATTAGGCTTGGATATTCGCCGAGCAGCCATGCTATGGACTTGACCGAGGCAGAACCGATAGAGTGGCCAGCCGAAGTATCCGCGTTCAGTTGGGACAGAATCAAATCAGCAGCTCGGACTACTGAAGGTCGCATGGCCCTGACCTTGACGGCAACATTCCGTAGCTCGTCACCAATCTTTTCTGATATGTCACCCGCACTCGAGACACCGTATGACACGGTGGACTCGAGCTCGTTCCCCAGAACACGAGGCGCTGGGGCCATCCGGACAAGCTGTGTCAAGACGTCGATGTACCAATTAAAGTCCTCGAGATTGCCATAGTTGTTCTGTGAGCACATGTCCAAGATCCTACCTATGACTTCTATGCGGTAGTCGTCGGGCAATGGCGGGGCTTTGTCTTTCTCCTTAGCTCGGGGGTTGATCCTAACTCGGGCATCATCATCCGAGTCAGACTCGGATTCAGCTCCAAGAGGCGTCCCGACATGCCTTCCATCCCTCGACGGTGCCGATGTCCTTAGTTGTTTCATGAGGCGGCTGACGATTGTAACGAGGTTATCGGGGCTGACCATTCCCCGGACAAGATCAAGGGCCTTCGTCCGTATGGTAATATCCGGGCTGTCGATGCACTCGAGGATGACGTCCTCTTGCTGCGCAACCAAAAAGGGGTGGGTGACGACGATCTTGTTGAAGGCCAACAGTGCAACGTATTTGACTGATACGAAACAGAAAAAAAAGTCAGACATCGGCCTCAATACATTCTATTCGGTCCAGAGATGACTTACGATTGGGGTCCCCATCAATCATGATCATGCCTCTCAACTTGCTAACGCAAAGTGTGGCGATCTCTTCGCTCCCGTCATCCGCGCTTCCCAGGATTCCGCCCTGAATAATGCCGTTGATACATTCATAGAGCAGCGACATGGCAGGCGTGGTCCTGATGAGACTGGTCAGGGGTGGTAATAGCTTGCGGACAAGCCGAGGTTCTAGCGGGGTGAGGACAGCAAACTAGCACGGGGTCAGTCCCCTGTTCATCGGAGAAGCGCCCATTCATACTTTGTCGCCAAAGAATATAGGGGGGAAAGGAAAAGGAATACCAGCTTGATGAGTTTGATCGCCATCCAGTTGTTTCCCCCGTCCACCAGCAGCTCGAAGAGCCTAGGTGCCAAGGGCAGGAAGTCGTGGGGCCTCCGCCATCCCAATTCGCAGACCACGTTCACGATGGCGGCGGTGACACTAGGGTCTTCGTCCTTGTCCATAAGACGCTCCTTAATTCTAGGCCAAGCGGCCCTCAAGGCCTCGGGGTATACTAGGGCGAGCCGGTACAAGGTGACGATGACCTTCTTGCGAATGTTCGGGTGAGAATGGCTGAGACGGGGAAGGAGGTCGGACAGCGTGGACAGAGCTAAAGACGGCGTGATTATGTGAGGCAGTGTGGCCATGGGAAGGCAGATGGTCGTCGGGTGAGGCGAGGCAAGATCCTACAAGAACATGGTTAATTTCCTGGGTCCCAGGCCCCCCCTTCACTGCATCTGCAGCCGTGAATGATTTGGATTCGTTTCCCTGCCTACCTTTTTCAAAAGATTCGTAGCCAGCATGAGTACCTCGGTGTCTGGGCGGAAGCTCTGCACGGCAGCGAGGTAGCCCACCCGCTTCTGGTGAGGTTTCTGCGAGGACATGACCTCGAGTACGTGGAACGACGCCCAGGACATGTCATGGCCGACCATTTCAAGGTAAACGAGCTTCAAGAGGGCCGTCGCCTTGATATCTGCCCGACTGCGGCATCAGCAACCCGCACATAACCACGGTCATTGAATTATAGTTCCACAAAGGCAGCAGGATGTTTGTTCCTTACCCATATCCTGACTCCGCACTTCGGCCCGGCATTCTTTGAGGCTGTTCTGTATATACTCGCGCTCGTTGCCCTTGTGGTTTCGCAGACCTCGGATGAGGTCATACAGGGATTTCTCGAACCTATTGTAGCCATCAGTACCGGTCCTATTTCATGGCGTCGCCTCAACGCCGGGCGTTGGTTTCGATGTATAGAAGCGCAGTCCCCTACGTACATGGTGCCAGCGGTCGAGCCCACGCGGGGCCAGAGTCGGGGATTGGAAGACTCGGAGAGAGAGAGAGAGAAAATGAATCTAGGTCAGTGAGGGGTGATGAAGTCAGGTGCTATGCCAGCAGGGACATGTTGAAAAAAGCTCGGCGGGCAGTCGCAGCCAGAACTTTGGTAGTAGGGTCGTTTCTCGAGCGTAAGCAAAGGTAAAGCTTTCGACTTGGTCACGTCTTTACTCAGTCGGTGTTGATCTCGTGTCTAGCAGTGTGCAAGGTACGGTAAGGTAGTGAGTGTCTTAAATTAGGTAGGTACCTAGGCCGACACCAGGACATTGGTACACGTACATACGAGCTTCCCCACCATGACGAATGCCCATACTTTGGGGCGTTTTGTCACAGTGCCTGATTATGTCAGCGTAAACAACCTTACTCCGTACAAACTCCAAGAACTGGCTTTGGTGTGTGTGGGGGGGTGGAGGAGGGAGAGGAGGAGACCTGTAGCCGCGACTGACCGACCAAAAAAGCGTTTTGTTCGACGTGATATCCATCCATCCTTTGCTTCTACAGCCACAGGTTTGACGTTCAAGAGGGTCGGGGCGCGCTCAGTGGAACAATAGACCCTGGGGATTCTTATATCATCACTACAGAAAGCATTAACAGCAGTGACAAACGGACAATGGCCTACACTCGTTGAGAAACCCTTCACCATCTTCAACTCTTCGAAACAATCTTTTGTCGGCCTCCCATCATCCTACCTGACCAGTTCACTCACTTGGATCGAAACCTTCGTCTCCTGACCGACTCCCACTCACACCCAAATGTCGCGGCGATCCGTTTCCCGCCTCGCCACTCCCCTAACGCACGCCCTCTCCTCCCTGGCGCCGTGCACGACACCCTCCTTTCTATTTCGAGGCGCAACGACCGCCACCACAACCCTCCGCCATGCCGCTCCGCGCACGACGCATAGCCGCCGCCCGTTCTTCACCCTTCCCGACCTCCCCTCCGCCCCTCCTCAGACCTTGACCGCCAGCCGCATCCTCTCCTACCCGACCGCAGACCTCTACACCCTCATATCCGACGTCGACTCCTACTCCACCTTCGTCCCCTACTGCTCCCACTCACGCGTCACCCGCTGGACGACACCACCGCCGGGACAGTCGCCCGACGATCCAAACTCCCGACCCTGTCCGGCGCAAGCTGACCTCCGCGTCGGCTGGGGCGGCTTCGAAGAGACCTTCACAAGCCGCCTGCGCTGCGTACCCGGTCAGAGCGTCGAAGCCGTCAGCGGAGCCGAGATCGACGGGACGGGCGACCACCCCGGCGGCGCCGTCTTCAAGAGCCTCGTGACGCGGTGGACGGTGCAGCCACTCGAACACAACATGACGGCAGCGGGGAACGAGGGCACCGCCGCTACCAAGGTCGACCTCGTCATCCGCTTTCAGTTCGCCAATCCGCTGTATTCGGCCGTGAGCGCAGCCGTATCTGACAAGGTGGCCGGCGTCATGGTTGAGGCGTTCGAGAAGCGCGCGAGGTGGATGCTTGGGGCGCCAAGATCGTCCCTTACACTTAACGGGAATATTTGAAAGACGGCAGGAGGATTGAATTGGTCCTCAAAACTGACAACAAGACGAAAATAGACACCGGTGCAGACATAAACAGACAGACGACTGTGTTTATACCGAAGCAACCCCGCACAATTCTAGACCTTCGTACATAATGTATAAGAGAAAAATGTTAGGGAAACAAAGAAAAAAGGACATGAAAAATAAGACATCTCATAGACAACGCTTCCTAGCCAGAAATAGCAGTCTCTTCCACGGTCCTCTCCCACGCTTCGCTGCGCCATAATCAACTTGAAACCAAGCAGACCATTCCTGTCCGAAAAATAACCGTATTCCACAAGGGATACATCGTGCCACTGAAGCGGTAATCCAACGAGAGTGTCTTGGGTCCATTCACCCGTTTCGTACCCATCCTACCCAAAGAGCCAGCTAGATGCCCAAGACTCCCAGCATTCATGCATTATAGACGTGAAGTGGTGATATAGGGCGCCGAATGCATGTAGCTGCGCAATCAACAAAGCAAAAAAGGGGGAGAAGAAAAGGAAAAGAAAAAAGAAGAAGAAGAAAGAAAGGGGGCTGGAAATGTGGAGGAGAAAACGCAGCAAGGTATCATGGGTATGCGACAAGGAAGTTTCAAAGAAAAAGCCCAGTCAAACATGCCGCTAACAAGGTTGGTAATCAAAACAAATCACTGTAGGCCACCCGGAAACCCCGAAATACAAGCTCCGTTTACACCGGCTATTTCTTGGACCTTAGAAGAAGTCAGTATTGTAACCCAAGGAAGCAGAGAGGCCACTCACTTCTTCTTGACCGGTTTCCCTGCCATCCAACTCAGCACCGCGCCATTGGCCTTGGGCTTCTTTTTGGGTTCCGCGTGAACAACATGGACGCCGGCTGGTGCCCCACGGCCGGGTGGCGCATGGAACGGTGGCGGTGGAGGCGCTCCGCCAGGAACGGCGCCACCCCCAGGGCGAACACCCGGAGGAGGCACGCGTCCCGCTGCCATCTGGGCCGCCAACTTTGCGCGCAGGGCTTCGGGCAGGTCTCGCCCTCCAGCTCTCATGAAGGCTGCATGCTGCATGCTGTGGTGGTGCTGCGCCATCTTGTTCTCGGGCCACATGCGCATCTCGATCGTCCAGTCGGGTTCGAGGACCTTATCCCAAACCTGCGGGAGGATGATCTCCCCATTTGGACCGATCAAATCATAATGGCCCTGCTGGACCTGGGGTCCGATGATGTCGACATGTAGGAAGGCCTGCTTGATAAGTCCTTGCATATCCTGGGGTTCTTTGTTAGCATATTGCCGGGGGGAACAGAAAAAAGAAACAAAAGACAGAAGGGGATGAGCATCATAACATACTTCCCACTTGGCGCACAGGTGGAAAGGGAAGCTAAACTTCCTGCCCACTGCATCCTTGAACTTGATGGGCGCCTTGTCTTTGCTCTTCTTGGACTCGGCTTCAAATTTGATTCTGGCTTCCTCGGCAGCCTTCTTCTTCATGGCATCCTCCTCCTTCTTTTTCTCAGCAGCTGCGGCTGCAGCGTCCTCAGCGGCCTTGGCCTCAGCTTCGAGCTTGGCTCGGGCCTCGGCCTCTGCCTTTGCCTTGGTTTCCTCTTCCCACCTCTTCTTTGCTTCTTCCGCCGCCGCCGCCGCCGCCGCAGCTGCGGCTGCAGCCTCCCCGGCGGCCTTGGCCTCAGCTTCGAGCTTGACTCGGGCCTCTGCCTCTGCCTTTGCCTTGGTTTCCTCTTCCCACCTCCTTTTTGCTTCTGCCTCAGCCGCGGCGGCAGCTCTGGCCTCGGCTTCCGCCTTGAGTTGTGCTTCAAACTTGGCCCGTGCTGCAACCTCGGCCGCCGCCCGGGCTTCCTCTTCGCGCTTCTTCCGTTCCTCGGCCGCTTTCAACTCCGCTTCGTACTTCTCCCGAGCCTCCCGTTCGATGCGAGCCATGGTTTCTGCGTGCAGCCTAGCCTGCTCGGCCTCGGCCTTGCGCTCTGCCTCCATCTTCTCCCGTGCAGCCCTCTCGGCCTCCGCCTTGGCTATCTCAAACTCTTTCTTCGCCTCCTCGGTAGCTTTCCTACGGGCTTCTTCCCGAATCCTGATTTGGTCTTCGGTCTCCCTTCGGATTCGTTCTTCAAATTCTCTCCTCCTCTCTTCCTCGTCCTTTTTAGCCTGTTCCTCCTGGAATGCCTTGAGCTGGAGTAACATTCGTTGCTTTTCTGGATCTGGCTTCGGAGGCTCTGGCGGGGCTGGCGTTTTCGGGGGAGCGGGGGCCTCGGTGGCAGGCGGTGGGGGCGGGGAGTGATACATGTATTGCTGCAAATGAGGGGCAATGGGATACCCTGCGGGGCCGGTCGGACCGGGCGGGCCACCGTAGTAGCCCGGTTGTTGATACGGCATCATGTCATACGGACCCCTTGGTTCTGCACCAAAATAGCTCTGCCCACTGCCGTTGGCGTGCGGTGAAAACGGGTTGCCTGGGTAGTTTGAGTAGGGGACCATTGTCTGATTGCTAGGCCCGTAAGGGCTCGGCATGTAGCCCCCTGCATGGCTTTGAGGGTAACCGGGCGGTCCAGCTGGTGGAGGAGGGCCTCTGGAGCCAAAGTAGCCTCCAGGAGGCCCGTAGCCACCGTGGCCAGGATAAGGCCCGTATTCCTCGGCCGGATCCACGCTGTCGGGTGGTGGGGGCGGTGCGGTGCGATATGGCATGGACTGACGAGGGGGTAAGACGTGGTGGCGCGGGGGTGGCCGGCGAGAGCGAGAGCGGGAGCGGGAACGGGAATGAGATGCTGAGCGGTAGGGTCGTCCGTTGCCGGCCGAGGCAGAGTCGTCGGGGTCGAGTTCGTCGTATGTCTCCGCCCACTCTGCGGAGGAGCTATCCTCTTGGCTGTAGGGGTGAGAAGAGTAATCTTCCTCTTCGCTGTACGAGATGGGTCGCGACGCGTAGCCGGAGCTTTGTCTTATGGTGGGATGTCGTCGCCTTGAGAGAGAAAATGCCGTTAACACACACAGACACACACCACACTCGACAGAGGTGGGGGAGGAAAGCGTAAGATGAAACTTACGACATGGGGACTTCTGTATCTCCTTTACTCGTGACAATCCCGTAAAAGAAGTCAGAGCAAAGGATGTGACTGAAAGAAAAAGAAGAGGGAAAAAAAAAGGGAAAGGGTGACCTTTCCTACGAGACAATAACGAGCCAAGTTATCCCGTCCTGTCCGAGAGTTCGATTGTGTGGATTGATTGTGCAAAGGTTCAAAGTCGGCCAAGAACAGCAAGCAAGCACAAGGTATGTGTTCAGAAGCTAGTTAAGGGCTTGATGAAGTATCGAAGCACCCTTTGGAGATTGACAGTCGGAAAATAAGGGACACCAGCGAAGTACTGGGGGTGAGGAGTGTTGGAAGAGGGATCCGAAGGTGGGTCGGTTTATCCTTTTTGCTGTACGGTGATCTGGTGGTCAAGTGGTGCTGCTGGCCTGAAAATGGGGTTCGGTTGGATTTGGTCGGCGATGAGGAGAGGGAGGAAAGTGGAAGAAGAAGAAAAAAAGGAAGGAGGGTATTCGGTGCAGCTGGGCAGCGATCGCGGATCAAAACCGCCTGGCAAGGCGGCGATACACCTCAGGTATGTAATAATCCGACATGAAACAGCAGGCTGGAAGAAGCAGTGCGTTCTGCACTCTCTCGGGAGGTCTTACGAGCAGGTACTGAAGTACCTACTTTCGTCCTCCGTAAGGTACAGAATGACCGGGGAACAAACGTGGAGAGCGAAGGCGGTGACGATGGTACAGATAGGCGGGGTTGTAGAGGTGAGTGAGTGGGTAATGGGGGGCCTTTGTTTAAACGGGAGACCGAGGAACCGGGAACTCGACGGGATTGGTCTGTCATGTAAAATAATTGTTTTGTCAGTCAAGGTACGAGATGTTGTGAGACGCTGCAGATTGAATTAAGAGAAACGTGGAAAATATGAATGCCGGATGCCAGATGTGGGATGGTCTTTGCCAGGGCGGCATGAGACGGGAAGCGGTCGTGGAGGGGAGTCAGAGACGACGATGAACAACAAATGGTCGACCACTTTTGGCAAGCAATCGGTTTATATGAATCGGACGGAGAACGTTGCGTCGCGTCCTGGACCAGCAACCCCTCTCGGTAGGATAGGCTCGCTGAGAGAACGAAACGCAATGAAAGGATGGGTACCCCTGCCCCTCCATTTGGAAATCTGAAGTTCCGTGTCTCGGCACCTAACCATGTTGAATGGCCACCCCGGCTCCCTTTGGCCCTCGAACTTTCTGTCGCTGCGCTCAGCTTTTGTTACCCACTTGGGCCTGTCCAGAACACCAGGGATTGGCATCTAGTCTTTCCTCAAATGGCGCTTTCAGAAACAATGACAATAAGTCACTCAGGGCAATCCGCCCGCTTATAAAGCCAGACAATCCAGATAACACATTCGAAGGGATAAAAAGGAGACAGAATGAAGCTGGAGGTACGCACCTCGAAACAGTATCGGCTGGAGAGCCAGTGATTTCGTCTTGGCGTGTCCAGTTCCAGATGATGATAAACTCGGATGGTCTTTTCAAGTCGGCAGAAGCCGTGGTGGCGGGACGGGCCTTGTTGGTCTCTTTAATGGCCACACTTGCTCGTTCTTTTAACACACCTCTCGGTGTCTTTCCGGGAGAGACGCTGCTCGAATATACGGAGTAGCCGTGTTGGTGTTGACGGATGTCTCTGCTGTCCGTCGTCCGCTGTGTGTGTTCTTGGTTATACGTTGTCTCGTTGGTATTTCGCGGGATGAAGAGGACCACGGCATCTAGAGGAGGCCAGACGCAGAGAAACACAGAACCACTCTGTGCCTAGACAGGCTGTTTTTCCCTTTGTCGTACCTAGCAGTATGTCGGATATGAGGAAGGGCCCCAAAAAGCGGCTGTGTAATTACTTCGTGTTATTATTGCAGTGACGGGCCTAGCTGGTCGTCTGCAAGCTGCTGCAGGAAGGTCCAGGTGCACGACTCGTACTTCGTAAGTACCGAACCAAGCTAGGCTCTACCGTAAGATACCTAGTAGGTACCCCGAAGGTAGGTCACGGGTTTTGGCCGGTTGCCGTGGTGAGCCCAGGAGATGACTGGACACGATAACAGCCAACGCAGCGGCTAACCTGACAGTATTGGATGGAGTGGAATGTGGTGGAAGTACCGATTTTTGGATCTTCTTGCAGCCGTTAACAATACCCAGCTAGGGTTACTCTGCTTCAGGCAACTTCTTCGTGATTATTGATCCTGGGTTTGGTGTTATCCCTAGGGCCTAGAGCTGTCTCTAGCTTCTGTCTCGTGCAGCTGGCTGTAATGCAAGGGAAGTTTAGTTTGGATGAGATGTTCGCTGCCTGTAAGCCTAGGTAGAAGGCAATGATTCAGTATTGGGAAGGGGTTCCTAGTTGGCTACCTCTAGTAGCGGGGGATATGGGGTTACGCTTCTCACAGTCGATGAGACGAGGCTAATGGGGGATTTTTCCAATTGTAGCGTGGGTTAAGATGGTATTGCTTTGTCGTTTGATGGTGTTCTCAGGGGTTTGAGGCGACGCAACATGGTTTTCAACGTGGCGAGGTTGGAGAGAGCAACAAATCGTTTCTGGTGGTCCAGCGCTCACTGCTGCTGTCTTTTTCTTGCTTAGTGACGACTCGACAGCTGGGGATCTGTCCAAGGTTTAAATGCGGTTGACTAAAACAATTATCATCGGGTGAAATCTGTAAAATAACTAGGCCAGATGTTGCACCGATATATATTTCGTCGAGAGTCCCTGTTTAGTCCTTCAATCTCCGACTCTCGTCGTTTGTTTCCCTTGCATTGCGTCTTCAAATGGATTGATTGTAAAAAAGAAATTATTTCTGATCCACAAAGCTTCGCCCGATGCCGCAAAAATCCATGAACTGGTTACCCGGCTCTGGGAAACCTGAGCCCGGGGCTGGTGAGTTCAATCAACTCGCTGCGTTGGCAGATAGGGATGACTCACTGCCAGCTCACGCGTGGGCCATCAACCCGGCTCTTTCCACCGCCATCTCGTACCAACTCGTCCAGAGGCTCATAAACGGGGCGTACGACAAGAATCGAGTTTACTCCGTAATTATTTCGTACGACTCCTTGTCAGTAGACCAAAACAACCAAAACGAGCCGTCAGTACGTTAGAGCAACGAGAGAATGCAACAAGAAAATTTTGCCGATGGGTCAAGGTTCCCTGATTAGCGCGGTGAAACCCAATTGCAAGGCCTGATGCCTGCCCGATGCAAGCCTTTTCTGCCCAATTTCCGCTCCGCCTCTGTTCCGTATGACGACACTCTACATCCCTAAATGCAGTCTTCGGGAGTCGACGCGTTTTCAACTACACCCTTCCCATTCGTCCAGTGGCAACCAGTCGGAGGAACTTCGACAGATTAGGCGGGCCCCAGTCTAGGCAGCTGTCAAAGCCAACTCGATCTCCAAGCACTCCGCCAGTCGAACGAGAACCCCCCGAGACAACCGGGAGACGTATCAAGCTCCTATCTGCAGACCGGCGCCTCCAACTCGCATCCCATTTCAAACATCGCCTCTCTTGATACGCTCGTTAACGCGCAGGTGCGGTCGATTACCCGCCATTGCATAAGAGGGGCAGGATTGACAACATGAAATTGGTGTCACTGGACTACTAGGTCTTCCAACATCCAGTCGCCAACGGTCATGGCCGTCTCAGCGTACAAGGTCCGCAGAGTCTTTCTCTAGCAGCTCTCGGGCCGCTGCGATTTCGGATGGTTTATAGCCTTGCCAGAGCGGCTCGCCCGCTAGATTCCGCCGCACTATCTCCGCAAGCTTCTTGGTTGCCAGCTCGTTGAGCTTTTCTGTTGTTGTAGTATCCGGCGGTATCCAATCACCTGACTCGGCATGCATCGATACCTTTGGGGGGTCTTTCAAAAGTTTGCCCGTGGCCTAGGAACTGTCAGCCAGAACCCATCATCACAGGGACGCGAAACACAGAGAGAGAGATGGTGATGATGGTTGAATACCAATTTGAGACCATAATATCCACGTATGTAATCGTCGCAGAGCTCGATACTCCTGGAGAATCTCTTCACAGACTCGGTCAGGTGCTTTTGGCGCAAAGTATCCGAACTCGAAGCCGCCATATAGAGCACCTCGCCCAGCCGGGCATGTATCTAAAATTCGTCAGGAGTGAACGGAATTTTTCTCCGGGGAAGGAGGTAAGACCAACGTTCCAGGCATTCGGAGTCAACACCAATACCTCCTCAAGAGAATAGATAGCCTGCGGATAAAGTCCTTGAGAGAGGTATATGTCTGCGAGTTCCGCCCACGATTCGGCGTCAGTTGGAGAGTAGTCCAGAAGATCATTGAGCGCTTCGATAGCCTCTGATGTTTTCCCCATGGACCGCAATAGCGCCACTCGTCGTTTCGCCACAGGCTGTCCCCAAAAGTCAGCCTCTCGTCATCGTACATTGGGAATGGCAACCAACAATATTCGTGGTCGTTGGCCCTAGTATTGTCTCGTATTCTTTCAGAATCTGGACGAGTTCGCCCTGATTGTCGGCTGCCGCTTCCTTGACTAGCCCCTTGAAGGCCAACACTCGTTCATTGTCGTTTCCGAATCGTAACACAAGACGTTCCAAGAACTCGCGGGCTGACTCCATGTCCCCCGTTCGACAGCATGCTAAGAGGAGGTTCTCATAGGCGGTCCATATCTCTGGCGTTTCGGATGCTGAGAACAAAGATAACAGTAGCGACGACGAGAAGGACTTGGGAATATTCCGTAATATCGAAGGTGCTAGCTGAGCCAGTTTCAGCACCTCTCCCGGGGCCAGTTCGCTCTGTGGCCGAGCGACAGATTGTTCCATCTTCTCGTGTCTGTTCCGAGTGCAATTATGGCGTTGGGTTCGAGATGTTAGAAGTTGGAATCGAGGATGGGGTGTCAGCTGTTGATCTCATCGACAATGAGATAACTCGAACGAATGGAGCTGCGTACCTCTAGCTTGCCGTGAAGACATGGCATAGGTACACTGATACATCGGTGACCGGAGTATCCTAGAGCCGGGTTGGTACGCCCCGTATCCATTGTTTCCACTTACTACACTATGACCAATCAGCCCTGACACGCAATTTAGTCTGTGGATCCAGTCGGAGTGGGCCTTCTGGAAGATAAAAATTGCCGAATCTCGTTCGACGCTTTTTCTTCTTCTCTTGAGTTCCGCACCTCATTGCACTCTAGAATACTTTGAACCCTGTGGCCAAGGATAGAGCGTCCAAGAATCCGTATTTTGGGTTTCTCTCTCTCTAGACCAGCGAGTCTCAAGTGTCTGAGCTTTTGCAACTATGTGGTCTCCGCTGGAGCTTGCAGCAGGCGTCTCGCTAGGCGAGCAAGGCCTCGTCGAGCAAACTGCTGCTCTGCAACTCGCGCAGCCCAAAGATCAGGCTCAAAATCAGTCTGCTATCCATTCTGATGACTCCAGCGCTCAACAGAAGCAATTTAACTCGGGGGTCGATCACTCTCAGTTTGGCAGTCGCTACCTCACCGAAGAGGACGATGTTTTCCAACATAACGCCTGGGACCACGTCGAGACTGATGATGCATTCAAACGGTTCGCCGAAGAGCAGTATGAAATGCAGCGTCAGTCTCCCGTTTCGGAGTTTGATAAAAGTGAGTGTCCTCTCTGCCCTTCGCCTTTCCTCAACTACTCGCAATGTCGAAGTACAACACAGGTGTTATATGATGATTCCCCATTTTACGCATAGTTCAGCTGAATCAATGTGATGAAACTTGCAATTTTTGTCTTTCGCTCCCATCTGATGCACCACACCTCTCTTCTCTCAGTGTTCTCATGACTATACACTCTATGGGTTATGGACTAACGAGATTCTACAGATAGACTAAATACAAATCCTGCCCGGATGTGGGACCTGTTCTATAAAAACAACACGGCCAATTTCTTCAAGAACCGAAAGTGGCTTCAGCAAGAATTTCCCGTTCTTGGCGACATAACCAGGGATGACGCTGGTCCTAAGATAGTTCTTGAGATCGGCGCTGGCGCTGGCAATACGGCTTTCCCCATATTGGCACACAGCAAGAACCCTCAACTTAAAGTGCATGCCTGCGATTATTCCAAAAAGGCGGTTGAAGTGATGCGAAGTCAGGACGAGTACAACGAAGCCTTCATGCAAGCCGACGTATGGGATGTGACGAGCGATGAGCTTCCTCCCGGCCTCCAGGAAGGTTCGGTTGATGTCGCGATTCTAATATTCATATTCTCGGCCCTTGCGCCCAATCAATGGAAAAAGGCCGCCTCCAATGTCCACCGCCTGCTCAAACCTGGCGGCCAGGTCTGCTTCCGAGACTATGGAAGAGGGGATCTGGCGCAGGTCAGGTTCAAAAAGGGCCGATATATGGCCGAGAACTTCTACGTGCGGGGCGACGGCACCCGAGTTTACTTCTTTGAGAAAGATGAACTCGAGTGCATCTGGACCGGGAAGTTTGAGGACGAAGCTGACGAGCCCTACCCAGGCTTCGAGATCGACTTCCTCGGTGTCGACAGGCGATTGCTCGTCAACCGGGCGCGCAAACTCAAGATGTACAGGTGCTGGATGCAGGGTCGATTTAGAAAAAGAGAGGAACCATCCCAATAACAATTATCCATCGTATCAAGCAAGTGACGGCAGGCACAGCTATGCAACTCCCCAGAAGCATCTACGCTGGCGACAATGATGATCTAGCTCTAGTATAAGACTCGCTCACGTAGTTGGCTCCTCTCGGTTAGTCCAAACCCGATGGCGTCCAGATAGCAATTAAGGCCTCCGTATCGATGAGTTAGATGTTCTGAAATGGCTGCGATCATGCCAGGAGCAGTACTGTGCCAGTCATCCGGCAAGTCAATCTCCCGGAGCTCCTCAAGTCTCTGTTTCTTGTCCTGGACAAGACCCACGTCGCTTAGCGCGTAATCATGTTCGATAGCGGGCATAGGGACTCCCACGATCATCACGATGAGTGCGATAACGAGGCCCGTCCTGTCTTTGCCTTGGGTGCAGTGGATAAGCGTTGGTAACCCATCCAGCTCGAGGAGGGATCTCAAGACCTGGAAGTCTCGTTTTGAGTAAGTGAGTTCCGAGTGAAGCGCGATGGACGACCTACCGTGGCGACTTCCTGTTGGGATTGGTCCAACATGTCTAAGGCCATGCCAATCAGTCCACGCGGACGCAGGACTTCCCGGGCTATTATAGCAAGGCCCTGGATGCGATACCCAAAGAGGTAGCAGAAGATCACTTTGCTAGAAAAAATAGAACGAGGTAGGTCAGAGTAACTAGGTCACTTGGCCCATCCCACAGCGGAAGGGAGCTTGTCGCAAAGAAGAGGGAACGGGCTTACATGAAACTCCACCATGAAAGCTGGCGTAGCATGTGGCGCTCCAGTGCGCGGCCGGCGACGCTGACATGGCGGTATCTCAACCCTGGGATCGGAATCGGAAACCGTTCATTCTCAACGGAAGCGTCACGACGATCTTCTTGACCCTTCTGGGCCTGCTTGAGAAGCTCAGTCCTAGACAGTATTAGTTAGCGGAAATAATGGTCCAGTATATACTGACACGATCAGTTACGGTCCAAGTGCAGCCGGAAGAGGGGACATACTCAGTACGAAGGTCAATAACAGATCTGATTCCCAGGTCTTCCCGAAGACGGGTTGCGTCGTAGACGGATGCGTCATCTGAAGACCAGTCCAGAACGTCAGGAACGAGCCGAGAACGGAAACAGGAAATCGCCATGTACCTGGTCTAGCAGCACGATAGAGCACGCCTTCTTTTAAGCGCCTGGGCGTTCTCTGGGGTAAGATAGTGCAATTCCTGGTCATCGAAGCAGCGAGTCGGTGTCACACCTATGGTTCAGAAAAGAATTGACGGTCCTGCCAACGTCCCGCAGGTTTGCGATAGTCGTGATACCCTCAACTGGGTCCATATCGGAGCTCGCATGCGGGCGGACTGATGGATAGAGTGGCAGTTCGTGGAAAGGGATGGGAAATGCAAGCTGGTGACGTGGTGAACAAAAACGAACCTGGAGGCATGGCTGCTTCAGGGGCACCATAAATTACGGATATAACGTACTTACCTGCCAGTTCACCGTTTTCATACAGGCCCGAAAGACTGGTTTAGGAAATGGTTAAGTCTAGTGCGACGCGTGGCAGGGGTACCGAGTTGGCATGGCGATGGTTTACTTACCTTAGAAGCAGTCAAATTCTGAAGGTTTCTTTTTGCAGAGTCTACCCATAGGTACCTCAGTATTCACTCAGTCATCTACTTGACTGAAAGCATAAGTTGAATTCTGTATCAGAGGAGTGTGCAATTCATGGCAATTCAGGGATGTTATTATGAAGAGATGATTCAGGATATAATTGGTGCCAGTTCGACAATGCCTCATGGAGAGTTCAGAGATCTACAGGGTCCCGAAGCTGCAGTGGATCCTTCAGATGTCATAACGTGTTACTGTATCTGCAGTAATTACCTCTCCTTCACGTGTAGTGTATTCATGGTAGATGATTACAACGTACTCTCGTTGCTACTGAAGGTACGGATAATTTTACCTAAGTACCTATATTGATACTGTTTGGTACCTTAGTTACATGGATTAGAGACCTATATCGTCCTACTTCGTTCGTAGCGCGGTGGTATTTTGGGAATGCATGCGACGTGGTGGGTTCCAGGATACCCAGCCCTCTCCGCTTGGTGGCGGTGTCTTGCTTGGTATTGACAATATTTAAGGAAGTTCTCGAATTAATCTTATCCATGAGCGTAATCAAATAAAGAAACTGTACCAGTGTATCTTATTGGCCTTGATGAGAGAGTTACGAATATGATAATAATTGGGTACGACACGGAGAAGGCAGGCTTTGGGTTTGGTTCCCCTAATAAGACCAATGTGCTCGAAGTTACGCACATGCATGCTGTATAAGGTACTCGGTACGGAGGGCGGATTAATGTGCCTACCTTATGGTTACCGGTAGGTAAGGTACTGTTCGTGTCACTCCGTGAGCAAGGGAAGCTGAACAGGAGCATCATCACTAGCCTAAACCGAGCTAGCCGATGGCGCTAACGCTCGGAGGATCTCACCAAGTCTCACTGGGGCCCAGCGACTCAACAACGCCTATGGCGGAGTGACGTAATCGTCTTAAGCGGGTCTCCAGCTGTCACTCCTCGAACCGATTTCAAGTCATCGTCACCACCAACGGTCAGAGCCATAGCCACACCATTTGCCCAGGACTTCCCGTCGTCCCACGTATTCGTGCTTCACTCTCTCATCCTTCCGGCATCAGTACCTAGCTTCCAAGGCGAGGCGTCCCATCGAGCTGGCCCTTACCAGTAGGCATCATTACCCTCGCTCCGTCGTTAACCCATAATCTATTCAGAATTTACCCAGAGCCCAGAGATTATAGCCTTGCCAAGATCCGGACATCCCGTTTATATCTATTGTATACTGACGTCTAGTCAGGCCACACTTATTTTACATCGTCTACTCTCCTTTCACTTCTTTTCCACCTCCCTCGGCCCGTATCTAGCTTGAGCCTACTACTCAGGTGCATCGGTTTTCTTCGAGCCCTGGTCGACCTTAAGCCCTGTCCCGCATGGTTCTTAGTGAGCAGTAACTCTCATCTGCTATTAGACCGGGGATATTTCGCAAGCGGAAAGCTTGCATGCAGTTCTACCGGAGAATAAGAACCAATATTCGAAAATCAGAAGTCCGTTTCAGAGAGCGCAACGGCTAGCTATTCCTTCTGTACCCTGTACCCGAATTTTTATCTCTTTGAGGCACCCCTTGGCGCAAAAGTATTTCAGTATGACCGAGACGCAGTGCCAGCAGCTCGCGCCTCAAGGTACGTACGTGCCCGTGGGGTTGTGGGCGGATAAGAATGAGCGTGAAGGCTCATCGGCGAACACGAATTTGCACCCACTTTTCTTATAAGCCTCCTCTAATGGTTTATCGATGTCAACCTATTTCTTCACTTTTCTTACTCATCTCGTGTTCTGTTCTTGCACCTCGCGCTACCTTTGGTAGACTGACGCCTCCCTCCCTCCCATTTTAGCGAATCATACGGGCAGACTACGATACGCCGACCCCCAGGATCTCCCCAGTTATCCATCTAGTGGCTTGCGCAAAGACGGCGCTGCTGCCAGTGCCGCGGCAACACTTGGTTGGGCGAACCAAAAGTCCGTTAACCCATGGCGCCCCGATAAGTCTGCGTCGGCCTCTGCCGCCGCATTGCTCGCGCACGATTCTCATCAGAGGGAGCCCGGTGTAAGCTCCGCAGGGGCTTCGGCCGCTCTTCTCTCTGCTACATCTGCCAAGAAGCAACAGCAACAGGACGAGCATCGAGAGCAGGAACATCTGCATCGCCAAAGATCCATCTCCACCTCTTCCCAACTATCGGCACAGACGACCTTGGGAAGCTCTGCCGCGATGCAAGCTTTTAGATCAAGCCTGTCAGTCCGGCGACCAGCGCGAACGCCCGCTCAACATGCCTTCGACGCGAACGAAACCCATGCCCTCGGGTCCTTGTCAGCAGCGAAAAGTGTCATGGGCCCTTCTAGGCGGCCGCGGTCTGTTTCAACACCCGTCACCATGGCCGAGGCCTACCCTGCACAGTCCCGGGCAGCAGCCAATGCGCTCAGCGCTGCCACTACCGCTCATAAGCCTTCCATGAAACCCGACTCTTCCATCGACAGGGGCGGCTCGGTTCCGTATACGCTTATGCCCCGGGCCATGTTTACCTCGCATCCTGCCATTGGCCCAGAAGCCGAAGATCAGAAGAGAGCAGACATGCTTCACGCGTCAGCCGTCGCCATGGCCAGAAAGATGTACTCTCATCAGCAGAAAATGACCGACCAGGCAAAGGAGGCTTCTCAGCAGGCCACGTCAGACGCCGAGGGCACGACGACCGTCCATCAACCCGCGGGTTATGTAAATCTACAAGAAGCGGCCTACAAGCTGGCGCAAGAGCGACTCGCCAAGCTCGAAGAAGAGCATCGGCAAGCCCGCGAGTATCAAGATTATTACGGCGGCACCCCGGCCCGTCGCAATACCCTCCAGAGACGGTTCACATTGAAAGGCCGACTGCGAAGACAATCGTCAGCCGATGATGACGAGTTCGATGATCGTAAGCAGTCCGAAAGGATCCGCCAGCAAATGTCCATCTTTTCGACGAACGTATCCAAGGTGGACGAGCAGAAGCGGGCCAAAGACCGGGAGGCAGTGTTGGCGGCAGCACAGAGAAACGTCAGAGCCCGTCTACAAGGCATGGATGAGAAGGTCTTTGCCGATACGGGGAAGTTGCCACCCCCAAAGCGACTGAGCGAGTGGGAGCTGAGAGCTCACGAGGCAGCCATGGCTCTGCATGATTCGAGGGAGGAGCACCAAGGCAAAGTCAACCTCGGTGGTGGCATGTATCTGAGCGTTGAGGATGTGGATGCCATTGCCGCGAAGCGGGTGCAGCCTGTCCTCGACGAGATCAACGAAAAGGCCGCCGAAGAACGCGAAAGACAGGAGGTGTTGAGGATGGAGGCAGAGGCGAAGAAGATTGACGACCAAAAACGCAAGGAGCGGGAGAGGGAGATCAAGGAAATTAATAAGAAGATCATCGGTAAGTGTCCCTTTTTTAATTCCTTCGCTCTTTTCTCGGATTTCGCTTTTTTGCCTTGCGAGGTACAACTTTGATTCGTAAAGCAGGTTACTAATGGATGAATGCAGAGCAAGACAAACAAGAAGAACGGGAGAGAAAGTATCGGGAAAAGGAAGAGCACAAAGCGAAGAAAGAGGAGGAGAAAGCGAAGCGTGATGAAGAAAGGGCAGCCAAGGCCGAGGAGAAAAGACAAGCCAAGGAAGAGAGGCGCAGAGCTCGGGCGGCTGAGAGGCAGGCTAGGGCGGTGGATGGCCAACATGCCGGGGGAGATGCACTGGACGACACGGACAGCGACGAGAACGACGCCATGCCGACGATTCGGCCTCCACCCGTGGTGAACACGGAGGCCGCAGAGCGTGCAAGTGAGCAGCAACTGGCCAGTAGTCCAACCAAGGAATCCGCATCCACATCGCCGACGCATAAGGTGCGGTCGTGGCTCAAATCGCGCTTTGGTCGGCCACGGGGGAAGTCGTTGGCCAACGAAGAAGGTTACCAACCAGGTTTCATCGGAGGCGCGGCGTTGAGCAGCCGTTTAGTTGGCGACGGCGCAAGCACCAGGAGCCTTGACAACCCAGCGCCGAGCATGCGCGAGGTTGCCATGGCGGGAGACGACACCACCGGGACTGGGGGACGGCGTAGGTCACGGACCGTGGGAAGCGGACGGTGGCGCGAGTCTCTGTCGATGGGCATTCTGAGCAGGAGCAGCAACGCCAACGAGGATGGTCTCGGGCGAGATCTTGGCTCTGGGGCGACGAGTGGCGATGGCGGGGACGAGGAAGAGAGGTCTATTACGCCGCCCGCGAAGCTGCGGGATCCGGTGGAGCAACGGGGTGCGAGTCCGAATCGGGATTCACGATTCCGTGAAATGATGGACTGAAGCATTGGATCCTCAAGATGGGACATCACGAGTTGGATACGGCGGGCAGGCGTTAAGGCCAATTTCTTCTTGGATCTGGGAATCTAATTCAGCTTGTTGTTGGGTCAAAATGTCCGTTCTTTCTCCCCCCCTTTACCCTTTACCAACTCAACTCAATGAACAAACATCAAGTTTTCGTGGCGAGTTAAAAAAATAAAAAATTGGTTGAGGTTTTCGAATTCCACGGGTTTCTATCTTGCCGGGGTGGGCATCGACTGTCGGTATTAGGACACGGGCATTGGCACATGCCCGACCGTGTAACCAAGAACCAAGATTGGCTTCATCAGCAAACAGGAAGAAAGACGGGAAGGGTATTCCTGTCTTATCATTGATGATGCGTGCTATGTGCTATGATGCGCCGTTTCCATACTCTGTAGTTGTATAACGCCCCGATGGCCAAGTAGGCGGGCCTGTGAAGACTGAGTGGGAGAAAGAAGGGGGGAAAGAAAGGAAAGAAAGAAAACCCCCCGTGTGAAACACCGAGTACACAAAGTGAGAGCCTCCCTAAAACAAACCCCATACGGGGACAAATGGAAGAAGAGTTATGCCGCTTGCTAGTCCGTTGCTCGTCCGATGCAATGCAATCATACACCACACGTCCAATCCATGTTCGATAACCATTTTTCCACGACCGTCCAGAATGGCATCGGTGCCTCTGTACGAAGAAACAAGGGAAAGAAACGGTGCCAAAAAAAATTCCAAAAAAAGGGGGGGGAGAAAGGAGGGTGAGCAGGCTCCCTGCATTCCTTGTCTACATAAATTAAACATTGTTAGGCGCAGTGTTTCTCTCCGTAAGTGGCAGTGTCGAGTGCGGCGCCCCCGGACGCACGCCGAGGCCTTGCTCAGTCATGTCAAAGCCGTTCATGGAGAAGTCGGAGTCCGGACGGGAATCGGAACCTGACCCAGGGATGGCGGGGTTGGCCACGTCGGATTTTCGGAAGCGCATCTCATGGCGTTTAGTGCGAACAGCGGGCCAAAGGTCCGCGGCGAAGGAGAAAATGTAGAAGGAGAAGATCACGGCGATGACCCATTCGAGGATGGCAGCGTGGTTTGGTACGCCGCTTCTCATAGTCATGCCGAAGCCGATGGCAAGGCCGAGCTCGACGACGATAAAGGCAAGCTTCACCCAGAAGGAGATGTAAAGAGCCCGGTGACCGCGATTCTCTGGGTAGTGGGGCGAGACGGTGTCAGTAGGGGAAATAGATATACACATTCGAGCGGAAAAGTCAGGTGGGAAGGACGGAAGAGGCAGGGGAAACAACAAGACGTACTAGATCCCAGCCGCTGGTATTGCCAACATATGAAGATGGCGGAAAGAAGGTAGCCGGCGATGAAGAGAGCTAGGAAGAGACGATGTAGGTCGGTGTAGTTGTAGGTGTCGAAGACTGCGAGGAGGATCCAACCGACGCCGCCGACGATGGAGAAGATGATGCTCAGGATGGTGAGGATCTTTCCCCCGATACTAGCATTGGGGACCAGGCGGCCCTTACTTCGTAGCCAGCGGTCGGCGAAAATAGAGAGGTTTAGAAATATGGCGGAAATGGCGCACCCGGCGATGAAGAGCGGTTTGAGACGGTAGGCGCCAACGTCGCTAATGTATGCTATGGTCTGACCGGAGGACATGGAGGGGTAGAATCTACTGTTTTCTTCGACGATCCAGTAGAGGAGAAGCGTGAGAAGGGTGATCAGCCAGACAATCCCCGATATGATGGGCCACACCTAAAGTTGAGGGAGGTCGGAAGGTCAGCAGCGTTCAAAGAAGACGACGAAGGGCTGAATTGCGTATTTAGTTACCCAGTAAGATAACGGCCACATGTCGGCAAGCGATTCCCTAGGTCCGGTATCGCGATGGAACATGTAGACACAAGAAAATGGAATGGCTGATGTGATGTAGATGGGTCTGTTGAAGTTCTGGTAGTTATATTCTGGTAATTGTATGTTTGCCGGGTATTACGAAGTAATGTTATGTTAGAGACGTCAACAGAATGCACTGAGCCTCCGAATCTTCCGGAGCAAGAGGGATGAGGCGAGATGGAATTCTGTAGTTTCCCCCGTTCACCGAATACGATGAAAAGTCACCAGAAAGGGAAGAAGAAAAAAAAAGAAGAAAAAAAGAAAAAAGGCGAAGCTGGAGCTAGGAAAAAGAGGGTGCACTGGATGGATGTTCGCGAGCACTCGTGTATGGGGATGCCTTCTGAGCCACCAAAACAGGGGGTTTCCTCCGCGATGCGTACGAAAGTAGAAAGCCCGGAAGGACCGGCAGAAGCGTGGTGGTTCACAGGTATTAATTTGTGCCGCGCGGCGGACTATCCATCGGACATTCGGGAACCCCCATCGAGTCCGCAGGGACAAACACAGACGATGACGTGGGTAATAAGGTTGGTAGGGTTTGAGTGACTCCTTCCTGACTTGCGTAAACACCTGCCGCAATTGTCGATCGGTGTGGGTACAACGGTACTTAAAGCCCTGGGTGCTGCCGGCACTGACGGCCCTGTCTTCGATAACGGTACACTACTGGTACCACGCTAAGCTGTAACAAGCTTGTCAATGGCAGCTGCCCAATAGGAATATTTCTTATCCACAGTGGAGCATGGGTACGCTCGGTACGGATCATGTGTACCTTGCCTACCTCGCACACAACCAATCAGAGAGTACTCCCACACGCAAGGCTGAGATTCAAAGCACAACCTCCGCAGCCTTTGGGTTCATTCTCTCCTCGATTAAGGTAGACAAAGGAACTCTCCCTCGCCTTCATCCCACCCTACCACTATTTTTTTTTTCAGCCGTCATGTCGGCATCTCCCCTCGTTCTGCGGCCTACGGAGGCCATAAAGCCTACCTCGACCATCTCTTCGCCAAACAAGCATGTCTCCAATCAACCTTCTTCCAGTGCAACTCCCCAACGAACCGATGAAGCGAAAGCGATATCGAAACCCAGCTCATTGGTCCCCACTCTCGACCTCGCTGAGCAGATGAACGAGGACGAGAAGAGGAAATATATTAAAGGTAATCTTTTCTGCAGTTGACCTTTTTGTAGTTTCTCACTGACAGGTCCACCCCCCGTAACAACAAACAGGAAAGAAACTCGGCGAGGGTACCTATGCCATCGTCTTTCTAGGCCGTCTCCGCTCCGACCCGTCCTCACTCGTCGCCATCAAGAAGATCAAAGTTCAGAAAGAATACCGCGAAGGCATGGCACCGGATGCGGTTCGCGAACTCAAGCACCTCCAGGAGCTGCACCACCCCAACATCATCTCCCTCCTCTCCGTCTTTTCGTCCAAGGACCAGAACCTCAACCTCGTCCTCGAATACCTGCCCCTCGGCGACCTCGAGATGCTCATCAAGGACACCGAGCGCATCCGCTACGGCGCCGCCGACATAAAGGCCTGGATGGGCATGCTCTGCCGCGCCGTCTGGTTCTGTCACGAGAACTTCGTCCTCCACCGCGACATCAAGCCCAACAATCTCCTCATCGCCGCCGACGGCGAGGTCAAGCTCGCCGATTTCGGTCTCGCCCGCTCCTTCGCCGACCCCCTCCAGGTCATGACCAGCCAGGTCATCACCCGCTGGTACCGGCCCCCCGAGCTGCTCTTCGGCGCAAGGCACTACAGCGGCGCCGTCGACGTCTGGTCCGTTGGCTGCGTCTTCGCCGAGCTCATCATCCGTCACCCGTTCATGCCCTCCGACACCGAGGTCCAGCAGGTCAGCGTCATCTGCCACGCCGTCGGCACCCCGCGCGAGGACAACTGGCCCGGCGTCTCCAAGCTCCCCGCCTACACCGTCCCCGACGACGGCGAACCCCCGCGAGGCCGTGATTACTTCATGGGCTTCTTCAGCACCGTCGGCCCCGACGGCGTCGACCTCCTTATGAAGACCCTCGTCCTCGACCCCAACAAGCGCATCACCGCCCGCGACATGCTGCGCCATCCCTGGTGGCACGCTCAGCCCAAGCCCACCCGCAAGGAGTACCTGCCCCGTAAGGACGGTGGAGAATCCCAGATGGCCGCAGATCTCAAACGTCGCAATGGCATCCTGGAAGATGATAGAGGGTCCAAAGTTGCTCGCAGGCTGGATTTTGGGAAGTAAACCCAGACACCGTCTCGCTTACGCTCCACGCGCATATACAGAGGGAGGACATAATATCACGGTCAATACGGGGGAAAAACAGAAAGGATGCATGGATAAGGCGCCATCACTTCACGTTTGCTCTTAGGTCCTTGTTTGGGCTACTTGGCTAGTTACGCAAAGGAGTTTCGGGGCGTTTCTGGTTCTCAAGGAGTATTTCAGGGTGGGGGAGTTATATACAAAGGTGAGGCGCGTACATGGTTTAGAAACGCCGTCCCACGAGTATATGCATTCCATTACTTTCGATTTTCGATTTTTTTTTAGTTCTCGACTTCCCTTTTCCCTCGTATCCTCTTTCGGCAGCTCAGTCTCGCCCTGGTCGCCTTACATCAGAGAGCACTCCAGACCGTACATAGCCCTCTCCACGCGATTCTTCACCTGATACCAATCCGCACGCCGCTGCGCATACTCATACACCTCCTCGGCACGAAAAACGCCGCCGAACCGGTCGCCGTCGGCGATAACAGTGGCCATCTCCTTTGCGTGACGGGGCTCGATTAGGTAGATCTGGCTGAGTTCCCGCAGCGCCTTGAAGTAAGCCAGCAGGTCCGGGTTGCGCAGGGTGCGGATGTACTCGAAGTAGAGGTTCATGTCGGCGATGAGCTTGATGGCCCCGGCCGTGCTGACGCGCTGACGCTTCAGGTGCTTGCACACCGCCGTGAACAGCCGCAGCCCGACCTCGCCGTTGAACACATCTAGCATGGTCTTTTCCGTCGTCCCCACCAGCATCCGCGTGTGCGACGACACGAGTTCCACAATGCGCGTCGCCGTCGCCGTCGGGCCTGGGTCCGCCACGATGCCCGCGGCCGAGAAACCACCCCCGGTGCCGACGATGCCGTTGCCATTGCCATTGCCATTGCCGTTGCCGTTGGCGCTGCCGTTCGTCGATTCGAGCTCCGGGTGATAGTCGGTCGGTAGCTGCGTCGAGCCCTGCAGGTACTCCACCTCATCCATGAGCACGTCGATGCCCTTGTTCAGCCCAGCGGCGACGCTCTCGTCCAGCATCTGTTCCCACTTCTTTTTGGCGAGGCCGGCCGGGTCGAGAAAGTCGTTCTTGTCGGCAATCTTGGGCCCCGCCAGCTGCTGCTCGTAGAACACTTCAATCATCTGCGAAATAAGATCACCCACGTTCACGAGCTCGATGAACTGGACCAGAGGGGCAACACCCGACTGGTCATGATGGCTGACCTCCCGCGGGTTGTACTGCGAGAGGTGTGCGACGGCCTTTTCGAACCCAGGTTGCACATGCTTCGTCCCCAGAATGCGAAGGAGAACAACGAAGATGGCTTCGCATTGCTCTCGCGCCTCTTCGCCACATTGACCCCCAAGCTTGATAAACTGGGCCACCCTCCCAAGGCTGGCCTGTGCGGCGTGCACAAGATTCAAGGCCACCTCGATGCTGAAGAGCGACTTGATACCCTCGAGCCGTGACGCCATCAGAGCTGCTTTCGCGGCTAGCTCGTCCGTGGGAGCTTTGTCCGGTAGTGGACTTCGCCTCCCGTCCATGCTTCCCCCGAGACCCGGCCCTTCTGACCGAGAAGGCTGGGCGAGCGTGTTCGCGCCGGACCCGTTTGGCGATGACGAGGCGGCAGGCTTGGTCGCCGCCGCAGTCGACGAAGAACCCCCCATTGGGAAACTCGGAAGCACACTCACGGGCATCATGACAACCTTTTTGAAGGAGCTTAAAAAATCGGTCTTGTCAGCCTGCCGGTTGAAGTTCGACATGTAGAACGACTCGACCGAAGCGTCCTGCTCCGATAGCCTCTTCTCCCATGTCCCCACCTCGGCGTCAGCATGCCTGGTGAAAAAGTCGATCTCCTCCTGCAAGTAGAGGTCGATGTGAGGCTCGAATACCCTCATCGTCATCTCTTTGGATTTTGCCTCGATATCAACCGCCGAACTCTCCGGAGGAACCAGGGATCCGAAAAACAACAGGGACTGCTCGAATAGTCCAGACACAGCTTTCAGGTATGACTCAAGAGAGCGCTCGTGGGCCGCATCAAAGAGCGACGTGGTGTACTCCATGATGATGTCCTCCCGTACCTTGTTGACGAACTCCCAGAATGGAGCCTCGGGGCGGGGGAATATTCGCTCGATGATGGCTGCCTGCTCATTCACCTTCCGCAGCAGCATTTCGAAAAAGATCCGAGACGGGTCCAGCGTGATACCGCCAGAGACAGCTCGATTCAGACAGTCCACCGAGTTGGCGGCTATCACCTCGTGGTCACCGAAGAGAGGGTGCTTGTGGATGAAAAGTTCCACGACCGCATGGCCGCCGTTCAATTCATGAAGAACGTGGGCGTACCGCCGCATCCTCCCGTCAACATCCCAGAATTCGTAACCTTGCTCGAATTCTCGGAGCACGGCGCTTTCGAAAATGCCCGACATGGTCGAAAGCTTCTCCTCTCTTAACATCCACCCCTGTGCCCAGTCACTCCGGGCAAAGACGTGGAGGTTGGCGAGCATCTGGGCCTGTTGCTCGGGGTCCCTGAAAGCCTGGAAGACTATAGGATCCGTATGGCTCTGCGCTCTGGCTAGGTCGTAGTAGAAAGGGGCCAATGCTCCATAAATCTTTCCATATTCCTGCCTCGCGTAACCCCGTATGCTCCGCACATTCTTGAAGACCTCCAACACGTCTCGGGGATCTTTGGGCGGATCGTTTGGATGTGCTGTTTCTAGTGTCATCGTCTCAAACCCATCGACTGGTATGGTCGCAGACAAGCGCTTCTGCCGGTCCGCTTCCACCGAGGCATCAAAGATGGTCGTATCCTCTGGTTTAGAGGCTGTATGGGACGGCGGATCTGATGCAGGCTGCTTGCTGGCAGCCTTGGATTTATCCAAAGCTTCGCGCTTGCGGCGCCTCGCCTCGTCAAACCGCCTCCTCGCCTCTATTTCATTCCAGCATCCCATGCTCTTCAATCGCGCAACCCATCTCGTGTCATCGTACACCATCTCTCGCATTCGCCAGGAGCATTGGGCAACTCGCATAAGATCGGAAACAGGGAGGAAGTCGAGGACAGCAACGAGGATCTCTAGTGCTCGTCAGCTCGAGCCGCAAGAATGGCCGAGGGCACCTAGGTCTGTCATTCGCACCTGCTGGGAGACTGGGTCTCGAGTCCAACATCTCGGTTGCTTTGAGAACACTGAGGATGCCACCCCGCGGAGGGGGGCCTCCCGTAGACTTGTACATATTTTCTCGGGTGTTCGAAAGGTGACAGGCGACACGGCCGAGTTCAGGGGAGTTTGGTACCTTCGTTCGATGGCGACACCCTGAGCATAGGGGTAAGGGAAACGCTTAATGTCCTAGATTCCCATGCTTTAGCTTAAACAACACGCGCTAGAAAACAACAACGACTTGGAAGACGAATTGATCGTTTCTTCTTCGCCTTTTTTTTCTTCCTTTTCTTTTCGAGGTATGAAATTATGGAAGCTCCGTGTTCAGTCAGAACTCTGTAGAGCGAGATGAAGGATCCGAAGGAAGCACTATCCCAGGTTCGATGGTATGGATGGGGAGTGCGATTGCCTCTTCCCGTCAGCTCCAGGTGCCAGTTGCCTTGTTGGTGATTTGACAGCTGACAGGGTCAAAGATTCGAGCAACGGAATATAAACCAATAATAATGATTGGTTGGTTTTCAATCAGCTACGCCACCCACGGGTGGTCTGGGCTTCCCAGAATAAAGGTTGGGTAGGTACCTTACCTTATGTGGAACCCCCAACCCCCGGGGGACCCGTTCCGCCTTCTACGCTACCATGAGCTCAAGACCCGAAGATACAATAGACAATTCCGTATCACTCGAACATCTTGCCCTTTTCGCACGATACGAAGCATCTCGTTCTTATCAAGCTGGCCCAACGTAGTGCCATCCTCCTTTTCCAGAGGCTTTCTTGGAAGGTTGCCCGAGAATTACTACTTCGTTCACGAATGGGCTCAATGACGGCTGGATTATCTATTCTCTTGTCAAGGCTTCATCTCGCCATGCCCATCATTTCCGCTAGATACTGGCTTGGCTCCTTTGCCGCTCTTCAGCCGCTTCTGCAGCTAGAAATCCCCTTACTGCCGGGTTCTCAAGTAGCTCCTCGCCTCTTCCCGAGTTCCCCGACTTGGCGACATGACCGAACAAGCATTCCCATAAATCATCCTTGTCCACCGATTCCCCCGCAGTTTTGTCCTTGCTCATGAGCTTGGAAAGCGAAGCCTGCTCCATTTCCAACGTATTGGCAGCCTCGAGCGCCGGTTCGAGCACTTCCGGTGTCGACTCCTTCGACTTCCCCTTGGACGACTGGCCGATGTGCTCCATGCGGCGCTTAACTGAGAGGTTGTAGATAGACTCCTCGACGGTACCCTCGATCAGATATAGCCATACAGTGGTCTGGTGCCGTTGGCCGATACGGTCGACTCTCGCTATCGCCTGCAGCTCAAGGGCTGTGTTTAGAACAGGTTCACACAAGAATACGTGGCTGGCGTTGACGAGATTGAGTCCGCTCGATTGGGCCCGGCCGTGGAGCAGGAAGCACTCAATGCCGGCGTCTTCCTTGAAACTCTGGATACCATTGGTTTGGTCGAACGAGGTGTAGCCAATACGGAATCGTGAGAAGGCTAATCCAATCACGCCTAAAAAGTCCCGATACCTGGAACGCCGGTCAGCAACTAAGGCAGGTCCTCACGCGGCGTCCTGATAAAGACGAGTGAGGTAGTACTCACTGGGAGAAAATGATTGACTTGGCTCCGGGATCCGATTCTCTCAACCAGAGAATGTGTCGCACGATCGCATCAACTTTCGTTGTGAATGAAGGACCCTCCAACTCGATGTTATAGATCTGTTCAAGCTTCTCCGCCCCAAACTCCGTATAGATTCCCGTCTTCTTTGAAGCTGGGCTGTGTTTTGGCTCTCGGCCCTGGACGGGATCTGGTCCATCTTGGTTATGCAGCTTCAGTTCCCTCGGTCTGATTGTGATGTCGTGTAGTTCCGAGATGCGAAGCTGTCGTTTACACATGGGACAATTGTGATTTGCCTTGAACCATAGCATCATACACTCCCGGCAAAACTGGTGCCCACAGACCGTGAGGATGCCTGTTGTAAAGGTGGACTGGCAGATAATACACATCCTGGGCTCGCTCGACCTGGACCCGGTGTCCCTGAGACTCAGCACTGTTCGTCGAGTTAGAACCCTGCTCGGCCAAGTGGTTCAGAACTAGGGACTTACGGTAGCGGTGCTTCGCTTCGGCTGCACCTAACTTCTTCCGAGAGATCTCTTCACTCTCGACGCACTTAGCAATAGCCACATCGTCCCTTGGTCCTTCATACGTCTCCACGCTGTCCGACACGTACTGGAGCTGGCGGTAATAGTCCAGCCTGGCGTTCATGGCACTGGTGAACTTGTCGCATTCGCGTTCCAAACCTTGACAAGCTTTTGACTGGGCTAACATCTGTGCCAGGGTGTCTTTGATCTGCCGGGTAACCACTTCGTGTTCCATCCGGGTCCGCCCTTCGTCGCTTGCATCTGACGGGGCAAGTCTGCCAGCAAGGGCACGTAGCTCGGATATTGTACCCCGAAGACAACCTTGTTCGGCCGGCGGCCTGACCTCGTCACGAACCGCCAGCAGCTCGAGCAATTTCTCAGGCGCTGGGCCTTCGCCATTTTTGGCAAGGGCTTTCGTTGTACGAGTTTCGTGCTTGACAAGTGGATTTTCCAAGCCAGAGAGGGCACTCAGCCGATCAGCAACTATGGCTCTCAACACCTGAACGTGGACCATCAATTCCTCTTGAATCTTCGTAGAGTCTGCGAACTCGTCTCCCGTTAATTCAGTATGTTCCTCTTGATCTACCAGAGGTCGTGTTAGTAGTTGTACGAGTCTCTCCCTCCATGCGTCAATGATGTCCGCTTGGGTGTTGAGTGCTCCGTAGAGATCCTCGATTTTCTCGATGACTGGACCGCTCTCTATCCCTTTCAGCGGGTTGGGCACCAGTTCGGGTACGGTAACGAAATTCTGAGACGACGCTAAGTTCTGTAGACGTCTTATATGCTTCGTTGCCTTTCTGTGATTCTATTACAAGACGTTAGCAGCCGCAAAGGAAGATATCCACAAATCGTCAACTCACTTCGGATAGAATCTCTCGTCGAATCCTCTTAGCTGCCTCGTAGCCCTCATCTTCCAGCCGCTGCAGTGATTTGAACTCCTCGGAATCAGGCCGCGTCAAGTCGGCATCCGACGTGATCTGGAAGTATGCATTTGCGCAGAAAAACACAGCTTTGTGCTGGACCTCCCACGCCAGGCGGAGCCGCATCCGAGCCTCAGCAACTCTACCTTTACCTTGAGAGCTGACAAAGAGTTAGAACCTACCCCAGATTTAAAGGAAAGACAACATACTCATCTGCTTCATCTTCCATCTCGGACTCTTCTGAAGCTTCAGTCTCTAACAGGCGTTTTCCGTCCGTCGCCGCCCGTTGCCTTGCCTCGTCTATGGCAACTCGGAGCTCTGCCTGGCATTTTGACACGATGCCATCCACTTCATCCCTCACGTCCTCCCAAATGGCCAATGCTTCTTTCACCCGGGGCCCGTTCTCCAACATTTGGCCACGACAGAGCTTCGCATGGAAGTAGACTCTCTGCTCGGCCCTGATGGAAGCTTCGCTTTGCTCAATCATGGTATTTAGAACTTCGTCTACTGTTCGGAGTGGGCCGGTTTTGCGGCCTAAGGCGCGACGATTCTGAGCACCAACTTCGGGATGCAGCGCAGTCTGCCGCAAACGGTTGAGCCACGATCTCATCTGCTCCTCGTAATCTCCGGGTTGCCAGTCATCAACCTTCGGCGACCCGTCGACATGTACTCCGCAGGCCTCGGCCATCTCTTTGAAGAGTGATCGATAGTGTTGTTCTTCCACCGCGGTGAACGGCATGGTAATTACGAATCGTTTTTGTGATGGGAGTTCTAGTTCGTCCCTCACCAAATGTTTCGTGTGTCGAATGGCTAGTTCGTTGAACAGACTTCGGAAAAGTGGTTTATGTCGTTCTGCGAGGGCTTTCCAGACCTGAGGAGCCGAGCAGAAGGGCTCATACTTCAGGAAAAGGAGAAGACCCAGCAGATCTTTCACGTCACTTTTCACGGGAGTGCCCGTGACTCCCCATGCATTAATCCGATGCAACACTCTGGCCACGAGGGCGGCGGAGCTCACGCCGCTCTCGATCATCTGAGCTTCGTCAAGGCAAACCCTCCACCAAGATATTTGTACGAGCGGCGACTTGGGCCTTGGAAATGCCCTTTCGCGCCGACGCGACCTATCGGGGGGCTTCGTGGCGAAGTGTATTTCCGCTGAGAGTGTATTGTAGGTAGTAATGACGACGTCTTGAGACGCCAAGTGGCGGACAAGTTCCTCTTCTCCTTCGATTCCTGCCTTGGCCCGGCCTCGGTAGAAGCAGACCTGCAAACTGGGTGCATGTAGTTGGAGTTCTGTCATCCATTGCTGCCGTAGGGACTCGGGGCACACGATAATGGTAGCGCGGCTTCGAACAAGCTGCTCCCCATTTACGTCGACAAGGCCATGTCCGTCTTCCATTTGACGTTGATGCAGAAGGATCAGGCCGATGATCTCCAGTGTCTTTCCCAGCCCCATCTCTTCCGCCAGAATGCCCCCCTTCACCGATCTTTCGAGATCGGCAAAGGGAGAAGTGTTCACTGCAATTACATGGTACAGGCGGCTAAGCGACAGGCGCTGACCAGAGAAATCAGTGACCTTGCTAAAGCTACGGGCGCCCGCGGAGGAAGCCCTTGGAAGAATCTCTTCCACACGGGGTCCGTCGCCGTCGCTGGGAGGTACCCAGCATACGCCTTCACGGTTCAGGAGCCACTGCAACGTCCTTTTCTGGTAGGGATACAAGGTCGATGTGAGCCCTGGCACTTCGATGGTGTGCGGCAGCGTTTCGCTCGGAGACGGCACGTGTGCAGATTCATAAAAGTCCAAAGGTGTCCAGCGCTCCCCTTCTAGCGACCTGTCTGTTGGAGTGTCTTCACCAGGGAAAAATGTCGATATAACCTGATCGCTGAGTTGCCGTTGTCTCTGTGTCCGCAATCGGTATGCATGCGTTGTTATATTCCAATAAAGGTCGATGCAGAAGATGACGGTGAGGGATTTCCCATATCGTTCTAGCCGAATATCGACGTACGTCCACAGCGCGCCCTCATCTTCCCTCGATTCCTTTGCGCCAAGAACACGGATGCAGGTCTCAAGCTGCCGGCTCACGGAACCCGGACGCAATGCAACCAGGATGCTAAAAGCCTCGCGGCCGCCCTTTCGCCGGGGTTTCAGCGATATCCCCAGGGTCTTGCCGTTGGTGTCGAGGCGAAGCCGGAGATAGTCACCCACGTCTTCTCGAACTATCGAGTCGGACACTTGGAGGGCATCGTCGCACCGTCTAGTTATCGAAAGCTGTTGTTTATCAATGAGACGGGACTCGACAGGATTGGCGACCAGTTTAATCTTCTTCGACGGCGGTTCCAGGGTACATATGTCCTCGGTGGGGAGTCCAGGACAAGGAAGTGCAGCCACTGCATTGACGAGTTTGGGAGGGAAATCATCTGCATATGTCAGCAACTGTTGCGTATCTTAGCACAATGAGATGCCCGGAGTAAAACATTATACATACCATTGGGCCCGACCTGCGGGATCATCGCTGAGTTCGTCTTCCAGGCCGGCATCATCTCCGGCGCAGTAGGTGCATTGGCGGTCGAGAGGATGTCAACAGAAGACGGTCGGCGTACTGATCAGCTTTTCGTGGTTTACAGCCCTGAAGTCTCCCGGTCTCAATGCCAATGTGTTGGACGCGCCCTGGGAGACTGTCCAACGGCTGCTAAGTCGTGGTGGAAAGGAGGACGGTAGCAAAGAGTGTCGTAGGAGGGAAGCTCGACAAGCGCCGAGACTAGGTATCTAAAGCAGGCAGGATCCACCTCGGCTTATCTTATCGATCTTTTGAGCTCTTTTGAACGTTCGTTTGCCACGCGACATGGTCCGTGCTGGACTACCGTGTCAGACGTTTCGTTTCGGAGCGTCGTAATAACTGTTTTCCCATATTCACTTAGGTTCGCTATTTTTTTCTGGTGGTCTGCAAATTGGGTCGCACGTCTCGTCTTGCAGAACATCGACGACCTGCAAGATAAGAAATACACCGAGTCAATTAATACTTTCGGCCGAAGAACGTCTTTCCACTGGGTATGAGCGCTGAACATCTGAGCGACAACAAGGTCACTAACTTGGTCTTAGGTGGTGGAGTCGACACTTCACCATGATGAAAGCTCCCCGGATACATATTTCTCTCCTGAACTTTTTCGTTCCCAGAGCGCCACCATCGGTCATCGGCGTAACCCAGACGAGATGGCTACACAGGACACGGGCTCCTAAGCCAGTTCCTTCCCCGATTCCCATCGTCCCCGACGTTTCGACCTTTCTCAAAGTCATTGGCCGCGGCCTCAGCCAGTATGCCGACAAGATCCCTTCATGGGAGGCCCTCTTTACTCTGTCTACGACACAGATGAGGGAGCTGGGAATCGAACCACCTCGGACACGCCGCTATCTTCTCAATTGGCTGGAACGATACCGGAAGGGCGCTCTGGGCCCTGGGGGCGACTTTAAACATGTCGAGAACGGGGAAGCAATTCTCAAAGTCGCGACAACGGAGGCGCAGGACCGCAAGTGGGTGGTGAATGTCCCGCGAGGTCAAGAACCGTCGGAGCTCTCGGGGGAGGCCCTTGCCAGGGTAAAGGGCTATTCAGTACAGGGCGCCCGTACTATCACAGGCCCCTTCGCATTGCCTTTGAAGGAGGGTGCAGGTGCCAGAGTGCCCATCATCGAGGGAATGTGGGAAGACAAGCAAGGTTACAAGGTTGACGGCGGAGAGAGGAGGCGGGCCGAGGTGCGCTACAAGAAGCGCGTTGCCCAACGTAAAGCGGAGAGGGAAGAGGCTGGGTTGCGGTAACCGCGTCAGTCGAGCCGCTCATTTCAGGCGGTGGCACTTCGCTTGACGCCAGCCGTGTCTGATACTCATCGGTGTACAATACCACATCCTGTACCAACATTACCAAGACGGGCATACCTGATTTCTTCTGCATCGTCTACGGATTGGCACAATGCTACTTCGAATTTCGAGTTGCTTAGAACCATGGGAAAAAAATTGAAAAAAAAAAACCCCCCCATTTGTAGTACACTGGGTGTGGTCACTACCTGGCTCAGCCTAAGATGGGTCACAGACAGTCTTGCACGACCATCCCACCCCGTCCAACTGCAAATAAAACGCTGCAGTGCTTGGGATCCCCTTGTTCCTGCCGGCAGGAGAGAGATATGAGAGTAGTGAGAGGCTCGAATAAATACTCCGGGGCGGGTAGAAAAGTGGGAGCGGCGAAGGCCCCCCGCGGGGAGGACTCGGGGAACAGCGGGTGGTCTCTCCTTTCACTCTTTACTTTATTCTCACTTTTTACCTTCTTCATATATTGAAGCAATCCCGTCTCAGAACCCAAATTTAGAAAGGCTTACAACTCTAGACATGTTAACAACCTAGCCCTCTAGACGTCGACAAGAACGAACTAATGGCGCATTTGAGTTCCGAAGTGTAGCCGGATATCGAAGATTGCGAGCTACTCAACCGATGAGGGATCTAACCTGTCTGTTTGGCCAAGAGAAACAAGTAATAGGTGCGCGTGTTGCTATCATAAGGAATACTGGAAAGACCGAAATAATGACATAGTCTAGACCTCTTTGATCTTCATCTTTATCTTTCATTATTTATAATTTTATTTTATTTTTGCTTTCTTCTTTCATTATTATAAATTGATGCTAGTTCGCCTTGGGATGCGGGTAGTAGTCGGGGGGCTCGAGGCCCAACAGGTGTGTCAAGAGGTCAAGAGAGGATGATCGCTCAGGTGTGTAGAGGACCGGAGAGTCCGGATACCCCGGCACAGGTCGAACAAGTGGAGACCGCCACTCCGAGCGAACGGAGCCGCAGGAACGGCCCGTTACTGACTGTCTCCCCTTTCCAGTAGCCACGTATCATGAAGGAAACTATCCGTACTCCTACTAAAAGTTTCATTCAACGACAGGGGGGGGAACAGCCGACTTACGCCACAGGTCCATTCAAGAGCGATCCGTACGCAGCTACTAAGACCCGTCATTGCGGAGCCGATATGGGGGGATGGTGAAACAATAGGGGCGAACTCTGGCCCTAACTTGACTCCAGAGACTTTAAGGACAAAGCTCATTAGAGACGGGGTTACTAATGGTAAGAAGAAAAGGCTCAGATCAATTCGGGAAATCCCATTTCAACAAAGCCTCCAATGTTGATTAAGCCCCGCTAGCTCGTGGGGGGAAGTTCACGGGTTGAGTACCTACCTACCGCGCTCTCCTGGGTCAGTATGTTGTTAGCGCTGAGTTGTACAGCAACTCAACCCAACGGAAATTTCTCTATCATGTCTTACATGAAATAGGACTACCGTACCGTACTTCAAGAGCGAATGGTGTCGCCGGACATAGAACGGAGTAACCGGAGTTTCAAGAACTTCTACTTCGGTGTTCTCGATGCAAAGCAAACAAGAGTGCTTGACAATCTGCGTCGCTCAGAAGGAATATCCCAGCCCAGTATCTCATCCGATTAGAATCAGCCTATGAGGCAAATTTCAAGACGATTAACCCTGGTACACGTGGACGTACGGATACAGGTCAATATGGAGGCCCGGTCCACAAAGAAGTCAAGTCCCAAAGGAAGTGAACCCTCTTGGGCCGACGTACGTTGTTTGTGTCTATATTGGTGTCTTGGGGTAGGGAATATATCGTGGCTGCGAAGTGGATTTTAGCCTGCATGCAAAGAGGTGCGACTGACGCATCGATCCCTGTTTTTAAGATTGCCCTCGTAATTCGTCACAACGACGCTTTGATAGGCGGTGCTGAAAAGAACACAAGGATTCTCGTCAAGGATACCAAGGGGAGGGGGTTCAGCGTGGAGCTCATACTTCGTAGATAGCTACAACGGAAGTCGGCATTCGAGAGAGATGAAATTATTAGGGATCAATGTCTGGCATCCGAGAAGGGTGCTGCAAAGATACGGGCCGACCAGAGATACCGAAAATCCAATAATAGAACGAGGCGTAAAATCCACCCAATAAGATGCACGCAGTCGCAAAGGGAGCCGTGAAGTTTGAGGCCGACCCACACAATGTGTTTGGTATTTTGAGAAACGATACCTACTTATTGGTCACGATACGGACATGGATGCCTGTCCGTAGTCACCGACTGTTTTATGGCAGGCTAGCTAGCTCGGAGACCTGTCTGTCGACCATCAGATCAACATAGAGGAGTAAAGACCTTACTAAGGTAGTCCATATGGACGTTTGGTGTGCATATTTCGTACCTGTATCCTTGAGTGTATAATATGCCTAGCGTATATCTATTCTTATCCACCACTAGCTAGTCAACGTGTTCATACTGCTAGGTATGAATTCTCCGTAGGTACTTCGAACTATCTTCATCACGGGTTTCTGACAGCTCGGCGTCTTTCTATTTGAAATGATGAAAATCAAGAGATATGATCGCCAGGAAAATCAGACACACCACTTGGACAGGGCGTTCCCCTCACAGGCGGACCCGTTCCAAGCCTCCGCACTCTCGGAGGTGAAACAACAAGTGCGAGTTGGTACTACGACGTATTCGCTGGACATGGGGCATCGCGAAGGCCACTTTCGTAGTTATTCCTTTTCCTTTTTCTTTTTAAAAGGCAAAACGAAAACGAGACGTTCTTTATTGATGCCTCAAAATACTGGTTATATATCTTTGCTCCTCTCATGTGATTCTTGGCTTGGGCAGGACCTGAGTGCAACGTACTCGGATCCGGAGTACTATGGTTCCTTTCCATGCCCTATACACCAGTACGGAGCACCTGACTTGTCCGTTGTGGGGGGCCGAGAGATTGACGCGAGTCCCCGCAGTATCCAAGTCCGGTTCCGGCGTGTGTGGAATCTCGGCTCCGTCGTTGGACGGCCTCCATACCGAATGGTTCTGCATCTAATGTTGTCGCACGGAGTAGTTAGTACGGATAATGTTTAAGAAAGCCCATCATTATGTTACTTCTGACATGGATTCTTACAAGAGCTACATAGGTACCTACCTACACCGCCACTCTGGAATTAACGTTACTAGAAGACGCGAAGTTGTACAAACTACGCGTGTTGTGAGGACCCCACGAGGCATTCATTACGCGTACATTCCTTGACACCGTTCCGCCTCGATCGATTGACCTCGGACCTGAAAATAGACTCTTTCGGCAAGGTCGAAAAACCCCCTAAACCCGTAGGTCCCAGGTGGGGTGGGATGTGTGGAGATGGATTTGATGAATCGGCCAAAGTTGCCCCGACCTGAATACTAATCAATGTCCGCGTGGCTTGATACCTACCTACCTTACGCATGTATGTACCCATCTTCCCAAGGTAGGTACCTACTCTGTGCAGAAGGGAAGGATTCGACCAGTGTGCCAACCATTCCCGGTTCCTGTTTTCCCCCTGCCCATTTTGGATCTTCTCACCCCTTGTCTCCGCCAGTGCGGGTAAGGCGCGAAGCCTCATACGTCTGACCCCACACCTCTTCATTCCCTAGAGTACAAAGTAGTTTCGGCTCCGTTATTTTTTTCTTTCTTTTTTTAATCCTTTAATGGAACCCCCTACGGTCATGTACGTAGTCGTATTTCGTACCTGACCATTTCCTTGGCTTTTGACTTCGAGGGGGAAGATCCGCCCACGAAGTATGCCCTGTCAGGCATGCCGTTCGAGCCGATCTCGTTGCCATGCGGCATGATCCCTCGAGGTCGCCCCTTTGGCGAATCGGCACTCGTTAGCGACGGTCTCCATGGCTTCACTGTGTGAAGTCTACCCTACGAGTGGTCCCAAGGCACATCGGATTCACCCGTACTGATCCTTGCCTCAGTGCCGACTATTGCTGGTCCTCTCGCCTACGCACCCTTGCCCAGGCTAGTTATCTTCACCTGTCGGCCTACATAAACAGTAGGCTATCCTCTCCGAAAGATCTTCCATAACACATGTTTTGTTTCAGCATACAGACTCCAACCACAGGGTTTGACTGAAACTTCACTTTCCCTTATCAAATAAGACGGGACCTGCCTCTATACCCTTCCTCAAGATTATCTTTCATCTCCTCGGGAACTCACAACTTGTTCACCTCGCTATTCCTAACGGACGTTTTGAGCAACATTCTCCGCCCCCGGTCGAGTGCAACTTTTGGGCAGTGTCTTAAATGTCTGCCCCTCGCGTTCATGTCCGCAGACCCACGACCTCTCAATCACCCTGAGTTGCCAAAAGTCATCGTCACGAGCATAGACCCTCGAGAGTACAGCCTACAGGACGAGGGAAGCACACCCCGACCAACTACGGAGGCGAGCTCTATACTTGGAATCGGCAAACACCCAGCTTCACGGTCACAATCTTCCCCTAAGCGGTCTGCTAGTATTGCCGAATCTCCAGGCCTCCAAGAAAAACAGAAAACACCATGCCTTCGAAGGGGTCAAAGCAGTCCGATGGCAGTCCGACAAAGTCCGGGCAAACCAAGGGCAAGCCCAAGGCGCTCAAGACAGACGACTGGGCGGAGGTTACGGACCCTGAGATGCGCAGACGCATCCAGAATCGAATTGCACAGCGCAAGTTCAGTAAGAAACGGTCTAACGATCTAGTCTTTTGCCGTTATCTCTAGTAGGCTGCTTGGTGACTGACCTTACTCGCACAGGAGAAAAAGCACGAGAAAACAAGGAAAAGGCCGAGCGAGAATCCCAAAACAAGGAGCTCGCGGGGCAGGCTTACTACACCCCATCGACGACCGACTTGGGGCCCGATCAGGAGGAGTCCGGGTTACCCTGGGGCGGCATCAGCATGAGACACGTCGTCTCCAGAGGGCACGAGTACGAGAGCCGTCGAAGCAGCAAAGGCGACTGCGTGCGGGACGACATGCGGATGCTGAGCCCGTACAGCACCGGTGCCTATGCGGGAAATGCCTACCCCCAACCTCCCGGCTACGCCAGTAGCGGGGCAGAAGAGATATTTTATGAGGGGGAATCGCAATACCCCTACGATTTTGACCAGGGAAATGACCCTCCCCAGATCCAACCGCAACAGAACAGTTAGTTTCCCATGTAGTCATGAAAATTTTGTCAGTTTTCATCCCACGTTCGCGAGTATACCTCTATAGGCTAACACACGAATTCACTGGCAGTTGGAAGTAGTCCGGTCTGGCAGCCGTATCCCGATGTCTTTGCCTCCCCGTTGATGCAGCCCTACGACATATCCTCTCCCAGCAACAGCAGTACGTCGTCGCACGGCTTCGGATACACTGGGCAGAATCTCTCTTAGAATGTCTTGTGCTATTGGATATGCAAGTGTTAGAGCATGTCCTATTATCTGGGTCTTGATAGTGTTCCTGATGAGATCGGGGCTTCCCCTAACATCAAGAGCCTCTATTTGATGGTTAATGAGCGTGCTTCCATTCTCTCTCTACTCTTCTTTCACCAGCGACTCAGCCTCACAGCCCTCGCCACTTGTCCAATCTTCATCTAATGTTGAAGATTTGACGCGTGGATGGTGGTCAGCAGCATTACTTGGCTTGTGTACCATTAACAAATATACTGCGTAATAATGGGGATATATGTTCGTACGGATACCTTAAGTGACGGAGGGGTTTGAGTACCTTAGGTCAAGGGAGAAGTACCGATGTCAATGAGCGGTATAGGCATGGGACGAAGTATATTACCCAATCTACGAAGTACATTCCAATATTCGCAATAACTCTCGACCAGGGGGAATAGGTAAGGTAGGTACTCAAAACTAGGTACCTTAGGTACCTAGGCAGGTCTTGAGCCAGGTATGCGTCTCGAGCAGTTCTCCTACCGCATCCGGTGACCGAAGAGATCCTGACGTGAAACTCGCTGCCTTAGCGTAGATAGAATCGGCAAGTACGTAGCACCCAGCATGCATTTCTAAGCTTGTTGAGCTTCGTTCGTTTGGTCTCGGCTGGGCTGCCACGTTTTACCCTGCCTCCGCCCTACGAAGTACATGCAGCGGGGCGTAGCACCCTGTGACGACAGCGGTATGACATGTGACATAGTAGTTGTACTTCTTGTGCAGAGAGAGGCAGGAACAGTAGTGTACCTTAGGCGAGGCACATCTTCAGCAGTCATCGGGAGTGCAATTTGGATGGATTGGGAATCATGGAAGAAATTGGAGGTGATTTGGGTTGAATGGACCAAGGATACCTTACGCAGTACGTCACGGGGCTGCAGCAGGATGTACATACGTGAATTTGGTACCACGGGTCAACCTAGCGGCGGAGATGGAAAATGAAGGGGGTGAGATCCCTGTGAGATCCCCATCGCACCATGATGTGTGATGCTGTTCGAAGGAATGAAGATGGCTAAGGTACTTGAACCCCCCTTCTCAGCCCAAAAGGAGGGGCCCTTGATGTTCTCGTGATCCTTGAACGATCATTGGTCCCAGTTTCTAAGAGCTGCGACACCAGGGTACCTTAAGGTACGGAGAAAAACGAAGAGTGGGACCTATCTTGCAAAGTCTTGCGATAACGTTTCGGCTGGACCTAAGGTACATCATCCAAGCGCTACTCCGTACAGTCTGACACTTCGTCGCGTTCTTAACCCGCGGATTTCTCCCGCGAAGTCATGCAGGGAAACAAAGGCAGGTAACTTCTCAGGTACCAGAGAGAACGGATGGTGTTATTGCCAGTGCAGCCTAATAGTTATTACCACCAGAAATGCGTGCGGTTGTGTCCGCGATTCTCTAAGATCTGGTAGGAACTAGCAAGGGCTCTCGTGGGTGGATTCGGTGTCTTATAGGCACCGCGGTATTATAGGTGCCGCGCAAAGTCCCACGCGACTCACCGCCCGGCAATAATACCTTTTTTGTCCCCCAACTAAGGTACTGTAGCAAGAAACTCATAATACCTAAGGTATCAGTAGCCGCCATTTTAAGAAGTAGCCCCCGCAATACACACTGAGAAAAGAAGAAAGAATATAATTACCAATTAGGGCAGTGCACCGAGTTAATTGGTCTACAACCACAAGCAGGTGGACGCAGTCGCACGTCAGTGAGAGTGGTGATCCTGTGAAGATCCAGGACGAGGCCGAAGAGAAAGGTACGTCTTACTGGCCGGAAATACTCCTATGCCACTCGTTCCCAAGTTCACCGTTCCTTCACACCTTCGATCTTCCCTTTCTCCACTCTTTGCCTTCCCTTGTTCTCACCTTTCAGATGTTCCCCTTATGATTATCGGGCGAGTGCCGAATACGGCATCAAGCGCCACCAAGGCCGACTGCTGCTGGTTGCTGACCAACATGCCTATCCACCAGAGCACAGATCTAAGCGCGAGGAACACAACAAGCGGAAGATGTCAGCGAACGACCCCCACAAGATGGAGAAGCGAACAAAGCGCATGATGAGAAAGGCCGACAAGTTGGAAGCAGAGGGCAAGAAGCTGCTCCACGAAGCTGATGTCCTTCGAGGACAATGTCGCATCCTGATGGACGGATACACAGAGGTACACCTATCTGCTCACCACAAGCACGTATTTGATACTGACGCTTCATTGAAGAAACTGGAAGCAGAGAAGGACAAGATCGCTCAGGACGCCGATGACGATTTAGAAATGGAAGCTGTCGACTCCCAGACGCGTTCCAAGACCGACGCTTCAGAAGCAAAGTTGAAGAAGAAAATGAAGAAGCCCAAGTCGTCTGAGGAAGGATCACAGCAAGCGGAAGACCCTCCCGCGACAGCCAAGTCTGCCGAGAAGGACACATTAAGGGAAAAGAAGAAGAAGAAGAAGAACGGCAAGAAAGAGGAATCGATGGAGCAGACTGAGGCGGTTGAAGGAGCTGAACAGGCCGAGCGGATCAACCCGAAGTCGAAAAAAACGAAGAAGTTGAAAAACGAAATGTCGAATGAGGAAGGGGAGGAGGAGCATCCCGCGGAGGACGAGCCCGACAAAAAGACGAAGAAGAAGCGCAAGCGCGAGCGCAACGACGCGGAGACCCCGAGCGACCAGGACCAAACCGCAGATATTAAGGATAAAAAAGAGAAGAAGCGCAAGTCGTCGACCGAACACGAAAAGTCCCACCCGAGTGCACAAGAGGCGGGAGCTGAGAACGGCGAACAGTGGAACGTCAGTGGTCTACAAGGCGGGGCCGAGCGACAGACGAAGTTTCTCAAGCTCCTCGGCGGAGGCAAGAAGGGAGCAGGCGCCATGGCGTCTACCCATCCCCAGCACACGACCAAGGCTACTAAGCTCGACATCAGCAAGGTCAACCAGGACCTGGAGAAGCAGTTCAACACCGGGATGCAAATGAAGTGGGATGGTGGAGGCGCACGAAGGGGATTGGGTGCCTTATGAAGGACTACAATGCGAAGAGCGTTTCAAAACTTGCCATTGTTTTTGTTGTGGGTAACCTTTGTATTAACACCCATGGCGTTTCTTCAGAGGACAAAATCAGTTCACAGTGAGTATCGTGTCGCCAAGGCCCAATGGACAAGGAAGCAAGTACGTAATTGATATGTTGTTGCCTTAAAAGTAATGATATACTCTCTGTTCCCGGGCGAGTTTCGGTGAGGCTGCGTATTCCAAGTCGACGTCTCCAGAATCCAAACTGAGCCCCAGTATTCGGGCGTCTATGATCACCTGGTTTTGGCCCTCCTCCACTGATGGTCCTAAGACTCAACACCCTCCTCGCGACGAGCGGGTCTAGGTCGGTATTGTATGATACACTCTCCTCCAGGGAGCCCTGTCGACCGACTCTTTAGATCACCGACGCTCCCCGGATTTCCGCCACATTGTATGTTTGTGCATGGTTCAATGTTGTCGCTTCGTTTTTATTAAAATCCGAACAGCCGCGCAAGAGGATCGAAGAAGAGGCCACCGATAAGAATGAAGCAGAGAACACCTGATACGACACAGGTTAGTGAAAGCGCACTCCAAAGTTAGGAAGTGTCAATGTAAGGATCCAGAATACCCCCGAGGGATTGGGATAGGGTCTAGACAACCCAAGCATGCAGACATACCGAGCCAGATGCGGGAGATAGGAGACTTAGGAATCTCCTTTACGCGGACCTTGAGCTGATCTTCTGACTTGCCCATGCGAGCTTCGTTTAGTTTTGCGAACTTGGCGTTCGCGCGGCGCTGCTGAGGTGTCTGGGCCTGTACGACATCAAAGAGAAGTCAGTTGGGAATAACAGATAAAGGGAATAGAAAAGAAATACGGCGTTAGCTGTCTTGTGAGTATTTGGCAACCTACCATTGTGGAATAATGTGTGTAGTATGGAAACCGGTCAATAAAGGAGATAAAGGAGAGTATAGTTTTGGTTGCCGCACCGCTCGCGTGCAATGTTGATGATAGGAACAAACAGCAGGGAGATAATACCAGCCGGAAACGATATATGCTTACGGACCTGGAAGAATCAGGCCGGTGTTTGTGCTCTGCATTGATGAGGAGCAAGTGTCTAACCCCTGTATGATTTGGGGAAGGGACAGATTTACAATGTGGCGATGGTTTAGAGATAAAGCCGTGAGGCTACGACGAGCCAGCGCCAGGAGCTTGGGGACACATGTCGTTGTTCGACTTGAGCTGTCGCTGGCTCTGATTGGCCATTCAAGTATGGGTAGTTGATTCCATGAACATGTCAAATGCAAGCACTGCATAATTACTAGGCAATAAGTATTACCCACTCCACATGCCATATCCAAGCACCTCAGGTGATATACGGGGAGCACAGCCACAGGGTGCCGATCCGAAGCTTCAGCCACACTGAATGGCGATTATTATCGACAACAGCATTGATGGCGAGGTTATCCAACTTGCGACTCGCCCTCTAAATGCTCAATACGAAGATATATCCATAATGTCCGCTCTGCGAAGAGCCATTTTGTTGCCCAGGGTATTGGGCCTACGATCAGAATTCGGAACAAGAGCCACATGGCAAACTCAGGCAAAACGGTGCTATGCGACAGAAGGAAAGCCACCTTCGGATGTGGTGTGTTGATCCCTTTCCCCATAAGAACTACCGCCGTCAAAATGTTCTGCCCGACGGATAAACCAATTGCTAACTGTATGACCTGGTTTGACAAGGCAAAATTCTACAAGACCTTCACGCGACCCGTGCTTAAGGTTCTCCTGATGGCGACCCTGACCTACCAAGTCGTATACTTGCTCTGGGTCAAGCTCGAGCAAGACGAGATTCGAGCAGAACGGACCGAAACTATTACCGACCTAGAGACAAAGGTTGCACGCCTGACTTCCGAGCCAAATAAGTCCCAGAATCACACAGAGGCAGGAAAGAGGCGAGAGTAGATGGCAAGGACGATAGACAATATGTACAACAACCAGCATACCACAGCTATGGACGAATTCCTACGACTCGGAAAAGAAACCTCCTCAAAGCATTATGCGATCTTCGACACATCCTACCATGGCATATAACGGTTCATGTTATGAAGCAACGAACCTGCTGACAAGATGGAAGTTTCAACACGACGCAGCAAGGGCTGCGATCTCGTCATATGCTCGCAGGAGCACACCGTGGTAGGGGTGGGAGAGCCCGAGGGTTGAGAAGACTCGCCATTCTTTACACAGAAGCGCTTGCAATGGGGGAGGAGGCCCAATCTGTGCAGCGACCGAATTACTGTCCTCTATAGATGTATTACTATCCCCAGTGACAACCAGTCAAACGGGAAATTTTATACTCTAACATATTAAGTAATCCCAATCCCAATGAATAAGGCTGACACCTTTTCGTGCTCAACACCAACGCCAACGCTATGTAACGCATTACACCAGTTCATGCCTCGTCGCTGCCGCAGTTCAACAACAATCGGGACCCCCCCCCCCCCCCCCCCCCCCCCCCCAAAAAAAAAGCCATACAAAAACGCCAGCGCAAATTCGAAATTCCTCCCCAGCCTCACATCAAAGAGAGATCATGCCAATGCCTGCGAGAGCAGCCATATAGAATAAAGTCCACGATGTGCTCAACACCGAGGACCCAGACGGGTTATGGACCGATCCGGGGAAATTACAAGTCAACCCAGACCCGCGGACCTGGTAGCTCGCGTTAAACATTGCCTGCTGGGGCCGAGGGCAGCTGAATTGGAGTGACGAAGGACAGTTGCGCACGAGATCATAGCACAGGTCCTCGCATGGCAAAACCTCGCGATACGGACCCGGCTGCACCTCCTCATCGATACGCGCATGTCGGGAATGTTGATGTTTGCTGCCCGGGAACTGAGAGATAACGCTATCGGGTAAACGAGTGCCGTTCGGAAAAGATTGGTTCACATTCCGGACCAGGTAAAAAGTGTTTTCGCTCGAAAAGTCTTCACAGCGCGGTATGAGGACGGAGCAAAGCCACTTCTTGTAGGCCACCGCGCAATCGGTACAGTTGCGAACCAGAGAGTAGCGCTGCTCCTGCGGAGCTTCGCAGGCGACTTGCGCGAGCTGTCTCTCAAAATAGCGGTACTTGTCCCTAGCCATCTCATCGTAAAATTGCGCGAGCTGAGAGACGGTGAACCTGTTGTCGTTCGCGGGGACGGCGTACTCCGTCTCATTGCAGAAGTCCAGGTTCGTAATGATTTTGCAGTTATCCCCTGTAGCAGCACTGGTGAGCGGGAATGATCGCCGAAAAGCAATGTGGGTAAACATGTCTTACCTTCTTTCGTCTCGAATTGCGTGGCTTGGAAGATTTGTCCCCCACCACCGGCACGATTGGAGAGCTGGCGCTTCAGAGTCTCCGTACCAGTGTATGCCAGGATGCCTAAATACGTGCTCTTTGGATCCAGGTTGGTGAAGTGAAATTGTTGCTTCGGTAAGCCTCCCGGTCCCCTAGTAGTCAGGAACGTGGTGGCCTTGTCGCCAAAAGGACCAGCGACCTTAGCGGACATTGGGGCGTATTGAGAGAGGCCGCACATGGAATGCCTAATACCTCTCGTGGCCCAACCATCCTCACTGTCAACAAACATGACATATTGAGGTCCGCCGTCCATGATTTGCTGAACCTCTTCGGGGTCGTATGTATCGGTTAGGTTACGGGTTGTGAGGACCGCAGCACTGGAATCACTGTCCACCCAAAGTAACCCGCCTGAAGTGACCTCGTAGCTGTGGAAGAACATGTCGGTCGAGACGGCGACGTCAAAATTCCAGTCACCCTCAAACATCTCATCATTTCTCATAGGAGCAGAAATGCTAAAGAACACATCCCCAGAAGCGTTGACACTTAGCTTGACGGCTCCTTCGTCAAAGGCCTCGAAAAGTCGCCCAGAACGGGGCGTGTCTGGACCAGGCTTCTGAATGTCCTCCGATGTAGAGACGAACAGGCTGATTTGGGGCGGATCCACAGATGTGTTGTTGTTTTTTCGTTGTGGTTGCATGCATGTAGTCGCAGAGATGTAAACTGTCTTCGGGTTCCGCTGTCTGCGTTGGAGACTAGGTGCAGGCTTTGGCTTGCCTAACCTAACCTTGTCGTCAGGTCCATTCAGGTCATAGACTAACGTTTCATTGCCATGGTCCCGTGCTTGAATGGAGTCGGTAGCACCGTCACCGTCGTTGGTATTCTCTCCATCCTCGTCATCGGCACCGAATATATGAATGGCCTCGAAGACGAAGTGCTGTGTTTCGCCGGGACGGACATTCCGGTTCTCTCTGACATTGTTGAGGAGCCCAGTTATTCCTGGAGGGGCCCTTTTGATAAGGCTGGCATCGAGTCCGGCCAAGTCGAATGGGTAAGGAAGCCGAGGCCCATACTCTTTGTTGATGGCGTCGTGTAGCTCGCCTTTGTTTGGGGAGTAGATACGTGAGCCACTAGCTTCCACGGCTTGGGCGGAACCAAGAAATAGGACGACCAGGTGGAGCAAGAGAAGTAGCCGCGGTGTTGTCAGCAGCGGTGCTGCAAGACGCGATTGTAGAGGGCTGAATTGCATTGCGAGCACATGCCCGCCAGGGGCATATGGGTGGAGCGTGCTTCTTCGTTGACGGTTCCCGTGTTGCGGATTTTCAGAGTCGGAGCTGCTTTCCCATAACCGGTCAATTCGCCAAGTTGACGCGTCTAGGAAGGGCGAAGGAGTATCAAGAACGTGATTAATTAGCGAGTGGAATGGAGAAGCCGAGCTCGGACACTCTGTAGGCTAAATAATTTCAAACGGACATCATGGTGGTGATAGATTACGTCGTCGGTGAATAAATGTTAGAGCTGACAGACCAAGGACACAATTCAACAGAAGATCCTTCGCGTTCGCCAGGGGTTGGAACAAACGGAGGGGGCGTCATTGCATTTGTTCCATCCCCGACATGCTACACAACACAAGTAAGCAGGAAGTACCTGGAAGTGTTTGATGGGTACATAGCAGTGACCTTCCGCTGTTAAAGTCAACGAAGCGGGTTTAGCTCAGTTGGGAGAGCGTAGCACTGAAGATTTCTACATGTTCGCCTGTGAAATCAGAATATGCTAAGGTCGTGTGTTCGATCCACACAAACCGCAACATAACTTTTTGCCACTATTTCCCTTCTTTTTATCCTGAGTCTTGCCTGCTTCCTTTATAAGCCTCTACTTCTTCTGTTCATATTATAATATTCGTACTTCCAATGACGCAAAAACAATAAAAGACGCAAGAACCTCATGATGCATTTGCAGGCTTGATTCCTTTTAGTACCCATAACTCCGTCTGCCAATGTAGAGAATTAGCTTGTCAGAGATCCTTAGGTTTGTCGTCACGACGATAGTCTCCGACGAGCAGATTGATGGCATTCGAGTGCGGGTATAAAGGAACGGCAACTTTCAACTCTTTGTGAACGTGATACGTAGTTGCAGAGGCTATTCTCAAGATACTCCCATTGCGTAATCAAGGATCCTAATCAGAGTGTAAAATACAATTTGATAGGGTGTAATCGGAACTCCTGCGTATACTTAGGCCGTCTGGTATCCCGGGCCACAGTATGGCAAAGTCATCACCTGTTGTCCACCGTCGCACAATACATTACCCTAACTAGCAAGGCCAATTCATCATGCCAATTCATAAAAGATCATTGGAGGTCCTGCTCTCCAAAGAATCGCGTGAGAGCGACACATGCCGAGCAGCCCTCAGGCTGTGATCTCTAGGTAGAAGACAGCGGCATGCCTGTCAGGTCTTGATGCAGATATCTTCACTCGCTCTTGTCGAGGCCTTGAGCCTTGGCACGAAGGCCGGACGCGGTCGAGGACGAGTTGGCGAAGTGCTTGGACAGCATAGGGGCCATAAAGTTATGGAACACGAGGTCGGCTCCCCTAGTTTGCAGTTAGCCCGTAGCCCGCAGACGCAAGAATCATGGAAGAATCCAGCTCAACATACCGGAACACCGGGAGGGACAGCCAGAGCAGGAAAATGAACTTGAAGGTGAAGTAGAACGGGAACCAGTAGATGACGTTGACGAAGCTTTCAACAAGGCTAGAGAGCAGAACGATGAGTCAATGGCACAAAACTTCAAAAGAATACGAAGCATATGGTCTAGCACTTACGTGAGGAAAGAGAAGACAACCCAGTACTAGAAAGCGTATTAGCGAGGAAAGAAAGCGGCGTTGCAAAACCAGTATGGAGACAGCTTACGGTAAGCCACTGTGTATCATCTTCCTTGTCCGCCGAAAACAGGGCGTGGATCGAGTAGTAACACGGAATTGCGAAACCAGCCAAGTTGGTGAGAAGCTGTCCACCAAGGTTGAAGATGATAAAGAAGAAGTAGAGGGCCGCGAGACCGACAGCACCATATGCCTTGGGAATGTTGGTGGTTTTCTCGAGGTTGTTCAGGGCGGGGTATTTGGAAAGCTGGATCGTCGCCATTCCTGGTTAGCAGTGCACACCAGACCGAATAACGCGGTCACTTCGGGAATGTGTAGAAGACGGATAATTACCTCTCCATCGAGCTGGCGAATATAGTGCTGGAAGCGGTCTTGGGCAGACATGTTGAACGTTCTAGATGCGAAAATGCGGTCGTTGGAGGCTTGGAGCTAGAGGAGTGTTAAGCACAGGACTTATCAGGAGAATAGAACCTAGAGAACGGTTTCCGACGGAGATACGAACATGAAGATGAATAACAACAAGTCTGAAACAAGCAGCTAGGGTATTCGGTGATCGAGCGGATATTGATGGGCAAGCACTGATCTTTGAGAGCGTACTGTACTTAAGACGGTGAGATGATTTTGCGACCAGCGGTGTATTAGTTGATGGCGGAATTTAGCAGCTGATAGGTAGCTCAGTGACGAAGTGAAGAAGAGGGTGGATGACGACGTGTTTTCCTGCCCTTGCGTCAGGCCTCGGATGGGTAGGACAAAGCGGCTAGCAGATGAACGGTATACTTCAATCAGATCTACTTCGTAAATGGGTGAAACTACTTGGTTCCTAGAGGTACCAGCTTTCAGATTGTAACATTCGTCCCGCTAACATCCTCGAGGTTCGAGTGCAAGAAATGATAAGATAGGCGAGCTCTGAAATATGGGGTTAGGGGTTACGTAGGCACTGAGATGAGATGGGTGGGGAACATTCCATTTTCACAGTAGCGTAAGGATCACGTGATTCCAGCCACACGATATTGGGCCCATTTAGACGGGCGCCAACCAATCAGTTTAAAAAGTTTGGTTACCGAGCAACAACAACAACTTCACGCCGCGCCAAAACATCACTTTTCTCTCCTCACCCTCACACCTTCTCGCCAGACAGCATCGCCGACGAGGGCGCACAGCACACTTTCTATTGCCGTCTGGTGTCGCCCGTCAAGAAGCGCCTAGAGAATTGCTTCTCTCGCCTATTACTTCACGTTCATGCGATTGTCTGGTACATTTTATACTGGCTATCGCGCCGGCTAGCAATTGTTATTCTTGCCATTCTGCTACCACACTCAAGGTGCCAAGGTCGCAGTAGTATGGAACAAGGTAAGGCAAATCAATCCAAATGTATTGAGTCGTCCTTTTTGGTGATCCCGTATCCCCATGCTGATGCCCTTACCCATAGACCCCACTGCACCGGGTCTAATGAGGAAGAGGCCGCAATCTCGAGGCTCGACAGCCTCTGTTACCACGCAACCGGGCCTTGAGCAACCGAACTATACTGATGCCGAGGAGATCTACTCCGCCCAGTGGGTTAACAACGACCAAGGGCATCCTAAGCCCATAGCACCAGCACCACGGCTATCATCTGAGACCATGATGCTGCAAGCCGCATCGCACATGCAAAGCATTCGCGAGTACCCGATAGCCCCGGCAGCCCATGGCCACATCAACCATTCCGTATCGTTCAATCAACAGTCAATGCCGAGCCATTCTCAACCTAGCGACAGCATGGTGACCAACAGCTTTCCAGAGGATAGCCAAATGTTGGATCGGGATGATATGGACGACCGCGATTCGATGGCTAGCGGTCCCGCCGTGGTCAAGTCCGCAGCGGCCAAATCAAGTGCGAATAATGAGTTAGAAATGCGCCATCTATTCAACGCGAACAAGCACCGGAACTTGCAGGAAGTGGCGAAGGAGCTGCACGGCAACGAGAGAGGTCCAAATTCGGAACGGACACGGCAGGTTTTTGCCATGCTCTGGATCAACTCAGTATGCTCCAAGGGAAAGGGCTCGGTTCCTCGAGGTCGCGTGTATGCCAATTACGCGTCTCGGTGCGCGACCGAGCGGATTACCGTGCTTAATCCGGCGAGTTTCGGCAAGCTTGTCCGCGTTCTATTCCCTGGCTTGAAGACAAGACGCCTAGGTGTCCGCGGCGAGTCGAAGTACCATTATGTGAACTTCCATCTAGTTGATGATCAACCAGATTTGCGGGAATCAGAGGTTCCGGTTCCCATCACATCAACGGTATCCAACTTGGCCCGCAGCACAAGCACAGTCCCCAGCAAGACTCCAGGGGCCGGGCCATCCGAGAAGAGACCGCAGGCGACAACGAGTGCACGTGCGCGACGCAGCCAAAGTCCCATCGTGCGGCCAAAGAGGCACTCGTCATCTCACAGCTTTTACAGTGTTCCCGAACTCACATCTGCCGATCAGTTGCACACATCCGCGACTAAGGTTTCTCTAGAACTCAGCTTCCCGTCGGAACATGAAGACTCCGGGTTTAACAACGCGGAGCCTCTCGCCCTACCTCGCATCGAACCCTTCTTGCCTGACGGGACGGACCCCGACGCAGCGAAGAGTCTCTCTGCTCTCTATCGATCTCACTGCACCTCACTCGTCGAATGCGTCCGGTTTTGCAAAGAAAAGACACTGTTTCATCTCTATACGTCATTCCAAGGCACTCTCACAATGCCAGTCCAGAAGCTATTCAGCCACCCCGACATCGCGCCTTGGATTGAGCAATGTGACTTCGTTTTATACCAACGCATGATGCAGATCGTGGCGGCGCTCACACTTCAAGTAGTGCCAAAGCCGGTGATGGATACTCTACGCAGTATCTCTGTGAGACTAGTCCCCCATATCAGGGAGGCTTTCCAGGGACAACCGCTACATGTTGCAAGGGCAAAGGAAGCACCCGCCACACTGTTTTCGGCTCTGCTTGACAGGGCACTCAAGGTCAACATCACAGCCCATGCGGCGGCGAACATGCTTTCCAACCCAGCCAACCGGGACCAAATGTACCTGGATTGGATCACTATGGTGTCGGTTAGGAAAGTGGCCGAATCAGTACCCACGAGGGCGATGGACGACTTGGTCAATCTCATGGTCTCCCAAATTCGAGATCTGGTGGACCCTCAAGACGTGCCGTGGGAGGTGGAATGCCTGACGGTGTACGGGGATATTGCTGCACGGAAAGGGACCCAGACTGAAGGCGCTACAGACTCATCGACGGAGAACGTGCTGGATCGATGGGTTGCATTGCTCAAGTCGCTTCCGGAGCGATTCCCGTTCGCACAACCTTCCGACCTCGTTTATGGAGTCCAGCGGGTCGGAACAGCAGTGATGAGAGATCTCACTATGGCGCAGGGAAAGAGCTTCGGGACCTGGTGGGTGACCAAGTGCTGGCTCGACGAAATGGTGTCGTTCCTTGCCGAGAAGGGCGGATTCATGAAGATGAAGTCGTCGAGGGACTTGCCAATAAAGACAACAGATGAGGTCAAGGAGAACACGACGCGGGGCCAGGGATCGCGCTATAGCAGTGGCAGCGACGATTTCAACTTTTCTAACCTGTCACAAGCACAACCCGACAAGGCTCCCTTCCCATCAGCACCCTCGATAACCCAGTCAGAACACGCAGGACTTGGCGGGTCGACGAATCCGGACGATAGTGGAATCGGCATCCGCACGCCTGACGAGGAGTTTCCCATGGAAAAATACACTTTTCCACAGGGCGATGATGATCAGGCGCTCCTACCTGCACCAGCGGTCGAGCAATAGCGCGGGATGCTTCTCGGGGAGGTGAGCTTGTGTTGTGTTGTTAATATTATGTGAAGGTGTCATTGCGCCGCGGCATGGCGTCATCACGAAGCTCTTTTGGGGGAGGTCTGGTGCGTTGACCAGAGCTGCTTTTGTATGCGACTTCGAACGGTGTGACTATGACAGCACGATGGAACGACTGTATGACTGAGGGACACGAGCAAAATTACTACCGTTAGTTTTGGGAACTGGGACGTCGGGGTTGATGTCCGTCGTAAGCTGAGCCAGGTTTGGGTGTATGGAGGTTTCCCCGTTTGGTTGGTTGGCGGGCTGTTTCTCGGAGTCAGATCTCACTTGGCGTTCTATGTATATGTGGTCGGGATTTTGTGACCCCTCTGAAAATTTGGTGAGGGTTGAGACGCGTTGGGATTCATGGGTTGGGTGGGATACCTTTGCATCGGCACCTCGTCTATATGGGCTCTATATGGTCCTTGGGTAGGAACGGCGGACGGTTTATCACTGCCAGCTGACTACCATTCTCACCAAGTAAGTGTAATGAATGCAGATAACTCTTTCATGGTATCTATAATGTTGATCTTGACTGAAATATCGTAAAAACACAGAGGTAGCGGGAAATGCTTTTACTTCGTTCGTAGTCTCTTTCTATCCTGTTGACCCCTCCAAGGTTGAAGCTTCCATGATGGGCGACAATACAATAGGATACCTACAATATCATGTCAGCTCTGTACCTAAGGTAGGTACTTATCGGTATCCCTACTGTAAGGTAAGGTAAGGTAAGGTAGTGCGTAATTCTCCTGGTCGGCGACGGTTCTGCCGTTGCCGACTCAGCAGCTACGGATACTACCTAAGGTACGGTACCTTACCTTACGGACCCACTGGACTGCGTCTCTCCAAAGTACAAATGGTTCGTGCAGACTGAGGTGCTTGACCATCAGAAATCACACGCATAGGTACATCTTCACAAGTACCCTCAAGTAAGTACCTATGGCGTCCAGTTCCGTTCTCGGCACGACTCAGTAGACTCGGCACACGCACGAATTAACATCGGTGGATCCGGAGACAACAGAACCGTCGTAGGTAGTGAAGCCCAAAGGACTTTGTGTTGACAAGAAAGGGCAATAAAAAAAGGTACAAAGAAAATTTTCAAGTAAAAATTTAGTGACTAACACAGAGGCGTGACGAATTGCCGGAGACCGGCCCCGTTGTTGACTCGGTAGCTTAAAGCACAAGTGGTGCCTCTTCCCCGATTTCGTCGTTCAACGGCGTCTTCTGTCTTTTCTTTTAGCTACCGCCAGTCCGGGTCAACTTCACCCTCGGCCGAGAATTCCTGACGGACCACGTCCTGAAAATACGTACTGAGAACTAGGCGAATAAGTTGAAGTGCACTCAACGGCCTTGAAATCACATCACTAGCTTTCAACCCCACCATCGGCCCCGTTCACATCTCCTCGCTTACTTGGATTACCATTGAGCTACGGACGGAGGTGACTGGCGACGTGTAGCATCGTGGGCCAACATATTACCCTGGCCGGCTCATCATGGGCACCCAATTACTCGGCAACTCATCCGACTATGGATGGATAGTCCAGAAGTTTGGCGGCACGAGTGTGGGCAAGTTCCCTGACAAGGTTTGTTCAGTCATTCATTCTCTCTCGCTTCAGCTTGTAATGATGAGGAAACGAAGGGCTTATGAGCTAACAACCCTCAAACTAGATCGCGCTTGACATAGTAAAGTGAACAACACCTAGCCCGTCCTTAAGTTGACGTTCTCTCGCCTCCCTAAACCACATCTCAATTCTGACCCTGGAAATTAGGGCAAATTTGTCTGAGCATAGAGTCGTCGTCGTCTGCTCGGCCAGGAGTACTGGCAAAAAGGCCGAGGGCACCACCAGCCGGTGAGTCACTCACACGTTTGTTTCTGGCTACATATCCTTATGACAGCCACTACTCGACAACGTCCCGTTTGCGATCAAGGGCATCTAGCTAACATTCTTCATTTAAGCCTTCTCGGCGTCTTCAACAAACTGAAAACCATTGCCGCGGCCAGTTCTGACGAGGATTTGCAGCAAAGCCTAGTGGATCAGGTAAAAAGCCTGATCCTTGAAATCAGCAGCGAGCATGTCAACGCCGTGCAGTCCTTTATCCAGGACCCGGACTTGCGGGCAGAGTTATCTCGAGACATCGAGGCCGAGTGCCAGGAACTCATCGAGTACGTTGTTGCTGCGAAACGCTTCAAGCTCGAAGTCAATGCGAGGTCCAAAGACCGTGTCATCAGCTTTGGCGAGAAGCTGAGCTGTCGGTTCATGTCCGCCATGCTTAGGGACAATGGAGTCGACGCGGCGTATGTTGATCTCAGCGATTCTCTGCATTATTGCGCATCGTCCAGGTTGGACACCGCTTTTTACCAGGAGACCACGGCTGTGTTCCGAAAAAAGGTATTGGCTTGTGGGCACAAGGTGCCTGTCGTCACTGGGTTCTTCGGCAACGTGCCGGGCAGCCTCATCGACGGCGATATTGGTCGTGGCTACACTGACCTCTGCGCCGCGCTCTGCGCCGTGGGCCTCAAGGCGGACGAATTGCAGGTGTGGAAGGAGGTGGATGGCATTTTCACGGCCGACCCAACCAAAGTGCCCACTGCGCGGCTGTTGGCCTCCATTACGCCCGCTGAGGCGGCCGAGCTGACCTTTTACGGTTCCGAGGTCATCCACCATCTCACGATGGACCAGGTTATCTACGCCAACCCGCCCATCCCAATCAGGATCAAGAACGTCAAGAACCCGACGGGTATCGGTACCATCGTTATCCCGGACCCGGTCCTCACCGCGGGCCACCAGATTCAGCGCTCCGTGTGGTCCGACCCGGCGCAGCGGAAGAAGCCCAAGCGCCCCACGGCGGTGACCATCAAGGACAAGATCTCGGTAATCAACGTCCACTCCAACAAGAGGTCTATATCCCACGGCTTCTTTGCTCGCGTTTTCTCCATCCTCGACAGGCACCAGATCTCCGTGGATCTCATCTCCACCAGCGAGGTCCACGTCTCCATGGCCATCCACGCTGGCAACTCTGAGGCCGGTCATCTCGATAAAGCACGCCTTGAGCTGGAGGAGTGTGGTGATGTGAGCATCCTACATGACATGGCTATCTTGAGTCTGGTCGGTGCCGAGATGAAGAACATGGTCGGTATCGCTGGACGCATGTTCTCGACATTGGGCGAACACAACGTCAATCTGGAAATGATCTCTCAAGGTTAGTGTCCTAACTCCCCATCGCTGGCTTAGGCGTTGGTAGCTGCCTAAGTCCGGAGCCGCCATAATCTGACAACTTGTAGGTGCGAGCGAGATCAACATCTCATGTGTCATCGATGCCCGGGAGGCCACGAGAGCCATGAATATCCTTCATACTCATCTGTTTACCTTCCTCGAGTAGATCGTTGTAGCCTTATTGTTTTTCTTTTCTTCGCTCTATTTCTTGCGCTTGCGGCCTTATACGACGTATTCTCTCCTGCGAGCGATATAGAGGGATCTACGATGAGCTATGTAAGGACTCATATATGTTCAATTGTTCGCTTGGCGGATCGGTCTGGTGCATTTGGGGTGGGGGGTTTTTTTTTTTTTTTTTGGGGGGGGGGGGGGCATTGTGAGAGGATTTGGGATCCCGGATTGAGACGAGATGATAGAAGAACGACAGTTTAGCATACAACCCTTGATACACGAAAAATAGAGCAAAGGCAGGCTATTTCTTGTGCGAAACCCATATCGCTGACTTGTCAGTCATGTTGAAGAGTCACCTTGTTTGCCAAGTCGTTGCCCACGCCTCTTTCCGAGTCTTGAACCGGGTTCCGTTGTTCAGGGTGACTCTATTGTCCATTTAGGTAATTGGGCTATGGCTACCTTATGAAGGTTGCCATTGTCCTTTCTACTCAACGAATGGGGAAAAAAGGGAATCTCGACCTGGCGAGCAGCATAGATTAGAGACCACAAGGAAAACCTCTCGATATATTAAGGCACCCTTTCTTCCCGTCTTCTCTGAGCTCCCTGTCCCATCTTTGACACGTGCTTGTCTGGCTCTTTACACGATTTGCTTCCTCTTCGTCATATCATTTGTCGGGTCTCAAAGAACAAACCCTCTGTTGCCCAGTCTAACCGCGCTTCCGCCACCAGATTCAGCACCCCTTGCTATCATCCAGGTATCACATAACAGCCAAGCACCGTCGCTTGAGCGGAGACAAGGTTCTTAAGCTACCACCTAATTACCTGACGAGCGAAAGTTCGGATTTCGTGTTCTTCCAGAGCAGGTTGGTAGTTGATTACTAGTAGGTCCTATCTCGGTTCCTTCGACAATCGTGGCAAGGGATCTTGAGACCTTACTCAGTACCTAAGGTACCTTGTACAGTTCTAGGTACCTACCTACTCCATAAGGTACCTACGGTACCTGTCTCCACAAGGGTACAACCTACCCCATGGCGCGACAATTACGTGTGATTGGTCGACGCCACCTCAGCCGAGCTTGGGGAAGCTCTGAGGCTGACCATTTAACTACCCCTTCGGACCCCGACGCGGACGGCAACTCCAGCCTCGCAAGGCAACAAGCCGGCCGCGGGCACCAGGACCCAATCCTCCACGAATCGCACACAAGGTCATGACCCAGGCCTTAGCTCCCCCGGTTGTCATCCCTACTACTACATCCCTCCCTCCAATGACCGGGCGGACAACGTCCGAGCATCTGCTTTCTCAGACGATCGACAATCCAGCCGTAGACACGGAAGAAGAACGGGATATCCAAGACCACGAATCACAAGAGAAGGACGAGGAACAAGAAGAAGAAGGCTGGTACCAAATCAGGCGCATTATCGGCGAAAAGGAGAGGAAAGGAAATACCTGGTACCAAGTCGCGTGGGCAAACAATCCTAAGACAGGAAAGGAATACGCACCGTCTTGGGTGAGTCCCCTACTTACTATGGTCCCGCGTTCCTAAGCTTACACCCTGCTGATCCCGGCCGGAGACGTGACCCGGTCTGCTATAGACGAGTGGAATCTCGAGAAAGCCGAACGACAACAGAAGAAGAGGGCCCTGGCCGCAGAGCGAAAGGACCGGAAGAGACGGGTATCTTCAAGACCTACGCCGGTGCCCAACTCTGTAACCCTTTGTTCTACAGACAGTAGTCATCTGGTGGTTCAACCTAACCTCCGCCGCAAGAGGCCGCGGATCGACTCCGAGCCGCCGCAAAGCCCGCCCGTTCTAACCGGTCCTTCGACCGAGGACTTTTCCGAGGACAACACCCGGCCGACCAAGGTTCTGAAGCTTGACGCGTCGCTCTCCTTCACTTCTGACGGAGCCTTGACAGAGGATACTTCGGACATCCTCATCAACACCAACACCTCTCGCCCCGATATCTCTGTGGATGTTTACGACAGAGTCGTATTTGACACCTCCGAGTACATCAGCGTCTCCATATCATCTCAGGATACACACTCCCAGTCCATCTCCGCTCTTGAAGACGAGGACGCCAGGCTTGCTCTTGGTTCTGCCGTCTCCAAAGCCACCAAGAGTCAGAGGACTATCCCGGACTCGCAGGAAGATACGAGTCTCGAAGCTTCTCACGGCGAGACGGAGCTTCTCCAGTTTGATACTGCCCCTTGTTCTAATTCGGAGATTCCCTCTCGACAGCCGGATGGAGAGGACCAACAAGTAGACGTCGACCCCACGAAGCTCTCAAACAGTCTCTCAACCACTGATACCTGCTCGCGCGTATTAAACGAGTCGCTCCACGATACCGGGACCCAACGCAACTTCACGCCGCAGTTCCACACCCAACCTGACTTCCCTGCTGACTGGCCGATGATTGAGAGCTCCGCAGACAGTGTTATTGCTGTAGAAGCCGTGCCCCAAACCTCATCCCAGCAAGAGTCCTCTTACAAGTCCGTCCAGTCTAAGTCCTCCATTTATGCCCGAGCAACCCAAATCGATCATCACGATTCCACACAACAATCTGCGCAGGTCGTACCTTCTCCATTTCCCCTTCCCCAAAGCGAGATCAGCTACAACGAGAGCTCCGCAGAGAACGTTCCGGACACGGTTCTCCGCAGGCCGATTGCAGAGGTCACTTCTTCCCCTATAGTTCCAGATCACCAAGAACGGTCGCCAACACCTAGTCATCAAAGCCCTGAGAGCCCCACTCCCAATATGGACGAACAAAAGCCCGCTCTTGAAGAGCGAGACGCCATTGAGGAGTTGATGGAGGCGGCTAATGCGCCATTCCTCACCGACAACTCCGCGGATGCCGAGTTTGGACAGTCCGACTCCATGCTTCCCCACGACTCCTCGATTGAAGACCTCATCGCCTCACTGGATGGCTCCCATGATAGGGAACCCCATCATAGCCTCGCCCCGTCCATAGCACACCCTCCGCTACCTGTTATCAGGCAGCTTGAACAGGCTGCAGGAGCGGGTCTGGACGTTCCTGCTTCTGGTGAACCGTTGGCTGGGGCCCATATGCCGCCCGAGGTCACCGATTCAATGCCTACGACGGTCACGCCATCCGAGCTTAGTCGCTCCATAGAGCCGGAAGCTCTACAAGAGCCCGAGCCAGAGGATATTGAGGTGGCCCCCGAGCCAGTGTCAGCCCCAACGCCCGAGATGGGCGAACAGAGCTCCTTGTCTACGCCTGTGGGACCATCGGACGCGAATCAGTTCGTCGTGACACTGCCGCTTCCAGCCAATATTAGACCTCTCTATATTGAGACGATGTTACAATATAAACGAGAGATGGAGAGGTTCAGCGAGCTATGGAATGACGATGCCCCCATTGACCAAGACCTTATCGCCAAGATCGATCGGCTCTTCGCCGAACTCCTCGACTTGTGCGATTATCCTGCGTCGCTTGGTGACGAAGACCTCCGAAAGCTTTCAGTACCTGATGTAAAGAAGTACGCCTTTGGCACCAACACCAAGCTATTTTTCGTGGGCCGGTTTGTCGAGCCGCTGGATGTTGACAAGCGAGTTCTGATCGTCGCACGTTCCGAGAAGTTACGTGGCTACCTCGAGGCCATTGTCAGTCCCCATAGCATGAAGGATGGCGGCGAAGATCGATGCGCTCCCTTCGTACAGCTAATCGCGCCTGATCAGGATGTCAATCCGGGCGAATTCGATATCGTCATTGGTTTCGATTCTGGATACGCATCGTCCGCCGTTGCCAGGTCGCTTCAAAGTATTGAACACGACCAGCAGCCTATGGTCGTGCACCTGGTCATCGCATTCTCCATCGACCACTTCCAAATGGCAATTCCGACGGATATGGAAGAGCTTGCGCGAAAAAGTGCCTTGTTGGTATCGCTTTTCCAGAGCAGGTCCTACATCTCTAGCTACGAGGGCCAGCCGGTCGATGATGTCGTGACAGAGTTTGTTAAACAGACCATCGACCCAGATCCCAATTTCGTGTGGGAGCCTGAAGAGCTTCCGAGCATTCTCCTCGACTACTACGGAAGCACGCAGCGCTCCCAGACTCAGCTATACGTCGATGATTCTGAACCTCGCAAGCGGAAACTGGACGTGCCAGCAGACGAGGTTGCGGCGAAGCGTTTGCGTCGTTTCGGGTCTCCAACGGCAAAGCCTGCCGACATCGGGGCAAGCATTCACGAGAAAATCGCCCCAAAGCCTAGTCAGGTGCGCATCGTGATGACAAAGGCGGAGCTGGACACTCTCAACGCCAAGGTACTTGCGGACCCCGTCAATACATCTCCTTAAGGCTGTACTGACAAGACTCTCTTAGACATCTGAACTCGAGTCTCGGTTGAAGGATAAGGAGGACCTTGAAGCAATCATGCACAAGCAGATTTCCAGGATGTCGAAACAACTGAAAAGTTATGACTCCACACACAACACCATCCAACAACAGCATTTAAGCGCCCTCAGTGATCGAGCCAGCTTTGAACGTGAACGCAACCAGGCCTTGGAAAAGGAGAAGGCGGCGGTAGCACGACTGGAAACGAGCGAGGCCAAGATCTTGGAGCTAGAAGCGAAGCTGGCAAAAGCCTCCGAAGCTCTCACGGCATCTGGTGACACACGGCTTGCTGATTTGGTGGCAAAAGAGAAGGAGCTCGAGGCTGCGACGGCTAAGATTCTGGATCTGGAAAAGAAGGTGAAGAACAGGGAAACTGACCTGGAATATATGCGGGAAGTCCTCCAGAACGAGCGGCAAGCGGCCAACACAATGTTGAAAGAGAACCGGGAGTTCAGAGAGGATAATGCCAAGCTCCAGCAGCAGGTGGCACAGAATCTCGCCAAGATCCACCAGATCAATGCCAAAGGCGGCTTGGAAGAATTGCAGCGGCTGGTGACCGACGCGCAGGCTATCGCCTTGGACCGCGAAAACGAGCTCGAGCGCGTGCGCGAAGAGCTCAGGACGGCCAAGTACGGACGCAGGGAGACACGCGGAGCTAGTGTGCCGCGCAGCCCAAGAATGGGCGTCATGAGTCCACGGACCGGTCGCGGCGGCATGGGTATCGCCATCAGCGGAACGGGGGCGACTCCTAGTAGAGGAACTTCACCGGCTCTGGCTGGTCTTGACGGTGGATCACAGTCTGCAGCACAGATATTCAACCAGCCTCCGGGTGGGAGGTTCAGTCATCTGAAGGGATTCCCTTGATGGGGCTAATAGAGTTGGTGGTTCAGAGATTCAGGCGTTATTTCAGAGGACCTGGCTTTCGTCACCGTGATAAGCTGTTATTCAAGATGATGCCAAGCCCAAAGAGAAGAGAAGAGAGAGCCATGGGGTGTAGTCCATAGACTTACTTGGCAATGCGCAATGCTTCAAGTAGCTTCGTCAGGCGTTATGGTTTTTGCTTGGTCGGCTAAAGGCGCCAGCCTAGAGACAGGCTCAGGAGACGAGCAACTTAGGACAACCAACCATAAACTCTGCATTCCAGGCAATAGTCTACCTGGAATCATAATTGGGCAATTTAATCTTCACTCTCAAGGAGTAGGATCGGAGAGGCAAAAGAGCCATGTAGATCCAAGACGTCACGGATATGCAAGCGTTAGAACCAAAGGAACGGAAGAAACAAAAGAAACTGGCTATTGAGGGTTTTGTTTCCCGAGTCTTCGCCTCTAATGGTTAGAATACACGAGCTTGGCCCCTTCCTATCTTTCTTTGGATCACCCAGATAACTCCAGAAATCGTCCACTAGGACATCCAACTTCACTCCTCTAACTCCACGCACGACACGAGAAAGCGGAAAGTCAAGTAACGGATTCTTTCCTTTCATCCGTTGCGTTTTCCTTCTCCACCATCGGATCTTCGAGCACACCGCCTTCGACGGGTTGCAAACAAGGGCCGCGCTTAATTTATTTATGCTCCTCGGGGTAGATGTCCTCCTTCAGAGGCACACCGAGCTCCTCCCGTAGCGGCTTGAGCTCGGCGAGGTACTGCTCGTACTGGCCCTTGTTCTCGACCTTGGCCTTGATGCCTGTTTTTGGGGCGGGTGCCCATCGTCAGCCACTGTCTTCTTCACCTAGTTCTGATGCCTCGCAGCCCGGGGTTCCAGTCTCTTCCTCGCGGGGGGTGTATTATAGAACTGGCACTTAGTTGTGCAACCGAAACGAGCTCCGATGACTCCATTCACTTGCCGAGGCAGTACTCGGGAAATACAAGTTGCGGATCTTTGCCTACCTTCGAAGATGCGGACAGCAGTGGCGAAGTCGTTGACGCGGCGGGCGGCTCTTAGGGCGGCGGCGATGACGACGGGCGAAGGGACGAGATCGTAAGCGAAGGCGTTGTTAAGGTTGCGCTGTTGAATGCGAAAGCCTCCTAAGTTAGTCATTGTTCGCTTTGCATTTTGATTTTTCTTTCATCCTCTTCAACTTCTCGTGGATGGAAGTATCGATTGATGTCACGAACGCGATCGGACCACTTGTCGCGATGGCCTAAAGGGAAATGAGTGCATCCATACCTGGAGTTCAAAAACGTCATTGACGCCATCAAATTCCTTCTCGAACCTGCAAAACAACGTGTTCAGTTTCTAGTTCTGCCATCAATTGATTGAGCTCCGGCTAATTGTGCCCCATTGGTGGTTTTTTTGATTTCGTTCATCGTGTCGTCTTCGCTCGACTGCACGTCTCTCCGGGAGAGAGAAAAAAAGCCCTCCCCACAGCAAACCCCAGTGGGGACGAGAGACGAAGATAGATCAATGGAGAGCCAGGGAAGCCGTACCTCGCGGTGAACTCCTCAAAGGTCTCCTCGCCGTGGTCGCCAGAGCGCACAGCAGTAGTGGTGCTGAATTGAGAGGCGGTCGGAATGCCGGCAGCCATGGGAATGAGGACGCCAGCGCGGGCGACCAGAGGAGTTGTGCGGACGACGGAGTTGGCCTGGAAGAATGCAGTCGAGGCACCGCGGCGGGCGACGGCACGGAGGAGAGAGGACGACATGATGGCTTGCGTAATGTGGTGGTGGGTGCGTATACGTAGGCAGAGGAGAGAATTCAGAGGTAGCTCATCGGGCTGCGAGAAGGCTTCCGTTTTTTCTCGTTCCACAAGGCCGGAATAGGGAGCTTCGGTTGTATCGAATGATGGTCCGGGTGGAATTGCTTTGTACAAAGGCGAGGGTAATTGGATGATGCGTGGGTTTCTCCGGATGACTAAGCAAAAGTTTGACTCAATCTAGGAGGGAAGCTCCAAACTGTGCGAATTGAGTTCGTGGACGGTGAGTTTTGGAGGACAGTATCGGTCATTATTACAGTGTATAGTATTCACATTCACACTCCGCACTCATTGTCAACCGTAGCTTATAATGACAGCTTCGAGAACCGATTCATTGTCTAAGAAAAGACAGCGCGGTCTTTACAGGAATAGCCGTCATTAAGTTTGGAATCCAAAGTGCTTTACAAACAAGACGTCAACAATTACTTCGATTTGCAACGTATGGCTTGTCGACGTAATTACAGAACTATCTGCCGGATCTTTACCTTCAGTTGCATAACCTTGTCCATAGGTAACTCAGGCCATCGTTCTAACAGTACGGATACTACCTTCATTAACTGAGAATATGTACCAAGACTCTTGGTACCGAGTGCCTCTAAAGCCATCATTACTCCGTTTGTGCTTTAGGTTTCTCAATTGCATGCGGCAGACGGTTGCGACGATTGTATCCGATACTTCCCCGTCATCGTCCGTGCTAACCGTACCTGGTATAGAGTAAGGTACCTATCCATACGCGTGTCCATCTGGCATCTCGGTAATTTATGTAAGGTACGTACTCCATCTACAACCTGTATTACAGAGCACGTACCCGTACTTGGGACCTACGCCAGAGGATGGTTTGTAGGTCAGAGCTCCTCGAACAGAGAAGTTTGCTCTGCCCAGAGCCAGGTCAGAGGCATACTATCGACATGAAAGTCAAAGACTTGCAACAGTCTAACCAGTGATCGGGGTCAGTCCTACGGATACAAACCCCCAAAGCCGGGTATAGGTAGGTACCTAATTAGGTAGCCTGATATCACGTGCATCGCAAATGAGATCGCTTGGCAGACCCATTCTACTGGTCCAGGCACTCTCTGTAATTGGTGCTAAAACTCCATTTAACGGGGACCCGAATCACATGTCCAGGTACCATCTACGGATATTAGTACGGAGCTGCAAGACCGACTCGGAATACAGCATTGTTGTACAGGGGCTACCCAACCCCATGCCGCCTTGGCCGACGCGTTGGAGAAAAAAAAAATCCCCTTTCTTTCATGTCTGGCCTGTTCTTCTCGACGTCAAAAGCTTTCCTTTTCTTCTAACCTCCCTTCTGCCTCCTTTCTTTCCCTCCCCCCTTTCCCGTATCGACTATTTGCCGGCCTTGCGGTGCGGTGACATTTTATCAACTTCTTGTCTCTCCTTCAATTTTCCTATTCACTTTCTTCTACGGTACGCGCGTCGTTGACTTCAAGCCGAGTCGATCTTATTTCCGCATTCTCTCCTGGTCTTCCGCTTGAGCAAGGATACCAACCAAGCAGCTGCGCATTTGGGTGCGGGTCTCTCCTTCTCTGCGAGATTGTTCCCTCTGCTCTCCGTATTGTGACTCCCTGGCTCGCTTGGTGCAACATACACCGTGATACCATGGCGACACCCACCACCTTCTACGAGCAGCTCCCGCTCCCGACCATCGATCGTCCCTTCGGCATCGAACTATGGCCCCTTTTCGACAAAGCCTGGACGGCCGTTACCGGCTATCCCATTAGCGAGTTTGAGTTCGTCCAGGGGAAGACTCCCATGTCGACTCTGAAGGAGACTTCCATCTTCATTGTCCTCTACTACGCGGTCATTTTTGGTGGCCGTGAGTGGATGCGCAACCGGGAGCCCTACAAGCTTAAGGGCCTCTTCCTCATTCATAACCTGTACCTCACCGCTATCAGCGGTATCCTCTTGGCCCTCTTCATCGAGCAGCTTCTGGCCACCGTTGTGCGTGGAGGCATCTTCCATGCCATTTGCCATGGCGAGGGAGGATGGACTCAGCCCTTGGTCGTCCTCTACTACGTAAGCTCACGGACAACGCTTTTCAGCCTGTTTCTCACAATGGCGGCTAATCGTGCTGGCATAGTTGAACTACCTTACCAAGTACCTCGAACTCCTCGATACCGTTTTTCTCTTCCTCAAGAAGAAGCCTCTAAGTACGACTCCATCATTCTTCTCTGGGATGTAAAACTCCAGCCCAACAGCTGACAACGGAATACAGCCTTCCTCCATTGCTACCATCACGGCGCGACCGCCTTCCTTTGCTATACCCAGCTGATTGGCTCGACGTCCGTGTCTTGGGTCGTCATCACTCTTAACCTCACAGTCCACGTTGTCATGTACTGGTACTACTTCCAGAGCGCTCGTGGTGTCCGAGTTTGGTGGAAGGAATGGGTCACTCGCCTCCAGATCATTCAGTTCATTATCGATCTCGGTACGTACAAGCAACTTGTCTGGTTTTGCCACGGCTCGGTGCGACCATTTGGCACTAACATTCGGCAGGCTTCGTCTACTTCGCCTCCTACACCTATTTCACCTCAACCTACTTCCCCTGGGTACCCAACCACGGCGAGTGCTCCGGCGAAGAGTTTGCTGCTTTTGCTGGCATCATCACTCTCAGCTCGTACCTCGTCCTCTTCATCTCTTTCTACTTCGCCACCTACAACAAGGAGGGCAAGAAGGGCTCGACGCGCAAGTCGCTTCGCAAGATGTCGCAGGCCCCTCTGCCAGACCCCCACCTCATGGCTCAGACCATGTCCTCGCCGAACGGCAAGACAAGCAGCTCAGGCACCACCACGGGTGTCAAGACCACCGCGGCGAGCACCCGGTCTCGTCGGGCCTAATTGAGCGCTCCATTGCACTACGTCTCGTCCTCGACGATTATCTCCGAACGTGCTATGTACATATGCGTTCCGAGCATGTCATCACAGTGATCAGCCAGTCTTCGGATATCACAAGAACGATTTCCTGTGTTGCGAGGAAGAGAACCTGCTACACAAACGAGCGGGTGCAGAGACACGTTTTGTTATTGTATCAACAGACTGCTAGGTGCATTTCGGGAACAAATTGGCTGATCATCTTCTGTATGGTCAAGACATGACGACTTGGGGGGTTGATGACCTTTGTACGAGTGTGCGTTTAAACTCGGGCGAAAACGGATATGGGAGGTATGGCTGGCAGACGGTAAGCAGGCTTTGTCATGCTGAAAGAGAGTATGGCAATTTTATCTCGGAAAACAAACCATGGCCATCGTCCTTGGTAAAATAGATGGGCGACGGTTAATCATTGTCAAGGCGATCCCGGTTCTCTGGGAAGGAAGGGTCGCATACCTATGCATACCTATGATATACTAATATTACTACTACTACTACTACTACTACTACTACTACTACTACTACTACTACTACTACTATTGATCTTTATTTAAGCGGACCGGCGAGGGCTTCGATGTCGGGATAGGCACGGGCACGGGCTGGCGGAGCATGGACCGAAAACTGCTCAACGTGAGATGTGGTAGTACGCTGAGCGTGACACACATTACTGCTGGGTTTCCTTCAAGATTACGCCTTCGAAGCTACACGACACCATTTTTGACGTTTCAATGCGTTTGTTCCATCCGGTCTCCTACCCTTCGAATGGTCTGAACTCGTGACTCCCAGACATCCGAGCCGGGAGACAAGGCAAAGACATGTTGGTCGTAGAAGAAGGGCGCTGGGTCAGGAGGTCATCGAGATAGGATGTCCATTCGCCACATGCCGCTCCTGCCGCAACACTATGGACGGGATATGGATGATATGTGTACGGAACCACATCCGTGCTTATCGTAGAAAGCACACCAAATAAGCCATGCATGCAGGCCACCGTGATTCGAAGACAAAGCACAAAGTCTCCACCAGTTGCTCGCAGCATCCTGTTGGGACGGTCGTTCCTCTCCTAACCAGGTCCGCATACGTATGTAGGTATTATGCTTAGTGTCGTTATCCAGCGCTGGCGCCGGGATAGGATGACTCCGAAGGTCGACAAGAGCCGCGAATACAAACGAGCAGCTAATTACTCCCTCACCCGGGTATACATATGGTGTGGCTACTGAAGTGGCGGTGGGCAGAGAATCGCAAGGCAATATCCTAGAGAGGGAGGGGCATGATTCATTGGTCGTGTTTCGATCAGCAACAAGACAATACTAACCTTGCTCGTGGTCTGCATGGGACTGCGTCTTCCCTCCTGGCTATCCGTTTTTGTTACTGTTATTATTCTTATTGTTTTGCTTTTCTACGTTGTCCATGATACCGGTGATGGGATACCAGAATAAGCTCCGGATGTGGATCTGACGGCGCGGCGAGACCGCGTCTGAAGGCCTCTGTACCCGCTCCGGCCAGGGCCCGGGCCGGATCTCGGCGTGTTTCCGGAACTTCACACCCCCGCCTCATAATCCTCCGTGGCAGGAAAATGTGGCAGAAGTCCCAGCGAATATCGAGACTCCTGTACTTCGGCTTGCCTCGGGGACTACCAGTGAAGATACTGCCGATTTTTTCGAGTCGTCCCAGGAGGCTGGGACGAGATTGACTTCGAATCCATTTCTCTTGCTACGTACCTTATCTTTTAAACCTTGAGCTAGTCGGGCTGGGGGGATCTCAACTTCACTGATGGCCCCTCAAGTGATTTCGGCCACTTTCAAGTGGGGGTTTGGCGAGATGTCAAGCTCTCAGATACGGGAATCAACCTACGCCGGCCGACATTTTCGACGTCGGGAGACCATACTGGTAGACGAGGGACGATCGCCCGAGAGAATGGATAGTACGCGATGGAAATTGGACCAAGTGTAGGAACGAGGGTGAGCGGTGTGACCAACCATCTGCAACTACCTGCGCCAGGAAAAGTGTCGGCGAATGACGGCCTCGTGGATAAAAGGCTCTATTTCTCTACTTCAGCTGCCGACATATAGACATAGTCGAAGAGGGGGTGAGGATGTAATCTCGCATTGGACTGTATATATGAAGTACGAATACCTACGTACCTAAGGTAGGTACCTTAGGTAGAGTGGGATGGCTACCTATGTAATACTGGGACGGAGGTCGCAGCTCCGCAACGGGCGGGGTTAGTTGAGCTGCCCGAGGGGTCTTTCTTTTCAGAAATGATTAACTTCGCATGTTGCAGGCCAGATCAGTAGCATCAATGTGACCTCTTTCATTTTGCTTCTACTATCCGTAGGTACGAATAGGCAATAAGTAGAATCCGACATTCCGTTTCCTGTCTGTGGAAGATGTTGATTTTCATTACCTTATTCATTATCATTTTGATATCTCTCTCTCTCAAACACTTCTAGGGTCAGTGCGCCAATTACAAAGTAATTACAGAGTGCACGGTCCATGAAGTAAGTCTTCGCACGAACAGACACAGAGAGCACGTGGCTTACTAGCCCGGAAAGGCTAAGGTCAACAAACTGTACGAACAAGTGGCCTGAATGGCCTGATACGATGGGAAAGCGCCGAGGCGGACAATCCTTGAAACCTTTCTTCTTTTTCGTGTGTCCATGTATCCGCGCGGTAATAAATTAAAAGGCACGGCCAAGCTCAAGCAAACCACAAGGAAGATGCATTCCGGGCCTGAAAAAGCAGGTCGACGTCAGGAATAGTTCTGGCGCCTTGAACTGGGATAGAACGCAAACAAGGTACCATGGGTTTGCTACTGAAAGCCTCTCGACCCTCACGCGGTACATAAGCTTTCCTTGCGAGATCTCCCGAATTGCAGACAATCGGCCTCGGGTGGATAAAGCAACTGTGAATACTTTCTGACATTTTTTATATTCGAGTATTCAATATGAAACGGCCATCGGTGGGGGGTCAATCAACCTCAATGTACGGAAATACGAAACCCCCCCCCCACCCAAGGACAGGGTGACGTCGAGGAAGGGGGTTCAAGAGGGCATAGACGCAGGAATACAATTGAATACGTCCCCTGGGCTAGCCGCAGCTACCTTAGGTACGGAGTACATTAGCTACCTTACCTTAGGTACCTCAAGGTAGGGACTCCCCCGGAGCACGTACATACGAAGTACTTCGTAAATGCACTGACGAAGCACCTGTCATTTCCCCCATGCAAGCCGGTATGTTTGAGGACGTCCTTGGGCGCGTGGTCCTCAAACACAACGGAATCGAGTCCAAGTTACTGAAGCTGGAGATAACCGACTTCGAAACGAGTTGGCTGCTCTCTATTATAACGGCGGTAGTAATAATTCGACCTTCTCGCCGGCTCCTCTTCCCTTGGAACGCAACACCTACGAGACACTCATGAACTGTCGCTATCGTTGAGCACGACCGATGTACGATGTATGGTACGGACCAATGCGCTCCCGTACCCTGTCCGCCGGCCTGGTTGTGATAGCACCCGGTGCACGATCCCAATGATCGTACCTAGGCGGATGCACTAAACTCGGCTGTAGGAGGACTCGGACACCTGAATACCTAAAGGTAGCAAGCCCTAATAGATGTCCACACTGTTGGCGTCATCTGATCTCTCACGAGTCATGGCATCAGATCCCTGCAGGGGAGAGAGTTTGGACGATTTCGTTTCCCGCCCGTTGACAGCCTCTACCCGGTCAGGGGCCCAATTGAAACCATATGGGTTAACCAATGGCATACGCTCGGTCGTGTGCTGACCGAGGTCTCTTTGCGACGCTATGTACATATGACTTGATAAGCGTATCGAAGTTGGAATGGATTAGGAACTGTACCTAGGGGCTGACTACCTTAGAGGTCGAGGATCACGTCCCCCCTTATCAGGACGTATCCCTGACCCCGTCGCCCATCCCAGATCGTCGCTCCCCCAGGAGAGAGTCTGTACCTATCACGTCCCACAGATTGACAATGGCAGATGGCAGATGACAGGCATGAGCCACACGAGGCCCAGTACCATAGTCCCCGTTTCAGAAACTGTAGCCTATCAGGCTGTGGGGGTTCTTGACTTCACCTCATCCCTCCCGTGTGCGTCTGATCATGAGGGCTGTCAGTGGAAAGGGAGATCGTCGGGTACATACGGATCCAATACACTAGAACAGGACGAATTATGACCAATCCTCGAACATGCCGAGATCAAACAGATCAACCCCATAATCAACCCTGAACCCGTCGCGAAGATTCGACTGTTCCCCCCCCGTCGGTAAGATGGACTTTGAGGAGGCTGTTCACGCTTTTCCGCACCCTGCAGCTCCATAACCACGAGGCTGTGACCCCATCACTGGGACATGGGCAAGGGGCTCCGAATACGACAAACGAAGCAGCGTACGTTAGTTGTATGGGAGATGTAGAAAAAGAAAAGAAAAAAAAAGGGGGGTCAAACACTGGCTGCCAAGACTGGGAAGGATAAGAGTCTTAATTACTCCGTGCGAACAGGATCCCCAGACTTCTATGTAGCGGAGAAATCAGTTGATCTGGACAATAATTGGAATGAATACCTATGATGATGAGAGAGGGTGGGAGAGGGAAGAGGGAAGAGGGGAAAAAAGAAAATAAAGCTCCAGGACATCCGACATTTTCGTGACAGATCGCCCAGTACGAAGAAACGAGATGCCATCTCTCTACTCACTCGCCCTGAATTTGACCCCTCACTCTCAGCCGAAGACACCCGTATTTTCTTTTGCGCTTCATCCAAGTTGGGCATTTGAGTTGCATGATCCTCCGAACACCGGAATCCCCTTCCATGGTCCTCTGCACCTATATTCTGCAAGCCAAGTCCCCGAAACGAAGGCATGTATGTATGTACGTACGTAGGTATGGTTGGGCGGTATGCATGTAGGCCAGATGGGTTGCCATTGGCGTTTTTGGGGTCCAGTTCAGAGGGTCGCAACGGACGCAAGGTACGGATACAACGAACTGGCTTCGTTGCAATGGTCCCTTGCCCAAACTATTCTCCTCCCCCCTCCCCCCTCTCACCTTTTACGATGACGATGGGCTCATGGTAGACGCCGCCATGCAGCTAAAAGTTCGCTTACGAAATCTTCTACTACATCGCATTTACAGGCACAATTCCCGGCCTTTACGAGGCTAAATACATGTACACATGTCCACAAAACGAACAAGTGGAGAAGAAACCATCACATTGACGGAGAAAGGCTGGAGAGTCAAGTGAAAATGAAGGCGTCTCTGTCATTTGCAGTTGTGGCATGATTGCTACACTTGCCCCTTAAGAGCTCGACTAATAACTCTGCTGATCATCCCATTCATTCCCATCCGTAACTCCGATGCTGTCATGTTCCGATAGTGCCAACGAACAAAAGAGAGAGAGAAAAAAAGGGGGGGGGTTGATAGAAGCCATATATGCTCCCCCCACCCATTACCCGTGGTATCCTGATCCCCATGGCAGTCTTGGCCAATGCTCCCCGTAAACCCAAAACGCCGTAAAACACTTTAGCCGTCCTTTATTACACGGTTAATATTCCCCCAACGCCTGGCGAACTCAACTGCCCCCTTTTGAGACCTGAAGTGTCTGCCCAAGTACCCTTACTATGCCCTCCCACCCAAGGAAAAAATATAATGGACCGACAAAGTCAACAAGTCGATGTGTTGCGTGATAGTAGGTCTCTCATGGCTTGAGGCTCTTCCTCTTGGAGAAGCTGCTCAGGATCCGACCCCGGCCACTGCTTAGGAGCTGTCCGGGGGATGGCGGGTACACCACGGTGGAGTTGCGGGCGCTCTTCTGGGCGGCCTTGGTCGCATTTACTTGGTGTTGTGACTGGGACTCCACCGGATTCGGCGTGGCGGTATTACTCCGGTCGATCTGAATGCTGATGGTGGAACAGATGCTGTCGCGGTGGGCGGCTTCCCGCAGGGCCGGTCTGCTGCGCTTCCGCACGATGCTGAGACCCTTCTTCAACATGCCCGACGGTGCTTTGGGCGTGATGGGCGTGTCGATGTCGCATCTGCGTCCATCCATGGAGTTCGGGTACGTCTGGCCGGCATAGGGGTCGATGCTGAGGAATGTCGGGGGCTGCTTGGTGAGGAGATTGCCCCGGCGACTGGATGATCTGGGCGGGTGGGCGGAGGCGGAGATGCCGGTGGAGGTAGAGGAAATGGACGCCCTCGAGGAGGTCAGAGGCTCTGTCGAAGAGCGGACCACACGCGGGGGCGGCGGCGGTTCATGGGTCGGCTGGGTCGGCTGGGGCGGGACGGACCTGCGGACACTGCTGAGGTTGATGATGGAAGGCTTGCCGACGTAGACGACTGATACCATCTTGGCGGTGTCCTCGTGACTGTGTCTCCTGGAAGGCGAGCCGGGTGAACCTTCACTCTCTGACTCCCAGTCGTAGTCCGAAAACTCGTCGGCGGAGGAGGAGGCGTCTTCTTCGGACGACAGGTAGACATCTTGAGGCGCGGCCCGGGCCAAGGTGGTCGGCTTCTGGGAATCTAGCGTGGCGGCGGTGAAGGCATCGAGGAGGCGGGAGTTTCGGAGGTTGCTCTTGTTCGGCAGTGCCGGTGGTAAGGCATCCTGCGAGTCCTGTGACTTCTCGGGATTGGCCCCAATGATACCGTCGTAGTACTCGTCAAGCATGTCGTCGTCGTCGTCGTAGTTATCCTCGTCTGCAAAGACGGATCGAGGGCCATCGGAGAGGGAAGACGATGCTCTATAAGATAGCCTGTGTACTTGTCCAGCTTCGTGGTTGGCATGGAAGGACTCCCTCGAAGGGATACTAGCGCGATGGTCTAACGTCATGGGCATTGTGGAGGGGAGGGGAACAGTTGCTGATCACCCTCGGAATTTCGCGAGGTGGTGCAGTCGTTGCACTGCGTCGTGGTCTAGAGGCAAGGAGGTTCCACTCAAGTGTTGATATCAAATGGAAGGGGGAGACGAAAGCAATGCAAGGCAGGAGAAGGAGAAGAAGAAAGGAGCAAGAGAAGCCGATCCACAGCAACTGTGAGTATAAGTGCCAGTGGTCCAGCTCTAGCTAGGAATGAGAAAAGGTAGACTGTTAAATGGAATCAAGTCTCGGACCTGATTTAGAGGAGGTTAGGCGAATGAGACATTCGACAGGAGCTTGAGAGAAGAGGGAGGAGGCGGGAGGCAGGTTGATTTATCTCAGCCAGCCGACTCTCACACTCCCTCACTTTCCCTCACACTCACTCCCACGCATACCCTCGCATTCTCTGGGCCTTGCAGACTGGGATATGGTGGGCTGGGCATGATGGCAGATATGTGGGACGGGTCGCATGGGGTTGCATCGATACCCTCGTAATCGACAAGGTGATGGGGTGGATGGAACGCAGAGGGGACAGGGGGTTGGTCGACCCATGCGACCGCTTCAAGGGTACAACGCACAACGTACTTCGAAATAGAGAGGCAAAAAGATTCGGGCGGGGCGGTTAGTCGAAGGTCGCATACCCCGAGGTACCGCCACTACAGTACAGTACCGGTACGTCAGTTTCAATTATTAACACGGAGGGTCCCAGTGGACAGTAACGGGGGTTCAGGAAGCTGGGAAAGAGTGCCCTAGGGGGGGGGGCGCAGTTGAGGAATGCAGGTGTCGGTTTCCCCGGTCTTTTTTTCTTTTCCTCGACTTCACACCAAAGCAACCCCGAACTGTTCCAACTGCGGCACGCCACCTCAGGGTATTCTCATGACAACTCGCGAGCCAGGATGCGGGTGCTGAGAAGGCGAACCTGGTATTATCCGTACTCCGTAAGGTACTGTTTTGATTGACGGGGACCGACCAGGGAAATCGAGGATTCGATCGGGAACCCCATATAGGACTTTTCGCCACCCAACACATTTTGGTAGTCCATCGTCTCTTCTACACATGTTACCGGCTTCACTCACCGACACCATCAACGACTACTTTGGAGTTCGGCCGAAAATAACATCGTTTTTCAAACCACTTGACCCGAGGACCGCCGTTGCACGAAATCATCGCCCATAAACGACCCCCTGCTTCGTTTCCCTCGGCTGCGGCCGGCCTGTGCGCCTGGGTGCCATGTACGGAGTACGTTGTAAGTGAGGTAGACTATCGTACACGCCGTGCTCCGTGGAACGTAAGGTAAGCTGAGGTTCGTGCGGCTTGACTTAGCAAGAGATGGCGACGTGAGCGACCCGTTTCATCTCTAGAACCTGAGTTCCTACACTGTAATGTGCGTGCTGGGGATTAGGTGTCTGTCTGGGAATCCATTCCTGTCGTCGCGCGCTGGAAGAAGAGGCGGGACATGCTCAACTAACGCAGGCGTCGCCGAGGTCAAGAGTCGCCTTCGATACCCTCTGTCGATCATTCATTCTGTAAGATGCGACCCATGCCGGACGATATCCCAGAAGAGTTTCGCAACGCGCTGATTGGTTCAAGCCACATCTAGACGATAACTACCGCTATCCAATTGGCCCCCTCTACCTATGTTCTTTCTATTCGTACTGCCACCTGCCACTGACGATACGATACGACGACCCCTAACCTTCTTTGACCCAAACACTACCCGTTACCATGGGCTGGGAAGCCTCTGTCTGCATGGCAGACACCCCGACATCTACGACGTGTGCTCGTACTGAGTAGAGTTCCGAACGCTGACAGGGGTAATATAGATATCCTTTTATATGGAGGTCCGAGCGAGATTTTGTCAAGAAGAGTCGCAATGCGAACTCCGGCTGCGCAAAAACATACGAGACCGCACTCCCGCAAATCTATCCTTCCTTGACGTCGTCGAGGCCCACTCGAACCCATGAGAATCCACATAGAAAGCTAAAGCTCCGTTTCTTTGCGCTCCGAGAGGATAAAGTAATTGCTCCGGCTTGCCTGTCCAGAAACAGGTGGTAGCCGATCATGTTCAGGGTCAGGGTCAAGGTCGTCGATCAAGATAACGACAACCTGAATCGAATACTTCGTCAGACACGGGGTTTGGAAGAAGAATGCTTGCAAACGGCATCTTGCCAAGCCCTGATCAGCTTTGTCCTCCTGTGGTTAAAGTAAATTGAAGTAAATAAAGTAAATGAATGAATTAAAATGGGTAGTATAGTTCCTCTCTTGCTGTACGTTGTAGGTTACCTTCCCCGCCCTCACTATATTATGGTGGCTTGACTATCACGACCGCAAGGAGCAAATAACGTACTGCCGTACATACGAATATGTACGAAGTATGCACCTGATGACCTGGGCTGGCAAACCATAGTTTCCTTGGCCAGTACCCAGTACCATACTCAGGCCCTCGACACCTCACTGGTGCATCGTGAGGACTTTAGTCGCACACATCGTGGGGGGCGTCGGAACACCTCCACACCACCTTCTCGGCCGAGCTGGAAGCGTCCTAGTCTGTCGTCTTGCTTCGCGAATCACATTCTTAACACCAGAGGCATGTCTGACCGCTCTTCGGAATCTACTTGGTAAATACTGGCTTCGATGTGCCGACTACGGAGAAGTTATTTCGTACTGCTATCCTCTCGATTTTTCTCTAATAAGCCCTGTTGTCGAAGCTCGAACTGTCTTCTGCCATTAATAACATCGGCTGCCTGGTATTTATTACTGACCAATAAGCCCCGTCTCTGTTCCGAGTTTCGTGTTCAGGCTGAGACGAGCGTGTCGCGGTCCCTTGAAACGGAACCCCCCGAATGAACCCCTCCCGCCGGGGCCCACCTCAACGCTTTGACCAAGTCTTCACGCCTTTCCTTTGTCCTTTGTAAGCAACTCTTTTGTCTTCGTCCGATAGGTATTCTGCAACATCCATTGTTAAGCTTTGACTTGAAAGGCCTTCTTCCAATATTCCATTGCTATGAAATAAGTCTATGCGTCTTGTTTCGACCACACCAACGCATGGACCACAACTTTTTTTGTATTTGTTTACTTTAACCCGTCTCTTTTCTTCTTCTTCGTTCGCTGTGTCTTCTCCAGGTAGCAAGACACCCCCTCTCGAACCAGACATCCAGCGCTAACGCCAACGCTGCAACTCTCGGGCATGAGTTCAGGCATGGGTGTGGTAGGGCGACATGCCCAATCCCATCGCAGATACATATTGCCCTCCGCTTGTGTCCCTGCACAGTGCAACTCGGCGGGCCCATCACACCTGACGGTCGTCGATGCAGCACCTGCATCTGCAGTTACCTGCACCTGTCGACATAATGGGGGTCTTCTGGGCTGTAACCAACTAATACCACTTCGCCCTAAACCCCCCTCCACGGGACCAGTCGGGCTACGGAGTACTTACGAATTGTACTTGCTGGGTCGCTTTTGTTGAAGTACGATACGCTAAAAAACTGTGAACATTCTTGGTAGTGAACATATTTTCTGACATCTTGGCCCTTTCGTTGCGTTGCCTTTTGCCTCGCTGTTCCAATTTCGGGGGCCGACGAACGTCTACATGTCTGGACGATGCAAGTGGTACGAAGTACGTTGTTAGCCACAAGCCAACGCACAAGCCACTGCCACGAGATGCTAGCTCGTATGTAATTACTTCTGACGAAGAAATAAGCTTATTCTTAGCATTTCCGCTTCCGCAAATGGCTGCCGACTTGTCGTGACTACCAAATCGTATTTCCATGGGAGAAAACAATACGAGTTTTCTCCTAGTGGTTGTTGCTGTTGCTATTGCTATTGCTGTTGCTTCCCAAGATACTATTCCTCCGACACAGTCATGTGCGGCTTCATGTCGTTGGTTCCTTTCGAGCAACTCTCCTGATGTGGCAGAGGCTTATGTCTACTACCCGGGCCGGTTTCAAATTGGTCCGTGACCGAGACCCACAACCCAATGGTGTCCACTTGTTTCCTAGAAACATTGTTTCGTACCAGTTTTTGGACGTTTTTCTTCTATTTCTTCTATGCACAGAAGGCATTGGCAGGCCGTGACGACAAAGCCTGCCAACACTGGTACCGTTGCAGGACGTCCTTAATCTAGCTACCGCATAACGACCTTACACAGTAAACGCGCTTTCGTTGTTTCGGAACGCGGATCATCATCCGCAGCATGAAGGACCACCGAGGCGTAGCAGCACTGGTTCACGTCATCTTTCCTGCTTGGACCGTTTCTCGGACTTATTTACGGGCGGCGTGTTCTGCACCTCTAACCGGCAGAGTTTGGTCCCGTGAACAATTACGTTAACCAGGGGTTGTGGACAGAATATCTGCCAGAAACTGTCACCGTAGGAGAATTGCCGCATATCGTCGTCTCGACGGGGAATTATCCACATGAACCGGTGGTGTCCGCTTTTCGCTGGCCTGCAACATACTCCTCGATGGAGGGTTCACGACGCTCACTCAAGGCTAGGTATCCGGGTAGCCCCAGATGGATTCTATCTTTGTCTGTGACTTTTGCCCCGTCGTGATGCTGACCTTGACGGGGAGGCGAAAGTGGCAAATCGATGTTGCTATATATACATGTCCAATTCGCCGGTGTCTCCGGTGAAGGGGTTCGTTAACATGTAACCCCGCGGGGTAATCCAAAAACCCAAATCTACGCCACAGGCGCGGTTGGCCTTTCTTAGTCAGTCAACCATCAGCGCTCAATACATGCGTAAGATGGCAGTGGTTCTGAAGCGGCTGGGTAGACCTCATGTCACACAGAGTCGCTGTCACTGTCACGAGTCAATCTGGGTCCGGAGGCTCGGAGTGGGGCCGTCGCAAATCACGGAGGGGAAAGCTTGACGTCGGGTTGCTCCGAGAAGGTCAGCACGATCACCCATTGTAGGCTCTGTGCGGTCTACAGGCCCTCCAAGAGGAAGAAGAAAAAAAGCAAAAAAGAGAAGAAGAAAAAAGAGGCAGATTTCATCACTGCTTATGGCCCATTCTTTACCGTTACTTGTTGAGGGTGTCTTTCCATCCACTAGGAACAATCCGCAACACCGTCCGTTACACCGGGTTTCCACACCGACATACGGTCAGGCTATGGGCCGGTGTCACCGAATTGTGAATTTGAAAATTCGCCCTATGTAATACTTCGAAGCTGATTTCGACAAGGTCCACGTAGAATTAAAAGCTGACGTTGGATGCCTGACCGTGACACAACCGTGGAAGATCGAGTTGCCATTCGAATGAGATCCCGAAAAGTCGTACCAATCCATAGTGTTTTCGAGGATCCATGTTAGTTATTTTTTCTTCATTTCTTCATTTCTTCATTCCTTTTCTTCGGCCATTACTACTCTCTTGAGACAACCAACCGCATACCGCGACTCGCCCCACTGAGTATGCCTTGCTGCCTCCTGGTAGTTCGTCCCGGGGAAAAACGATGCCCTACTTATCCAAGGCATAGTCGGGGAGAGCTCCGCGAGGGAACTGAAGATACCGAGACAATCAAGACACACAACCAGCAAGCAGCCCAAGTGCAGAATGCCACCATGCCATGTTTCAAATCCACAGGATTTCTGCCCGCACACATTGCATTCCTCCACAGGGCCCAACCCTTGAGAAGAACGTTGATCTCCAAGTATAGATCGAAACAGAGACGAAACCCAACGGCAAGAATCCTTGCTTGACTCGTGTTCGTGCCTCTTCGACCGCTGCTCCAGGAAACGAGCCCACCGAGAGGTCCCAGCACAGTGCAAACCAACCCCCTCGCCCCCCCCCCCCAAGGTTGCTGGTCAAGATGCAAGAGGCATGCGTCCAGCCCTGGAGTTTTGACTTTCAATGTTTGTTTCTAGTTTTCTCTTCTCTAAAATGGGAAATACGAAAGAAGACGAGAGTAAGGAAAGGGGCATACGCTCAGAAAACAAGGGGACATAAACGTGAAAGCGCCCAGTAGAACACCCTTTTGCAGATACTGGGGCCTGCTTACATCGTTATACATTGCCAATGCCAAAAGGTCCTCCCAGGATGAGAGAAAATAGAATAATGCTATCGGATGTTCCAGCACCCGGTATAGCCAGCACGACAAAAGCCATCTCCCGCATATAATTTCTCGTTCAGCCGTTACACGTCGGCAGTCCTAAAGTCTCCTTCTTTCCAACCACCATCAGACAGTAGCGACCATAGCGGCCATACTATCTTTGTCCTTCCGTTGACACTCATACTCGTCTCGCTTCGTTTGTCGCTTTATTACCGCCATATATCCCGATCGCCCTTCTTCTCTCCATCGCTAGTCAGAGGGCGGGGCCACAACGCATCACCCCCCGGCGGTTTCAAGCCGGCGGGTTCATGGGTCGGTATGGCTACGAAGCCGCCCACGCCATTGCCTACCATGACACTCCTCCGTGCGCCAGGCGTGTTCCATCCTTGGCCAGCAATGTCCGCGCCGAGACCGTAGGTGCTCAGGGGCCGGTCGTGGCGCGCGCCGCCAACCATGCTATGGCGCGAGGAAGAAGGCGCTAGTGCGGCGTCCGGAGACACCTTGACGAAGGACCAATTCATGGCCTCGTCGCGCTTGGCAAAGACCTCGAGGGTGTGGGTGAGAGAGCCCGTGCCGGCGAACGGGTTGTTGGAACTGAAACGGTTGGAGGCAGGAGCAGACGGCACTGCGAAGGGCCGCCGAGGAGGGGCCAAGTCGGGGCTGGCGGCGTTCGGCGGAGCGAGGAACCCGCCCCTTGGCGACGTCGACATGGACATACCCGAACCAGATGATCGGGGCCGCGACCCTGTTCCTTGAGCAAAAGGTGCGCGAGGCAGTGGCGGCGGGGGGAGGCCTTGCAGCATATCTGCAAAGTCCTCATCCAGGACATAGACCGCTCGTAAATTCCTCAACCCCCCTCCGAGGATGGAGGAAGCAAGATATGTGTAGTACGTCGAGGCGGCGGAGCTAGAATAGGGACTGGCGCCCGAGTCACCACTGATCTCGAAGCGTAGCGTCTCCAGTGATCCGGATGTGAGCCGCTGAGTGTGAGGGCCACTTTTGAAAGGGCCATCAACTTTGGCTTGCACGGCGAGCGACTTCAACGACGTTGCTGCGATAACAACTTCATGCAGAAGAGGTACTTCCACGCCTGTTTTGACGAGAGACAAATCCGTAAGTGTCATGCGCGGCTCGGGCCGACTGAGGTATTCCACCAGACCAGCAGAAGTGATGCCCGGTGTCTTGGTGAGGACCAGCTGCTCGAGAGCAGGGAAGGGAGGTAGCATCTCATTGTACGCGAATACGTCGTCGGTAAATGTCTTGCTCTCCGTCACCTTGAGTGCCCGCAGGTATCGCAGGGCGCCAAGAACCTGGCGAAGGATGCTTGGATCCATGTTGATGTTGATCAGTTCAAGGACTTGAAGGTTGCACCATATCCTCCCGTGGGATAGCCGAGCCAGACTACGCTCTGAGCCAGCGCGATACGTCATCTTCTGAAGATTCGGGCACCTGGCCTCAACCTCCAGCCGCAAAGTTGCGTAGGCAGAGTCGTCCGAATAGAGGCCCTCTGGTAGGTCGACGTAAAACAGATGAGGTAGAACGGCGATAGTGCGAGCTAGATCAGCCTGCGCACCCTCGCGTAGCATGTACGGCGTCTTGAAGAAACAGACGCGAGAGCCGAGCCTGGTAGGATCCTCGCGCAAGGTACGACAGAGAAGCTTCAGCCGGGCGCTTGGGACATCTTCCGGGTCTCCGTTGCGATCAAATCGTGTGCGCCTCTTGCGCATTTCGGCTAGGTAGGCTTCGCGCTCGCAATAGTGGACCGAGTCGATTCGGATACTATGGTATCTGCAAAAAAAAAAAAAAAAATTTGGGAAGAGCGGAGGTTAGATGTGCCATGTTGCAGATAATTAATGCTCGGGGTTGGACTTGGACTCCATCTTACAAAAGGTTCCTGGCCGGGTTCCTCCATCTCTTGCAAACTTGGACACAATGCGCAAGGTCCCTCATGTCACAGAGCATGCAGGTATCCTCCAGTGCGCTCTGCTCGCAGTTCTCGTATGTCTCATCTTGACTATGAGGACAGACGAAAGCAAAGATGCGCTCGAGGACGCCCTCTGGGAGTAGGGCAATCAGTGCGGCTGAAGCATAGGTAGGCCCGTAGAGGGAAGAGATGACATGTTGAGCATGGCCCTTCTGTCCAGATGCAGAAGACCAAGATGATTGCCTTGCATGGGAGTCCAGTCCCTCCTTTTTCTTGTCTTTTTTCCTGAAGCTGAAGATGCCCATCTTGCGAGAGGACTGTTTCGCGGCCGAGAAATGCCCTGGAGAACTAGGAACGGGGAAAAGGCCCTGTTAGGTGGGAGGATGGAACAAGAAATTATACCATAAGGGACAGAGACTGCACTGCCGATAGAGCGGCTCCGTTCCTAGGAGAAGGTGATCGGCAGTTGGCTGGGTCAGGTGGCGCGTGCACCTTGCTGAATGTCTCACTGCGTATCCGTTGTGGTCTGCGATACCGCGATGCCATATAAAGACCTGCTTGGCGAAGCGCCTAATCTTCCTCTGCCTTTGAGGGGACACGGACGTGAGAAGGTTCCAAGAAGCGACTCGCACCGGTCTCCGCCCTTTTTTCTACTCTGTTGCTGGTCCTCTGGGAATCGTTCTGGTAAACGTTCGGTCGTACAAGCGTGTTTGGGATGGTCGGGAGCAGGAGTGATTGACTGAGAGGGGTATCTGTTGAGAGCCTTTGTCCCAAAAGAGTGTTATGGAATTGATCTGGCGTGTCGGCTGCTACTGAATCCGTGTTGTTTCGTGCCGTGCTGGGTGTAAGGGTCGGATAGGATATCGACGACAGTCAAAGTGCAGCCGATGTCAGGGATTCCGCAGAGGCTCTAGATTCCGGACTAGACCACAAAGAAGTGTTGTTAGTCGGTCTGATAGAAGTCTTTCGTCGTCGGAACCCAAGATGGCGCTGGATGAATGATAGTTGATGGGGACAATGAGGGGGAAAACAGGAGAGACCGCGGTCGGCCTGGGTTGACAAAGGACATGGGCGGATTGCCCGACTTGGTCGATATGACAGTTGACTTGCCTTCCCCCACCAAGCGCCAAACACCCTGCTGGACCCCAGTTCCGCCTACCAATCACAGCACGTATAATTTGCACTAAAGTACTGGTTCTCTGGGGAATGAACCCCAATTTGTACCTAAGCCTCTCTGGGCGGTTAGCTGTGGGCTGCTCCTGGCTGTTCCGCCTTAAGACCACGAGGTGCGACCGTTAGTTCTTGCTCGTAAGTGTCGGTTCTTGTTTTCTATGCCAAATAACCGCCGTCCACACCCTGCGTTTACGCTTCTTTGGCTCGACAATCCAAGTTAAGACGGAGAACCACCACAGCCGAGGTCGCTTCCAGGTTTCCCAGTGCCCCAACCAGGATAGGTATGCCGGCTGGGTGTCACTAACGTATGGTCAAAACCAGATCCTTTCTACCATTCCCCGACGCTTCATTGATCGATCGACGAAACCTCAAGGATGAGTAAGTATCTTGTTGATAGCTAGTATCTGCTATGCTTTTCGTACCTCAGTGAATATGCATGACTATGAACGGATAGATCGTTGGAACCATAACCACGAAGAAACATGGCGAGTCTGAACTTGATAAATCCCAAACCTGGTCCTCCTCGTCCCTGCTTAGCTATGCAATGTCGCTGCAGCTTCCATACACTTCAATACCCTTCTCTCATATGCAGTCTGACCACGGCATCCATTGCCCCCAAGTCTTTAGGCACTCATCTCCTGGTGGGACAAGCAGAAGAGGTCTAGCGTTGGCCATCCTGCTCATGCGGCGAACCTTTCAACTCTTCTTCTTGTCCAAGGCCCGTTTTGCATGAACTTCCAGGGGACTTGGCTCAGATACCGTCCTCTTTGGGCTGGAGTGCACCGCCGTTCAGGGTATTTGCAGCCTCTGGGCGCTTGGTTCGGAGCGTCAGCGGGAAAGGGTACTCATCAGGATCTTCCTCCTCTCTATGACGTCTTTTTTGTTAGCATATGGGATACTCCATTTCCGGACCAAGTGGGAAGCAATTTGAAGGGGGGAAAAGTAGAAAAGAAAAAAAAAAGAAACAGAAAAACAAGAAAAGAAAAGAAAAGAAAAGAAACAGAAAAGAAAGAAAAGAAAGAAAGAAGTAGTTAAAAAAAGAAAAAAAAAAAAAAAAAAAGCGGGATTCTTACGGCAACTTCCACGAAACGTAATCTTCAGTGCTCAGGCCTTCCCTACCTTCCTGGAGGCTGGCGAAATCTCCCGGTGTCATCATTCCGGTGCGATCGCGAGGAGATCCCGGCACGGAGAATGGCCGAGAGATCTTCTGCTCCACGCCAAGAATCGCATCTTCCTCCTCCTCCTCGCCCTCAAACGATCCAGGATAGACACGGCGGAGCGCCAGCTGTCTTGCCTTCACGTACTCCATCCCCATCCGCTTCCAGTCCAGGAGGTCGCTGAGCCGCTCCGTTCGATTGCGCTGATTGATCCGCTGCCGTCGGCTCTTTTGGCAGAAGTCCAACATATGCGACGTTAGCATGTTGACCGAATCATCCACGCTCTTGGTCCTCCTGTCGACGATGTAAATTCCGTAGTCGCTCGAGTTTTCGATCAACTCCTCCATGTAGCAACCGAACCCGGACAAATTGGTCGTGATGCTGGGCACCCCCATGACAGTACACTCCGCGGGGGTATAGCCCCACGGCTCGTAGTACGACGCGAAGATGCCCATGTGCGTGCCTCGCACAAACTCGTCATAGTCCATAGGCAGAACAGGGTTAGCCGAGTTCAAGAACTCGGGATGGAACACGATCTTCACGCGGTCCGAAGGGTGATTGAACAGCTGAACCCGCCTAATCTGATTCAGAATGGGGTCATCGTGGTCGTTCATCATATTGTGGGTGACGATTGGTGGAAGCGTGTGCCTCTTCATGGCGAACAGACGTCTCCTGAGGAGGACACGGTCTTGGCTCGTGATCAGCTCCTTCTCGTCGGGTAGCGGGTCGCCATCGTGCCACTTGAGGGAACGTTCAAAGATGCGTTTACCGATACCACGCTCAATGACATCAACCGTGTCCCGGAGCGACTTGATCACAGCCTGCCCCTTGAGCGCTTCCACCGTCAGCGAGGTGGTCTGGGCCGGCATGATGACGAAGGCAACGACCGTCATCTTGCTGCCGGCCAACTTCAGACGGTGATTGAGGCGTGCCAGCGATTCAATGAACATATCGACACCTTTGTTCCGGAACTCGTATCGGCCGGCCGTGAAGAAATAGATCGTGTTTTCCGGTTCAAAATCGTAGTGCCCATAGAAATGACCCCGTACGAAGTCGTGGATTTTTTCTTTGGCCTGCTGATGAAGATTTTGGAATTCGTGAACGGCTGAGAACTTGGTGACATTGAGCCCGTTCGGGAGGACACCGTCAGGCTTGCGCTTTAGGAGGTGTTCGCTCTCGAACGCCGTTATGTGGGAAACCGTGGTAAAGACATCGCATGTGTGGGCAGCCGCACGTTCGATGCAGTACCTATGATAAATGCCGCGCTTGCCTGCCTCGGCATCCACGTCGAAGTATTGCAGGTTATTGTAGAAATCGACCGAGCCGGCACAGAGGTAGCGGCCTAGCAATGTAGCGTGCGTAGTGAATATGGTGGTGACATCGATCCTCCGATTCTTCGTAAGGGGCAACGCGACGCCGGCCAACCATTCATGGAAGTGTGCGATGACGGCCTTTTTCTTCTCGTGGCACACAAACTGGGAACTCACGTCAGTATGTAACCTGGACCTGTGTTACGGAGCGGAGCGGTCCACCCACCTCTCCCAAAAACCACGCAACCAGGTACCCAAAGACGATAGCTTCGTTAGTTTCGTCGTCACTAGGCGGGGAAGGGATGCTGGCGATGTTCCACAAGTCGGTCTTCCATTCGTCCAGATAGCTGTAGGCGGTCTTGGTGTCGAGAAGTAGCACACGAGGTGCGCCTTCGATAAGCCATCTCCCATACAAGACACCGATACCTCGGTCTCTCATCGACTTGATAGTTTTGACGAGCTCTGGAATGGTTGGCTCCAACTCCTCAACCTCCACTGCGGCCTGGGGCTCATTAGCTACCGATGGTGTGATAACTGGTCGTCAAATCTCCTTACAGATTGGTGGTTGAGTGGGCCGATGAGTGTGTATCGATCGCCATATTCGGCCGTAGTGACGGGAGCCTTCGATTTGATCACGGAGTAAATGCCACCCACTATGTCGCGACATTAGCCAACAGGTCAGAATGGGGTGGCCCCTTGCAGAGTCAACGGCCTCTTTGCAAACGTATGAGCTTACCTCTATGTGCGACTTCAGTCGCAATCTCGAAGAGGATGTGGTTTTTAACCTCACGTTGGGGGGCGTCCGAATCTTGCGACATGGTGGCGAGATTGGAAGTGGTGAACGGTTGAATGGCCTGGTGCTGCTTTCTGCTTCTGACAATGCGTCGAGGACAGGGCTCGAGCTTGAGAGTAAGGCTAAAACAACACGAAAAGGAGGACAAATGAATATTCCTAGACTTCAGATAGCTCCTCCAATTGGCAGCCTTCAATGGTCGAACTCGAAACTTTCCGGAGCTACTTGAAAAAAAATTAGTCCAACATGTCGCATCTTTGGCAATCCAGTTATGAGCACTACTCGGTGAAGATGCCCTGTTGGATACCTACATAGACCCCAAAAAAAAGCCGCCTTGCTCAGGCAGGTAATAATTGCAGAGCTCAAGAGGGGAATTAGGGGGAAAGGGATTGGAAAACGGACGAGGGAATCCGTAGGAGGTGAAAAGAATTGCGCGGATAAAAGAGGGGGAAAGCAAGTTTTACGTGAAGATCTAAGGTAAGGTAGCGAGGTTAGTACTCCGTAGGTACGAACAATCGGTACATGAGGTGACGTCTCCTGGTGATGGACAACCATGTCATCCCACGCCATGGCAACCGTCGAGGAAGCTGGGTGGTCCGAACTCTCGACCCACTGCTCCCGAGCTCGGACTGTTCACGAAGAAACGCAGCTTAGCTACCTAAGGTACGGAAGCTGCAAGTTCGTCCTGAGTAATACTCGGTACCTCCAAGGCGTCACATAAATGTGGGTGGATGTCGTGATTGGTGGAGATGGTATCAATTGACTTCGGATCATCAATGAACCAGGGTCTAGACTTTCCACAATAAAAAGAAAAACACAGTTCCGCCCTGAATTCCCTTTCTTCATCCTTAGCACCAGTAATTTTTGCAAAGCTATTGTTCGCTCATTGAGCTTGGTACCTTCCCGTTCGTGCACTAACTATTGTCCGTACCGCCTAGTACACGTGTAGGCCCCCTATCAAACACGACCCGATACGGACCACCCTCCAAGAAGTTGGTGGTACCTTGCGAAAAGTGCGGCGTACCGTACCTTACATAGTGGACTACACCGGTGTGCCACGATGACCTAAAACCATAACGTTGGAAGCTGGTCTCATGGGAATCTTACTGAGCTACAGACCAGCCGAGTTTCTGAATCGACCGTAAAAACGCACAGCTCTCCAGGAGATTGGCATAACATGACGTCATGGAATGCGGGGTTTCGCGCTAAGACAGAGTAAGAATAGTGTCGAAATTGATAATTTGGAGAATTTCTTCGCGATCTCAACAGTACGTACGTAGCAAATACGTTCATTTTGCACTATATACGATATGAGCAGTTGATGGTCAGCCGAGAAATTCATGCCCATATATTGAGTGCTTTGCCACTAATGTCTTCATACATGAGAGCTCCCCACTACGGGACATATTTTCACAAGATAAACCGCAAAATCATTGGGGACTTTTGTCGTATTGCAGGATTGCAATCGTCGATGAAATATAGTCACGTGACATACCAGAGTCACCTGTATCACGTGATTGTGAAGCCAATAACCTAGTTCGTCCAACAGGACTTCTGAATTTCGATCAAGGTTTTGTGTTTTCACCGTGAGCCGAAACCTTGCACACCGCCTGACCACAAACCATCCGCAACGACAACCAGACAAAAGCCCTGGAGAAACCGGGCTAGATTGGCCACACTGTCCTTGCCGTCTTTCTGTCGTTATGTTTATTTCTTCATGTTCTTCTGCGATTTACCAGGAATGGGAACTACTCGAACTTGGCCTGGGTCCTGTACACAGCGCTCACAATCCCGACCTGTCCCATGTGTTGGTTCAGCGTGGCTCCGAAATGATAAATACCAGGGGGCAAAAGAGGGATCTAACCACGTTCCGACGACATCCCACCGACGTGTTGAAGCCGACGGTTCTAGGTAACGGTTGGATTTGGAGGACGACAAGTCCTCTTCCGCTCCGCTGATTTTCATCGGACATGCACTTCCGTTTCGAAACTCACTTGCACACCGTCCTCGGTCCATGCTACATTTCCGTGCCACCACTCGGCCAGTCTCTATTACGCCCCGGGGCTTTGAGCTGGCTGTGCAGCTGTCATGCACAATTGTTGTCGGCCAGCTGATATCGAGCTTGTCCTCAGCCTGTCGCAATTTATCGCCGCGGCTGTCATTCAACCATGTGTATGTTGGGACGCTTGATGAAGGGAGCGCGACAGTGAAGGTAGACTGGAATTGTCCAAGTTTGCTCGAGGAGCGCAACAGAAACACAGCCGCGACCACAATTGCAGACAAGGCAGACAAGCATCCGGCTAAAAGCCTGCGAGGCTTTTGGTGACCAGCCTAGATTTCTGGCCGGTGAGCGTTTCACCTCTGGTCAACCTTCTAATCTACAGTGCCTCGCTCAATGGATTCGACGGCTATATTGCTAGGCCTGTCATCAAGATACTGTGGCTTGGCCCTGTCTCAACACAACAGAGCTCGCCCTCTCCACTTCTTTCCGGGGTAGAGGCGCGTCACCGGCTCTTTTGCAGCGTCACACATCTTGCCCACATCCTGAGTTACCCACACGCCGTTTCCTTTTTCGCCATTCCGCGGCGTCTGTGGCGGTTCGCCACCACTTCTACCGTCTCTACGCAGCCCGCGGGAGAGTAAGGCATGACTACCCGCTAACGGCTCTTCTCTTCGACAGAGGAAGCTGGTTGTGGGTTATGTCGTAGGATAGTAGTTACCTAGATAGGTACCGCTATGACGGTGCTGATCGTGGCCCTGTTACTCACGGCGGTCATGCGATCTGGGAAAAGGAACTGTGGCCCATAGCTATTATTGTTGGAGGGGCAGTGACATAGTTGGGATGGTCATCAAGGACAGCTTTCTCGGTCGAGGGTCGGGATGGGTTGTTGTTAACAACAACCGTCGATGAGTCGAGTTGCGATCTGACTCTGACGTCGCATTGCGGTGGGGTAGCATGGTAGGGACTACGATGGCCTTGCAAGTGCACACCAGCAACCTGGCCATAGCCTGGGTCCCTTCTTCTCGCATCTTGGAGTTGGGATATGATGTCGGGTCTGGAGTGGGCTGTGGCGGGACTGATCCGACTTGATCTTCGCGTCTCGTAGTCCAGCTTAGTGGCTGCCTGCTGCTGCTACAACGCATAGCCAAGGTAAGGCCCTAAAGGATGTGATCACAAGTTCACACCTACCTGGATCTTGGATCCTCGCATTTTCTTTTGTCAACCCCTTTCTTTCCTTCCACAAGCAATCCGAGGCGGTTGTTTCAGCTTCTGACAAATACCGCTTGCTTGTCGCGTTTATTCAGTCGCACTACCCTGTCAATACTTTGCGCTCAGCAGACAGAACATTACGGTTCCTACAAGCTTAAACCTAACAAAAAAAGGTGACAGCTGCATGCCCGGTGTTACTGAGTTTGGGAGAGGTGCATACAATCTCTCTGGGTTCTTTTGGATGTGGTACTTGGCATGTCGTTGACTCGTTGGGGGTCCTGGCCTTGTGGGCAAGGCTGACAAGCGGCACAGTCGTTATCGCTTATCGTGATAATACCTCTCGGCTAAACTCCGGCCGAGCATCACCTGAAAACTCAAATCACGGCAGTCGTTGAGATGGATCCCTCCCAAGCCCAACGTCCCCGGCATGTCGCCATGAACGACGATCGGAGAGACGCCCAAGAGCGCAGAGATCGAGGCAGAGCAGGTCAAGGTGGGATAGTCTCTCGTAGATCTGTATCTCCCACGCCTCATCGACCGCGCAACGACGAAACGGAGAAACAGCCTGAAACCGATCCTAGGGGGACGCAGCTCAAGCATCGTCGATCTTCCGACCGATCGAACCTCCCGATCCACGGGAATCCATCAGAACGTGGGAAAGACAGATCACATCGCCAATCTCGCTCCTCTCGCCGGCGGAACGAGCGCCAAGAAGATCGCTATCAGCCTCCTCGCTCTCGAGACATTGACGACCAGTTCCGGCGTGATCACAGAGGTGGCCGTCAACGCACACGTAGTCCAAGTCCCCGCCGGGGTCGCGGTGGACCTTCGTTATCGCCTTCAACCAAACGACCGAGAAGTCGGAGCTCGGTCTCGCCTGAGTGGGACAGGAAACGGTCGAGGCGAGACGACAGCCCCGGCCGGACTTTACGAACCCCGAGAGACGCGAGAGACGCGAGAGACGCGAGAGACGCGAAAGACGAGAGAGACGACGAACACCCAGATACCCGTGCACCCCGCAATCATACACCTTCTCTGGATCCCGGCGACTCGCGCACGGACTCTAGACAGAAGAGACGACAGGACCGACGTCGCAGTCGATCACGATCCTCGGCCAGGGTTAGATCGGATTCCCGTCGTACAGAGCGGTCGCCCCCTAGCTATCACGGAAAGGGTCACACGCGTGGACGGACTCGATCTCCGCGTTCTGCCTATCGGGCTCGATCCCCCAGACCGCGATCCCCACTGTCCCCTCACGACGACCGTCGTCCAGAACGTCCTCGCCGCCGATCACGTTCCACCAGCAGGGGTTCAGGACATCGAACGAAACAGGGGAACGGACCGAAATCCACTCGAGACGGGCCATCCTCTGGTGCCAATAGCATTGAAGTAAACATGACAGGACGAGGTCATCGCGGTAGCTTTGGTGCCCGGCAGCAGATGCACAGTGCATTTTCCGGTAATCCTGGTTACAATGATCCTCGCCAATATTCGCAATCTCCTCATGTCACCCCCAATCCATACCATAGCTCGCCCAATCATTCGCCATATGGTGCTAGGAATGCTTGGAGCGGCTCTCCCCACCAACAGTACGTGACTAACACTCCCACGAGCTTCTCCCCATGTACCACCAACAGCATGCTAACTCCCGACAGTCAACATCCAGCACAGTATCCGCAGGCAGCCTATGTGCCGCAGAACAATTCACAAGCTCCGTACCAAGCATCTTCATACTCGCCGCCGCCTTCTGCTCCGACGGGGCCAATGCAGCAGTATCCCAGAGGTAATACCTACCGAGGCGGTGGATCTTTTCGTGGCAACCAGTTTGGTTCTGGACGGGCTGGCTACAGATCTGCCAATGTTAAGAATCTTACATGGACTTTGAATGCTCAAAGTTCAAGCGGTCGGGGCTCGCTCGCCCAGGCAGACGATGTGAAGTCACAACTTCCCAGCTCTGCCACGACAAATGCACCAAGCGACAAAGGAGAAGAAGCCCCAGAGGACAAACAGAATCCGTTCCGGCCGTCAATAGACTTGCAGGTCGAAGATAAGACTCCACCAGAGAAAATCGAGGATAAGGAGATGCCTCCTCCCAACCGGCCCCCTCCATCAGGGCCATCCACTCAGTCGGCGGCATCGTCGAAGTTCAGCTTCGCATTTAAGGCGTCTGCGAAGCCAGCTCCGACGGCGCCCAAGCCAGAAATTTCCCAGAAGTTCAACGCTGCACCTCCGAAGCGTGATGCCCCGCCGCAGCCAGACCACCGCCCCCAGCAACCGGATCAGCGATCGCGGGACCCTCCACGTGGAGCTCCGACAGAGCCCGCGTCTGCCAGAGGAAGGCATGAACCGAGGCATCATCCTCCTCCACCCGGCCCTAAACCACCTCCACCCCCGAAGACGCGGACCGTGAAGAAGAAAATGAAGCGACTGAAGCCCCGACAGAGCTTGACTGAAGACTTGGTCAAGTCAGAGTCGGTGTATTTCCGCAAGCCCGGAAACGAGTCTGTGGTAGGCTCAGGTACCTACGGGAAGGTCTTCAGGGGCCTTCATGTCTACACCAAGCGTCTAGTTGCCCTGAAGAGGATCCGCATGGAAGGTGAGAAAGATGGCTTCCCAGTCACGGCTGTGCGAGAGATTAAACTGCTCCAATCTCTTCGACATCCCAACATCGTTCAGCTTCAAGAAGTCATGGTTGAGAGAAACGATTGCTTCATGGTCTTCGAATACCTCTCCCACGACTTGACAGGTCTTCTCAACCACCCAACGTTCAAACTCGATGCGGCGCAGAAAAAGCATTTGGCCAAGCAGATGTTTGAGGGCTTGGACTACCTCCATAACCGCGGAGTTCTTCATCGCGACCTGAAAGCCGCCAATATCCTTGTCAGCAACGATGGGATTCTCAAGCTCGCTGACTTCGGCCTCGCCCGGTTCTATGCCAAACACCACCAGCTGGATTACACAAACCGCGTGATTACCATCTGGTACCGGCCCCCAGAGCTTCTCCTCGGCGAGACTCGATATGGACCGGCGTGCGATATCTGGAGCACGGGCTGCATCATGATGGAGTTCTTCACGCGCCACGCCACGTTCCCCGGTGACGGTGGGGAGATCAGCCAACTAGATAAGATATATAGTGTCATGGGGACTCCGAACAAGGCAGAGTGGCCTGGTTTGGTCGACATGCCCTGGTTCCAACTACTACGACCTGGATACCGTCAACCCAACACTTTTGCTGCAAAGTACAAGGACAAGTTGACACCTGCGGCCTACGATCTCCTCTGTTCCATCTTCAAGTACGATCCGGCCAAACGCCCCACTGCCGCCGAAGCCCTTCAGCACGCCTACTTCACGACTGAGGATCCCGCTCCTCGGCAAGCTGTAGAGTAAGTCTCGATGCGGGAAGGGGGACTTTTATCTGCTTCACCTACCTAGGTATCAAACATGCTAACTGCATATTTTAGATTGGCGACGCTAGAAGGCGACTGGCACGAACTCGAATCAAAACAACACCGACGTGAGAACGAGCGGCGAGACAGAGAGGCGCGCCACGCAGCTCGGGCAAAGGAGAAAGAGCGCAAGCGCGAGAACGACATGCATGATCAACGAGGGGACGTGAAGCGAGTTCATCTTGAGGGGAAACCGCCCCAACCTGTGGACAACATCACCGCAGCCAGAGATGTTTAGAAGGCGAGTGTGGATTCGCAACACCGGTCGTCCCCCCCTCACTCATATGATGTGATCGCATTTTTCGCCCAATATACGGCGAAGAAATTGTTTTACCTTCGGCATCTCAGTCCATGTTCTTTATGGGTATTCAGCATTCTCAAGGCGTGGAGTTAGCGGCGTTATGTACAACCGTCAAGAAGGACTCTAGGTTTTCATGTTCAGGTCAAGCGAATAGTATTTCGGTGATTTCGGTATCGCTATTTTACGCATCTCGGGTGAAGCTACACTCGAAAGGAGCTGGTGTGAGAGCCAGACCAGCATCAGGTGCGTGGGCCAGGCACGAAAGAACAGAACAGTTCATTCTCACTGCTGTAGGGTGAAGATGAGCCGGCGATTGGGTGTCGGTCCAGTCGACGTGAAAGGGTCTGTGGCCTGTATAGTACATCTCAGCAGCTGCATATATGGCCTCCGCCACTTTGATTATCCCCCAGAGATGTTGTGATAACGATGACTATAGGAGTGCGCCTTATCTGTGCTCTTGGGTCGGACCCATGTTGGATTCCTCTGGACAGCAGACTTTGGTAAAACGGAACGGAACGCCAACCCTCTCCCGTCCTCATCACCCTTTGCAAGCATGCTGAAGGTATAAATAACCTCACAACAAGAACACCAATTGCCGTAATTTCTCGAGTAAAGTCTCCGTTTGGTAGGAGATCACACTGGCCGACCTGCCACGAAATTTCCCAAAGATCGTTAACTCCCCCATGCTTGACGCCTGGTAGATTTCCGTCAACCCTCAAAACCCCCATCCTCGAACATGCGAAAACACCATCCGCATTTCAACGCCACCTCCGTATTCGACTAGACCATGTCCGCATGTTTCGAATGGAAAGTTATCAACTCGGCAAAATCGCCCCAATTGTAGCAACACACAGTTTCGGTATACCCGGCGGAACCTCCCAGTCTCCATTGGTTTACTTCTCAACCCCCTTACCCTTTCCCCTCACGTCTGCCGCTGATTTCAGCAATTCTCGCAGACTTCCTTCGGCGTGACTTGGCGATGCGCCCCCTTGGGCCGAAGCAGGGCTGAGAGCCATTACCGGGGGAAGCGACCAAGCCGGCATCCAGCCACTCAAGCCTTCCAGCAAACCTCTTGGCTCGGGGGATTGCGTCTCGTCCCCAGCTTCCAGACGAGGGCCTTCGGTACCTGGCTGTTCGCCGACCTTGTTCGAAGCGTTTTCGTTCACATTATCTGGCTCAGTGCGGACTTCCAAATGGCTTGTCGACGTTTTAGGGAGAGCCGGCTCACTCAGTAGCGTAGACGAAGAATTGCGTGCGGAAGCAGCATCGCTGGCGCTCGGGACCTGCCGAGCGTTTCCTATCATGGCCGTGGCCAGAGATGAGGACTTTTTCCTGGTGAGCTTCCTTCTATTGTTGTCGACTTCTGGGTTCGTCCGAGAACCAGTATTCTCGTTATCGCCTTCCGCCAGATACGCGGAGGCTGTCTGGGCGGTTCGTTCACGGACCTCCTCGGCGATTTCGCTTGCCAGTTTTTCCTTCGATTTTCCTTCCTCAGACGAGCCGCTGGAGGATATGATGGTCTCCAGCGTCCCTATGGCTACACTCCTTCGCTTGCCACCGAGACTCGCTTTCTTGCGGTGCCGTCTGTTGTTCCGCTCATCGTCGGATGACATGGCCTGCAGTGTCCGACCGGTAGCCAGTTGACGCCTGGATGACGCAGAAGCCAGGAATGCTACGCCAGACCCATGAGGCGCGACGTGGACTTCGTATTGGTTACTCAATGAGTAGCGAGACCTGGCGCAGATCTCCGCAATGCGGTCCAGGTCGGCATTGATGTCGCTTTCTCCGCCCTCGGCTTCTAGATTGGCCATCATACTTTTGAAGCTGTAGGCTTCAATGGGCGGGAGCTTGACGGTAGCATCATGGGCCTGAGACCCTCTTAAAACCTTTGCCCTGGCCATGCTCAAAAGGCCATATTGTTGAGCACCAGGTCGCGATCGGAAAGCGACGACACGCCGGACGGACGCTGCGGTGCCAGAAGTCACCGATGTGCCTGGACCATAGCCCGCTTTATCGCCTCCAGTAGCGCTGCGAGTGGCGTTAGACGTCCTGCCGCGACCACCGGAATATGTTCGTACAAGAACGGGCTGGGAGTAGGCGCTATTTTGGGTTCCTGTAGACTTGGCGTAGCGCAGTCGAGAAGGATAATGTGTATTGAGCTCTCTCAGAGCCGAAGTACGGTGAGCGGTAGTGTCATCGTCAAGCGGGATGGGTTTGCCCTTGGCAGTAAAATGTACGAGTGAGGTCGAGGACTTGTTCGATTGGAACAACAGAGGGAAAGAAAGAGGCAACGAGGAGCGTCTTGATCTCTTCTTGGTCGGGCGTGAAATTGGAGAAGTCGAGGTCTTGGGACGACCTGGGGAAGTGGGAGTAGGGTTTTGCTGTTGAGGTGGGCCAGAAAGGTCCCTCAACATGCTTCCCCCGTCCATTTCGGGCAGGGAAGCTCGGCGGGCAGATTATATATACGAGGTAGCTGGGTGTTCTTAGGAGCACCCGAGTCCGTTGTCGACCCGCCGGGGGAGAAAAAAAGGGAGGGGAGGGCACAGGCGCAGGGAGGATCAGATCAGCGGCTGAGTGCGCATAGTACAGAGCGGGCGCTTTGAATCGTATGGTCGAGATGCCGCTCCACAAGACAAGGCACAGGAGTGACTATGAGAATGAATGGATGGCAGTGGCAGTCGAGGAGGCAAAGGGCCACAGAAATGAACATGCATGCGTCGTCTGCCCTTATTCCGAGCTGCGTGTGTGGCATGGGCTTCGTGGCGTCCGCGGACACCTCAACAACACGTTGATTCTGCGGATGCGACGGAGTGGAGATGTAGCATCGACAACTGTGCAGTCAGAAGGGTCCAAAGAGACGGGGTATAATTCGATGTCCCGCAGGCATAGATAAGTGTACGGGGGACGAGAGACGAATCGCGATTCTACGGGGCTGAGGAACGAAGAAGAAGGTGGATGATGTATGGATGGATACTGAGGGGAGAGTAGGAAGAGGAGTGAAATTGCATATTGCAGCGACCCGAGTTGAATGCGTAAAAGTACGAAGTACATTCGTATGTACTATGCGCTGCGGACTGTCGTGGCTGCCGTTCAAAGGGCCAGACGTTGGAATAACAGGGGTCCAGTCAGCGGGGAAAGCAAGCGCAACCAATCAGCACGTTACAGTGTCATTTGGACTGTTTAGTGGGCATGGCACTGTCTCGACTGGCCTTGCTTCCACCATTGTCTTCAACTACTCATAATCAGACCACAATTCAATTGTGTGTCTTCTAAACTTCAGGGCTACAGGAATAAAGGCCGTCTTGGCAGTACTAGAAAATAATTTACGGATTCCAGCTGCTTATTAAGACGGGAGCTGTGAACAGCGAGCGGGACGCCCTGGGAGGTAAGTGTTTCCGAAGATAGATTGACGTGTCCGATGGTTCAGCTCGTCGTCAGCTCGTCGGAGGAATCTGCACCCCGCCGATTATTCACATTTCCGATCAGTTGAGATGGTTTGCCTCATACCTAGTCTCCCTCGGGTTTCTCGTCATCGCGTTGAAGATTCACCTGGGTATCCCTCGGCAGGCCGTTACAGGCTTGCATGTACGTAAACCCAACCCATGAAGATTTTCTTCTTTTTCTTCTTCTTTGCACGGCTTGGGAGTTGCGCATTGATTGGCTTCTGGGAATATGGCACCACACTCCCAGTCTGCGCATACTGGGCTGATCTCAGCGTTCCAGAGAAGCTCGATATATATTCTATTATCCTTTCAGATGCCCCTGGGCCGTGGGAAACATATAAGACAGGCGGATGCCTGTGCTTGTTCCATTTGGACCAGGTGATCATGAATATCTCTCCGGCTTGCGCAAGGCCTCCGGTGCAAAGAACGCATTAGCATTGCACCTCACACGTCCCGGATGAGCTTTCCCCTTGAGTACTTCGAAAGTGACATCGCCAATGTTCTGACCTTTCCGAAGAGACTGAAACCGTCCAACGCCCGGGCCCCCGGCCATCGTGATTTTCCCAGCCATTTCAACATATTTGCCCCGCCATTTACCGTCGTGTACCGCCGCTCTGAACGTTCTCGCTATAGATACCAGGAGCACGACCTGTGATGATCGCACCCTGCCGGATCTGCTCCCGCCGGTCATAGTAAACATATTCGACGTATAGCGCGTGGATGAGGCCTGGCAGGAATCCGAGGATGGTAAGAAGGATGTTGACAATGAAATCTGCAAAGCATATTAGCACCTACGGTTTGCAGTTCGATGTTGGCGGGATCAGACGCTCGGCGGAGGCAACTTACCCATTCCACAGCCGGCCACCGCTAGAACGCCGATGGGCGGCACTGTATGCAGACTTCGGGTTAGCTCTTGTCTCGTAAATTTGGCGAAAAGGAACAACGTTGAAGCGTACCAAAGAGAGTGATGATGACGATGATAACGGCTGAAATAGCACTCATTTTTGCGGTTCTCGGTTCCCCTTTGGTTGTGTTAGGTACGAAAAAAATCGACAACGCTGACTGTGTACTATATGTGGTATGTATGTGGTATGGTGTTCCGAACGTCAAGGTCCTGCTGTTTGATTGTCGTGGTGGTCGGTAACGTACGTGATGACACGCAACGGAAGATATTTGAATGGCAGGAGAGCAACTACAGAGTACCTTATGTACGAAACGACAGGGCAGACCGCGTTGAGAACCCCAGTCTATGAAGTAATGATACCCTCAGTAGCACCATCGATACCTACCTACCTACCTCATTTGATAGCCTCAGCCTGTACACGTACTTCCTACCGAGTCGGGTAAAGGTTGCGCTGGGCAGTCGTCGTCTTCGTCCTCAGTTGCTTTCCATTAAGCCTTGGCTTTGGCTTATATGACGTCAGCGGGTTGAGACTCGGGCTTACCGCGTGATTACGTACAACCAGACTTTTCGTGCTGTGCTGGCCTTCACACCGAGCAGCCTACCATACCTATCCCTGGCCAATACTGCGTAATTCAACCGTTTCCTGGATTCTTCGCTGCCTAATCTGATCGGGGCTCGTCGCCTGCCCTCCCACGTCTTCCAAACTCTAGCTCTGATCCGTGTAGTGTTGGTGGCAGCCCATCCGTCGACACACCTTCGTCTCGCCTTCCTTCGTCTTGGATGCTCGATCTACAGCCATCTGGCTCCTTGGTCGGCTTGTTGGGGTGTTATTTGCATGTCTGTGGTAGATGGAAGTGGTTCACAGCCGTTTATCGATTTCGGTCTTCGCGGACCGGGCTCATACTGTCAGTTCAGTGAAGCGCGCCCAGAACGAACCACGAACCGAAGTGTACAACGTTGATGGGGCGTTGGTCAGGCCCCTATTCAACCATCAGTCCATACACAGTATCGTATTTCACGGCTAGGATGGTAATCCCCTCATGCACATGTATCGGTCGCTTCGAGGAAAAGTGAGTAACAATATCAGCACCGACCCCGGAAACGTTCGAATTTAAACATATGACCGGGTTCAGCTCATGTATACATGGCCGGGCAATAAGTTATGCTTCTTTTTACCTGATTATACCGGGCAGTGAGCCAAGCAACCTCGTACGGTCTGCATATCCAGGGATGAGGATGTCTGCATTTGGACTGATATCGAGGACCCTTAATTAGTAATTACCCACGGAACAAAAACCTGACCCCTATTAATTACCCTATTAGTATATTCGTAATAATCGGATCAAGTCTGATGCTTTTGCGTCCCGGTGACATGGGACATCAAATACTCGCCACGTAGTATGATGCAGGGCCAATTCTCACTACCTTAAGGTAACTAAGGTACATTACCTAGGTACCTAGGTACGTGACTGTTTCACTAAGGTACTCTGAAATCCCGCTCCATCGCCGCCAGTGGACCTTCCCGGGGCCCAGTTAATAATAAGGGGAATTGCTTAGATGGACGCGGAAATCGCATTGTACGGTTCGCGGAGGTAGGACATGGACATAATTACGAAGTCTGTTAAGGTACGGAGTAATTACTGTAGGTATTGGGATATAGAACAGCTGTCATTTACCGTCCTAAGAACTGGCCGGGAGAACTAACTGTTTTCTCTCCTGTATTGTTAGTGGTGTAAGGTACTCTATAGTTATTTACGAATACATACGAAACAGACGGATCCACTCCCCAAATGTATGGATGGACAGAGCGCATAGAGATAATACCTGTACGGAGAACGCTGCGAATTGACTACCTTAGGCAGTTTTGATGGACCTCACAGACTTGCTTGTCCTAGCGAAGCCTTTCCATCAAGCAGATGCACCATGAAGCAGACTTTAACTTGGTCCAGTTCAAAATTGATTCGAGCACCGAGCCCAAGGGGCTCATCTCGCATACCTGCCTGCGTGGCAATGGACGAGGTCTCTAATGGACACCGGCGACTTTTCGGACCAGTCCCTGAATCGTTATCAAGTCACCTTCCGGGGGGTTCAGGGTCTCTGTACCTGGGCAAACCACCGTTCGAAGCTACAAAGGGTGCTTGGTGCTGAGCTACACTGTAATTACCTAGTTCCACGCCGTTTATCCACACCATTTCCCTTCACGTGGAATATTCTTATTTGTGTCGAGGGAACTCAGTACTGATATCTAAACTACCTTAATGTACGGAGTATATACAGGAATTTAGTATCCGTACAGTATCCCAGCGCCTAACAAGGGATTTTTTTTTCAGCGGGAGTAACTACACTTATTGCTTCGGTAGGTACGTCCAGGAGGAATCCCGCAGCACTCCTGACAAACGGCGGTGTATGTAATATTCCATATGCCTCAGGGGATCAAATAGTTGCGAGGCTCTCTGTGAATGGAATAATCCGTCGTGGGGCCACCGTCTACAGAAACACGACGCGACAAAAGATGACGAGTCGTGGTCCTGTCCTTTTAAGACTTTATCTAAGGTACCTAAGGTACCTACGATACCTATCCAGTTCCACCCCCTTTTGCTCACCTCAAATGCACTGTACCAGTACTGTACCTAGGTAGCTAAGGGACCGCAATCCCAAGAATAAGATCTAATACAACAGAGGTACTTTCCCACCCGAGGCCAAACTCCATTTTTGTTCTGACTTGTAGGTACCAAACTACCTGTCTACCTTCGTCCACGCTTGCTTCAGGATCTTCCATTTTCCTCCGGTCTTTCCTCCTCACCTATCTTATTCCTGCCCGTTCCTTTAACTCAACTCCTCTTTCCCTTCCTTTCCAATATTTCCCGCAATTTCGGCGACCAGCGAGGGCCGAGAAAGAACTCAAGAGACGGGGACTGTGTCAATTCTCTTCTCGCCCCCTTTCCTGTGCCTCAACGGTGTGGAAGCTATTGTTACGGCAAAAAAGCACCTGCCCCATAACCGCTTTCTGCAAAAAAAAACCCGTGAAAGCTATCCGGGAAACCGTTCAACAATCCCCAACCGTCATCACCGCGGTTGACCTGGAATTCTCTAGCTGCAGCTTGATTGACGGAGCTTCAGCTTCGCGCCCTGTTGTCGTGGGGGAAAAAAAATATCAAGTCAGGATCGGCCCTGAGATTCTGAGGACCGTTGCATATTTTCTCCCCTCTCCAGCAGTCCCCGACTTTCTACCTCGAGCCTTTCCTTTAACGTCGAAACGGTTCTCCCTTTGCCGTTTCCACAATGTCGGCATCGCAACCGGGCTCACCGCTCAACATCGATCGTTATGTCGTGATTCACGTCGCTACTACCTGCGATGAACACGGCGTCTACGTCACCAAGGATTCCGCCGAGGTCATTGAACTCGGCTGGATCCTTCTCGATGCCAAGTCGCTCGAGGAAGTGAGTGGCTGGCCCTCTACATTTGACCCCTTTCCAAGTCTCTCTCCTTTCGCGCCCTTTTACGCGTTTTCTTTGCTAACGCACCTGTCCTCCAGATCACTCGTGAGAGCGTTCTTGTCAAGCCAATCAACACGCCAATCACTCCGCTTTGCAGTGAGTAGCGCCCCGGCGAGATTTTCTATACCTCCCAACCATCTCCAAGGCATCGACCGGCCAGGTCAGCCCAATATCTGACGAGATCTTTTCTGGAAAATTGATGTAAAAAATTGGAAGGCTGACCGTTGAACTTCTAGCGAGCTTGACCACTTTGACCTGGGAACATGTTAGGAACGCGGGAACTTTCCGAGATGCGATTAATCGCTTCGATGCTTTTGCCAACGAGTACTTGACATCGCAAAATCTCGACTTCGTCTTCGTCACTCTCGACGCTTGGGATCTACGGGTCCAGCTACCCCGCGAGGCTCGTGACAAAGCTGTGGTTCTTCCGCCTTACCTCCAGCACTCGCGAACGTTCGACCTCCGTACTGAATACCAGAGATGGCAACAACACCATCCGGAGTCGCTGCCCTTCGGACCCTCGATGCTCTCCAACATCTGCGCTGCCCTCGAAGTCGAGCCTATTCAGACGAGCGCTCCGATCAAGCATAACCTACCCTTCCATCTTCAAGCGCTGGCCCCTGCATCGCCTCGCCGTGCTATGGAGGAGGCCGTCACGCTCACTCGCGTCCTCCGAGGGCTTATTAGAAAGTCTCAACCGCCCCATGAGCACCCGGATGTCCTCACCCGTCCCATGGATGCACGGGCTGATGTTCGTGCTTTCCTCTCGGAGCGGAGCAAGGTTCTCCACATGTCGGGTCTCCCCCATGATACTACCCAGTCCGAACTCGAGAGCTGGTTTACTCAGTTCGGCGGCCGTCCCATTGCCTTCTGGACTCTCCGTACACCCGAACAACATAAGCCCACTGGCAGTGGCTTTGCTGTGTTCTCCTCTCACGAAGAGGTTCGTATTTCCTTTCTAGCCTTCTGTTTCACATTCCCGATACCCCGCCGACTCTCCTTGTGGGAGAGAGCCTGTGATTTTTTTTTTACGTTCTTCCCGCTCTGTTCTTACCACTCTGAATTTCCCTCAACTCCATTTTCCCAGGTTACTTTTTGGTGGCTAACACAGCACAGGCTGCTGAGAGTTTGTGCATGAATGGTCGCGCTCTGAACGAAAAGGCGATCGAGGTGTCCCCGTCGTCCAGCCGTGTCCTTGACCGTGCTGCTGAGATTTTGACTCCTTTCCCACCGAGCAAGAACCGACCTCGACCTGGCGACTGGACCTGCCCGTCTTGCGGCTTTTCCAACTTCCAGCGACGCACGGCCTGCTTCCGGTGCTCGTTCCCTGCCATTGGCGCTGCCCCGACTGGCGATATGGGATACGGCTACAGTGGCTATGGGCCTCCGCAGATGATGCCCCCCCCTCAGCATCACCATGGCCACATGGGACATGGTGGCGGTCGCATGGGTGGTAGCGGTGTCGTCCCCTTCCGCGCTGGCGACTGGAAGTGTGGTAACGAGGTATGCGGTTACCACAATTTTGCCAAGAACGTTTGCTGCCTTCGTTGCGGCGCCAGCCGTGCCGGCGCAGCCGTCGTGGCCGACTCGGGCGGTTACCCTGCGCAGATGGATGGTTCTTCCAGCTACGGCATGAATCAGGGATCCATGGGCGGCGCTCCTGGCCCCGGTCCTTTCGGCTCGGCGGGAGGAAATTTCGGCTCCAGTGGAGGGTATGGCGGTCAGCATTTTGGCGGCCCTCCCAGCACGTACGCTCTTCCCTCGGGCTTGGGCGGCGGTGCGGCTCCTTATCCATCCTCTCTAAACACCAACCAGTTTGGACCCGCCCCTGGATCCCATTCGGCGGGCCCTTTTGACAGTCGCGCCGCTGAGGCTGCCTTCCAGTCTGCCTCTAATGGACCTGCGTCTGCTGGACCGTCCAACAACTTCTATGCCCAGAATGAGAGCGACCCGTTCGCCTTCCTTTCCAGTGGAATTGGAGGTCTCTCTGTCGGTGGTGGGGATGCCCGCCAGAACGGCGGTTCTGCTCCCCCCAGCAAGTCGCCCGCCTAAATCCTTTCAAACGGTCTTGAGGCCATCATGAGATCGTCTGCTCGTCTCGTGATTACGTTTTGCATTCGACTGGATCGCTGAAATGCGCCCTCGATGAGTTAGAGGACGACTTCATCTGGCGTCGGTCAGCATCCTCACCATCACTTTCAGATTGCGATGAAAGCCTCCCATCCGCTTCTTGTTTTTTCTTTTCTTTGTTTCGAGGAAGTGAATGGTTAGGTTGGGAAGATTCGTGGACCCGGAATATTGTCGGAATACCCCTGGACTCGGAACAGAACAAAAAGTTTGCAAGGCAGGACAAGAGAAAAGGAGTGTTACTATAACCGGACGGAACTCGGATAAGTCCTCGGAGTTGCTTTGTTGTCGACGAGCATTGGTCAGTATACATGGGCTGGCTATCATCTGGAGGGGTTTGGGATCGGATCGTGCATACAGCCTCATGCCCCTCTGGTACGGGCTCGCATGCGTACGGCTTTCATGGTTTGATGGTCCAGAAGGGCCGGATCAGGGGAGGAGAGATGCATAGCGAAGGGAGTGGAAAGAGGGAATATCTTGGCTCGGTGTGATATCTTGGTTCTGTTTTTCTTTTTCTTTCGCGTTCTTTCTTTGCCCTTCCTTTTCTCTCTTCTTTTTAATCTTTTGTCCCCTTCCTTGATTCTACATTGTCTGTCATTTTTCTCATCAAACTCCATACAAGCCCCTCTCCCGCGCTATCACATATCACAGAAACCCGAACGTTTATTTTACTCTCGCCTTGTTCTTTTCTTCCATCTCGCCCTTTCAGTTGCTCGGCATTTGGCTTTGGCTTTGACTCTACCCGCTGTAAGACGGATTTCTATACGGTTGGGTTGGCGGCAGAGTTGGTTGCAACGGGGAAACGGGGGAGTCGGGGAGTGAACAAGGATCAGGAGGGCTGGCTGTTTAATTCCCACGCATTTTGTAGAATGCGCGATCATAGCTCCCATGTCCTGAAATTTTGGCATGCTTTCTTTTCTTTTCTTGTTGATTTTCTCCTACTTTTGTCCCGTCTCGTTGTCTTTGTCCGCATTCAATACAGAAGCAAGGTGGAAAGGGTCGCATGGACTGTGTTGTCCGCATGGTTCATTCCTTTTCTTCCCTACCATAGGCACAAGACACACACCTCATCGCCATGTTTCTTGGATCCATCGTGTCACGGACTGCAAACTCGGGTTCCCGTTGTAGGGACATCTGGCGTGCAGCCCTCGAGGTAAGCAGAGCAGGGCGGATGGTGCCGGAAGGGAGGATATTCGATGAGTGTTATTTAACCCGACATGGCCTTGGACCTAATAACACCCTCGAACATCAAGGCCTAGGTAGCGATGATGATGGATGGTGTCTGAGTGTTTATTATACTGACTTAGCCAACCTCGGCCCAGAGCTATTATTTACCATGTCCAGCATAGGCAAGCCTGAAGCGACTTGGTAAACTCGGCTCGGAAGCAGAAATACCGTGCATATGGGATCGTTCTACACTGATGGGCCACCATGACCATCCAGCATCCAGCATCCATCCCTTCGTGCGACCGCCATACGATGTGAGGAGACATTATGGTCAAGTTCCAATGTATGTGAGAATTTGTCCCCTAGCCGTCCCACTTCCGTTCTGCGTTACCCACGACACTTCCAGTTCACTAACCGTCATACTCGCTCCCATAGCCATCGCCGCGGTGGTAGAAGAGCACATTGTCAAAATCGTCGAAGTCTTCGTCATCGGGTGCGTTGATCTCCTCGACATAGGCACGCCAATCCGGGTCGAGATCCTCCGCTTCGTAGTCGTCCCAGGCGCGATCGGCGCGGGCAAGGAGATCCGGCTCGTCGGGAGTTCCGACCGGCCCGAAGAACATACGGGTGACATGATCGCGGACGTCCTCATCGGTGCCGGCATCTGGCGCGGCGGTTCGAGCGGCCGCGTCGAGGGCGACTTGGATGGCGGCGGTCACCGGGGCGTCGCCGGGAACCGCGGCGCGATGAACCGGCGCGGAGAGGATATCAACGCGGCGTGGGTCTCTGTCATCTGGATTTGGGAGGGCGGAGAAATCGAGGCCGTCTTCTTCTTCTTCTTCTTCTTCTTCTCCTCCTTCTCCTCCTTCTCCTCCTTCTTCATTGGTCCCGTCGTCCTCACCGTCTCCCTCGCCGCGCCGGTTGGTTCCGAAGCCAGCACTGGAGGCTTGGAGGTCGGCTTGTCGCTGGAAGAGGAATTGGCGCTCGGCGTTGACAGGGTCGACGTTTTCCAGCATGATGATGGATTTCTCAAAGGGGAGAAGGTCGGTCCAGTTGGGGATCTTCTCTTCTTCGGTCAGCAAATCATCGTCGTCCTCATCATCGTCGTAGTAATAGCCATCTTCGCACTCGCTGTCTGCCTCATCGTCTGAGCTGATGACCAACTCCTCGGATACGGCATGGTTAATAATACCAGTACTAGCATCAACGACGGCGGCAGCAGCTGCAGCGGAGGGTATGGTAGTGACGGGGGAGCTGTCGCTGTCGCTTTCACTTTCGCTGCGAGCTCTCTTGCGAAAGGGGCCTTTCTCGACGGGTCCCCAGAGGATCATGTAAATGATATGCTTATCGACAGTGAAGACTCGGCGATTAGCTTCCTCGACTATCAACTCGTCCGGGCGCATGAGATGGCCAGACCCGCGACCCCAACCCTCGAGGTGAACAACACCAACCTCGTAAGGGTGGACGCCAAAGACGGTCTCGCCGAACAGGGCCCGGCGGAACTGTGGGTAGGTAGGGATGTAGTCATACCGGACCTTGAGCTCGGTGACCTCTCGGGGCTTGGTCCAGGCACGGTCGGTCAGAGCTTGCCAGAGCCTATAGAGGCCCCGCTGGCCGAGCAGGAGCCTGGGGAGGGAGTTGCCGTCACGGGGGAGGAAGATGGGGTCGCTGAAGAACATGTTCAGCTTGACGATGAATAACTGGGCATGGTACAGGTCTGTTTTTGACCAGAGCGCCGTATTGCCGATCATGTCGCGACGGCCCTTTGTGGTGGCGACGTCCATGAGGAGCCACATTTTCTTCAGTGTCTTTTCCATGCCACGGGGGAGGTAGTACCCAGATCGCTCCAAGGCATCGACGATATCGTCCACGCAGCGTTCACGAAGCACGACCATGTGGTACCAGCGCAGCGAAGGGACGTGGCGAATGGCCTGCTGGTCCGGGTCGACAGGGTCGGGATGTTCGGCGGCGAAGGCGTTGGTGCGGCCGGCCGGGTCTCGGATGCAGAGGTGACGGTAGAGCTTGAAAGAGAAGATCTCGCTGCTCTCCCCGGCGTGCTCGCGCACCCAGGTCCGGATGGAGGAGGTCATGTTGCCGCTGATGGTCCGGTTGAACCTCTTGCTCACGGAAAAGAGGTGGACGACGTCGGCGGGGTCGAGATGCAGACCGAGGTTGACGGCGAGCTCGACGTTCTCGGATAGTTTGTCGATGAGGTTGAAGCTCATGGCCATGCCTCCCATGTCGTCCTGGAGAGTGAAGACGGGGTTTTCGAGCTTGATGCGCTTGACGCGCTCCTGCTCTGAGACGTCGTGGGCCTCGGCCTCGTGCCAGTCCTGCGCTTCGACGCCGTGTTTGAGGGACTCGTTGATGACCTCCTCGTCGTTGACGATGCCGGCCATCTGGAGGTCTTCTTCAGTGGCTTGTTGGCGGGCTTTCTCGCGCTCTCGTATCTGAGCTAACTCGGCGCGAGCGCGAGTCTGGATAGCAGCGGCGAGCATATCCGGCGTGACGATCTGACACGGATGCTGCGCTTGGAGGATATCTCTGGTCTCCTTGATGTAGGCATCAAAATGGCTCATCTCAACGTTTGCCGGGGCTAGGGGCAGCCCCTTGAATGGTGCGATGTTCATCTTGTGAGGGGGTCGGTATGACACTAGATCGAACCCGGGGCCTGTAAAGCCTGGACAAGAAAAGGAAATCTATTGTCGTTGTCAGATGCTGAGAACCAAGGGAGGTCAAGGGAGGTGGGCATATCAGTAGCTCTCGAGAAGCCTTGGAGGGTTAAAGGTCGACAGTTAAACGCCCATCAAGAGAAGCGACGATAAGTGTATACATACCTTACCAGGGCGGGATAATGGGACTAGTACTCTTATTGTAAAGGTATTCAGTCTATAGCCGAGTGGAATGGCTGCCTCTCTTATTTGTCTGCATTGGCATTGTTACCTGGACCAGGACCAGCGTGGCATTGTTAAAGGGGTTGAAGATAGTAGGGTTAAGCCGCGAGAAAAAAAAAAGAGGGAAAAGAGTATAACTTAGTTAAGGGTTGTTATTGCGGTAAGAGATATAACACGGAGCTAGAGCTACATGTTACCCAAGGGTGGATGTACCCCTTAAGGCAAGTCCGTCTTCTGGTATTTGTGATTCTCACGTGTCTGGGGAGGAAAGGAGCACGATAGGTAGCTAATGCATCTACCGCGCGCCTTCCCAGGTCAAGCGGAGTTTCTATCCCCTGAACCTGTAGGACTGCCCATCTCGCAATTCCTTGCCATCTTGTAGTGATATAATGATATGGAAGAGCTCATACGGCGAGAAGCAGAGCAACAGTGAAGTTCTGTGTGTTCAAGCTTTGCCCGTCTCCCACGGCAACTAACAACTATGACACGATCATTGCCTTCAGTACTTACACCACGTTATCTGAACTTGGTATTTCTCCTTTTCAACAGGGCAGAACAGATATCCCGGTGATATCTGTATCACCATAGCATTCCTCCAGAGACAAAACACATGCTATGGAGTAGGGTCACCCGGGAATAAGTACAACTGTACAGCATAAATGCCATCAGTATATAACTGCGTGGGCTGTAGAGCGTATTATAAAAGATCCGTAGGGTTATGCAAGTCAGATGATTAGCCTATATGAAGTGGCAGCTCAGTCCCAACTCAGGCTCATAAGGTGGTTCTGACCCAGATCTCTGTCTTTTTCATTCTCCAACCAACGCCGACCACCCGCTTACACCTATGCCAAGCAAGGCTCCAATGTGCCGACTCGGACCGTTGATATCTATATCTACCGGTCAATCTCATCCAACGGCAAATCCGCTTCGTCTCGACCAACAATCGATTCAGCCACCCGCCAGACCTGTAATAGGTTATCCTCCGCGGCGCTGCACACCAGCCAGGGGTCGTTCGGGTTCCAAGAAAAGTCGGCGAGGTGATTCGTGTGTCCTCCGTGCATGAAGAGCCTGTGATGAATTAGTAAACGCGGCGTACAAGGGGGGAAAAAGAAGGGGAAAGGGCGCCAGCTCAAGAAACACATACAATTCGGGGGGTCCATCCTCCATGTCCTCAGGTAACTGCTCCTCTCCGACCCTGGAGAGGTCCCAGAAGATGATGCGACGATCGTAGCTACCGCTTCCGAGGATGCCTGCCTCTTGCGGATGCCACGATAGAGATGTGACTGCATCGTTGTGGCCCTCCAGTGTGTGGATTTTCTCCTTGACGTTTCGCAGGTCCCAGATCCCGATCGTCTTGTCTGCGGACGCCGTCGCAACCAGCACCTCCGATGTGGGGTTGAAGGACAGGGCATTGATCGCATCCGCATGACCGCCTTTGGCCGTGACGGCAGACTTGTCGGTGTCAGGGAGGCGGACGTCGATGATCTTCATCGTCAAATCGTCCGAGACGGTTCCGATGAGGCTCTTCGAGACGGGATGATACTGCACGTCATTCACAATCTGCGTATGGTGTGTGTATTTCCTCGAGGGTTTGAGGATCCGACTGCCCTCTTGTAGCGTTTTGAGGTCCCTGCGAAGGCGGAATGTTAGCACCAATGAATGTCCGGACCAGGTTCTTTTTAAGGGGCTCGTCCCACAACCCGGACTTGACTCACCAGAGACAGACGGTCGTATCCTCGCTTCCCGATGCTAGGCAACCGGCCTCGTGCGGGTTCCAGCTCAAGCCGTAGCCCTCTTGCTTGTGACCAACGAGCTCGACTTCGGGGCTGACCTTCCCCTCGGGCATCGAGCTGTGTTTGGTGCGATCGAAGATGAGAATCTTCCCATCAACGCAGAGCGTGGCAATGAGGTCGGGGTTCTGAGGCTGGTAGCGTGCCTTGTTGATCTCACCGGGGTGGTCGATCTTCTGGACAATGTTGAACCGGATGGGAGCAGTGCTTCCCGACTTCCCGTAGCCGCCAATCTCCCCCCGTTCCTCGTCAAGATCGTCGGCGTTTGGTTCGACTGATTTGGGTATTTCAACCTCGGCTATCTGAACGTAATTTGGCATACTTTCAGCCGTGTGGGTACCAAGAAGCAGACGGTGAACACGGTAGTTTTTGCCCTCGGGTTCCTTGACGTCGGGAAACCATTGCGTTGTCAGGGTCGGCCACTCGAGAGCGGTGCTTTTTGTTTTTTGGTCAATTAGCCTCTAAGGGCGGGATTTTCAGAGTATCCGACATAGAGTGTGCTCACCTTAGAATCATATCATAGAGGAAAGGGCTGTTCTTCTTCCATGTCTTGTACTCTGGCAAGCTGTTAAACGAGGATCGCTCTCCATGTAACTGGATGCTGATAGGTACCAACCTTCATTGATGAGGATCTGCTCCTGGTTCTCATCTTCATCTGCAACTTGCATATCCACTAGACAAGTATTAGAAGATCGTGTTTGCTACAAGCTTTGAGGGTGCGTGGCATGTTGTGCAGCAAGCGAGCGAGCGTACGAACCATCCACATCATCGGCCACCTGAGCGGGCGCCATTGTTAGGGCGTGCAATGGATGAACTTTGTCAGAATCGTGTATTCAGGGAGATATAATCAAATATTTGGTAAAGGAGAAACGAGTAATCCTATCTCCCAGATTGGCGCAGAGTTTTGAGGGAAAGAGCAGTCTAACTTGTCGCAATGAGTAAGGCTGTGGAAATCGATTGAAAGACACGAACGAAGTTGAAGAACGACGCGGATCGCGTAAAGTGTGGCAGAAAATGTGGATCCTACGAATGGATACCTAGGTACCTACCTTAGGTACTGCGGAGAAATGACCTTTTCCTAAAGGGTACCTTAAGGTACCTACCTACCTTGGGTAGAAAAGGCGATAACATTGGTTGAATATCGGAGGTCAGCTCAGCCTTGGGATGCCTGTTTCCGAAGATGAGGGTTCGGAGCGGAGTACCTTACCTGCCCCAGTGACCAGCCTGTACAAAAGTACAGAGTAGGGATCACCAGTGACTGCTTTGTATCTACTTTGTACTTTGGAGGAGTCAGGTACGGCTATGGACCGACCATTTGGCCTCAGCTCTGCCCCACAATTGACGGCGAATGACTCTTGGCCCCCAGCAGGAGCCCAGCAAGGGCCTGCAACACGGTTGGAGTAGGTATTACAAGTATTGTAGGCCTCCCACCTCCCACCTCCCATCTCCCCGCCTACATGTGGTTGTTCAGAAGGACAAACTCTCTCAAGCTCTTTTGCACATAAAGTCACCAGGAAAATACATCGAAAAGAACACAGCTCAAAAGGCTGAGCTCCCTGTCGTTCCTGTTGGAAGCCTGGTGCTTTCTTTTTCGTTTATCTTCTCAGGACTTTCGTTGGATCTGCTAATTCGACTTTTATCGCGAATCGCCGGGAAGTTGTGCGATTTGAGCTCCCAACCATCCTCGCCGCTTCTTTCCTTGAAGCCCGAAATTTTCTCGACTTGTGTCGCAGTTTCTCGTTCTGTTCTTTTCGCTATATCTATCAACAACTACACCTCGCCGATATCATCATGGGGTATGCGTCATGATCTTGCCTTTCCCATGTCGGGCATCCCACCCAGATTGCTGACCTCCTTCGTTTTCTAGTGTTCCCAAGTTCTTCAGGTGGCTCTCGGAGCGCTATCCGGCCATCTCTCAGCTCATCGCCGAGAATCGAATCCCCGAATTCGACTGTCTATATGTAGCTCTCCACGGCCCTTGAACCTTGACCCTCTCCGCGTCCGCTGAACTGATGGTGAATCTGGTAGTTGGACATGAATGGTATCATTCATAACTGCACACATAAGGATGCGGGTGAAGATGTGACATTTCGGCTCAGCGAGGAGGAGATGTTCATCAGAATCTTCAACTATATCGAGCATCTCTTTAGCAAGATCAAGCCGAAGAAGCTTTTCTACATGGCCATTGACGGTGTTGCCCCTCGCGCTAAGATGAATCAGCAGCGCGCGCGTCGATTCCGGACAGCGCTAGATGCCGAGAAAGCAAGAGAAGAGGCCATCAAGTCTGGCGCCGAAATGCCAAAGGAGGAACCCTTTGACAGCAACTGCATTACTCCAGGTTAGTTCGGCCGGCGTCCCGCCTGGTCAAATGTTCCAATACTGACAGAGAACAGGTACCGAATTCATGGCCAAGCTTTCCCGACAGCTTAAATACTTTGTCAATAAGAAGGTGACTGAGGATGCCGACTGGCAAGGGTGCGAGATCGTACTGTCGGGCCACGAGGTCCCAGGAGAGGGTGAGCACAAGATCATGGAGTACATTCGCAATGCGAAAGCGCAACCCGACTACGACTCGAACGTCCGACACTGCCTCTACGGCCTTGACGCCGATCTCATCATGCTCGGTCTCCTCAGTCACGACCCTCACTTTTGCCTTCTTCGCGAGGAGGTGACCTTCGGTCGCGCTGCGAAGAGCAAGCCCAAGGAACTCGAACACCAGAACTTTTACCTCCTGCATCTCTGCATTGTGAGGGAATACCTCGAGTTGGAATTTCAAGAGCTGAAGCAGGATGGCGTTCTGGGCTTTCCCTTTGACCTGGAGCGCGTCATCGACGACTTCATCCTCATGGGCTTCTTTGTCGGAAATGACTTCCTCCCCAATCTCCCTCGTCTCCATATCAACGAAGGCGCCCTTGCTCTCATGTTCAGGCTCTACAAGAACGTGTTACCGCGCTGCGATGGTTACATCAACGAGGGCGGTGTGATCAACCTCGATCGTCTTTCCCTCCTCTTGACGGAACTCGGGAAGGAGGAGAAGATCGGCTTCGAACAGGATGTCTCGGACGAGAAGTGGTTCCAGTCGAAGCAAATGGCCGAGGAGCAGAACGGTGTCGCCAACTCGAAGCCCAAGAAGAACAACAAGGGCGTCGTAGTCATGACGGCCGCGCAAAAGTCTCTCTGGAAGAATTCCATCAAACCGTACCTGCTCAAGCCCACACCGGAACCCCTTGATTTGGGTGTGGACCTCAAGGCCGCCGATCGGAAGTTCGTCCAGGATCTCGCCGACGCGATGCACATAGACTGGAGCACGAAAGAAGACGACGACGGCCACCGCCACCTGATTCTGACTGCGCCGTACCGCCCGGAGGACGAGAACGACGAGGAAGAGGAAGGGACGCTCGCCCTCTATCGCGTGATGCGTTCCTACGACACAGCGAGCGTGGTCGACGTGACGGCGGAGGATGCCCAGAAACACTACCAGGAGCTGTACGATCAGAAGTACCAGGCTTGGAAGACCAAGTACTACTTGCAAAAGTTTGAAGAATGGGCTCCGGAAAAGTATGAAACTGAGCTCGTCAACCTCTGCGAGAACTACGTGCAAGGCCTTCAATGGGTCTTGTACTACTACTATCGCGGGATCGCATCCTGGCCTTGGTACTACGGCTACCACTACTCTCCCTTGACATCAGGTAGGTCCTGTTTGCTCCTTACCTCTGCCCCTTTCTCGTGTACATGACAGACGCGGTTGACACTCTGCTTAGACGTCCTCAAGGGCCTCGGGGCCGATTTGAACTTCAAGCTGGGCCAGCCGTTTCATCCTTACGAGCAGCTCATGGGCGTTCTTCCCGACCGGAGCAAGAAAATCGTGCCCACTGTTTATTGGGACCTGATGACAAACCCCAAATCTCCTATTATTGACTTCTATCCGAGGGACTTTGAACTCGACATGAACGGGAAGAAGATGGAATGGGAAGCCGTTGTCAAGATCCCGTTCATCGACGAAAAACGACTCCTCGACGCCATGGCCCCGAAGAATGAACTTCTCAGCGAAGACGAACGGGCCAGGAACGGGTTCGGCGTCGCACTCAAATTCACTTATGACCCTGATGTCTCCTTCACGTACCCATCGTCGCTGGTGGGCGTGTTTCCTGAGATTTCACAATGTCACTGCGTCGAGAACATTTTCGAGCTGCCCAGCATCGATGGCCTGGAATATCGCCAGGGTCTTATGGAAGGCACCAAGGTCAATATCGAGGCTCTGGCTGGCTTCCCATCACTCCACACGCTCCCTTACACCGCCACTCTGATGACTGGCTATGGCGTGAATGTTTTCCAGGCGGAGAGCCGAAATCCGAGCATGATCGTCACCCTCAGCGATACCGAGAAGAGGACCAAGGCCGAAGAGGCCAAGAAAAAGCTAGGGAAACGTTGCTTTGTCGGGTATCCCTTTCTGCAAGAGGCCAAAATCGTCCGTGTGGCGGACGAGCTCTTCGACTACGAGCTTGGCCCCGACGGCAGAACCGTCATGCAGAATAATCACGGCGGCCGGGAGATTGATTCCTTCTCCAATGAAGCCTCATATATCGAAAATTGGCACGCAAAGCGACTCGGTATCACCATAGGAGAGGTCGAGTCGTTGGTCCACGTCCATATGCTCAAGGGTTTGATCAAGACAGAAGAAGGCGCTCTGATCAAGGAGTACGCCGAGAATCCGAGCATGAGGAGCATCTATGCTTCACAAACTATCGTTGACGAGGTGGTGAACGAAGATGAGCGGTTTATTGAAAAAGCCGCCGTTCCTGTCGAGGAAGAATTTCCGGTCGGGACTCGGGCCTTCTTCCTCGGTGAATATCACTATGGTCGGCCTCTGGAAGTCCTCGGTCACTCGAACAACAAGGCGCAAATTGTCGTTTCCGTGCTTAAGAACAAGGAGCCGGAGTTTGCCAAGACCATCATCCACAATCACCACAGCCAGAACCGTTACACCCCTTCGTACGCCGTGGCCAAGATGCTGGGTCTTCATCCCCTGATTCTCAGCAAGATTCTGTCATCATACCAGGTGAATACAGTCGGCGGTCTTAGGGTCAACCTCGGCCTCAACCTGAAATTCGACGCGAAGAAGCAAAAGGTCCTGGGGTATTCTCGCAAGTCTCAGTCTGGATGGGAGTTCAGTAATGCCGCCATCGAGCTGCTCGCCACATACGTAGCCACCTTCCCAGACTTCTTTGCCGCCATCCAAGCGAAAGCCCAGGCGAGCGATATCAGCGATGCCGACATTTGGCCCGACCAGAGCGTTGCCTCTAAGAGGGTGAAGGAGATCGGCGCATGGCTGAAGGCGGCGGAGACCAGCAAATTCGAGCGGGTGCCCCTCGATGCCGAGCAGCTTGATTCCATCGTCGTCGCGGAGCTAGCAAAGGCTGGCGAACAGGTCTTCCAGGCTGCTCAGGAAACTGTGACCAAGAAGCTGAACAACGTACCCCGCTCCGCCCTCATGAAGCCGACCGACGCCGAGCTTCTCATGGGTAGTCAGAAGTTTGCCTTGGGCGACCGGGTGACGTTCGTTGCGGCCTCTGGCAAAGTTCCTATCGCTAGCAGGGGAACCGTGGTCGGGATCGGCCGAACCCCCACTGCGGTGCTGCTTGATGTGGTATGGGACATCACATTCATGAGCGGTAACACGCTGGGCGAGCGAGCGCCGCCCTTCCGAGGCATGACTGTTGCCTCTTCCTCGGTCCTGAACATGACGAACAGACAAGTCGTTTCTGGATCCAAGGCCGCCAGCCAGCGACGGGCTGTCCCCGGCTCTGATCCTCTCCGATCTAACGCGTACAACCCTACAGGGGTGCCGCAATATAGAGACGCAGCCCCCCCCCCTTCCCCATGGCATAATCCATGGCGTGGTGGGTCCGATGGCCAGCCTGGACCTTCGCGTGGAGGACGGGGACGTGGAGGTGGTGTGGATGGAAATCGGGGAGGCAACGCGCCGAGACTTCTTCATAGCAGCTTGGTCTACCGCCCACAGCCCAACGGCAGCGAGCCCGGGCAAGGTCACCAGGGCCAGTCGTCCCATGGCAGAGGTGGACCCTTTCCCAGGGGGAGGGGACGCGGACAAAGAGGTCAGCATGGCGTAGGAGGTCCTGGACACGCCCATCCGGAGCCGTCTCCGCAACAGCAGCAACCCAAATACTCCCAGGTGCCTCCTCCCGCCAATTTGGATGCCCGGGGTAGGGGCCGCGGGCGAGGCCGTGGCGGGCGAGGTCGAGGTAGCGGACCGCGGGGTGGAATGGCCGGTCGCCCCCCTCAAGCTCAGGAACAGAACCAGGCGGCATAATGTACAGTAATGTACAACAATCCAGGCACATTAATATAGAGTCGTACTAGTGACAGACTTGCGAGCGCGAGGGCCCTGATGTGTCTTCATGTGAAACGATGTGATTCGCAGCCATCCCGTAGTTCCGAGAGAGTGCGTCGCTCGCGAGACCCGGCAACTCCATTCCTTGTAGATAGTTCTATGAACACCAAGTAGTGGCATATTACTCTGGTTCCCAGTTGTAAACCAGGCGGAGGCCCCTCAAAAGGGTACAGCTATCAAGCATGTGATGGTGACCTTGGAGATTCTAGAGCCCAACTACTACGAACGATTCAGAGCACTTAAGAGCGAGACAGCAATCGAGGAATAGGTCCGAGGGCTATCGATCACGGCAAGACAAGGGCCCGCAAGGCTATCTTTATATGGAACCTCTAATGCATGAAAATGGGCCGTTGCCGAGACCGAGGGCAAGGTCACTAGACCTTCATGTTGTTGTTTTCTTCTTAAGAGCAGGCAACTTGAACAGCTCACTAACGCCTCCCTTAAACGCCTTCCACAGACCGATGTCGGATTCCTGATCAAACGTGAGGATGCCGAACCACGGTTGCACGCTGTAATGCAGCCTCAGCCGGACATCCTCAGCCTCGGCCAGCTTCCCAGTAGGATGGGTGATCTGGTATTTGGGCTTTTGGTTCTTGATTTTCAGCTTTCCCCTAATGTTCCTCCCAGGTTAACATGGTTATTTGGCTTTAAAGACACAGGAGGCAGGAGGGGGGAAACCGTACCGACTCGGGTCAATGCTCTTGCCTTCAGCACTCCGCTTGAGCTTGCGCAGGGCGACCGGGCTTAGATTGGAGAGGTGGTCGGCACTGGGACTCGTGATGATCTGGTCCCAGATGACGGCGGAGTTTGTGACATTGTCGGCGCCAGGTTCCGGCCACTCTACGGTGACGTAGACAAAGACCTGCTTCGTGTTCCAGGTAAAGAGGGACTCGAGGGAGGCGTCCAAGGAGAACTTGACGATGGCGTACTCCTCCTTCTTGGACGAGTAGTAGTGTGGCCGGCCCTTGACGACCTGGACGGATTCGGGAACGATGGTGCCGGCAGAGGGGGCCCGAGGGGTGACGAAGTCGGAGAGGGCGATGAAGGAAGCGAGGACGAAGGCGACGGTGGTGAAGAAGCCGAAGGTATTCTGGATGCGGTTGAGAGAGTTGAACATGGTGCTCAGAGTCGGGGTCGGCGCGGGGCTGTTGCGCCGCGCCGAAGGTTGGAAGCCCGGGAAGTTGTTGGTAGTTGTTCGGCGGCACGGCGGGTGGTTGCAGTGCAAGACTGAGGGGAAGAGCCGTTTATGATGGTTGAATGGCTCGTGAAGTTGCGCCCTGAACCTTTGGGAGGACAGATTGATGGTTGTCTTGGGTCAATTGGGGGACAAATGGCAGTTATCGTGGATTATCTTGTTGATTGGCGGGCAGTTCGGGTCCTACCGAGATTCTCCACTTCACAGACACTGGGCTTGACAATGTACCTGGGTATCCGTACGAAGTACTCCCGAGACAGTCCATTTCATAATAATATATTGCTGGGAAGCGACATTTCGAAGGTGCATCAAGGTGGTATCTACGTTATCCTGGCACATCAGACATGTACGAAGTACACTATAACAAGGTACTGCATTACGATGTCTCATCTTCCCGACCGGACATGAAGAATATGTCTTCTGGGTATTACTTGGGTATCTGTGTAACTTATATCCGTAAAAGGTAAGGTACCTTACATAACGTACTTTATATCGGTAATAGTCTCTCTTTCTTCCAGTATATGTACAGTAAAGTAAGGTACTTTTAGTGTTTGGATACCGTAAAAACCCAACAAACTCGTCTTTGCGCTAGATTCTTAGTGCCCCGTTTTCCCCAGGCTTTTCTAAAATAAACCAATCAAAACATAGTATTCGGAGCGCTTATCTGATAACCGAAGCGATAATATCCGAGATCGGTACTTTAATTCTCTGCCATCTAATAGAACACTTTCTAGAAGTGGGGCTTTTATTAAAAGCGGTATAGCGCTGGTTAGCGCAAAGACGACTTTATTGGGTTTTTACGGTAACCGAGTACTTATGAAGTACCTTATTTAGTAAGAGTGTAGGTACGTAGACACGAAGTCCTGGAGCCAGCGTTGCCAGCCTAAGGTACCTTATTATGGGCCCCGTCAACGTTGAGTGCCCCACCAGATACCCAAAAGATCAGAACGTTGTACGTGCACGGCATCAAGCAGTGACTTCCTTCCACCCGCCTTCTTTGCAAACCAGAACAGAAACCTCGAGACATGTATTCCGAACCTACCTCGACTTGACCACTTGCACCTGAAGCGGCATACAATTTTTCTTCTTCTTCTTTTCCCTTGTGGATTTCCACATACCCATCTTCTTATTCCCGCATTTTCCATCCCTATATCCCTATTTTGCGATGAATCAGGGTCATCGTCCCTCCCGACGATCTCTCCACCGCCACCTCCACTTCAGAATCCCGTCCTACGTTGCAACACCTGGACCTACATTTTCCTGGAGTCATTCTCTTGGGAAACACTGGTGAAGGGGAGGTGAAGCCTGCCGGTGTCTTTGTCATGGTGTCGGCTGCTTGAGGCTTTGGTAAGTCGGTTGCCGAGTTGTCCTTTGTGGCTCTGTCAATGCTGGCTACGCATATCCCGTATCTCCCCTTCGCTGGTTTGCCTTTGAGTCACCGATGATGATTATCTTTCATATATTGGTCATTGGCTGACAGAGGAGAAACCTGGTGTACTATAGGGCTGGCGTCTGCACCGACATCTACTCACATTTATCCCCCGCGACGTCCTCCTGTCCAGAGCCTCTTCTCGAAAGAATTTCCCTCGGGCAACGACCCGCGTATCTCGACGAATATCTTGTTCGGCCTTGGCCCTGGTCGTCAGCTGGGCCTGGTCGTCAGGGCCATGAGTCGCACCGTCAAACCACCATCCGGCGGGTTTCGGCCCCAGAATAGCCTCAACCAGCCCATCAGCGGTTCTGCTATCAGTGGGGTACAACAAGCAAGCTTCACGACCCAACGATTTGCCCCCCCGGCCGAAGAGATTGAAGACGTCGACGATGACATTGTGGAGACTTTCAATAATGTCTCCTCTTCGGGTTCGACCAGGCCACGACGACCCGGGCTCATATCAAAGAAGCGGCCATTTCCCGGGGACGTCGAGGATGTTAACAGGCAAGACAAACGTCCGACAAAACCCCATCGACGCAACTCCAGCATCGAAATCTCTTCCGACTCTGAGAACCCAAAGGCGGTCGATTCAGCAATAAAACAAGGTGGGAAAGGGCAGGCAGCGGCCGAAAAGATGCCGGCAAACCCCCAACAACACAGAGAAAGGCAGGAGCCGCAGCGCCCATCCGAGGCTCCTCCACTTGATCGCCCGGCAAAGAAACGACGTGCGTCAAACAGCAGCGGCGATGAGCTTGTCGAAAGCACATCCAGCAAAGCAGGCAGGCATACCCATGATTCGGTAAGCTCTCTGAATGGGCACGGTCCTCGCACTGCAAAGAGCGCCGAACCGAAAGGTGTTATCCGGAAGACTACCTTCAAGAAGCAGGCCAGCAAACTGTCTTTGGCAATCTCTCGTGCGGTTTCATCGAAATGGTCACTTGCAGCTACAAAGCTCGACTCGGGGGATCAACCCCGCCTAGAGCTGGTCAACCCGAACAGGTTACGGCCAGTCACTGCCAGAGGTCCCTTACAAGGGTACCATTGGCTCGAAGTCAAGATCAACACCTGCCATTCGATAAAGTACTCGAGTGACGGCGGCCTGGGTGTCTGGATCAAGAGGTCAGCCGGAGACTCCATACCAGGCGAGCTGGCTCTAGAGTTCGCAACCAGTGATGATCACAACAAGTTCGTGTCATGGTGTAGAGAACGCTCACGGTCGGGAGGCTTGACAAAGCTGATCGAAGAGGAGACGTATGTTATTATTCTCCGATGGGATTCTTCGTTGCTTCGCTTGCTGACTCTGTCTAGCTCCTGGTTTGAGAAGCTTTTCCAGAAGAAACTTTCGGAACAGAAGGCAACTGCAGTTCATCAAGCCCACAAATCGGAGGCAGACGATATTCGTTATCTAGAGCATCAAGAGCGGGCCATGCTCGCTCGCAGTGCCGAGAAGGAGCAGAGTAAACCCCCATCGGAATCAGTTGAGGAGGAAAGGCCCACTGCTCGGAGGTCGCTCCGAGAAGGTATGAAGGACGAGCCTCCAGGGCCATCTTCTAGTACGCGTGCGTCGACGCTTAGTCCTAGTGGCCCGAATGCTCTGCGACCTCTTGAGCCACCGAGGACCCGACGAGCTTTGAAGAATCCAACACCACCAGTAGCCCCGGTTCGGGAACGCTGGATCGATAAGCACCCTGAATGGACGGAGATATGGGACAAGCAACCTCTCATTTACCCAGCCAAGGGCAGAAATCCGGCCCAGGTTGCAAAAGACGACATGTTGAGACTCGAGGAAGGAGAGCTTCTAAACGACAATCTCATCGTCTTCTACCTGCGATATCTCCAGACGAAGCTAGAGAAGGAGAACAAAGGTCTCGCGGACAGAATCTACTTCATGAACCCTTGGTTCTATCAGAAATTGACCCATGGGAAGGGTCGCAACATCAACTACGACGCTGTCAAATCCTGGACCGCCAAGGTAGATCTCTTGTCACATGACTATATCGTCGTTCCGATAAACGAGCACATGCACTGGTATCTCGCCATCATTTGTCATCCCTCGAAGCTCGTCCCTTCGGAGGAAGCGCAAGAAGCTCCAACAAAGGACGCCATGCAGGAATCCAAGAAGCAACCGGAAGGCGATCCAGCGCAGCTCGGCGGTTCTGCTTCCGGGGAGGAAGCGCAAGCTATTGACGAGGACGATGTCCAGATTGTCTCGGATCTTCCCTTTGGACCCAAGTCCAATCATACCTCCACCTCCAGAATGACGAGTCCGAAAGTTCAACCAGGTCGCAAGGCTAAGGGCATGCGACAGGCTGATCCCACGGAGCCCAGGGTCATTACATTGGACTCCCTCGGAGGTCCGCATTCACGAACTTGTACCAACCTTCGGGACTACCTTGTTCAGGAAATCAAGCATCGCCGTAACATCGACGTAGAACCACCAAGCCCCTTCGGCATGACCGCGAAAGGCATCCCAGAACAAGACGACTTCTCCAGCTGCGGTGTCTACCTCCTTGCCTACATGGAAAGGTTCCTGGAGGATCCAGATCAAGTGGTGCGAGACATCACAGGCAAAGTGGACCTCCGCTGGAACATTAACACGTCCAAGCTCCGCGGCGAGATCCGGGAACTCATAATCAAGCTCCGTCATGAACAAAACGCTCGTATCCGAGCAGAAAAGAAAACGAGGCTGCAGGCCAAAGCCCAGAATGCTTCATCACAGAAGACGAGAGTCGGCGACGCGCCCACGACGGCCCCAAAGATTTCCGGTACGAGCGATCCAAGCGCGAGAACGAAAGGTGGAAAGGACTCTCCTTCTGACTGCCTATCTAGTGGAAGCCCCCCGGGCTCCAGATCACCGGCACGCATTCCCGCTGCCGAGGATCAGGCGGGTGACACCCGGGAGTACACAGCCACGGAAGTTATCGAATCCGTTCGCTCTCCTGTCGGCGAAAACAAGGCCTCTCCCCGCAACTCGACAGAGCGACCCTTCCTGTCGCCAATGAGAGATAGCTCAGAGGGGCAAGAAGACAAGGAACCTAAGTCTTCCGCCGATCTTACCGATGACACTCAAGGTAGTAAGAGCAGGGGGTCGTCAACAACAATAGAAGGGAGCGCGCCCATTCAAGAAGCGTCTAAAGGAGAAGCACAGGGTCGGCTTACTCCTCTGCATCCAGGGGGTCGGGCCAGTGAAGAAGACGTACGGTCTACACCAGTGGAGCGTACGCCGCCCGGAAAACCAGCACCCATAATCGACGCGATTTTTATTGCTGACAGCCCAGAATCGACTGCAGCCAAACCCATCCGAAATCCTATTATCAGGAGCCCCTATTTCCCGCACAAAGCTGCTGCAAAGAATGTGAGCAGCTCTTCACAGGCACGGGATGACCACGAGGAAAGGTGGAGGAACGATGACCGGCCGGCGATAGAGGTGGGAAACGATGCCACTGCGAATAGTCACGACTACGGAGGAACTGGGGATCGGCCAGCAGGGGTAAGGGTCGAACCCATTGTGTTGGAGGATTAGGTACGGCGGCTTCTCATACCCCGGAGACGAGGACGAGAAATGCTCTGCTTTGGTTTGGTTTGCCCTTGCTTTGCTTGAATCTCAGACGGTGCTCAAGGATGTGGTTTCTGTTTGATGCGGGGAGGCACAATGACAGCATGGGACCGGCGTTCGGAGGTGGTGATGCATATGGAACGGGGACATGGATCCGGAGCCTCGTGCGCCGTGCAGAAGAAAGAAGCGGGGGACATAAGTGCGAGGCGCTCTTGATTCTCGTCATTGGGTCAGTTGTAAATACGGGATTCAACTGGGTTCCTCTTAGGACCATGGTACGGGGATGCATTTCGTCTTTGACGAAGAAATGATAGCGAAGCCAAAGATGAGAAGAACATGAGAAACCAACCCTACGCGGCTTTACCAGTTTCCAAGTCATCTGCCATTGTTTTCTGAGACGGCTGGTGTTTCTGCACGATGAATATTGGCATGGCGTAGCACCTATTATGATAGGTATGTTCTAAGTAAGGGATGTAAGAGGTCGAGGTCGTGCCTACACGTACAATCAAACCCGTGTTCACCAAAAGACACCTCCGACTAATATTTCGCCCACTGTCCTCTTATCAAATCGCCACCACTATTGAAACAGGACCCTCTCAGTCACTCTCCTCAGCATCTGCCGCGTCGTCGTGACCATTGATTTCCGGTTTCAGTGGTATCCTCCTGGGCACCTCAAACACGTAGCCTCCATTTTTCCCCTTCACTTTGCCCATCTGCCACCGGCCCAGTCTATGCTCCTTGCCCGCTGCCACCACAATGCAAAGTCCATCCTTGGCCCTCTCGCCACGCTCGAAGACGGCAATGTCATTGACAACACCCCTGATGCGAAAATCATCTTCATGCTCCTGGTCCTCCATGTCGACATCGCCATTGCCGTCGTCACCCTCCCCACCAAGCTTATTGCCACGGCATAAGATACCGAGCGGTTCGATTTTCTTCTTATCTTCACTCAGCTTCCACACACGAATGTACCCGTCCCAGCTCCCACTTAGGATGAGGTCCGAGTACGGGATCGTCCGTAGGGCGGTGATCCATCTCGGCTGTGGGGGCGGCACCACCTTGTCATCGGGGGCAGCCTCGGCCGACGCCTCGGTGGGAAGCAGCGGCTTTTCCAGGCCGTGGGCGAGGGGTAAGACGTGGAGGGGCTTCTTCTTGGCGACGCTCCAGAGGGAGAGAGCGCCGTTGTCGCTGCCGGTGACGAAGAGCTCGTCGTCCAGCATGGCGATGCGGTCCATGCTGCCTTCGTGGGAGAGGGAACGAGGGTCCGTGACGCCGGCGGCGGCGAGGGCGGCGGGGTTCGTGTTCTTCTTGTCGAAGCCCGTGGTGCCGCCGCCGCGGAAGACCAGCTGGGTCTCCTCCACGACCTTCCACATGCGGGCGGTGCGGTCACGGGCGCCGACGCTGACGCAGCGTTCCTGGGCGAGGGCGTCGATGTCCAGCACGACGTCCTGGTGGCCGAAGAGGGTCTCGATGTAGGCGAGCTCGTCGAGACTCCAGACCTTGACGGTGCGGTCTTTGGAGCACGAGTATAGCTGGTTGGTGCCCCGGCGGAAAGCCAGGCCTGTGACGGCGTCGCGGTGGTGGGTGAAAGTGCGGAGGGGCTTGAGGGTGCCGGCGTCGTAGACGATGATTCGCTTGTCTTCGCCGCCGGTGACGAGGAACTTGCCGTCCGAAGACGCGGCCACGCAGAGGATTTGGTCCACGTGGCGATGAAAGTTCTTGTCCTTGGCCTTGTTGATGTTGCCCCGGATCCACTGTTCCAGGGTTGGCTTTCTCCGAGGGGGTGGTGGTGGTTTTTTGTTCTTCTTCTTCTTTATCGTCGTCGTTGGTGGGAACTGGTCCTTCGGGAGGTCTTGTATTCTCCACTTGTGCACGTACATGTCCTTCGTGGTGGTGTATGCGTAAGGCGGTTGAACGGCCACCGATGTGAAGGTCTCGGCATTGTTCTTGAAGTAGCAGTGAGCCGCCTTGTCGTAAGCAAACTCGGAGGCCAATTGGCGGTATAGTCGGCCCTTGGCTTCTGCGACGTCTTCTTGTAGCCGCTCGGCGATGAGATCCCGGTCTATATCGGCAGCATCGAAGCCCACCTCGTCCACTTGCTCCCGGACATTTTCAAGATATCGCTCTGCGAGCCTCAGACGCCGTTCGGCAGCCGTCTCGCCTTCAACTTCGGACCCGCTCCCCTCTTCTTCCTGTTCTGAAAGACTCACGATGCTAGCATTGTCATCTAGATCGCTTTCAGAGAGGGACTGGTCTCGCTCGGCTCGCTTCTGTTTGGAGGGCGGGACTGCTTTGGAGCCCTTTGTCGTCGCACCTCTCGAGGGACCCTTGCCGGACGTCTTGGGGGCAGCAATTCGTTTCTTAGGGGCGTCTGAAGCTTCCGGCCTCTTCCTCTTTTTATTCGCCCCCGGTAGGGTGAAGAATGAGGACATTTGAACTACCAAGGCGAGCTGGTTGCCTTGATTGACAATTATCAGTCCCGCTTCGGTTTTCTCACTGGTCGCTTTATAAGATATTTGGAAAGCTGGGACAGCCCCCCCAGAAGGAGAGAAAAAAAAAGTTGAAGATAGGCCGTGGTGGGTCTTAGGTAGCCTTCACTAGCCAATCGATAACGGCTTTGTCATCCCAACTGCCCGTTCAGCGCAAGGGTTGGCGGTCAGAAGTGGCAGAATCTACAACCAGGTCGTGCGTCAGGCTGTAGCTTGCCTGCGCGTCAGGGAAGCTCCCACGGTGGGCACTGGGAAGCTGAACAGAGCGGAACAGAAGCCACTTGTATGACAGCCAACAACACCCGCACAGCTTCCGTTCACGACTACAAGTAGAAACAATGTGAGAATCTTATTCAAAGCGCCCAGGTTTATAGCTGCTAACATGATCATAGGGAGGTACTTCTCGGAATCACGGGCAAGGACTTCACCCTCATCGCAGCTTCGAAAGCTGCGATGCGCGGCGCAACCGTTCTGAAGGCGACCGACGACAAGACGAGACAGCTGAACAAACACACTTTGATGGCTTTCTCTGGAGAGGCGGGCGACACAGGTGCGTTCTCTTCTCTTCTCTTCGCCTTGGGAGGCTTTGTTTGTCTGGCTCCTTCATAAACCCCCCCGCGATGCTGACGGTTAAACTTGCTCCTCAGTGCAATTTGCCGAGTATATCCAAGCCAATTCCCAGCTGTACACGATGCGGAATGAGACGGATCTTTTACCCTCTGCTGTTGCCCACTTTGTTCGTGGCGAACTAGCGTCCAGTCTACGGTCTCGGAAGCCCTATAACGTCAACCTCCTCCTGGGCGGGCTTGACCCCATCACCCACAAGCCCGCCCTGTATTGGATAGACTATCTAGCAGCACTAGCACCCGTGCCGTATGCCGCTCATGGCTATGCTCAGTACGTTTTTCCCCTCTTCTATCTCCCTCATACCGTCGAGCTCCAACAGTACGCTAACCCATACGTTGCAGATACTACTGCCTCTCCATCCTCGACAAGCACCATCACCCAGATATCACCCTCGTACAGGGCATCAAGATCCTGAACATGTGTACTGACGAGCTGAAGAGGCGAATGCCCATCGATTTCAAGGGGATGACCGTCAAGGCGGTGACCAAGGACGGCGTCATCGACATAGAATTTGACGACGATAAGATTGTGAAGAGCGCTTAAAGGTTGGGGCGGGCAACATTGGGAAGGCCGAAGAGTGACTAGGGCATGTACTACTAGACTTGGTCGGTAACTGATAACTGGTACAGGCGTCGATATTTTTCCATGCTCCCTGGATAGTTCTCTGAACCCGAGTTTCTCTCGCCGACTGATTACCCCGTGCCCGGGACGAGCGTGTCGGTCGTTCGGCGAAGGCAACGTGGAACGACAACCGGATGGGCTAGCCCGTTTGTCCCGCCGTCTCTTTGTTGAAGATGGGTCTTAAGAAGGGCTATGGTCACTGGATGCACTCATCTGCTTCGGATACCTCTTCTCCCATTCGGTATTCTGAAGTCCACAACTTTTGTGGAGGCCCTGTCGATGCGGGGAAGGACTTGATCATCGTTCTCGTTGTATGCGTATATCCACAGCTTAAGGCAATATTAACCGCTTGTGCCTGCCAACCTCAATCTTGTTTAAGGGTTCTTTGTTGACGATAGCTCTGTCCCCCGTGTTTCCTGGGTTTGACCGCTGGTCTGATAAGTTTGCAGCATTGCCTTTCTCTCCCAAAGAGCCTTGTGGACACTGGCACAGAGCGCTACCAATGGCTGTTGCGTGATGTGGCCAGTACAGACATGCTTGCTGCGCGTCTTAGGTTTCGACGTTATAGACAGGAAAGCGAAATAAAATCACTGCAGAATACCTTAGGGAGAGGGAAGGAAGTTCGCCACGAAAGATCCCGTCTAGGTCAAGTATTCCATATCGGCATTCGTGTTCTGCCACCTGCCTTTTTGCATGCTCCAAGTTTCGCCTGAGTGCAGCGGAATCCGGAAGAATATCCACGGCTATGGTAGGTTCTGGCCTTGCATCCAAGAAACTGTCTTGAGGACTTGGTGAATAAATAGGCAACTGACTCCTCAACTTGAGATCCCGTCATCACTTTCTACAGCCAACGAAGAACAAAGAATGTGTACTAAGTGAGAATCTGGGCCACTTGGAGAACGAACAACACGACTTGAACGGGACGACAGAAGCACTTCGTACTGCATACATACCTTAGCTGACCTCCATTGACCGGTGTGGCCTGGAGCCGCAGCCAGCCAGGCAGCCAGACAGGCACAGCCACGTGTGGGGTGCCGCTGACGTCAAGTTACTGGATTTATGTGCCCTCCTTAGTAAATTGTGCGAGCTTCGTATAGTGGGTGAGCAATAATTTCGGTACATTTCAAAGATCCAGTGATTCGTTACTTTTGCAACATAATATGGTTTTTGCCCTAATAGAAAAAAGTGTTCCCCAAAAGGTTCGAAGCATTCTACTTTGGGTTATCCCGAAACTTTTTGCTCACTCACTGTACCTTACACTTTCGCCCCCTTTCCCGATGCTGGGACCTGCGAATACGGGCCCTTTTCAAGTACTACGTACACTAAGGTATAATCCAAGGCGTGATACTTCCAAGATGTGGCTCAGTCGAGTCATGGATTGTACACCATGCAGGTGGGTGTACGGTCAACGGGCATCCTTGTGTTGAGATGCAGTGGCAAAAACATACTTTGTGCTCCACAAAGCTACGAAGTACCTTGTGATTGGGTATCGTGCGCCAAATCAATAGCCCACCACCGCCAAAAGAATTGATACGAAGGAAGATCCGCAAGGACAATTGTATTTATTAATATCTCGAAGTCGTAGACAGAGGTGAATAATTATGAGTAGGTGGAAGCAAGCAGACTGAATGGCTGTCTTGTTCCCACCTCACCTTCTGTTTTAGGGAGCTGCGAGGGAGTCACTACTCAATGTCCGTACTGAGTAGTGACTACTGGCTTTTGTACGGTAGATTGTCCAAGCCGCCTGCTTACTTAAGGTACCTTACCTTATAGTTGGTGCATGTACGAAATCTCTGCCTGGATTCCTTATAAAACCAATCAGGAACATTACGGTTTACCGCATCCAAAACCGGGTGTGGAGTCTATACCTCTACCAGGAGTTTAAAGGTTAGCGCGGATATAAACGAATATAATTAGTTAAGGATAATAGGGGATCCCTGCGGGGTAGAGGTATATCCAAATATATAGAACCTATTACCCTTTATAAGTACCTGTACTTATATACGACCACTATCTCTACTATCCCTACTATTACTACTATCACTACTAGGGTAATTATATAATTATTCTTAAGATCGTTATATGTCTTTATACCTATCTATATAAAATAGGTGGAAAAGTATAGATTAGCAGACTAATTCAATAATTAACAGGATATAGGGCGATTTTACGAGCTAACCTTTAAAACCTAAGGAAAGTATAAAAAGCATAACTTTATATACATATAACGTATATAGTATATAGTATATATCCGCTATAGACAGTTAGATATTAGGTATAAACCCTAATCTTTATACTTTATACGAAGATCCTATATATTTCTACGATAGTCTCTTATTAATACTGCTAAAAGCTACTACTAGTTAGTTAGCTACCTTACCTAAAGTAGTAAAGGTACAATCATTACTATATGTACGTTGTATCTATTCGTACAGTAAGGTACTGGCGCTAGGTATCTACGTAGGTACCTCCCCGCGTAACTTCCAACCACTCATGTCCGTGACTTCCCCCAGACGAGCAGTCTAACCGTAGGATACGGTACGTACATACCTTGATTTACCTGGAATACCAAGAAAGACCCTTCCTTCCTCTTGCCCCACCTAATTTTTTTTTTTTTTTTTTTTCAGCAGGTGCAGAAATGTGGGTCCCAACAGCCACTTTCCGACACTGCCAAAACCATATTTTCCTTGGTTGTTGCCTCCGACCAGTTGCTCGGTTTTCTTTTTATTCTTCTCTTCCCACAACCACCCCCCAAATTATTCTCTTCCCATCCACCATCAAAAGAGACTTATCTCTTTCCCCCATCTTTCGTCTCCACAGACCGATTTTTCCCGTCTAATCGATTTTTCCTTTTTTCGTCTTTTGTCTTTCCTTTGAAGAGTTCTTCTTGTTCTTCTAGGGAAATACACAAGCCACGGTCACCTAATCCCATACCTGGATTCAGTTGCCTAGACGTTAATAGACCCGACAGAACGAAGAAGAAAATTGGAAGATTGTCGCAGTCTTTCGTCTTCACTCTCTCTGGACCTTTCGTTTTCTCTTTCTCATTTGACTCGTCGCATTTTACGGCCGGTCTTCGTTTTCCACGTACACAGACAACGTAACGCCGCAAACTGTTCTTCAGAGACTTCACACAAGACGAGGCCGATTGCAGACTCCAACGACCTCAGCAACCTACCTCCTACTTCGACAATACCTCGATTCATCATGGCTGATCAGCTCAACATGAACGGCCTGAACCTAGGCCATTCTCAGGATGGCCCTCGCTCCTACATCCCTCCTCACATGCGAGGCAAGATCGTCCAGGGTAACCAGGGCCCTGTCGCCGCTCCCCCTCACGGCCCGCCCCCAGGACATATGCAAGGCCCTCCCCCGGGAGCTACCCAGGCACCCCTTCAAGGACCCCCTCAAGGACCCCCCCAGGGACCTCCCCAGGCTGCGGGTGGTCCAGGCTTGGGCAACAGCGCTTGGGCTGCGTAAGTCCCCCCCTTTTGCACCGCCATTTCTCATTAGTTGCAAATATACTGACAGACACGCAGTCCAAATAGCGGATACGGCGGTGGACGTGGCGGCGGCCGCGGCGGCGGCGACTGGTCCGCCAGCATGGGCGCGCCTCCTCAACCATTTGCCGGCGGCCGCGGCGGTCGTGCTGGTTGGACTGAAAACCGTAGCTATGGCGGCGGCGGTTATGGTAGCGCAGGTGGACAACAGCATGCTCGCGGCTCTGGCGACGGCCAGTGGCGCGATGGCAAGCATATTGCCGGCCCTGCCAACCCCCGGCTTGAACGCGAGCTTTTTGGCGTTCTTGACGACCCTACGAAGCAGCAGACCGGCATCAACTTCGAGAAATACGACGATATTCCCGTCGAGGCTTCCGGCCAAGACGTCCCCGAACCCGTACATGCTTTCACCAACCCTCCTCTCGATGACCACCTCATCACCAACATTGGCCTCGCCCACTACAAGGTCCCTACGCCCGTCCAGAAGTACTCAATTCCCATCGTCATGGGCGGTCGCGACTTGATGGCCTGTGCGCAGACTGGTTCCGGCAAGACTGGCGGTTTCCTCTTCCCCATTCTCTCCCAGGCCTTCATCAACGGCCCCTCGCCCGTCCCGGCCAACGCGGCCGGCGGTGGCTTTGGTCGCCAGCGCAAGGCTTACCCCACTTCTCTCATCCTTGCGCCCACCCGCGAGCTTGTCTCTCAGATCTATGACGAGGCTCGCAAGTTCGCCTATCGCTCTTGGGTTCGTCCCTGCGTCGTCTACGGTGGAGCTGACATTGGTTCCCAGCTCCGCCAGATCGAGCGCGGGTGTGATCTCCTCGTTGCGACTCCTGGCCGTTTGGTCGACCTGATTGAGCGGGGTCGTATCTCCCTGCAAAACATCAAATATTTGGTCTTGGATGAGGCCGATCGCATGCTGGACATGGGTTTCGAGCCGCAGATTCGTCGCATCGTCGAGGGCGAAGATATGCCCGACGTTCAGAACAGGCAGACCCTCATGTTTTCTGCCACCTTCCCTCGCGACATTCAGATGCTTGCGCGCGACTTCTTGAAGGATTACGTCTTCCTTTCCGTTGGCCGTGTTGGCTCGACTTCTGAGAACATCACCCAGAAGGTCGAGTACGTTGAGGACGCCGACAAGCGCTCGGTCCTTCTCGATATCCTTCACAGCCACGCTAACGGTCTCACGCTTATTTTCGTCGAGACCAAGCGCATGGCCGACTCGCTCTCCGAGTTCTTGATTAATCAAAACTTCCCTGCTACTTCCATTCACGGAGACCGCACGCAGCGGGAGCGGGAGCGGGCTCTAGAGCACTTCCGCAACGGTCGTTGCCCTATCCTTGTGGCCACGGCTGTCGCCGCCCGTGGTCTCGATATCCCCAACGTCACCCACGTCCTCAACTATGATCTTCCCACCGACATTGATGATTATGTTCACCGCATTGGTCGTACTGGTCGTGCCGGAAACACCGGTCATTCCACCGCCTTCTTCAACCGGGGTAATCGCGGTATTGTTCGCGATCTCCTCGAGCTTCTCAAGGAGGCCAATCAGGAGGTTCCCCAGTTCCTCGAGACAATCGCGCGGGAGTCGTCCTTCGGAGGTGGTCGTGGTGGGCGTCCCGGTGGCCGCGGTCGTGGCCAGGCCGCTAACCGCGATTTCCGTAAGTATGGAGGAGGAGGCGGCGGTTTCAGTGGAGGTCCCGGCTTCGGTGGTCCTCAGAATGGTGGTGCCGCCGGCGGCGGCTTCGGCGGCGGCTATGGCGCCCCGCCTCCCAATCCTGCATATGGAGGTGGCGGCGGTGGTTTTGGCGGTGGCTACAGCGGTGGCGGCGGCGGCGGCGGCGGCTACGGTAACCCCAGCGGTCCTGGCGGCCAATCCTGGTGGTAATTTCCCGCGTCGCATTCAAATGAGGCGGAGTAGGGCTTTGTGACGGCCTGAAGACAGCCGCCTGTCCCGTCCAGAGGACGCGTCTCAGTTACGGTTTTTTTTCTCGACGTTTTGTTTTTCTGTTTATGGTTATTCTCTTTTTATTTTCCGACGCATTTTTTGCCCGGTTGCTGCATTCCGGCGTGGCAGCATGACCCAGACCCGCGAGACGGCAGCCTCTCACTGCGACAGTGAAGCTTAATAGGGCGTCAGGACATGAAACGACATCGATAGAGCGTTTTCTTTGATTTCGCTGGTCCCCAACTCATGATACCCTTTAGACCGCATTTGGGAAACCTCCGGCAGGCGACATTCGGAGTGCGCGTGCTTTGCGACAGCACGCCTACACCTTGCTCTACGGCTCTCGGAACCTGGATGGTTTTCATCTAGTCGCCGAAGAGATCCCTACATGAGTCTGCTATTCGATACGCGTTTCCCGAGAGGCTTTTCTCGCTTTTCTACGATAGAGGGGTCATGCATTTTTGCCGTGCATACATAGACAAAATGGATTTCTCGGTTCTCGGCCTTCGGTTCTTTGGTCGACGGTTCTCTTCGAGGGACAGGACATGGTCATGAGAGAGGGATGGCCACGGGCACCATAGACTGGACTGGCAACCGAAAGGGTTGGTTGGCAGTGCATTTTGAGAGCATCAAATGATGGATGACCTTTCCCCATCACCATGGTTTTAAGGGATTCAAGGGAAGGGACATGAAAAGTTTGTGCTCTTTTAAAGCTAATGGCATATGGATTGGCAAGTGGGCTTCTGCTTCTCGCCTACATACGTGGAACTGGTGGAGGATTACGGACCAGGGAAGTTTTCATCCAGGAATTGCGCTACCTGCACTCCATGTGCGGCATGTTTCCTGACATGAACAAATCGTCTGAACTGAGAAGTCCCAATAAAAAAAACACTTCTTTTGCTCACACCAATCTTGTCGAAGCTCCGCATGTGATCTACTCTTATGACAGGTGACGGATCCGAGGCTTGAGCTGGACCGTACTGCTAGGTAGGGGTGTGATGTACGGAGATGGTATGAGATCGAGGACCCGCTAGTCGCAATACCTCGTATGACTTGGTAAGTGGTGTGTTACTGTTACTGTTTCTGTTTCTGTTGCTGCTCCTGTTCCTGTTATTGATCGCAAGAAATTACTGTCGAGATAAACCGGCTGCATTCCTGATATCCATTGATTGCTTGGATTCGGGAGCAAGGTTTTGGATTTTCCTACCGAGTAGACGGAGGTCTTCAAGTGAAATCACATCATCGTCACAGCAGTGGAAGGACTCACACATACGTAGGTACCTTAGTCAATTAGCTAGCTATTGCCCTTTATTTAAGGTGCTTTTCTAGGGGGGCGCCCTTTTTCCATGTATCAATATAATTACCTAATAAGACAGCGAACTCGCTGAAGTGTTCGGTGTAAAGACCAGACATTGCTGGTCAATTGGACAACCCAGATGGCTCAAAGTACCAATAGGTAGGTCTTGCCTCCCTCCCTTGAAACTACCTACCGTACTTCGTACGGTAATTATTGGGTACCTTAAGGAGTACTCCGTACATCGTACGCATCTTTCCTCATTTACGTTGTCAGAACACAAATAAAGGTACGGAAATTGTGTATGTATTCATCTAAAAGTAAAGTTCGTCGTACTTCACAGGGATGCCTAACTAAGGTACCTATGAGGAAAAATAATTGGAAATAAGTGTGGATACATCGGAACAAGGTACTCCACATCTACCATAATATGGTTTATCACACCTTGATAACGACCTTCCACTATCTGATGTACATACTCCGTGCTCCGTTTTCCGTGAGGTAAGGTAAGGTACCTAAGAATCAATGAACACGGATCTAACTCTTCGCCAAATTCTTGCGGTCAACGGCAATACGAAGGCGCGCACGCCCCATCCCAGTCTCGGGGACGAAACCTTCCTTCCATTCATTTGGCTGCCGTTTTCCGCACGAGGAAAGTAGCGAGGTGCCATTTCATCCTTTGACTTCCACGCATTTCATTTTCGACAACCGGTTCCCTTCAACAAATCACCAATCCAAGATCGCACAACCAACCCTTCCTTGTCTTTCGTTACAACTGCAACCTATTTTGCGCGACCTTCACCATGGCGTCCATGTCGCCCACAAGCTCGGCCGTCATCGGCCCTGCATCCGACTTGGAAGCGCCCAGTTCCCCAGCGCACTACGAAGGCAAGTCTTTCATGTCGCAAGCCGTGACGGAGGATGACGACACGCGCATGATGGATTTCACCCCGGAGCCCTCGGAAAAGGCGAGTCGAGGCAAAAGCAAATCGCAGCCCAAGGACCAGCCCCCGGGGCAGCCAGTTATCGGCAAAATTAGGCATTTGAAGAAGGAGGATGGCGAGCCGCTTTGGCGCAAGGACATCCAGTACGACTTTCTACGGGCTGTATTCGACGACGAGATGGCCGTGTTCACCAACTCGTACGAGCCCGACCGGCCTCCTCAAGTCTTCGCCGACCTATACATCGATACCATGGCGAGGAGCAGCAAGACGAGCAAGGTGCTGCGCGACAAGCTCCTGAGCGACCGAGAGGCTGCCAAGAACATGGCCATGGTTTGTCTGTTGGTCAATATCGGCCGGATGAACACGACATTAAACTGTACGTTAATAATCAAGACGTGGCTTTTTATTATCTCTTTTCCTCCCCTTGTCATTTTTGCTTTGTTTGGTCCTTGATCAGTAGTCCTTCTTTTTCCCTCGTTTTTATTTGGTTTTGCTAACCCGACATACTTGGAATAGTTTTCCCTGAGATGCGAGCCCAGCTTCGAACATACCATGCAATCCCTTCCCTGCAAGCGAACCAAGATGTAAACCACGACCCCCATGCCTACAAGCAACTTCAGGATGCCCCCCGCCTGAAGTCGATTCTCAAAGGAGGCGCAGAGGACCGCACAGAACCCGAAAGCTTGAACAAGATCAAGGCTCAGGACGTCCCACGGACGAACCCAGTCAATCTACTGTTCGTGATCTGTGCCAACGCGGCTAAGGTTGCGGAGTTGCACTTCCCGCCCGGACAGGAGTTCCACGACCTGATTATGAAAACCAACTATTCGAGCCAATCGCGTGCCCATGCCTTCCTTTGGATCATGTGGTTCTACCTCGAATCGGACTTTACCGAAGAAGGATGCGACGAGAATCCGTTCGGACCCGGTGTGGATTATGGCGTTGACGTCGCCAACCAGGGCGTCCCGCGTCTGGAGGAGCTGACGCCCGAGGAGGAGGCTCAAGAGAATGTCGATACCCCATCCGAGCTGGAGTACGGACGGGAGACACAGTTAAAGCGGGCCAAGATCCTCGAAGAAGACCAAGCGTACATTGACAACCAGAACAAGCGCGGGTCCAGAGCGTCCCGTGCCGTTGCCGAGGAGGGACCGGCGGTCCTGCCTAGGATAAGACCTTCACGACAAGAGTCGGATATGGATAGCACGAGGTCGACTCCACCACCCAAATTGCTGGTACACAGCGCTAGAGGGTCCGGCCGGCGCGGCGCGCCGCTGAAGTATCAACTGCTTGAAGGCTCCACATTATCACCTGCGGCCGCTGGCCAACAAGGGGCCGAAAGTGTGGGCAGCAACAGGAAGCCGCGTCCTCCCACGGCCCATCAGATTGCGGTGGAACGTAACCGGAACGAACGGGTGGAGCACACACTGGACCGCGGGCTTCGGGAGCTTCATCGGAAGGCGCGGAGGCTGCGCAAGCAAGAAGGAGCCATCTACCGCGCGTTGCGGCGGGTGGGGGAAATGCAGGACCCTTTCGAGGACAGCGACATGGAGGAAGATATGCAGCGCCAGCTGGCTGCCGGCATCGTTCAGGATGGAGGCAAGTTCCGGACCAAGGGTCTGGCCGGACTCGTTCAGCTCAAGTCGGAGAAGGACGACTTTGGCGAGGAGCCGGCTGCTTATGCCGCCGCCCTCCGACGCGTGGTCAGACGGCTCGACCGCTGGTCTGCTTACAATGGCACAAACAAGGGTGTGGTGGCACCGGTCAAGAAGAGGAAGAAGGCGACGGTAGAGGAGCAGGATGGGGCTAACGGAACGGCGGAGGTTGAGGTTGACAATGACGATACGTTGGCGGACATTGAGGCGGGCGCCAGGGCGCCGAAGAGCCGAAAGCACGGCGGTGCTGGACGTGCCTCGCGCGGCGGGGCGAACAGTAACGACAACGGAGATGTCTCCATGCTAGACGTGGGCGAGGGCGAGGGCGAGGGCGAGGATGCCGATAAGACGGCTGGCGGCTCTAATAGTGCGGCAGAGGAAGAGGAGCTGGACGAAATGGAGAGGTCGCTTCTGGGCATGGCTCCCGGCAACAGACCTATGGACTCGGGTTCCGAGTCGGACTAGGCTCTCGCTATTCTTTTGGTCGCTCGCGGGAGCCTTATCTATGTTGAGGGCCTGCTCGGCGCTTCTTCTCTTGCTTTCAGTACTTGCCTCAAGAGGGGATGAAGAGGAAATTATCGGAATACCATACCGATGGATCGATTATCCAGGGGAGGGGGTACTATCATTCCGGCAACTGGCGTTTGGGTGATCAGGTGTACAACTTTTTGTTCTTTCATTGTATTCATTACGGTGTTGAGGGGGAATCCGCAGCAACGGCACAGCGGCAAAAATATCGGAGCCTGGCAACGAGGAAGGTCAGAGAAGAGAGCTCAAGAAATATGGCCTATGGTGTACAGGGCTTCCGTTTAGTCAGGCTCTTCAGGATGTTATGCACGAATCCCCGGACGACGGACTACTTTGTCACGGATAGGGGGAACAGGAAAGGAATTATGTATAAAATAGGATAGAGAGCATTGATTAGAAGGGCGTCGGGAAAGACGCTTTGCTCATAAAACCAAGGTAGACATCAGTAGTTCTGAATCCGTCTGGCGAAGAAGACATTGAATAAATAATACAGCGAGTTGATCAAATGGACTGAAGCGCTTCACTTGTGATTAATCGCGTCGTACCTTTATAAAGTACCTCGATCCTCTTGTCAGGCCACTGTACCTTCGTAAAATACACGTACACTTACATACAACGTACACGCGGCTTGCGGAGGCCTTGGCACGTCATCACCATTGAAAATGAGCTATGAAATCAAATCCTCCTAAAACGGAGATACCGACCAACGTCCGTTGTGATTTCAGATGAGTACCTGTACCTGTACAGGTACCAACGAAGGCTCAAAAATCAGGACGCTTTTTGCGGTACCTCGACAAGGTGAGAAAGCGTTTGGTTGTCGGCAAGTCGGACGTTCCATGTCCGATAGTGGAACCCGTTTTTTGTCCAACGGCCCGGCCGGGGTAACAATACAACGTCGGACTTGTTAAGATGAATGGTACTTCGTGTAGTAGCAACTTGATGACCCATGGACTTCATGGGGACTTTGATAATCCTGCGTTGCCTCCGGCAGCCTGTCCCCCCCCGTTCTCTTTCTTCTCGATGATATCTCCGGTCCGCGTTATTTTATAAGGAAGCCTAAGCCTCTATAGATATCTATCACATTCGATTGAACCTCTCTCTCTCTCTCTCTCTCTCTCTCTCGGCCCGGTTCTCAGCATTCTCAGACTGCCAGGTTTTTCATTTTAACAAAGCACGACGTCGTCTTCGGCACCGAGTTCCGGCTCCCAGCTTCACGCCTCTCTCCAGTCTTTCGGCTGCTCAAATATCAGGCCATACTCGAAAGAAACACATCATACACATCACATCTTCCATTTATATCATCGCTTTCTACGTCTTCACCTACTTGGTCGTTTCTCGCCTTCCAGGGCCTCCTTACTCGCTCGAACGACTATGCCTCCCTGGAATCACCTGTGATACTTCTTCGCCGTTCTTGCTCATTGCCGTTGAGCAGGTGAACTTCGTCCCTCACTTGAACCGCCCTTAACCTCGCCTCGCCTCGCCTGGCCCAATATTTTAACCCCAGCGAGTTGATTCTCGGTTTGCGTCGAACATGGCAGATTCTGCCGACAAGGTGACCAAGGCGCCGGATCCCCTGCCTGCTGCTATTCAACCAAATGATCAAGACGAAAGTGCTGGTGGCCCCTATATCATACAGATTGGTCAAGGGGATGGCAGCAAACGTGATGATGACGATGGAGTCGGGGAATCGAGCGAGGAGGAGGTGAAGATCGAGAATCCCGAGAATCCCGAAGAGCCCGAGCAGCCCCCTCATACCACGTTAGGGGTCACTCAAAGCCATGCCACCCATCTCAGTGGTGCCGCCTCGGCATTATCGAGAACAACTTCCGAGACAAAGCCATGGTATAAGACGCCCAACCCGCTGCGATGGGGCGCTATCCCTCCAGTGCCTGCCGAGAGGTCCGTGTCGAGGGAGCACACGGCTGGCTTCTTCAGCCTTCTCGTCTTTCAATGGATGGCACCGTTGATGAGTGTGAGCCCCCGACAACATTGTCCCCCTTCTTCTTCCCGAGAAAGCCTTCCAAAACTTTGCGTCTCTTCGTATCATAACCTAATGCCCGGTTTTTCCCTTTCTAGGTCGGATATAAGAGGCAGCTTGAGCACAATGACATATGGACCGTGAACCCAGACCGCGCTGCCGAGAAGCTGACCCTCAAGCTCAAAAAGTCCTTCCAGAAGCGCGTGGACAGGGGCGACAAACACCCTCTTCTCTGGGCCATGCACGAGACCTTCTTCTTCGAGTTCTGGCTCGGTGGCATCCTGCAGGTCATGGCCACCATCTTCCAGGTCATGTCGCCCTTCATCCTCCGCTATCTCATTCAGTTCGCCAACGATGCCTGGGATGCCGCCATCGCCGGAACTTCGGCGCCCCAAATCGGCCAGGGCATCGGTCTCGTTCTCGGTGTCACCGCCATGCAGATCCTGCAGAGCTTGGGGGTCAATCACTTCATCTACCGCGGCATGATGGTCGGTGGCCAGACGAGGGCTGTTCTTATCAGTTTCGTTTTCGAGAAGTCCATGTCCATATCGGGCCGGGCCAAAGCTGGTGGCGCTAAGGAAGTCGACTCCTCGGAGCATGATAGCAGCGCCACGGAGGGGGATGAGGGATCCGAGGAGGAGAAAGCGGGAGAGAAGAACAAGGAGGAGAAAAAGAAAGATCAAAAGAAGGAGAGCGAAGAGGGGAAGAAGGGCAACGGCAAGCGCCCAACAAAGTCTGACGCCGCCCCGGGTATCTCCGGTGACGGTGCCGGCTGGGGAAACGGACGCATCATCAACTTGATGAGCGTCGATACGTACCGCATTGACCAAGCTTCCGCGCTTTTCCACATGGTCTGGTCGGGACCCCTCGCCATCCTCATCACCTTGGCCGTCCTCATCGTCAACCTGGGCTACAGTGCGCTTGCCGGCTTCGCTCTCCTTGCCGTCGGCGTGCCTCTCCTGGCAAGAGCCATCAGGAGTCTGTTCAGGCGCCGAAAGGCCATTAACAAGATCACCGACCAAAGAGTAAGCCTCACCCAGGAGGTGCTGTCGTCGGTTCGCTTCGTCAAGTACTTCGGCTGGGAATCTGCCTTCCTCGACCGGCTCAAGGCCATCCGCAAGCGCGAAATCCACAGCATCCAGTCGCTTCTTGCCATCCGCAACGCCATCAACGCCGTCAGCATGTCCATGCCCATCTTCGCCAGCATGCTCGCCTTCATCACCTACTCGCTGACCGACCACACCATGCGGCCCGCCGAGATTTTCTCGTCCTTGGCCCTGTTCAACGGCCTCCGCATGCCGCTTAATTTGCTCCCCCTGGTCCTCGGTCAGGTCGTCGACGCTTGGTCGTCCATCAAGCGGATCCAGGAGTTTCTGTTGGCCGAGGAGCGGGAAGAGGACGTCACACGGAAACCGAGTGGTGAGAATGCCCTCGAGCTGCACGGGGCTAGTTTCACCTGGGAGAGGACGCCGACGACGAAAGAGTCCGAGAAGGGAAAAGGGAAGGGCTCCAAACCCGGAAACGACGGGACCCAGGCGGCGAAGGGAGCGGCCCGGCCGCCGTCCTCTTCGGGGGGCGATGCTTCTAGCCGCAGTACCGTTTGGGCGGACGAAAGGGAACCCTTCAAGCTGCAGCAGTTGGAGCTGGCGGTTGCTAGAAACGAGTTGGTAGCTGTCATCGGTACCGTTGGTTGCGGCAAAAGCTCTCTCCTGGCGGCCCTGGCCGGGGACATGAGGAAAACTTCAGGGGAGGTGGTCTTGGGAGGCTCGAGGGCCTTTTGTCCCCAGTATGCCTGGATTCGGAATGCCACGGTTCGCGATAATATCCTGTTCGGCAAGGAGATGGACCGAGACTGGTACAACCAGGTGATCGACGCGTATGCCGGACTTTTTCTCTTTCATCCCCTACTGCTCACACCCACGCCCCTAGCCTAGCTAACTCGATCAAACCCCTCAGGTGTGCACTCCGTCCTGATTTCGAAATGTTACCCAACGGCGATGCGACAGAGATTGGCGAGAAGGGTATTACCATCTCCGGTGGCCAGAAGCAGCGCCTCAATATCGCCCGAGCCATCTACTACAACGCAGACATCGTCCTCATGGATGACCCCTTGAGTGCCGTAGACGCCCACGTTGGCCGACATATCTTTGACAGGGCCATCCTTGGCCTGCTGAAAGACAAATGCAGAATTCTAGCGACTCACCAGCTGTGGGTTCTCAACCGCTGCGACCGGATCGTCTGGATGGAAGGCGGCCAAATTGTCGCCGTCGATACTTTTGATAATCTGATGAGCAACTCGGAGAGTTTTCAACATCTGATGGAGACGACCGCGGTTGAGGAGAAGAGAGACGAGGGACCGGTGGCCGAAACGAACGAGTCAGGGGTGGTCGAGGAGAAGAAGCGAAAAGGAGGTGGTGCACTCATGCAACAGGAGGAAAGAGCCGTGTCGAGCGTTCCGTGGTCCGTCTACAGCGCGTATATTCGTGCGTCTGGCACGGTTCTCAGCGCGCCGCTGGTTATATTGTTCCTGGTTATCGCGCTCGGGGCCAACATGATGACGGGGCTGTGGCTCTCGTATTGGACAAGCGACCACTTCGGCATGGCGACAGGAGGTTATATCGGGGTGTATGCCGCCCTGGGCTTCGCCCAAGCCTTCCTTATGTTTTGCTTCTCGGTCATGCTTTCAATCTTCGGCACCAACGCCAGCAGGGTCATGCTCCGGCGTGCCGTCACGAGGGTCCTCCGGGCGCCCATGTCCTTCTTCGACACCACGCCCCTCGGCCGGATCACCAACCGGTTCTCGCGAGACGTCGATATCATGGATAATAACTTGACCGACGCCTTCCGGATGTACTTCCTCACCCTCGGTATGATCCTTTCCGTCTTCGCCCTGGTCATCGCATTCTTCCACTGGTTCGCCCTCGCCCTCGTCCCGCTTTCCGTCCTCTTCATCTTCGCTGCCGCCTATTACCGGTCGTCCGCCCGAGAGATCAAGCGTTTCGAGTCCGTCTTGCGCTCGACCGTCTTCGCCAAGTTTTCCGAGGGCTTAAGCGGCACGGCCAGCATCCGGGCGTATGGCTTGAAGGATCACTTCATCACCGACCTGCGGACCGCCATTGACAAGATGAACGCCGCGTACTACCTCACTTTCTCCAACCAACGGTGGTTGTCGGTGCGATTGGATCTCGTCGGGAATTTGCTCGTATTCACGGTCGGCATCCTTGTTGTCACCTCACGCTTTAGTGTGCCCCCCAGCACCGGAGGCCTGGTCCTCAGCTATATCCTTGCCACGGTACAGATGATCCAGTTCACGGTGCGGCAGCTGGCCGAGGTCGAGAATGGCATGAACGCCGTCGAGCGTCTCCAGTATTACGGCACGCAGCTGGAGGAAGAAGCGCCCGTGCATACCATCGAGGTGCGGCCCTCGTGGCCAGAGAAGGGCGAAATCATCTTCGACGACGTCCAGATGCGCTACCGTGCCAACCTGCCGCTCGTTCTCCAGGGCTTCACGCTGCACGTGGCTGGAGGCGAGCGCATCGGCATTGTCGGCCGCACGGGCGCCGGCAAGAGTTCCATCATGTCCACGCTCTTCCGACTGGTCGAGGTGTCGGGGGGTCGCATCGTCATCGACGGGGTCGACATCTCCACCATCGGCCTGCACGACCTCCGGTCTCGCCTCGCCATCATCCCGCAAGACCCGACCTTGTTCCGCGGCACCATCCGGTCCAACCTCGACCCGTTTAACGAGCACACCGATCTCGAGCTGTGGTCGGCCCTGCGCCAAGCCGACCTCGTCCCCGCGGGCGCGAACCTGACCGCCGACCCGCTGTCCAACGAGGCGTCGTCTCGCCTCCACCTCGACTCGGCGGTCGAGGAGGACGGCCTCAACTTCTCGCTGGGCCAGCGACAGCTTATGGCGCTGGCGAGGGCGCTCGTGCGGGGCTCCCGCATCATCGTCTGCGACGAGGCGACGAGCTCGGTCGACATGGAAACCGACGATAAGATCCAAAACACCATCGCTACCGGGTTCCGCGGCCGGACGCTCCTGTGTATTGCGCACAGGCTGCGGACCATCATCGGCTATGACCGCATCTGCGTCATGGACGCCGGGCGTATCGCCGAGCTGGGAACGCCGCTGGAGCTGTGGCATAGGGAGGGCGGCATTTTCCGGGGGATGTGCGATCGTAGTCTGATTCGCGCGGAGGATATTGTACGGAGCGCAGAAACCACCGGTGCTGGCCGGCCGTCTCCTGAGGCTTCTTCGGACATTGAGGGCAAGGGAACCTGATGCGGAGGGTTACGGAAACGAAGGAGGGAACGTTGGAAATCATGGAAATATTAATGTACATAATACAGACACGCATGTGTGGGAAGCAAGGGCTTGGAAAGACCATAGAGAAGTCATCATATAAAACAATAGCATACATAATATATAGGTCTCAGTCTGTGCCGTCCAGCCTACGTTGCTGAGATATATGTGCAAGGCGTGGGTGGGGTTGGTTCAGACTCTCGCCCTCTGCGACAGATGTGCAAAGATGCGTAATTGGTATTGCAACGTAATTACACAACGATGTTCTATTCTCTTTCTTCCCCCTAATGTCATTCCAAGAGCGGTGGCCTACGCCCCCCTAACGAAACATGCTGAACGGAGCACTTCCAGCTGGCGTTTTACAGCACAAAGTTTGTACCATGGAGGCAGGGGTTGAGTTAACCATTGCAGGAGAAATAATAACAAGAAGATAAGACGAAATGCATGCATAGTACTCTATTGGCAAATGATACTCCCAAGAGTTTACACTCGATGCTTTATCCCAAGAAAAAAACGCCACGTTCCATTGAACTTGGAGGGCCCGACCTGAAGCCCCTCGTACACCAAGCTACTACAAGCCCTTTTCCGGCCCTTACAAATGACTTGACTTTAAAATACAAACATAAATATACCTCTGCTGTCGTTCAGAAGCGAGACCCCGGTGACCCCCGTTGTGGATTCGCCGGCGGCATGTTGCTAGGTGGGAAGGCGCTTGGGTTCTCATCCAGCAGGTCCTCCAAGTATGCGCTGGGAGCGCGACCGGTCGTAGGAGGCCCGGAAAGGTTCAACGAGCTCGTGCTCATATCGCGGCGCGCGGGAGGGAACTGGGGCGACTCGGGCGGCGTGTGGTCGCGCATGGCGTTCCGCGAGAGACCGCGCGAGTCGGGCCGCAGATTGGTCAGGCTGATAGAGTGAGTGTGTCCAGGGCTCGAAGGGTTTCCGGCGGCGTAGAAGCCAGAGGGCAGGAAGCGCGAGTCGCGGCCGCCGCCACTTCCGGCAGCACCACTGGCGGCGGTCGGAGAGAAGAAGAGGTTCGACTGGCTGGGCGTGGCAGAGGGGATAGGGCCGCGGTTGGTGCGCCGAGTGCCGCGGGCGTTGCCGGCGGCCGACAGAGAGAGTGTGGAATTGTGGTCGCTGTACTTGTAAAAGGGCGCGGGAGGTGCCGGGAAGGCGGATTTGCTGTCGGAGTCGTGCTGGGCCAAGGCGGCGCGGCGGACGGAGCGGTGGAGGAGGCAAGCGACGATGCCACGCCAGAGGAGGATGCCGAGACCAAACGCTCCGAGAATGGCGCCGACCACGATGAAAACTGTACCCTCAGGAGCAGAGGAGCGCTGCGTGAAGGGGGCGTTGACGGTTGGAGGTACGGCGGCGGGCGGGTAGGTGACAATTAGGGGCGCGTTGGTGAGAGAAGCGAAGGACGTGAACTCTTCATCGTTCGCCTCGGTGCGAGTTGGCGCCGGGGTTGGAGTAGGGGCCGGGCTCGAGTCGTCTGGATTGTCGGGGGTCGGAGTTGGTGTCGGCTCATCCTCTTGCTCCGGGGAAGGTGTAGGGGTGGGTGGTGGCTCCTCATTCTGCTCTTCTTCGTCCTGACTAGGCGTCGGAGCTGGTGGCGATGGTTCGTTGTCACCTTCATTGTCCTCGTTTTCGGGAGCCGGAGAAGGGCCGCTGTCTTCAACCGAGGGAGGGCTATCGTTGTCATCGTTGTCATCGTTGTTGTTGTTGTTGTTGTTGTTATTACCACCACCACCACCATTGTTATTTTGGGCCAAGGATGTCGTGGCGAAGAGTGCAACAGCAGCAAGGGCCGGATGGACCAGCGCCGAGCGTTGTGAGGCGAAACGGATGCGCACCATGGCCCGTACTGGCGGTTATGGGGATGCTGTATATACTGTGACTGTAGGATATAAGGACGCGTGATGACACGGCCTAGCGGGAGAGAAATGAGGCGACGCCGGCCTGTTCAGTATCGAAAGGCGAAATGGCGGTTGCTCGGGATGAGAGAGGTGTTCGGCGAATCGAGTATATGTGCCGAAAATAGAGGGGGGTTTGATTCTGTTCTGTAACGAGAGTTATATTTGCTCGACTTGGGCTGAAGTGGAGGGCGTTGAAAACGATTGTGGCGCTAACGGGCGACGGACAAAAAGAAGAAAAGAAGAAAATAGCGAGCGAAACGGTCTGACGGGTTAGATCATTACTGATAATCAAAAAGCTGATTGATGCTGATGTCGGTCGTTGATGATGACCGGACAAGTAAAAATCTCCAGAGAGGGCCAAAAAGAAGAGGAAGAGAAAATGAAAATGAAAATGAAAAGGGTTGAATAAAGGACAAGTCCGACCTCAGGCCAGGGCGGTACAACGTACTTTCGTATTGGTATGGTACGGGGTAGGTACCAGGCCAATGAATGGGGGGTTGGGAGTTGGGAGGGTTGGGAGGGTTGGGAGGGTTGGGAGGGTTGGGAGAGAGGGTGGGAGGGACGTGCAGAAACGATGGTGACTCCGTAATAATAAGACGGGCGGAAAGAGGTCCTGCCAGGACTGACCTGACGGCAGAAGGGGTTGGAAATGGGTGGGGAGGGAAAAGGGGAAATAAAAGGGGAGAAGGGAGAGCAAACAAGGTACCTTATTTGATACTCCGTAGTACTTCGTACCTTACTAAACTGGTACGATACATACAGTCTCATTGGCCTATACAACACTGTAATATCTCATGGTTACCAACGATGCAGTTCGGATACATCTTCAACCGGCACTATGTTTGTATGTAAGGTAAGGTAATATGCAAAGGCCTTCGTTAGCTCGTATTGTCCATTCCGCCTTGGTTCCGTCTCTACCTCCAGGGAGGAGGGAGAATGGACTCGCTCATCTTTCCTCCATTAGCGTCTCCAAATATGACCTGGTAACCGTAGGGACGAAGGGAGTGATGGTGCCCTTGATTATGATAACCTACGTAGGTGCCGTCCCTAGCCAAGGTCCGTCGCCTTTGCAGCACGTGGTTTGACGTCGAAGACTTCTCCTGATGTTCGATGGGTTTCAAATTAAGGCCGGCTGAGGTAAGGTAGGCACTTAAGGTAGTCTGTCTCATGGTGTCCTCGGAAAAGGTAAGGTACTTCGTATTACTCTACATCCATCGCAAATAATAATAATAATAAAAGAAAAAGGCCGGTACTCCAGAGGGAAACATGAAGAAGAAATGAGTATCTCTTCGTGCAGCGTTGTCTAGATCAAATGTACGCGATGTTTTTATCATACTATACTTCATAGGTAGGAATGAGACAACCTGCCGTGCCATGAATGGGCAGCGCCATGTTCCGAATCGTGGGAACCTGGAATGTCAAATGATGGTTCGCCATGAACCAGAGTGCGAAGTAATTACGAAGTACCCGACTCTCTTCGCGAGGTACCTTTAATTAGTAATTATCTTACCTTAGGTAATATTATCCTCGATCCTTCCCTGCCCCGCAAGGCTGTATGAAGTACCTCGGGTACCTCACTCCACAGTCGCAATCGATAAGCTGATTCTTCAGCCTTGTTGATTTTTTGTTTGCGCCTCGTTCAGTGTTCCCCCCACTGAAGCCCTCGAGAAAACGCCCTTCGTTTCAAGACAACACATCGATACCAGAGAGACAGAAAGCCCACGCCGCCCTTTGATTTCCCTCCCATCCTGTTGACTTGGTATACTCGCCGCCGTTGATCCGCCTTCGTTTCCGGAGTCGAAGATGGGTGTGCAGAAGAAAACTCGCAAATTCGCCGCCGTACTTCAACCCTCGTCCATTCCTCCCCTAGCGGCAGCACTATGATGCCCCGGACTTCTCCATGCTGACCGATTTCTTTACAGGTCAAGCGCGTGATAGGCAAAAACGACGCTCGGCGCAAGGAGAACATCAAAAAGAACGAAGAAGCCCTCGCCGCAAGCAAGACGAAGGCCGCCGACGGCGAACTCGTCCGCGAAGTGCCCCAGATGCCCAGCCAGATGTTCTTCGCCGCCAACACATCCCTCGTACCACCCTATAGCGTCCTCGTCGACACAAGTTTCTTCAACCGCACCGTTCAGATGAAGCTCCCTGTTCTCGAAACCATGATGGACTGTCTATATGCCACATGCATTCCTGTCGTTACCGACTGTGAGACGATCCCTTCCTCTCTCTGCGCACCTCCATCCGTCTTACGACCTGCCGTATACTAATGTTTCTTGTATGTAGGCATCATAGGAGAGTTGGAAAAGCTAGGTCCTTCATATGGGATTGCCAGGAGAATCGCCAAAGATGAGCGGTGGGAGCGGGTAAAGTGTCTGCACAAAGGAGTATGCTTCTTCTTCCCCCTCTTTTTTGTTTCGGTCAGACTGTCATTGCTGACGCAACACGTACTAGGTCTACGGAGATGATTGCCTGGTGGATCGAGTAACCAAAGACCGAATCTATATCGTTGCAACCCAGGACAAGCAACTACAACAGAGGCTTCGGAAGATTCCTGGAGTGCCGGTAGGTTTATACTTCTCAGCATTCGTAACATAACCGTACTAACTATCCTTCTCAGATAATGAAGGTTGGGCGTGGAAAGTACTTCATAGAAAGGCTCCCAGGAGCCTTGGAATAAAGTAAAATTGCACAAAAAAAGAAAGAATGGGAACATGAATGGAAAAAGGCCATTTTGAGGGAATGGGGGCGAATGGGAAGCCGGGGTTTCGCATTATTTATGATTTGCATGTTGTTCAAAGCGTCATGGCTGAAATGGAACCAAAGCCTACCTTCATATACCCTCTACCACACCCTATTGACCAAGATGCACGTTCTTAGCGTGCACCCGGAGCGGAGCGGACAAGCGTTTTGCTCGTCTATGGCACGTCAAGCGCCGACATAGAATTCCTCCTCCACCAGCAAGCACAGATGGACCATTACGTCTTGGCTTCCGTCACCACATGGCTTGACGGCTCGAGATGGGATTTCACTGTGATCCCGGCAAGCTTTGCCCAATCAGTCTGCTCGAGGTGAAGATTTTATATAAAAAAGGATGTGGTGACTGGATGTCACACTCGACCTCGTCCTATGTCGTTTCACATTGACCTTTGGCAGCCATGATTTACGGCATCGAGAGTGACACGGAGTTGCCGAGGGACATACTTGCCACTGAACTTTCGGAACCAGCTTCGCAGAGCTAAGCCTTCGAGACCGTGACGAGTTACACCGCCATGGATTATCACCTATGTAAGGATTGGTTAATGCGCTGTCTCGCGTCGGTGGCTCACCGGGCACAAGCACAGGCACAGGCACAGGCACAGGCACAATCGCTGACCGCGCCGCCGTAGCCGTGAAGGCGCCATGTCGGGACAACATATTGATGTTCCCACGAGAACGTGATGGATCGGCCGATCCAGATCATCCAGCGCTTGGGCCGTCTTCCATCTCATCGGTATTTTTTATGGCCGTCGCGAGAGACATAACCGAGGCGCAGAGGATGGGGGGGCCGTCGTTGAGACAGTGCTGGACTCTGTCGATGGGCCCGTTCTCCAGAAGTCGATGTTGCTTTCCGTGGAGTACCTTGGCAACAGGACATCCATTCCCAGCCCAGGACCTCAATTCCGTACCCGGATCTCTGACAACGTTGGCCATCCATGTCAAATACTTTCGGTTTGACTCTTGCATCGGCAATACGAAACACTCGTCGGCACGTCGCAGAATGTCGGGGGCGCTTTCCTTTTCATGAACGCAAAACTCCTCACTTGTAGTCTTCGGACGGTGGACTATACGACATCTTCATGCGGGGTTCCAAGCGTTCGATCCGGAGCCCGTTACGGCTGGAGACGAGGTTGAGCGCGTGAGTGCTATGTTTTGCCTCCAAGACACTTTTTCCCCTTTTCTTCCCTGAATACGAATACACCTCGGCATTGCCTCGTCAACGTGGATATGCTCGCAAGCCAACGGACGAACGTTCTCAGATGACCATGGGCAAGTTGCGTAGGGTGATGTGAATAGGAGTCATAGGGTGTTGTGTCAGTGCGGTTCGTCTGGAAACTGAATCCCCACGTCTAATTCGCAAGCAAGAACATATTAAACTCGGCCCTCGGGCTGGTGGTAATAACACCGTGAGTATTGTGCGATTTGTGGACGTACGATGTACGTAGGCCCGCTATGACACTACCTTCTAAATAATCGACATGGAGCGGGACAGGTAATTACTTCGTAGAATTCCCGGTGTCACAGTTATATTATGGATATCACGAACAAACAGGAGGGCGGGTCGCCAACAATACAATACCTACCATTTCCCTCCCTTTCTCACTTTCTCCCCTGTCTACTTTCCTTCGCGTTCCCACCGGCGGCTTGGCTGGTATGGAGATTTGCGGGGGGGTGACTTGCTGCCCTGCCAAGTCTGCGAAATACATGGCACTTCGTAAGGTACAGTTCTGAAGTCGAGGTATTCGTAGTTACTTCGTACTACGTATTCGGACGTACCTACAGGATTCCGTGGGCTGGTTAATACACGTGTACTCAGTGCCTACGAGACGAATACCTACGAATTAATTATGTATGAGATGCCCGTTCATTCACTTGCGGATGAGATTGGCTGGTGATTACTTCGTATAAGTTGTTTGCTGAATACGTCACGCTGATATGCCACTGGCAACAGGTACTGGCCAGGGTTTGCCGTATCGGAGAAGTCACTTACCCTGGGGTATGATTAAACTTCCCGCGGAGATGTTAAGATCTAACCGGAATGCCGAAATACGGATGTGGGAAATATGAACGAAGCCTGCTAAGTGGTTCTCTCGTGGTCGAGACCTGCCGGTGTGGTCACGCAGAGGGTCAGGTGAGACCGTGAGCGGTCATGCTGATGGACAACACAGTGTGAGCTGCAGGCATAGCTCTCCCATTCAGGAAGGAGGGGTAACTTGCTCGGCACGGAGAATACACTAGAATGCAAGCCCTCTCGGGACCTGAAAACGTGTTGACGGCGTGTACTCCGTATCGACAGTGTACTTTGAGTTATTCGTACCGGGGAATGGGTCTTCTCCCCCCGCGTCAGGCAGTTCAATGCATAAGCCACATGATGTACATGATTAGTACAGTGCCTAGACGCTCTACCTTATGTATGGTCAACTTCGTGGTCATAGCCGTAATACACGTGTAAAGGCGGCTTCCGTGGAAGGACAAGAAACTGCAAAGTGGTTTCCTTTTGTGCTTTGTGGTAGCTTAATAACTAGGTACATACATACGTAGGTATGTACATGTATTCGTAGGTGTTTTTAGGGTGTGGGAGAGAAGGAGCCAACGGAGTGAGCTGTCTTTTTATCTGTATTCCGTCCATTGAAATTACTTTTTGCATTTCTGTTTCCTCCTCCACGTTTCCCCCCCCCTCCCTCAAGCTGTCCGTACTCCGTACTAAGCAGGTAGTACGAAGTACACACAGCTTGGACGATCGATCTAGAAAAAATTTCCTTCTCATCCCCAGCCCGGGATGCACTTTTACATTTTCTGGGCCGGATTTTGTGGACTCACAAAGACGACGGATGCTTAGTCTGGCCAACCGTAAGCAACCTTTTACCTAATCCCAACCTCTGGGGCTCGGAAGTTCGAGCACCATTGCACCGGGCTCCATCGTCGCCCCCTCCGTCGCCCCTCCCCAGCCCCAGAGCCGTCTGAAGATGGGTATCCCGTGCAGAGAACTGGGCAAGTAAGTGGTTTGTGGTTTTGGGAGTGCGAATAAAAGAAAGGGCGCCCTAAAAAAAAAGGGGGGGCAAGGAGGGACCGAGAAATGGACGACAAAGGGAACCAGAAAGGGAGGGTCCCCGGCTCCAAATTGGCGACGATTCCCGGCTACGGGTAATCCAGTCATGGAGCCACGAGCTTGCATCACGGCAGGCGATCAATTGTGTGTTTGGTGGACGTACCTACGTGGGTACCTCGGGGGAGGGGACAAGTCCGGGCACCGCTCAAGGGGGAAAATGGGGAAACGGTAAAACTGTTAATAACAAGCGACAAGAATGATTGGGGGGAAAGCATTATGTGATTTTGTCAATTTGGTCAGTGTCCAACTTGACCGCTGTCGCCCTATGATCCCCGGGAGGTACTAAAAGACGGTCAACGTCCTCGAGCGGGAGGAAAGAAAGTAATAAAAGAACAAATGCACAGGTCAAAGTCACGTCGGATACAAACCTAGAAAAAGACAAAAAGTCGGCTCAGCTCAGTTGAGGTTGGCTCTAGTTCAGTCCAGTTTCAGCTCAGTGCAAAGATAAAGCAGAAATCCCGAAAGTCGCCGGGCATTCGATGTCGAGCTTTGAGCTTTTGCGATTATCAATTCATCGACGAACATAGTTCATTGCAAGTTACTTGCCTTGAACCGTGTTCCGATTCTGCTTCCGAAATACCCAATTCCGATCCCATCGGCATAATCGTCGACCTTTCTCTCCCCTCTCTTCAACCTCTAGTCCTCTCGTACCGGGGTTGTGGGTTCCGTTCCGGCTTGATGGTCCGAGTTGGTGCTTATTTTCGGCCTGGTAGGTTCTTTTTCTGCCCCCTTCATATCCTTAGATTTCGTATCGAGAACTCGATGCTCCAAGAGATGGAACTTGTATCTTACTATGCGCATTCAGCTTTACCTTCCAGTCCATAACGAATCGCGGCGCAAAAAAAAAAAAAGACAGCAGAGAAGAACGACCAGACACCAGATTACGGAGTACAGAGCAATTATTGCACTACTGTTTACTTCGCACAAGTCTCAACCGATTTCGCCATCTCGCCTCTTTGCGCCTATACCATCCAAATCTTCCGATCCGTGAGCCACCGACGCACCAACACCTCGAATTGCAAACAACTTTTTTTAACCCTGGTCAGCATTGGCCGATAACCAACCGCGGTTTCCCCTCTCTCCCTTTTCTCCCTTGTCCCTTTAGGCGGCCCAGTTGTGCGCAGACAGGGACAGGACAGTCAAAGTTCTTCCCGATTGGAGGACATTCCCCTCTTTCCCCTGGCAGCCCTGCTGGACGACCCCCTGACGTGAACCTTGATAGTTGGACGCTGGTAATCCTGCGTCATTGTCGGTCTCAACTCAAAAAAAAAAAAAAAAAAAAAAAAAAGGAAAGAAAAGAGAGAGATAAGAGAACAGAGAGAAACAAGAGGGGAAAAAAGGACTCGACATCAAAGGACACAGAAGCCGATTTTGCAGCTTCGTTTCTTTCTTTGAACCTCTTTCCCGCCTTCGGGTGCTTTTTCATTACCCAACCCAAGCTCGAGCTCGCCCGGCTTCATCGGCTTCGTCCCGAAATCCTTTGACACCACACATCGTTTCATAATCTCGATTCCTTATCTCGGAGCATTTAGACGTCACAACAAAGCTGTTCTCCTACCGGGGTCGATTCCGAAAACAAGAGAAAAAAAAATTCCAAGATCGCTTGGCCGATTAATCCTTCTTCGAATCGGATCCATCTCAACTCGCACCAAAACGCTTGGCCTTCCGGGGTGACCCCGCCATCGCCCGTCACCGACGCAGACCTTGTCCACGCCAACTGATAACGACGTCGACCGCGCGCCCCGCTATCTCTTCGTACTTTCGTACTTCGCTTCGTAAGGTACTTCTTTCCCTCTGGCGACCTGTTTGTTGCAGCTTGCCCGGTCTCGGATACTTGTGTAAGTTGCTCAGTCACCTTTATGTATTATTATCTATCTCTTCTTTTCTACTCCTTTCCCTCAACTTTCATCATTTCATCCTGAATTGCGCGATACCCCCCCTACACAGTTCGTTGCCCCCTTGCTGTCTTGAAGAGTCGCGTGATTACCACTCTGATAAAGGCCGCGATGCGCAGCCCAGGGCTGTCATCATCCGACCCTGTGGTTTCCCCCCCCCTGCATTGATAGCTTTCTGTTGTCCGTGATAGCTGCCTGCTCTGTAATAGGCTCACCGCCCTGCGTATCAGCATTGGTGCTTCGTCCTCGGACACCGGACCTTTATTTCTTTCTTGAGCGTCTTATATGGTCTGGCTGATTATCTTCCGGCGTTAGAGCCGTTTTCGGGAGTGGTTTCTTTTAGTTCTCCACATCCAACTACCACCATTTCAACCTGTCCGCGTTCCCCTTCCCGCTCAAGGACGCTATCAAATCTGGGGAACGGCGGGGACGAAGCTTCCTAGCCCTTCTTCCCGCCTCGGGCCCTACTTTTGTTTCCCTCCTTTTTTTTCTTTTTTTTTTCTTCCTTTTTTCTTCTTTCCCCTTTCAACCCATTACTCTCTTCAACCCTCAGTCTGCTATCCCATATTCCCCCCCTCGTTCCTTGATCTCTCCCAAATTGTCTCCGGCCCCGGCACTCGCCTGGCGCCGTAATTTGTTGAGTCGAGATGGTGACTCTAATGCCTTCCCAAGTCTCTGGGGTCGCGATTCCCACCCGGCCCGCTAACCGTCGTCACCGCGACCAGCACGTCACGGAACTGAACCGCACCCACAAACACTCGCGGTCGTCCTATTCGGACACCTCTCCGCTCGTCTCGAGAAACAATTCATTGACCTTCCGCCCCAAGAAACGTCCGATGCAGTCCCCCGATAAGGTCATTGCCGTCATCAACGCCAGCGGTCGCCAGGCCGCGTCGTTCATCCGAGTTGCCACCGCTGTTGGATACCACGTCCGCGCCCAGTTGCGCAACCTCGAAGGTGTCGTCGCTACCGAAGTCAGCTCGAACCCCAACGTCACCGTCCTCGTAGGCGAACTCTACACGCGGCACAAGCCAACCCCGGACAACCGAGACGTCACCAGGAACGGCCCCATCAGCGGTGTTGGCGTCAACCATGATCTGATCTCCGACCTCTTCCGCGGGGTCCAGTTGGCTTTCATCAACACCACCTTCTATGGCGACGAGTTCCAGATCGGCAAGGCACTTGCCGATGCCGCCAAGAGGGCCGGCGTCCAGCATTACATCTACTCCTCGATGCCGGACCACGCCGCGTACAACCCGGAGTGGCCATCCCTTCCCCTGTGGGCCTCGAAGCACCAGGTGGAGGAGTACATCCGCCGGATGGATCTGCCCGCGACGTTTGTGTACACTGGAATCTACAACAACAACTTCACGTCATTGCGGTACCCGCTGTTCTGCATGGAACTTCAGTCCGATGGCTCTTTCCTCTGGCAGGCCCCTTTCCACGAGAATGTCAAGCTGCCGTGGATTGATGCCGAGCACGACATCGGGCCAGCGATCCTGCAGATCTTCAAAGACGGCCTATCGAAGTGGCGGGGCCGGCGTATCGCGCTGGCGTGGGAGATGCTGACCCCACGCGAGGCCTGCGAGGTCTTTGCGCGGGGCGTGGGCCGTCCGGTCAAGTACGTTCGGGGGCCCATCGAGCTGAACGTGAAGATCCCCACGGGGTACAGGGAGCAGCTCGAAGCGCTGGAGAAGCTGTTCAGCCTAGGCCACGACGACCCCAAGAAGCAGCCGCCGTATTTTGGCGACGTGGAGCTGGACAGGAGTTGCCCGGAGCAGTCCATGTCTCTCTGGGAAGGTCCGCGGGGCCTGGAGGAGTATGCGCGCGAGGTCTTCCCGCTCGAGGAACAAGCCAACGGCTTGACATGGATGCTGGAAGATGATGACGACGCTGCCGATGGGTATGAGGAAGCCACCCACGCCGAAACCATGTCACAAGCAACACGCGAGGAAGAAGAGGACGAGGATGACCAAGACGAGATGCTCGTGATGAAAGGCCGGAAGCGTGACGAGGAAGAATGGCTTGCATGAACGATCTTTCGAGGCATACAAAATCTCAACCCTTGGCTTTCGTTATCGGGGCGCAAACGACGGATTCTTGGTCGGGAGGGATTTTCTTTTCTCTTTTCCGCCTTTTTTGGGTTTTTTGTTGTTGTCTGTTATATATCGTTTTTCTATCTGGCATGGCGTTTTGGTTACCCAAAAGAAAAGAGAAAAAAGCTGCAGATTTTCACCGGCGATCTGGGATTCGGATTTCTTTTGGTTTTGTTTCTGTTGGGGAGCAGGAAGTCAGTCGCGTTTGGTTCAAGGAGCTGGAAGGCCGGGAAAGGAATAGGGATTTGGAGAAGGGACGAACCAAAAAAAGAGAAGGGAAATTCCGAGAAGGGATTAGGGAATGCATCTTTAATGAATATTGATAAATTCTGGGCCTCGAAGATCGTTTCTACCTTCGTCTTTGGGGGACTGATAATGAGTGATATTCTGATGTCGCCACCGAGGAACCCACGGGGAAGAAAAGAAACTGGGCCCGCCAGAGCAAGGTGGGGAGAGGGGGGGGGATAATTATGCGAAGTTGTTCTCATCTGGTGCTGCCTGTGAGGGCAGGGGGTTGGCGTGGGGGGAGCGCGGGGGAAGATCCATGTGGCTGGTACAGTAACAATACGGGTGCGGCTCGCAGTGTACGAATGGGTATAGCAGGCGTTGAGGACTTTTGATAATATGTAAGACAACCCTTTGATAGTTATGGATATAGGGGGTTACTAAAGGGCCTTATATACTGATTGTCCATCTGGATAAGAATAGGGAGAGCATTGCGTACGGATGTGAAATGCTACGCATTGCATCCCGCGGTGCTGTCTTCGCCGGTACCCGACTACCCGACGATGGCTCCTGAGATATAGGAGGAGTAATGACGTGAATGGAATGATGACAATGACATGCGCGGTAGCGTTACAAGAGTCAACTACGTAGGTATGTATGGCAGGTCCAATCCCCTGATGATGCGAATGTCGGGGATACACCAAAGAGTAAATGAGCGACTGAAAGAAGAGAGATGACGCTCCTTGTTGTAGTCGATATATGATGCAAAGCTTCCCCATGTCCTACCCTAACTGAACCCTAACTGAACTTGCTAAATGTTCCTTCGTTTCCAATATGCCCCAACCGCATGTATATAGTCCATTCCGTCGTTTCTCATTCTGCGTTATCTTGATTGCCGAAGTTCAGACATGCGTGTCTGTGTCTGTATCTCATCATGTAGCATAAGTAATTTGGACGGGTGGCTGAGTATAGGTTTTCCCTCCCAAGTGAACCGGGAGAATAATTCTTTCCCCAGAGAGAGAGAGAGAGAGAGAGAGAGAGAGAGAGAGAGAGAGAGAGAGAGAGAGTCCATGTACTCAGACGGTGACAGCGTCCCTCCCTTCTTCCTCTTTGTCATCCCGTTGTTGTTTTTCTTTTCCTTCTTCCTTTTCCTCGCCCCCGGCACCATCACCATCACCATCACCGCCAGCCCTCGCTCGCCCCAGCCTCCCTTCGCCAAGCAAGGCGCGAACGCGTTCGATCCGCCCCACGGCGCCCTCCAGCTTCTCGAGACGCAGCCGCTTCTCGGCGTCGCGGCGCTCGAGGAGCTCGACGCGCTCCTCGAGCTTGGCCCGGGCCCGCCGCTCCGTGGCCACCATCTCGTTCGCCTGCTCGAAGAGGCTGGCGCTCAGCTCCTCGACCTCGTGGCTCGACGCCGTGAGGCGGTTCTCGGCCGCCACGCGGAGGCTTTGCTCCCTGCGCAGCGCCGAGAGGAGGTCGGCGTGGGCGTTGAGCGGGTGAGAGGCTGCGACGGCGGCGGCGGCGGAGGCGGAGGCGGAGGAGGATTCGGGGGAGAGGTGGTGTGGTGCTGCGGCGTCCGAGGCTGGGGATGACGGGTTGTTGTTGTTGGTATTGTTGTTGTTGTTGTTATTATTACTGTTGTTATTGCTGTCGGGACGGAGGTTCGGGGTCGATTTTCGGGAAAGGAGGGCAGAGAGGCGGTTGGCGACACCGCCTGCGGAGGAAGGGAGGTAGGAGGAGCGGGTTGGAGAGGACGATGGATCTTGTCCTTTCGGGGGTGGTGGCGGTGGAGTGTCTTGCCCTCCTCCTGCTTCTCCTCGTCCTCCTCGTGATTCTAGCTCTTGGCGTAGACGGGCGAGTTCGTCTTCGTAGTCGGCCCACCGGTCAATGGCTGCTGTTGCTTTCTGGTTGAGGAGCCTGACTTGGGCCTCGAGGTCGGCGATGCGGGCCTGGGCTTCGGTGAGTGATGCTGCTGCACCCTCGTCCCTTGCTCCTCCTCTTTCTCCATCTGTTTGGAACGCGGGATTCGGCGGGGGGAGGGCGAGACCGCAGCCAGGACAGCAGCGGGAGGATGACGCGGCGGGGTTCGGCGGGTCGGTGGTGAGAGAGAGCGACGTTGGTGGAGGGGACGGAGCGGCAACAGTCGCCATTGTGACTGTCGTGCTCATGATGAGAGGTCCGAGGTCGTAGTCAAGATGAATGAAGACTAAAGTTTGCTGTGGAAATGCGGCGGATCTCGAAAATCGCGGACGGGTGACTAGGGGACGTTTGGGCGGCGGTGCAAGGCGTTAATGATATCCCTTGCTTCGTGGGTAGGGGGAGCAAGATGGCATGACCTTGCTGCTGTTGACGGAGCGAGAAATAAGTACGAAGTATGAAGGGAGGGAAAAGAAAAGGGAAGACACCCCCCACGAAAAAGAGTTCGTACGGTGTGCTGGGGGTCAAGTTATCTGTATCCGTAGTGTGGTGGCTGGTCGCGACGAGTCCGTGGTCAGCCGCCGAAGCACTGCGCCTCCCCTTAGGATCTGGACAGTCCGAGAGTCTCGGCCCATTCCAAATGTCTGGGCTCGACATTGGCAGCGGCTTTGTAAGCAGGTGCCGGGGCATGTGTGTCAGCTGTTCGCACCAGTGGTTTGTCCGTCTCGGCTCCGATTCTCTCCGCTCTCTTCGTATTTCCAGGGACGCTCGCTCTCTCCCTTCAATAAATCCGAATGGAATATGTGAAATTGAGGGCAGATTTGATCCTCATCACGCATTATGGCTAAGGACATTTATGGAGGTCAATTTCTGCACAAAATATCTCCTTAATCTGCTCCTGGTATATGAAAATTTTGCTAGATGACCAACACCCCTTATTTTGGTTCAGGTCCGGCGCATCGCATCACAGTTGGTGATTTGACACGACACGCCGATGCATTTTTGCGTCTTCTTTCTCATGAGCCCCTCTGCCCCTCCTGGAATGCGAGAGCTGGTGGTGTCTTGCTCTTATCGTAAGCAGGCCAGACACTTTCAATTCCAGATCCCTTCCCCTTTGCGATATCGTACTCATATCCCCGTGTCGATGACCGAGACTTGGTGGCACTGGTCAGATAAGCCTTTTCAGCCATCATCTGACAAAATCGGTCTGCTCCTCCAATGGCTAAATATGAAGAGAAAACGTCTTAATATTCAGTAAGACGGTGCCATTCGCCCTGCATCCTTGACCAAGGCTGAATTAAGGGGCAATGTGCCCTAATCGCGAAAAACACCTTGTAGGCACTCAATTTGGCTTTGCAACCTTTCGTGGTTCAGCTACGCCCGTCTCGGGGTCAAGATACTCCTTCCAGCTGATGGGGACCATGTCGTTGCCGGATTCACTGGTCGCCATGATGACACCCAACTCGTTGCTCGCCGTAGAGAGGTAATAGTTTGCTTGGTCACCCAGCGAGATCTAGCAGATGTATCCATGACCAAATCAGTCTCGACTCTCTCGACTCGGCGGGTCTTTAGGGGAGAAAAAAAAGAAAAAAAGAAAAAAAGAAAGGAAAAACAACTCACCACCTGGGCCCGTACAATATCGCCGGGCTTAAACGACTCGTGAATTTTAACCTTATCCTTCTCGGTAGCCCTCACGTCCTGCGACCGAATGACGCCTTGCCACTCCGTCTGCAGCACCGTGTCTCCCACCTGCTGTATCGTCACGATGGCCTGCCGCGGCATCAGCCGGACCACGCGGCACAGCACCACGTTGTTGACGTCCGGGAGGACCTCGCGCTTCCGCCCGCCGTGCCGCGACACCGAGATGGTCGCCCGCTCGCCCCTGTCCAGCGCCCCCGCGATGCGCGTCAGCCGCTTGGCCGGGCCGCCCGCGGTCTTGGACGATGACGGCGCGGGAGTAACCACCACTTGGCCGAGGAGAGAGGACACAACCTGGCCCTCGTAGACGTGGGTTCCCGGACCAGGGAGGTACTGTGTCGCCGGGCCCAGGGTCTTGCCCGGGACGGCTATGGCGGGAATCTCTGCTGGTTCTGCCATGGGCACGTTTGCAGTGCCGATATTTGTGTGTAAGAAGTTGTCTTGGTTCGGGGGAGTGGGCTAACGCCGGCGAGTAGAGGGGCAGCTGTTAAACTATCAGATTCTCCAGTGTGTTCCGCTAGTCTTTGATGGCCAAGGCGAGTTGAATTATTAAGGTGAGGTAAGGCGAGTAAAGTGTAGGTAGTGAGGTTGAGACTACCTTAGGTAAAGTACGTTGTAAGGTACCTTAAGGTGAGCGAAGGCTTGACCTTTTTTTCTTTCGCTACCATGTAATTATTAGGTAGTACGGATACTTCCAGGTTCGTATTCGCACGCAGTCCGCGGGTTCCGTCGGCGCCGAGATGCCCCACGGTAAGGTAAGTACGTACTCGTACTGCAGGGCACGATACGGTACCTTCCATGTCCGGGCCCTTGGCTGTGGGGCAGGAAACCATGACGCGGTGGGACGCGCTTTCCCAGGAGATTAGATATTACCTACTTTCCGAATCAAGGGTCCAGGGGAGGAAAGAACGTTAAGAAAATCCCCGATCCCCATCCAGGCACATCGATCAACCTGATTACGATCACTTCAAAATGCCATCCTAAACCTAACCTACGGCGTGAACTTCTCTTTATTCCCTTTTCTTCCTAATTTCTTCTTCGCCCTTCTTTTCCCCTATAACCCATCTCTCACCTCTCATCTCTCACCCCTCATCCCTCATCTCTTCTTCGTACATTCCTTTAACAATATTTGTTCATTATCACGATAAGAACAATGTCTCCCCCGCGCAATTCTAACAGCATTGGAAGCTGGCTCTTCTTCCTTGCCACTCTCCTCGGCGCTATTTTCCCTATCTACTACATGCTTGAGAAGAATCTCGACAAGTTCTACATCTTTGATCATGAGCATCTCCATGATCTTTCCAAGCGCGCTATCGCCGAGCATGGCAATAACACCAAGGCCATTGTTGACTACATTGTCACCGAGCTCCATGGCATGCACCCTGCCAACGTCAACCTGAACGAGGAGTGGATGTTCAACAACGCTGGCGGCGCCATGGGTGCCATGTACATTATCCATGCCAGTGAGTGCTCTTTTTTTTTTCTTCTTTTCTTCTTCTTCTTTTGCCTTGGCCCTTTCTTCCCTGTTCTTTCCTTTTTTGCTTTGACTATTTTGCGCCTGCTTCTTTCTCCTTGTCCTTCGGCTTCTGCGCCCAACTCATCTTGATATATGCCACTCATATTTTTTGTTTATTTATTCACATGTATCGTTCTTTCCACTTTGCTAACTGTTCCTTCCCTTCTTTTCTTTGACAGGCATCACCGAGTACCTCATCATCTTTGGAACGGCCGTTGGCACCGAGGGCCACACCGGTGTCCATACCGCCGACGACTACTTCAACATCCTCACTGGCACCCAGCTTGCCTACGTCCCTGGCGAGTACGAGCCCGAGGTCTACCCTGCCGGCTCCGTTCACCACCTCCGCCGTGGCCACGTCAAGCAGTACAAGATGCCTGAGGGTTGCTTTGCCCTCGAGTACGCCCGCGGCTGGATCCCTCCCATGCTCTTCTTCGGCTTCGCCGACACCCTCTCGAGCACTCTCGACTTCGGCACGCTTTGGACCACCGTCCGCGTCACTGCCCGCGAGATGATCGGCAACTTGATCCGTCTCAAGTTCTAAACCCGTTTGTTATTACGGGGTTTCTTGGTTCGTGGGTGTTTTACGTGGTAAGAGCAAGACTTTTCGGCCATTCCTATCTGTCTGGAAAACAGGTCATTTCCACAAGTCAGTCATGACATGGTATTATTGGGTGGGAAAAAGGATAGGATAAGAAGGTCTATGGTCTGGTATAGTACCGTGCTCTTTATTTCATAAAGCGAAAAGAAAAGAACCTGCAAGGGACATAGAGAGAGGCGTATGCCGTTGTTGGGAGAATAGATAGACTACCAACCTAGTAATGCTAATGAGGCTCTGACACAATCCACACACATCTCATGCATGTCCGCGGTAAAGCCCAGAAAGATTGAACGAAACATGTAGCAGAGGAGGAAGTGGGCGACGATACAATAGCGTAAAAATGCACGAGTAAATAAAGTCTTGGTTGGTATCAACGTCTGCTCTAGACAAGTTCACCTGAGCTCCCCAAATCAATGCGTGGCCTATTTTTCTCACTCAAACTCCGGATAAAACGAAAAAAGATAACCACCACATCATCTGCATCTTTATTCTTTCCCCCCTAAGCCCTCAAGTCTTGCAAGCGCAAGCAAGTGAGAGGCTAATCTTTGATGCCTTCCCACTCAGACTCGTTATCGGTTGCTTTCCGAGGGGTATCCTCTTTCGATGCTTGCTCCCCGCCGCCAGAAGCCACGGGGGAGGGCGAAGACCGAGCGTGCTGCTTCTTCTCAACCTCGGCCTCGGCCTCATCCGCCGAGCTGGAGTTTCTCCTCCTCCTCTTCTCTGCCGCGCCCTCCCCATCCGAAGCGCGCTCTCGCTTCTGCTTCTTGGGCTCCGGTTGCTCCCCGTTGCCGTTGGCCTGTCGTTTTCCCAAATTCTGATTGCGGTCTGACCTCGCCGCTTCCTGACGCGCCGGGCCGTCGGGATGCTTCTCCTTCCACGCCTCAAGCATGGCAGCCACCTTGGGCGCCCATACCTTCTCCCCCTTCCCCAAGTCGCTGTATTCCAGACAGTTCTCACCTAGGGAGAAGTCGCCCTGTCGCGACCGGGCGAGCTCGGCCATCATGGCGGCCGAGCCGACCTTGACACCCAGGTCATGGCAGAAGCTGCGTACGTAGAAACCCGACGTGACGGTCATGCGGATCCGGGCGGCGGGGGGGCCCTTATCGGTCCAAGGCGGCGGGGAGTCGGCCGACGGCGGGGAGACGTCGATGTGCCCCTTCCCCTCGGTGGCCGGTGATGCGGGGAGCTGTCCCAACGCACCTGACATTAGCGCAACCTGCTTGGTGGACTTCCTTCGCTTAGCTGGTATGTCTCTTACGAGCTCGTCTTGTCTCTGGTCGAACTTGCGCTTCAGCGACTCGTGGGCCGACGCGGCCTTGGCCTCCTCCAGGGCTTCCTCCGGGGTCATCTTCTTCGCGCCGGTGGCTTTCTGCTGCTTCTCGACCCGCCAGACCTGCTCGGCGAGGTTCTTCTCGGCCGTCTCGGCTTCTTCCGTCGGCCACCGGTGGTTGTGCGTGCCGGGTTCGTACCACTCCAGGAGTTCAAGCTCCCTCACCTCGACCTCGCGCCCCACAATCTCGCGCGGGATGGGCTTACCCTCGCGGGCGTATTCGTAGAGTGGCTTTCCTTCCATCTTCAGGGCAGAGTACAGAGGCGGGATCTGCTCGAACTTGCCCCGGAAACTGTCGAGTTCCTTCTCTACCGACTCCCGGGTGATGTGGTCGTACTGCTTCCGCGTCAATATCCTACCGGTGCGGTCGTAGCTATCCGTATCGGCTCCGAAGAGAACGATGGTCTCGTATGTCTTGGTGCAATCGAGGAAGGACTGTAAGAATTTTGTGCCCGAGCCGACGCCGAGGATCAGGACGCCAGTAGCGAGCGGATCCAGGGTGCCTCCGTGTCCCATCTTCACGCGAGCAGCCTTCTTGGCGAGGCTGCGCCTCTTAAATTGTCCCTTAGGCTCAGTGATTCGCTTCTTAACCTCTTGCTCCACAAGAGGGGCGAAGAGGGCCGAAGGATTGAAGTGCTGCTGACAATCGCGAATCACCTGCGCAGAAGAAAGACCAATAGGCTTGTTGATGGCTACAGAGAGTAGGATACGTGTAAGCCCAACGTAGAGATTATCTAGGTGCGGCGCCTGACAGGAGGACAGTCATAAAAGGAAGTATAGGGAGGGGTAGGAAGCTTACCGAAAACGCCTTCGACGACGCTACTTTTCGCCATCTTCCATAGACTAGCCGTGATTCGCATCCGGCTCCAATTGGTCTAGTCTTGGAGGTTGAGGAGGGGAGAATGAAAAGGTGAGAAGAAAAGACGAGACGAAGAAAAAAAAAATGGAGGCTACAGGTCGCGCAGGTCGACGGTGGAGGCGGAAGGAAGCTAAGGTACACGGGTACGGGTTCTTGCGTTTCCCCAATCGGCTGCAAAACCCTCTTCCAGGCGGGAACTGGTCCGCCATTTGGGACTGAAATTTTTGGGGGTGCGGGGCCTGGACAAAGTACAGAGTACTCAGATGTTGACCGATCATGGGCTGTTGTAAGTTCCTTGGATGTACCTTCCTCGTATCGTATTGCAACAATCCTATCTTATCAGCCTGGGTTCCCTGACCACTGAGGTGCCTACCAATCATAGTAATAAATACGGTAAGGTAAGGTAAGGTAAGGTACCTTTACCTTAGTTACCACTTAAGTTCACACCTCAGTTGAAGTGTGGGGTACGTACCGAATAATAAGCAATCCAGTTTTAATTGAAGCCGTCCCTCTTAATCAGTCGCGTATTCTGCGCGTCGATGCTCCATGACACCTCCCACGTCTTTCGCCCAACACTACCAGACCATCTTCGAAGCTTTCATCCTTTCCCCACTAGCTGCCCACACTTGCGCTATCATCCGCGAAGCAATTGCAAGAACGGGATCAGCAAGAATAGCCATCACACCAGCTCTTGAATGAACCAGACACCAAAACACTCCCACCGGCACCTGATCCGAAAGTCGCATCCGATCTGACCCGTCCTATTCCATCACTTCCGCCACTCTTCTCCGGCCTTCCCGCTTACCTATCAATATGGGAAGAAAACGGAGGTCGTCCAATTCCACCGTCGCAACGGTCGACGAGGATAGGATTAAGTACGCCGAAGAGACCAGCGTGCTCAAGCTTCCGTCCCCAGACGAGAATGATTGGGACAAGACATATGTTCTGGAGGATGTCACCATATACGGCAAGGACGGTCAGCTGGCCGACCTTCTATATGTGTCCTTCCTTGGGCCGGTCACTGTACGCGGCTTCATCAGAGCAGAGGGCGACCAGGCGAACCGATGTAAGCTCTGCTTTTTTTTTTCCCTTCCGCTTCCCACGTCTCTACACCTGGACCGCATGATTGCCAGGCAGCTAACCTCTTTTCCCCAACCAGTTATCAAGCGCACCACCAAATCCGCCTATATCGAGATACGAAACTGCGGCACTTACTCGGTGGGTATCGGCGAAGGTGCAGAGAAGACACCGTGCGTTTGGGCTGCGGGACGCTGCGGTTGGTACGAAATCCGACCACCGTCGATCGAGTACACTCCCATCTACACCAAGATGGCCGAGGCTGTTTCGCTTTACTACAACATGCTCGACGTTCACATGGCGTTCGAAGAACCTTACAGGAGGAAAAAGGGCAAGAAGATGAGCCGCGCAGAGATCTATGATCGGCTGGACCCGGACACCATGTTTTTCAAGGTGCGCATGATTCCCGCATACCTCGTAGATCAATATTTGCCGGAGCTGGTAACTGATTCATACCGTCTGACACTCTAGTTTGCCGTGAATGCCGGGGACGGATCGGTATACCAAGAGGTTGTCGCCTCTTGTGACGAACATGCACCGTTCCTCATTTCCCATTTCTACGAAGAGGACAAAAGCTACTTCGACTGGGAGCCGACAACGTTATTCAAGTGGCTTACATCGAGGCATCCGGTGAGCTAGCTCAGTCGCCCAGTCACCTCTTGCACCGCCATGCTAACTAGTCTAGAAACTTACCCACAAAGTCCTGGAAAACGAGAGGAAGAAGCTGAACCCCGCTGTCGTCGGAAAGGTCGAGCCCGAACAGGTTGTGACCAATATTGATGATCCCCCGGCTCATAAATCCCTAGCCAAATCGACGCAACGTACCTCCGTGCAACCAAAGGACAGTTCCGAACCCGAAGTCGCTTCGCGCGACTTTGCCTCGAAACGGGGCAGTCGCCAATCGAGAAAACCCGAAGAGACGATTAACTTGACAAGCACATCCCCTGCGCCACAGCCCATGGACATCGACCCTGGTCCCCCCGTTCCACTCAAACCCGATGACGAGGGAGCGTCGGCAGCTCCTGTGGCAGGTCGTGACGGTCTTTCACCAGTGGTCAGATGTCTCGTAGACGGCATTGAAGAAATCAGACGTGGCCTGGATAAACCGACAACTGCCGTTTCCAAATCCAAAATTTGGTCAAAATTATACTACAATCACAAGATCAAGCACTACAACGCGGCACCCGAGATGGTGGCGTACTATGCGCCCGAGTTGCTTGCTGAACTGGACGCCCAATTGTGGGCTGGGTCAAGCTTCTACAACTACCTCCTAGATGCGGCCAAGAAGGAGCGTCGCCCTCCAGAATTATTCCATCCGGACACTGTCATAGAACAGCTCGCCAGGCGGGGGAAGAAGACGGTTACCGCTCCCACGACTGAACCGTCTACTGCCAAGCGCCCTTGGGCCGCCGCACACAATGACTCAACACTCGAGACGCCTCCACGGCGAACACGGGGCCGGCCGTCTGGCAAGACGTCCAGTCTCCGTCCCTCGAGCAAGAGACCCCTCGCCTCAGACGAAGCTTCGGAGTCGAGTTACCGAGCTGCGAAGTCGGCCAAGACGCTACATATCTTGGGCGACGACGAGGACGAGGCCTTGGATGAGGCAGGGCAAGCAGACATCGCCGGCGACGAACGAGAACCCGAGAAAGCCCCCACCGAAGGCATCGCCCCGGTCAAGGTCGTCATCCGGGCCGAGAAGCTGCCGGATGATACACCCAAAGGCCCCAACAGCGCATGGGTCTGCGACGAAGACGACGAATGTCCCTTTGTTGAGCGGAACCCAGAAGACAGCGATGGCAGGCAGAGAATACAACAGCACATAAAGCAAGTGCATCGCGACGAAGATGAAGATCAGGAGGAGAGAATCAACCTGGCCATGTTAGAAAGCAGCAGAGGCCACCTGCCGATAGAGTATGCAACCCCCTTTTCCTTTCCCTCGCCCCCTATTGACCCCCTCTCTTCTACTCCCTTCTGCAACTTGTGCCCATGCCAGTACATGGAGGCGCATCAACCTGTGTGAGCCTGGCCTAGAGTCCAGTGCCTCGCATGAGACTGTCTGGGAAATTCTCCCAACTGTCCGCGACCATTCTCATCATACCGATTCAAAAAGAAAAACCGAAATCGAAAAGAACAGGCTCTAACGACATTTACTTTCTACAGCAATCTTCTCGACAAAATCCGTCGCATGGGCGGGGGGGCAAACGGCAGCCAACAGGGAGACATCAACGGCCAACCTCTACCACATCCCATAAAGCGCCGTCTGCTTGTCTAGGAACACCAACAGCAACAACCCCCTCCTACTATCGCCCTTTCCCTTTCTTCGCCCTTCGAAGACAACAAGCCAACAGAAGGCGGCGATGGTACGGCTGCCGGGTACAGAAAGGACTATTCTACTGACTTTTGCTTGTTTACTAAAGATTGATCTTGCTGGGGGGGGGAGTTGCACCATGATACCCTTCGCCCCCCATTTTCTTTCTTCTTTGCTTTTCTCACTCACTCATCTTCGGGAAAGGGGTGCTTTGCGGATGACCTTAAACGGGTCTGGATTGGGTAGGCGTTCAAGTCTCTTTCTTCATCGTCCGGGGGCGGACCGGGTCTGGTGACCGGTATGTCTCAAGCGGCTCGCTCGGTGGTTCAGGGATCAGAACAGGGCTGCAGATGGGTCGGTCTCTGGGACAAAATCGGAGATCAGATGGACATGACAACATGAAATGAATTGACGAGGCTGGGTTGTGCAATTATGGCTCGGTGAGGGGACCGCCAGGGCGCTTTTTAAATGTCGTAAAACGACGGATATGGGAGCCCCGAATAAGCAGTATAAAAACCTCTGACGGGGAATCGGACTTTTTCGACCCTCCTACCTTTGCCATAAGTTCTGCTCTCCCCCTTTTCAGCCACCCTTCATTCGCGGATTTATAACCTCAGTGAACGATGTATGCTTGTTCTGATATCGTGTCCGCCACTGGAATCGGTGGTTCGCTCTCGGTGAAGGCCTGACTTCCTCTGTACACCATCATGTCTTCCACAGATTCCCAAGCGAGCGTGAACAGACGATGGGTGGCATGTTTCTTTTTTTCTTTTTTTCTTCTTTTTTTAGTCAGGACTAAATAGCTATCTGGAGTATAGAGGATGCTGTCGGCGCGCCGCTAGGAAACCCGCCCTATTTTCCTAGACTCCATAGTATATCTATCACAGACGCCAGTTGCCGCGGGCGATGCAGACATCCACCATAGTGCTTATTGATTTAGCCTGAGCAATTGATGACCCTCGGGTGAGTTACACCTTCAGGATTGATGCTTCGAGTCGCCAAGACCGGTATGTTGGTTCGACTGGTTGGGAAAAATGCTTCGTCGAAAGCCCCGACATAGTCCTGAACTCGAGCAGTGTGGTGTGCAGGGAGGTCCCATTTTGCTTTTCAAAGGGTGTTAATGCTAGGGTTCCCAGAATGGTCCGGGACCATCGGCCGTGATTCCACACGACCCTCAAGGAGCCTTTTGCCTATTCTCTCTGCCTTTTTGTTTTCTTCTGCAGTCCTCAACGCCGTGCTAGAAGGGTGACTTAGAATCGTCGCAATTCCCGGTACTGCTTGGCTGCCCGCCAAGCAGCCTTGTCCTCGGTCGACATCTCCATGCCCAGGTTCTCTATACCAACAAAGAGGGCGTCAAAGAAAGACAAGCTGAAGCTTAGGTCTTCCGGGAAGTTGATAGCGTTGGGCACGAAATTTCCAGGAAAGGCGTCTAGCTTGCTTTGTCGCACAGCACTTTCATCTTCTGGTAAGACGTCGGCAAGGAAGGTCTTGACTGCGATGCCCAGGGCAATGTCCGGATTGTGCAAGAAAGGAAGTCTATGCATCCGTTAGCGGCTTCACACGCATGTATTGTTAGTTATCCAACTTTGGCTTACCCATGACTGAGGGCTAGGTAATCGTTCCTGTCCCTCTCCGATTGTGCATGCAAGAACATGGAAACGACAATGGCCTCCACAAGATCTCGGTCTGCTTCGCGGACCTCATTTGCCAAGGACCAGAAGTGGAGCAGGATCTTGTTAAGTGGTCCCGTGTATCCGTTCGCCTGGTGGCGAAGTTTTAGCAATGAGGCACAGCGGGCGATAAGAAGGCTGCTACCCTCCTCAGAAAGGCTCTCGTTAGGCGCCACTCCGTTGAGGTCTCCCTGATTCGTATTCGCCGTCAGGACGCCGAATCGCATAAGCTCGAATGCTGCGAGTATAGCCTCGTACGCGTTGAAATCCTGGGCGACCTTATCGGCCCATGATTGGACGCTCATCATGGAACACGCCAGGGCATTGCCCCAGTTGGTGAGGCCGTGATTGTCGTCAACATAGCCCCGTAGGTGAAGGAATCGCAAGATGGCAGTACTTGATATTTCCGAAGCCGAGTTGATGCCTTTTACTCGCTTCTCCTTGGGGAAAGTCTCCGCGACGAATTCTGGGAAGAGGAGAGAGAGGACTTCAAACGCAATGGATCCGGGACTCTGTGTCACGACGTCGCTCTTGTCAAAGCTCGAGGCTTTGACATCCCAGGTCGCGGTACGCTGTATCGGGTTGGGCTGCACAGTTGCATGGTTGAGTCTCTGGGAAAACGCGTCGTCATACCATACTTTGAGGTTAATATCCTGGCGGCTGATCCACCTATGCAGCCTAGGCACGAGGAGAGCCAGAGTCGTTTCTCGGACGGGTACGAGCTGCTTGGTCACCAGCCGTTTATAGTCTTCGGTGACAACACCGTCCAGGGTGGGAAGGACGACGAATTCTAGATGCGTGAGAACGCTCAACAGACGACCCCCAATTAGACCCGTGTTGAGATAGTGGTAGAGCTCGGCAGGAAGCTGCAGGCCCAGGTATTGGATATTGTCCTTCGTCAGATGGTCGTAATCATGTACCTTGACTTCGCCGGACTCCGTGATGTGAATGAAATGCAACACAGCCATCTTGGCTCGCCGATATTTATCCAGCCAGTCTGGATCCTGGGCTTGCAGAACATCGCTAAAGGCGGAACAAGAGGCTGCAACCGACTTATCGGCAGTACGCAGCATGTTGACGGCATCATTGATGGTGTAAGGCTGGCGGCGGACATACTGGGGATCTTGAAGCGGGGGGTAGGGAGGTAGGAATGAGGTTCCGGTCATGAGAAGCGAGTCCACAAAGGTGGTTTCGGTAACGTTCAGTGATCGCATGAGGCCCTTTTTGAAGATGGCTGTCACTTTCTTGGACTCCCAATCTATCGATCGGATGACGCCGTCGTTGATCGGGTAGAGCAGTAGTTCCTGCGAGCCCATGATGCCGCCGACTTGATCGGAATCGATCATATCGAAGTATGCAACCTGGAAGAGACAAAGAAGAAGAAGAAAAGAGAAAAGTTAGGGTATGGCGAACTAGATGGAGAGGAGGCTACCGAGACGCACTTGAGCTGCCGCATTGCTTGGGGCCACGAGGAACTGTAGATTCATGGATCGCAAGATGTCCTGGAGCACAGGATAAAGATCCTGAACACGAAAGGCGCCTGTGAAGAAGAGAAAAAGGAGGCCAGAGTCAGGAGCATTGCTCGGTATGTTCGCCGCCAAGGATATAGGCCCTTACCGCTACTGATGCCGAAGGCGGCCACTGCCTGCTCCGCTTGTCCTTTGAAGTATAGATTCCATGCCTCGTCGGTTTTTCGGTGGGCAAGCTTTCCGCGCTGCACAGTGACCTGATTTTGGCCATGGAGGGCTTGGCCATCGAAGATGAACAGGGGGACGACGTTATGGGCAGTCCATTGGTCCAAGTCGCGACGGATATGTGTCTCGAGCCCTGTGAGCGCCCCCAGGGCAGGCAATAGGGGTTCGTGGGACGGCGGAGTATCGAGGAGGAGCTGAAGATAATACGTTGCATCTACAGCGATACCGCAATGTTCGATGTCGGAGACATTGAAAGTCCTGTTGGTCCCAACAGTTAGTTGTCCGAAATCCTAAAGGCAAGGGGCTGCGCAGTCGCGGTCTCGGGGAGGGATTGACTCACGCGGCCTGGCCGTTGATCCAAGCATCTTCAATGAGAGCTACCTACATGGTCAGTCTGTAAACGACAACGGCAAACGAGGTGTCGAGCAACTCGACTGCAGGAAGGCCAGAGAAGACGAGATAACTATCGTGCCGAGACACGGTTCGCCGAAAGTGGGGGGGGGGGAGCTCATTTTGTGCAAGGTCGCATAGGAGGGCAGTTTTGTTCGCCAGTGCCAGAGAGTCGTGGCAACGATGGCATGCTGCCACGACGCTACACATGCGATGCTCGTGGAGGGGGAAGTAACAGCATTCTGAGATGGAGAACTGGTCCAGCAACTGAACCCACGAGAGTATGATGCCGCCAACGAGCAAGAACATCAGACTCGAGATATGAGACGCCAGGAGGGGTGGGCAAAGCTCAGCACACACCACAGGTGGTCCGTCAGGGTGTTGGGTGTCGCAAGCGAAAACAGCGAAAAGAACGAGCAAAATCTTTGCAACTAGTACGTATGGCACAATGAGAGAGTAGAAGGATACTCACAAGGCATCTTGACCAGCCTTGCGCACGACCATGCAAAGCTTAGGGAAGCTCAAGGAAGATTGGATCGTAGGTCGTGACGAGGGGGAGGAGGGCCGAACTGAGCTGGACAACCGCGAGGCCTCTTTGGAAAGTGACAGAACGACGAACGGTGTGTCATGAAGAGACCAGGCCGGCAATGGAGGCCCGTGGCTTCGGGACGAGGTCAGGCTACAATATAGTTTTGTCGAGGTTTGCTGATGCCAGCGAGGAAGGTAAGGAGTTTAAGATGGAATTGGGCAATTGAGACGGATAGATTAGGATTGGACTGGGCCGGCCCGTGGTGTAATACTGTAGATACCTTAAGGTACCTACCCTTTCGAGGTCTTGTCAATGGGCTGTGTGTTAAGTATCGAGTACTTCTCTTTTCGATGCACATCGAGTACAGCCCTCGGGCTATGATGTATATGGTACTTTGGTATTTTTCGAATGAAGTGCAGGTACTGAAGGGAAGGAGTCTCGTAATACAAAGTAGAAGGAAGCAGCTTCGCACGTGCGGAGTACGAAGTAGGTACTTAGAAGGTAGGTACCTAGGGAAGGGCACAGGCATTGTACGGATACTTTCTGTCAGGGCAAGACGAGCACTGGGGCTCGAATTTGGATATCCTGGCGCTAATAATAAGTTCCAGCTCACAGCGGCTCTTGGCCCCATCAGCGAGCTGGTACTGTACTTGTGGATACGCAGGAATTACCTACCTTAGGTACCTAGGTACCTGAGTACGTACCATACCGTGCTTCAAATGAAGTGATCCGTGTGCTTATAGAAAACAGAGAAATGAAGATGGAAACCATGATCGTCATATTACATACTCATATCTAAAGGCGATCCGTAGTAATTATCAAACAAGCCATATGTTTTCCGCGAGATGAGGGTTGTGGTCAATTTGCGGATATGGCCGTGGCAGCTGGGTCAAACACGGCCAAAGCACGAAACAGAAAACCAACTTGGAACGAAAGTGACAGGTGACTGGACCCAGGTGTCATACGTTACCAGACTCGTAACTCTCGGGAAGCCATGGCCAAATGGTTTCTGCCAAGTGCTTTCTACACTTAGTCGGCGCTTTAATACCTGTACCGGCATTTAATGTATGGTTCATCTGCACTCGTCTGCATGACATAGGGTATGCTGTATGTATTATATCCATTAATGCCGTGGGGTAAGGTAATTGCGCGTGGTTTTGGGTGGTTCCCTGTGGTGCAGGTAACCTGCATGGACTATTCCCCCGTAGCTCTTATCCGACGGATAGTTCACTGTCTGCTACACGGCTCACTGGATGGAATATCTAAGGTACCTGTAGTCGGACGAGTACCTTACAGTCCAAATACTTGCGTCCCCCATAAGGTAGGGGTAGGTAAGTTAAGGTACCATAAGGTAGGTATTACCTACCAAATTCACAGCCCTTCGGAGCTTGTTGGTGAGGGGAAGTTCATGCAGCGCACTGCAGATGTGGGAAGAGTCCTCACCCTTGTGTCCCACCTAAGGCACCTTACCTTACAGTAAGGTACCTGATGGACACCGGTACCTTAAGCTTATCTGTAGTACGGTAAGGTAAGGTGTCAGCAGGTACCTTAAGGTAGCTAAATCGTTCCCTCTCGCCAGCTCGCTGCTTATGAAGACGATGGCATTTCGTTAATTCTGTATCCAAATACCGGCGCAGTCATCAGATCTGCCAACGGAGATATATTCTCCTTTCCAGTGCACTTTTATACTACCTTGTATAACGGCTCCCTGCTCATACACAGTGCTTCCACATCCATCCCCTCCTCAGTACCGTCACCATGCCCGACGCCAACATTCCCATCATCGACATCTCCAACTCGGGCACCGACGAAGCTTCGGTGGCCCGCCACCTCGTCGATGCCGCAGTCGAGCATGGCTTCATCTATATCAGGAATACGGGTGGCTTAATAAATCCATCCGACATCGGCGGTATCTTTGACCTGGTAGGCGCCCGCTTTCCCCATGGATGTGGCTTGCCCCCGGGTGGCTTGACCCTGATGTCCTGCAGTCCCGGAAGCTCTTCAAGGCACCTGTCGAGGAGAAAGCCGCATGTAGCATTCAGACAAACAACCGCGGCTGGTCTGGTATGCACACCGAGACACTTGATCCGAAGACACAGAAAGTGAGTCTTTTCCTAGCCAGGAACACATACTACTAGAACAGGAAGAAGAAAGAAAGGGGGGGTTGATTCTAACTTCTAAGTATTATTTCACTACTGACCCTTTCTTAGATCGGAGACTTCAAGGAGTGAGCCCCCCTAAGGTAGTTGTGACTCGTATGTCCTTGCCGTCTGCTGACCGACGACCTGAATCCACCCTCGTTAGAGCCTTCAACTTTGGCGAGTTCAGGGACGGAAAAGCTCAGCAACCCCTCCCCAAGACCATCCAGCCAGACGAACCCCAGATCAACGCCTTTCGAGAGCAATGTCATTCTCTCTGCCTTCGCCTCCTCGACCTCCTCGGTCTCGGTCTCGACGTCCACCCCCCGGACTTCTTCTCCAGCGCTCATCTGACACGCCTGGGCGAGTCTGGCACCATCCTCCGCTTTCTTCACTACCCCGAGGGTCCCTCGGCTGACACCGCACAAGTCCGGGCCGGCGCCCATTCCGACTACGGCTCCGTCACCCTCCTCTTCCGTCTCCCCGGTCAGCCAGGCCTAGAGATCCTCACCAGGGAAAACGAATGGGCCCCCGTTCCCGTCTGCCCTCCCGGTACTGAGTCTGACCCGGCCCCGCCTATTCTTATCAACATTGGCGATCTCCTCAGCTATTGGACCAACGGCTTGCTGCGGAGTACCGTACACCGCGTCGTCTTTTCCGACCAGTCCCAGGTCCAGGGCGAGACGGATACCGGGCCGCGGTATTCCATTGCCTACTTCTGCCATCCCCGCGGCACGGTCACCTTGGATCCTGTTCCGAGTGAGAGGGTCCGAAATTTCGTCCCAGACGCCGGGACCGGGGATGCGAACCCTTACTCTGAGAGGAAAGTCTTAACGGCCGATGAGCACTTACAAATGCGCCTCAAAGCGAGCTATCTCAGCTTGTACGAGAAGCAAGAGTTGCAAAAATGAGACGGCATGAAATCGGAAAAAAAGAAACAAGAACGAGAATTCTCCATCGTCCAATGACAGCTATAAGCCACTGCCACTGCTCTCCCTCTTGCTTCGTCTATCGGCAATATCGCATGTGTTCTTCCTCCGTCCCACGACGCCAACTATGCTATGCAAAAGATATCTCCCACTCTAGGTATACTCAAATAATATCATCATCATCATTCGTCCTCCTCATGCTAGTCCAACCCACCACTTTTCCCATATACTCGTGCGTGCAATCTTAGGCATTGGCCCATCGGAGTCGTCCTCATGTCGGGTCATCTCCTCCAGCACCCTCCAGTCATACACCTCCACCCATTCCCGCCCTCCATCGGCCAGGCGTAGATTTACCTTCTCGATGTACAAGAAGAGCGCTCGTGTGGCGTCACACTGTCTCCGCTCCACGAAACAAACTTTGCGACGTCGTTTGTCTGGTGCTCGTGTCCCATGCTGAACCGATGTCGGTTTACATTTCTCGAGCCATTCTTTGGGGTTCGTTATCCATTTCGTGATACCATGAGCGGGTAGAAGTCCCTCGGTCATGCGGGTTTGCTTGGCGACGCATGGCGAGAGGAGAAAGTCTCGGCTTCCCAACATGCAGCCGGGCCCCACGTACCGACAGCTGATCGGTTTCCGGGGCTGGGGTCCCAAGTGACACATGTCGGGTCGCCCTTTGACTGGAGGAGTCAGGGCCGGAAGGGTTTGGGATGATGAGGAGCACTTGGGCGTTAGGGTCCGCCGAACTTCGGCCCCGGAAATGGCGTCGGTGTTGTTTTGCTCAGCGTGCTTTCTATTTCCGGGTGGCAAGCGTGATGTTTGGGACCCGGTGGTCCTGTTTGATGTCTGAGACGTGTTGACGCTGATATCCGCCAGAGGGCTACGCCTTTGCGTTGGTTGAGGACTCTTCTGGGGCAATGGTGACTGTGATCGAGCCGGACAAGAAGCCGGCGGTATGCTTAGTCTTCGCTTCTTGCAGCGGTATGGTGAGTTATCGGCATCGTGGGCGAAATACCGTTCGTCTACGCCCTTCCCTTGCGGTGTGACGGGTTCGGCGCTGCCCGAAGCGAGTTGCCTAGCTGTCAGAGCCGAGGATGTTGGAGGCGTGGCGAGTGCACGCGACTGCGACTGTTCTTCTTCTAATAGAGGCGGCAGAGGTTGAAGACGCTTGATGGGGCTCTGTCGTCTCTGGGCGGCTGGTGACTCGGATCCTCTCGCTGACGAGGCCCTCGGAGAGGGGGTCGCCATAGACGATATGGTTGACTGCGTGACGGCGTCGACAGGAATACCTCTAGGGTCAGCGCCTTCAAGTCTCGCAATCCAGTCTAGGAGCTCTTGACTATCCTCCATCTCGGGCACAGCCACGGCCTTCTCGGCGACGGCTTGTAACTCAGTGAAAGTGATCGTGTCAAGGTAGTCCCGGTCGAGATGAACCTTCGTTACTGCGGGAAAACGGGGCGACCAGAACCCAGTGTTGCCTTGCTTGTCGAATGAGAAGCACCTGACATCGAAGACCAAGGGGACGGGAAATACCATCGTCGGAGGCTTCTCGGACATGATACGAGGCGGGACACGTAGATCGATGGCCTCATTCCCTACTAGGGGTATAGACTCCGGATTGGCAGAGAACACGACCATTCTGAGCAGCGCCTCGTTCAGTTCAACGTACTCCACCACGGTGAAGTGCGGTCTACAGCGGTGTCGCTGAACAGCTTCTTTGTTGGTGAGGCACGCGATGTAGAAGTGTGTGTACCTGAGGCCGGGAATTCGATAAGTCTTCGCCTTGACCGGGTTGTAGCTGGCCCCGACGACCGCAAAGTCACCGATATCCCCGAATGCCCCGATATATTCCTTCTTGACTTTGACAGGGCTCCCTGAGAAGGGCCGGCGTGACGGCGTAAAGTCGAAATATGGGTCGTCCGGTTTCAAGACGAGCCCTTCGTTGCGGGAAGTGATGGAGGCGGCAAATGCCCTTCGTAGATCCGACGGACCAGAGGGGCCAGCGAGATCTACGATTTGTCTTTCTACAATCTCGGCATGCCCCTGGCGGCGACAAATGAGTTTCTCTAGCCTCTTGAATCTTTCCGTCTGCCGAAGCCCAAGGAGGGACTCGTCGTCGATGAGCAAGACGTCAAAGTAGACAATCATCAAGTGTTCATTAGGGTCAGGGCTGTTTTGCCAGGTAACGACTCTCGTTCAGCATACCGGAGCTTCGGTAATCATTGTTTTGGGAGCATTGCAAAGACTTACGGAGAGTCCTGTTCTGCATTAAGAAACCTCCCGGACCGCGAGACATATTTGCGGATCTTGTGGAAAGGGGCAATTTTCCCTTCCTGCTCATCTATTAGTGCTGTTATCCACTGGGTTTACAGAGAGGGAGAAGACATGCCCTGTCGTTGTAGACAACCAATTCTCCCTCGAGAATGCACCCTCTGGCAATTCTAGGGGCCGACTTGCCCAGCTCCAATGAATTGCGGATGGCTCTGGTGAAGTAAAAGCATGGTGAGAACACAAGCCATATATGATGGAACTGGTTAACTTACTGATGGACACCGGTGCGATCCTGAGTACTGTCTTTTCCGCTCTTTGAGAAAATTTGAATGCATCGGGGCCCTTCGCTTAGGTCGACATGGACCTGACAATATTCGCCATCGACTTTCTTTTCACAACTGACCCTTCCATGGCAAATGTCTATGCAATGCTTGATGCTCCTACCCTTGCGCCAGAACTGACGGCTCACTTTGGTTCCAAGAACGGGCTTGATGTACTTCGCGAGATCGCCTCTCGCTTCGCCAGGTGGTTGGGCTTTTAGCTTCTGTAACGTATCCAGGGCAACATCGAAGTCTTCCTGGGCCTTCAGAATCATTCCTAATCGCCCATCGTACGCACAATATACAAGCATGGGATCAATGATAACTGGCTCATAAGTCTTCAGAACCAAACGGGTAAACCACTTGGCTTCTGTGGCGTTGAGGCGCAGGTAGAGGCGGCCAAGGTCCTCGCGGCTCCCGAGGCTCGAGACAGACTGGGAGGCGCGGACAGCTGGCGAACTGAATGCGCATTTGGACGCAACACTGTTAAGAAGATCATCGATCTCCTCGACGGTGACGGGACTCTCCTTGCCATAGAGAGGGCTGGGCTGCTGGACGATTAGTGTTACTGAAGAAGGAAAGCGAGACTTGAGGTTACGCTCCCAGAAAGGATCATTTTCCGGAGAGAAGGGGGGGAAAATCAGGGGAAAGGGGCCGGGGGTCATGATCGCACCGTTTGTTTCAATATGGCCGAAATGCATTCGGCGAGGTCGACACCGCTCCCCGGTTGCTCGTACCTTCGGAGCTGGGCAATTCGCGAAGCACCGAGGCACAAGGCACGACATACGATCTGTCGCAGTATCTTGGCTTGAATGCCATACACCCGGTCTGTCCTCTTGTCGGGAAGCATTGTAGAGAAGAGAGCCGAGATGTGAGTGTCAAGGTGATCGATTCGCTCTCTGTGTTTGTCGAACCATCTCCATATCACATCGCGCTGCTTTTCCTTGCCAGGCCTGATGCCGAGGACTTGGACCTGCTCTAACAAATCACACACGAAGGTAAAAGGGAAAGGCATTGGAGATTGACCCGGATCGACCGACGACACGATGCGATTCACAAGAGGACATCGAGCTTAAGGTCCGCAACGTCTTCGGTACGTTAAGTAGGAAAGGGTGGTTTCTTATGAGGGAATCGGGAAGTCACTGAAGTTGGACAAGCCTCCGGTTCATGATGCCTAGAGAAAGCAGTGGAGATTGCTGCCTTCGACCCTCCTCGGTCTCTGGAAGGTCATGGTGTGTTGCAAGTTGACGTCGGGTTGGCCTGCGGCTCGCACACGCGTTGACACGAATAGGGATAAGGTTACATTCACGAGCTTGACAGGCAGCCACGTGACGGAGGCTTAGGCACACATTCTTGTCATTGTGCATACGTACCTTACCTAAGAATTAATTCAAGCACGGTTCCTGAGGTGCGGAGTAGGTACAAGCCCTGGCATTATCATTATGTTTCATGCAGCCTTAGCTCACCGCATAACCAATGGAAATTACCTACCTACATACCTAACCTAAGGTAAGCCAATGTAATCTCTGCCGTACCAGTACCGGTACTCCGTAATTACGAAGTACGAAGGGGGAACACGTTGTAGGTACCTTACTGCACCAGATTTTGCGGGGCAGCCCATCAACCCATACCCGCAACCCCTGCTCTCAACCCCGGGAACACTACCAAGTACGTACGAAGCAACACCTGCGATCGTTTGCCGAGACCCATCACGTTGATGCAAGCCCCTGAATAGCACTGCAGTCTAGTGGACCGACTTCTCCTCCAACATTAGGAGATCCACTGGTTTCTGTGGTCATCGGCGTCGTTTGAGGGCGTTGGCGTGGTGAAGCTGCGAAATCAAAACAACGGCTGACCGTTTCTCACGAGAAGTAAACAACGGCGGGCACTCACGTTGTCTAACCTTACCTTACTGCATACGGTAAAAGAAATTTGAGGACGCCACGGTCGCTGCATGGAGGTATCCATTCGACCTCATTACATACGTCGTACATACTCTACGGTTCGTCAATCCAATTCAAAGATCCCATATTCCCCTACATGGTCCCCTGAAATGGTCTGCGTTCTTCTTTCTTCATCCGCCAACATCATTTCTCGTTCCCAGCAGCATAAAACGTGCCAGCGAATTCCACGTCATACCAAATTAAACAACCGTCGGGGATCCGGAGCTTTCTCTTTTTTTGGTCTTGAAGAAGGACTTCTAAAAGCTCAAGCACCGAGACCAGGGCGTTGCCGTCACAAATCCCCCAGGCAATCCGTTCACTGTTGGTTTGAGTGTCCAGTGTTCTGGCCTCCCTCCCCCTTGCCAGTGAGCACGGCAACCCGGGCCCCCCTAATCCTTTCCCACTGAGCAACGCGCAATCTCACCGAAGCCGCACTCGTCCAATCACTGATGCGAATTGCCGGGGGAGTTTCATTCGAACATCTGGGACTCGGACCCCTGACAGCACACACGATCAACGGGCTCGTTATTCTCCAATCTCCAGGCTATGGTTCTCGCCCACCATCGCCACAGCGCAATTAGCCGTCGTCTTATGCCTACCCACTATTATCGGTCTCCCGCTCTCCCGCCCTACCACACCTCCTTCCTTACCTTACCATGAGCAAGCTTCTCTCGTTCTCCCCATGACATGACTGCTGCCACTTTTCAGCTGCAAATTTGCTTCGTCTCGTCTTGCTCCCGCACTCTTTTCAATGACCATCAGAGACATCTGAATAACCACAAGGCTATCGTCGCCAGAAGGACGATCCACGCTCACTCCTCCCCCGGGAGACACCGGCGCCACAGGCGGGCCCACGCCTCCGCCGCTCACTCGCTATTGCCACACAAGCGACGACGATCATCAAGCACGCTTTGCAGTTTGTATTCTTTCCAATCGCATTTTCGCCATTTTAGACAACCCTTCTTCCAACGCCGTCCCCTTCTCCCCCTGCTCATGATGGAAAGGGCGGCGACCATCGCACACGTCCGCCAACGTTCGTCGGTCAAGAAGTCGTCATTCACACTCCGGACCAGCCCAACCCCCGACGAACAGATGTCGCACCCCGAGATTGTCTCCTCGCTTGAGCGACCCCCGGGCCATGAATCGAAACCGACACCCGTGACGACCGAGACGACGACTACGGCCGAAAGCGACGTCGGGTCCATGTCCATGCCGCCTCCTGCGGCGCCCACGGAGGACAATGGCCGCTCGTCTCGTTCGACTTCGAATGCGTCTCGAAGCAGCCATCGGCTCTCCCTCACCCTTCCTATTGCCCCACCAACCAGCGATCCCTCACGACCATCGTCGACCGTTTTGTCGTCCTTCCCTGCCACCCCTGTCGATTCAGGCTTGACGTCTCCGGTAGATAACAATGACCTGATCATCGCGATAGCGGCGCAAGAAAGAAAAGTTCTCGAGCTGCGAGAAGAGCTAGGCCGGGCCGAAGAAGAGCTATCCAAGCTGAAGAGGCAGTGGACTATGCGAGAGTCGTACCAAAAACGGGGCTCTTCCAGGCCTCTCGCTCCCTTCGTCGACGGGGCAAAGAACGACGACTTCGCAGCGGCTAGGCGCAGCGTCGAACTTGACCGGCGGAGAGTCTTGTTACAGTCGCAGAATACTTCCAAGGATCATCGAAGGAAGGTTCTCCGGGGCGGCCATGCAAGGACGCTTTCGCTGCTTTCGCCCACTAAGACAGATGGAGGTTTTCCTCTCCACGAGGATCTGGATGGTTCCAGATCCCCCGATCTGACCGCGAGCGACCGGGGCCCTGCGAACCCGGTGCTCCAGAAGAGGGCGTCGTGGCAGCCTCGCAACTACAACCCCAATCAACAAGGCGTGAAGCAGATTGCCGAGGACTTTAAGTTGGGACTCTGGAGCTTCATGGAAGATATTCGACAGGCTACTGTCGGGGACGAGCCCATTACGGGCCAGCTGAACAGGTCGCCCAATCTATCGGACGCGTCCGTCAGGAAGCCACGTCCATGGTCATACGCCGCTGATCAGGAGACCATCAAGGCGTCCGGCGCTTCTCGACCCAAGGCATCCTTGAATAGCGCTTTCGATCAGCCCGAGGGCCCGACCACGGAGTCGGCGACACGACCCGCAACGTCTCAAGCACAAACGCAAGCGCGCCCGTTTCCGAAGCCTATGAATAAGTCGAAGCGTTTCTCGTGGACGCCTCTACCGGTGGACTCGATTGACGACGATGCATGGTCCAACTGGGAGTCGCCGTCGGCCTCGTCTATCAAATCGACGCGCTGGAGCGGCTCGACTGTCAGTGGCAGCGAAGGAATAACGCCAGTTCCCGAGGATAATGACGTGCAGACCCCCCTGTAAGTTTTATCTCCCTCGCCTTTTGACTTGTCGGTTTTTCCCCCTCTTTTCTTTCCCTCTTTTTTTTATTCTTTTTCTAGCGTACTAAGTCTGTGGCATTAACAGTAAGAAGAAATCGTCGAGGGCGTCCATAACGATCGACGGCCGAACGGAGCAGTCTGGGAGACAGGTTCTATCACCGACCAAGCTGGAGGAGCTTCTCCCGGGCGTGGTCAATAGACTGAGCCCCAGCAATATCAAGCGGACAGCCACCTCTCTCATGGATGAATGGGAGAGGAGCCTCACGCCGCCTCGAAAAGAGAACAACAACCTCATTGACCTGAAGGAGAATCAGGTGTGAAGCGGGCTGGGACGCTATGACGACTCGTGTTTCATGCGACTACGACATGACGACGCTCGATCTCGAGATAGTCTGGATGACGAAAGCACTTGGTTTACATCTCCATTCTTCGTGTGCGAATATAAAGGGCATGGGCTTAGATCCTGGCGCGACTACGGCGTGGAAATTCTTGGTGGAGAATTTTGCTGGTTTTGCTGGATGTGTGGATTTGTTCGTTGTTTGGTGGACACTCTACCTTATACTGGGGTAAGGTTCGATATAGGAGACCAGGTCTCTTCGCGCGGGGCATGGATTTGGCGAGTCCCATGTCCCAGCTACGGCCCTGTCCGAGTTCGTTTCAGACGCGGCTCCGGGCCTACGGAACCTGGTCAGTCGCATCTGGTACATATGAGCTATGAGCACTGCGTGTTTCTAGCATTGGCCTGTCTGGCAAACGATAATGATACATGAAATTTTATCTTTCGGGTCCTTTTCGAGGTTACTACGTGCAAGTATCAACTCGGGCGCAGTGAAGGGGCTAGAGCCTGGATGAGGCACACCAATGCTTTCATCGAAGAACGGTTATTCGGTCACGTCACGTACGAAGTACAACGTATCGTGCCAACCCAAGGCAAGCACACCAGTTTGTTCGCGTGGCCAAGGCAGCTACCTTAAGGTACGAAGTACTAGCCACAGATACCTATGTACTTTGTATTCGTAAGTACGAGGTACGTGCCTACAGCAGGTAATTCCTTATTCATGAAGTACCTATAGTTGGAGGCCTACAACGTAAAGCTAGAGTACGTGACGTACGTACGTATATGTATCTCGTCCTCCGTACTTCATACCTCGTAGCTGTATCCGTACTCCGTACTCTGTACCCCACACCTTAACACGAGTCCCACACCCTCTCGTGCAGCATACGTACCGTAAACAAACACGAACAACCTGAGTACTCAGCAACAGCGTCAAAGACCCGCCCCGGGGACGAACCCAAGGAGAGACAACACCCCTCGTAAAAGGGGGAAAGTGCAGTGCATGCAACCCGGACTGAGACCGCGACTCAAGTCGCGCCCTTCTCTGGTCGAATTGCTGTCACGAGCGAGAGACGATCACACCAACCAGCTGTGGCCCGCGTTAGGAGGAGCTACATCATCCCCATCTACGTCGCTATCTCCACCTCAACCTCCGCCACTGTACCTGGACCGTGTGACGTCGACAGCTGGGACCACCCGAGAAGGCCCACTAATACCAGCAGCCTCCTCCACCGCCGCGGCTGCACGAATAGCTCTTCAACTGGACGTTGTAGCTCAAGCCTCTGTTCAACCTCTCCCATCCTCCTCTCCTTCCAAGACACCACGACTCCCTCCATCCTCCCACCCACTACCAACCTCGAGCTCCCTCCCGCCGACCCCCCAGCTCGTGTTGCCGATCGAGAATCAAGAACCTAATCCGACTTCCATCAAAACGCCCGCTATGGCTCCGGTAAGCTGAATGTTTTCCGTCGCCCGCATATTCCTTCTTGGGTCTTTTCGACTTGTCCTCTCTGGTTGTCCGTTTTTCCTTGCTTTGTACGTTGCGCGATGGCCCACAGCACCTACCCCGCCAACCTTGACGACAGACTTCATACACGCTGCACCGGAATATTGCGTCTCCGTTATTTTCCGATTCTTGACGACACAAATATGAGAAGAAGAAAGATGGATGGCTGATTGGGAGTTGTACTGCAGAAAGCGAACGACGAGCAAGATGGCCTGAACACGGGTAAGCATCATTACCGGTGGCCCCCTCCTGTTTATCTTTCAGGAATAAGGAATACTAATGATGACGCTCCAGGCAAAATCTATTCCATCTCCGGGTGCGTTTTCTTGTGGCCACTGCTTAGATCAACCCGACCAGATCAGCTCGACTCTGACTGACCCCTAACTGACCCTGCTTTTCCCTTTATTCAGCCCCGTCATTGTCGCCGAGGAGATGGCCGGTGTTGCCATGTACGAGCTGGTATGTTGAGGATCACCAGCGAAATCCCCCCAAAAAATATCCTTTTTCTCTCCTTTTTTTGGCCTGACCGTCGATCTAGGTCAGAGTAGGACATGATCAGCTCGTCGGCGAAGTGATTCGAATCAGCGCCGATCAAGCTACTATCCAGGTGTATGAGGAAACCGGTATGACCATTATCAACCCCATACCTCGTACCACCCTCTCCGGGGCGACATGGTCTTTCGAAGCCGAGCTACCATTTCTAACCATTTTTTCACGACTAGCTGGCGTCACGGTTGGCGATCCCGTCACTCGAACCGGAAAGCCCCTGTCGGTCGAGCTGGGTCCCGGGTTGCTCAATAACATCTACGACGGTATCCAACGGCCTCTCGCGGACATCAGCGCCATCTCCAAGTCGATCTACATCCCTCGAGGTATCGCGGTGCCTGCGCTGGACCGCACCAAGAAGTGGGACTTCACGCCGACGATGAAGGTGGGCGATCACATCACGGGCGGTGACGTCTGGGGTACGGTGGTTGAGAACTCGTTCATCTCTACGCACAGGATCCTGTTCCCGCCGCGGGCCCGCGGCGTCGTCACCAGGATCGCGCCCAAGGGCAGCTACGCTGTCGACGAGAAGCTCCTCGAGGTGGAATTCGACGGCAAGAAGACCGAGTACCCGATGATGCAGTCATGGCCCGTGCGGGTGCCCCGCCCCACTACCGAGAAGCTCTCTGCCGACCAGCCGTTCATCGTCGGGCAGAGGGTGCTGGACGCCTTGTTCCCCAGTGTGCAGGGCGGTACGGTCGCCATCCCCGGCGCGTTCGGGTGCGGCAAGACGGTCATCTCGCAGTCGGTGTCCAAGTTCTCCAACTCGGACGTGATCGTGTACGTCGGGTGCGGCGAACGCGGCAACGAGATGGCCGAGGTGTTGAAGGACTTCCCCGAGCTCACGATCGACGTCGACGGGCGTAAGGAGCCGATCATGAAGCGGACCACGCTCATTGCCAACACGTCCAACATGCCGGTGGCGGCGCGCGAGGCGTCGATCTACACGGGCATCACGGTGGCCGAGTACTTCCGCGACCAGGGCATGAACGTGGCCATGATGGCGGACTCGTCGTCGCGGTGGGCCGAGGCGCTGCGTGAGATTTCCGGTCGTCTCGGAGAGATGCCGGCCGACCAGGGCTTCCCGGCCTACCTGTCGGCCAAGCTGGCCAGCTTCTACGAGCGCGCGGGCCGGGTGCAGCCGCTCGGATCGCCGGAGCGGCTGGGCAGCGTCAGCATCGTGGGCGCGGTCAGCCCGCCGGGCGGCGACTTCTCGGACCCGGTGACGAGCTCGACGCTGGGCATCGTGCAGGTGTTCTGGGGCCTGGACAAGAAGTTGGCGCAGCGGAAGCACTTCCCGTCGATCAACACGTCGCTGAGCTACAGCAAGTACACCAACGTGCTGGACAAGTGGTACGAGAAGGAGTTGCCGGAGTTCCCGCGGCTGCGCGACCAGATCAAGAAGCTCCTGTCCAACTCGGAGGAGCTGGACCAGGTGGTGCAGCTGGTGGGCAAGAGCGCGCTGTCGGACCCGGACAAGATCACGCTGGACATTGCGACGCTGCTGAAGGAGGACTTTTTGCAGCAGAACGGGTACTCGGACTACGACCAGTTCTGCCCGCTGTGGAAGACGGAGTGGATGATGAAGCTGATGATGGGCTTCCACGACGAGGCGCAAAAGGCGATCGCGCAGGGCCAGAGCTGGAGCAAGGTGCGCGAGGCGACGAGCGAGCTGCAGGCCAAACTGCGTCAGCTCAAGTTTGAGCTGCCCTCGGATGGCAAGGACGAGGTGACGAAGAAGGTAAGGTCCCTTTCTTTTTTTTCCTTTTTTTTTCCTTTTTTTTCCTCCAAAGAATACTGACGGTTACGAAAACAATAGTACGAAGCTATTCAGCAAGAGATGTTGGATAAATTCGCTTCTGTGATGGACGAGTAGATTCGGTCTGACGCTTGCCCCGGGGGGTCCCACGTCCAGCCGAAATGGTTGACCCTTCTTAAGAAGTCTTTGCATTGCACGGGTATTTGCCTCGGAACATGGATCCGCATCTCGGTGTGGGATGGACGGTGGATTTACTTAGAACGCACGCGGCGGATGAAGGAAAGGGGGAAAACCTCCGTTGGAGGGAAAGTTAATCAAGTTGATCTTTTTACTTTTCTTTTCTCGGTTCCTATACTATGAGGAGTAGGTTGAATTATTGAAATCATTGAATCACTGCATCCATGTCTAGTACTGGCTCTGAACTTCTGATGACATGTCTTTGGGGTTCTGTGAGATGGCATCATGGGTGTGGTTATAGGCCAGGGTTACGTGACTTAAGACAAGATGGAGGCTCGACTCACGTGGGAGAAAAAAGGTACCTAGGTAAGGTAGGCAGGCGGCTGAGAGAGGTTCAAACTGGGAGAGGACCTTGTTTTGGCTCCGAAGACTCCTCTGCCGGTGGGTGATTTTAGCCCACCCATCGCAATTTATGCCGCCGCGATGACTTCTCTGGCCAATCTTTTCGACCTATCGCTTTTGTTACAGGCTACTTCGAGTGTCTACAGAAAAAAAGAAGAGCAAAAATAAACGACAAGAAAGGACAAGACACGAGACTATGGCAATCAGCTGAAGACGACCGAAAGGGACACCGAGACGAGAGGGAAGAAACTGGTGAGAATTTCATTTCGTCTAGAAGAAAAGAGTCTTGTCGGTGACTTGAAAGTAGCAGCATTAGGACAAGATCGCCTTCATAGGCTCT